TTGACGTGGCGTTGAATTGGGTGTGGCAGAGGTATTTGTGCGCACATTTAAATTTGTATGGGAGATTAGGTAGTATTGCGGACGAAATGTATGTACTCTTATTGCGGATTTAGTGTTGCTTATTATTAAATAAATTTAGTTTTTTTTTTAGCTTTTCGTTTAGCCTTTTACTTAGCTTTTTTAACTTTCTTAGCTTTTTTAGTTAATATAAGTTTAACGGTTATTTTAATTATTATTTTAATCCTTAAAATTTTTATAATTAAAACGATTTTTTAAAAAAAAAAAAACTCCGATATTTTATAACGAATTAAGCCTTATAAAAAGAAAAAAAAAGTCCTTTTTTACGTTAATAAAGTTTAAAGTTTATTATTATTACGAAAGTTAAATTAAAAAGAATTTACCGGCTTATATTTTAATAAATATTAAAATTAAATAAATTATAACTTTATTATTAGTTAAATCACTTAAATAAGTTAAAAATGATTTAAAGATATAGGAATAATAGAAATTAATATTTAATAAATAATTTAATAGTTTTATAAAATAAAAGGTTTTTAAATTAATTGATTTTTTTTTAAAAGAGAAATTATTACCGATTAAATAGGTTTTAAATTAAAAGTTTAATAAAAAGGGTGAATTTATACGTAATTAAGTAAGATTAGTTATATATAATAATTTTAAGATTAACGATTTCTAGGTAATTTAAGATGTTTATATTATAATTATAAGTTTAATTATAATTAAAATCTTTTTTACCTTAATGGTAATTTTTAATCTTAAATGTTTATAATTTAACATTATTATTACGTTTTTAAATAATATAATTTTAAAAGGAATTAAAATTTATATTAAATAAGTAACTAGTTATAAAAATGGAATAAACCAAGTGTGAAAGTTTAAGTTATCTCAGTGAACTCAGACCACAAGTTTATGCTCATGTACCTTTCCAGCCACATCGGCTTTCAGCCAATCACAACGATTAGGCAAGCTAAAAAGATGAACACAAACTTGTGGTCTGAGCCTACAATGTCAAATTTTTGTCAAAACAACAACAATTCAATCAATCAATCAATCAATTAATTAGATAAAAATATTCAATCACGTCTGTCCCATCTGTCAACTATTAAGCTCTTAACTAACTCAAAAGCAGAATCTAAGAACATCTGCAAGGCAGGCTGCAAGCCGTTTTAGAAGGCCAGGTCGGATCGGATTATTATTAACGCGGCGTCTCACGCCACTGTAATGGACAATCGACGCGCCTTTCAAAAGCCTTCCAAACGTCGCGCTTTTCAAAGCCTTCCAAACGTCGCAACCAAATGGGAAAGGTCTTTAGGGCTAGATATTGCAATTACCTCTATTGGAAGCTTGGTTTGAAACGATTTGGTCCAGTTGTTGTGTCGTGGTTGCTGGCGAGCATGATGGTTTTTGACACAATTTTGGTTGGAATGGGTTGGAACGTCGCGTTTTTGAAAGCCTTCCAAACGTCGCGACCGGATAAAAAAGGTCTCTAGGGCCAGATATTGCAATTATCTCTAATGGCAGCTTAATTTGAAATCATTTGATCAGGTTTTTGTGGTGTGGTTGCTGACAAGCATGATGGTATTTTGACATATTTGACATAATTTCAATTGAAATGGCTTGGAGTGCCATTCCGACTAGCGTTTTACAGTTTATGCTCAGACTAGAAATCAAAAAACAACGCTTTTTTGGCCCCACATGTACATGTGCACGGGCCAAAAAATGATGTTGGTGGGCGCAGCCCGCCATTTTTTGATTTTTAGGCTAAGCTCGCTAAGATAAAGTTTAAGTAAGTATTTTATAACTTAAAACGAGTTTTAATTTAGTGGTTTAAAAATAGAGTTTTGCTATGTGCACTACCTATTTTTGCTATCGGGGCCTTAGGTGCACTACCTTTAAGTACCGGTACATGCCCTAAATTTTGAAATCCGGGCCTAATCTAGCGCCCCCAGCTGCCCACCTCAATTCAATCCAAATAACTTTCTGAAACATATAGCCACAAACGTGCAACTGGATTCAATTGAAAGAGAATCCGATTGCCAATTGATTGATATAGGGCTCTAATTGGGGCGATACGTGGTCGCAAAGTTATTCAAGTAAGCAGGTCGCAGCCTGGGAGGCACGTGATCACCCTTAGATCCACACTAGGAGCTCTTAGGGCCAGACTAAGAGCTCTTAGGGCCACGCTAAGGCCCTTAGAGCCGCCTAAAGCCCCTAGAGCCCCCTGGGGTCACGCTAAGCAGTATCACGTGACCCTCCACGATACATTTACCGCAATAACTTTTCAACCACATATCGCCTCAGTTCGAGACCTGTATCAATCAATTGGCAATTGAATTACCATTCAATTGAACCCGGGGGCATCTTGGTGCGACATGTGGTTGAAAAGTTATTCAGGGTTGAAACTGATCAATAAGGTTTGGGCCTAAGGGCTCTAAGGGCGCTAAGGGCCCATAGTGTGGCTCTAAGGGTGATCACGTGCTTCCCGTTCCGCCACCTATTTACTTGAATAACTTTGCGACCACGTATCGCCTCAGTTTGAGGCCTATATCAATTAATTGGAAATTGGATTCTCCTTCTATTGAATCCGGTTGCATCATGATGCGATATATGGTTGAAGAGTTATTTGGGTGGATGGGATGGATGGCTTGGACGGGCCCCGGCTTTTAAGATTTAGTGGACTTATGGGATGTACAATACTTAATGGTAGTGCACCTAAGGCCCCGATAGCAAAAATAGGTAGTGCACATAGCAAAACTCTAAAAATATATTAAAGGTAATAAAAAAGATGAAGTTTAAGAGTATATTTATGAAGTATTATTTATTTAAAAATGAAAAACTAAGAGTTTTTATATTAATATATGTTAACGATTTATTAATTATAGGTAATATACTTAAAATTATCGAGAAAATAAAGATTAATTTAAACGATATTTTCAAGTTTAATGAGATAAGTAAAGTGGTTAAATTTATTGGATTTAAAATTAAACGAAATAAGGAATTATGTTAAATATTCCTTAATTAATTTAAATTTACTAAAAAAGTTTTTTTAAAATATAATGTTAAAATATTAAAAAAAATAAAGTCGTTATGAAAATTTGATATTATAATTTTATTAATATGGGAAAAAATTATTAAATTTAAACGTGTTAAATATATTAAAGAAATAAGATTTTTAAATTAATTATTTATTAAAACTTGCTTAAATATAATTAAAATTATATTAACTTTTATAAAAGTTAACGTAAGATTTAATAAGATTTATTTTAAATTAAAAAAACATTTATAGAAATATATTAATATTATATAAAATTTTAGAATAATGTTAAATAGTAAATATAATTTTAAGAATTTAAAGTTAATAATTTAAGTAAATGTTATTTTTATAAATTATTTAAAATTAAAAAAGTTAATAAGAGCTTATTTAATAATTTTAATAAAAGGTTTTATATATTAAAGTTTAAAAAAATAATTATTAATTATATTAAATAATATAGAAGTAAAGTTTATTAATTTATTTTTAATAAGATTATTGGGAATATAAATATTAAAACTTTTTTAAAAGTTAAGATATTTTTAATTAAAGTTTTTATTATTTTTTTTAGATTTAATTAATGTGATTATTATAGTTTTTAATTTTTTAAATATAATAAGAATTTATTATATCGATATTTAATATAAATGGATTATTGATAAAGTTTAATGTGGAGATATTAAAATTTAATATATTAGAATTAAGGAAATAGTGGCAAATAAATTAATTAAATTATTAGTGAAAGAAAAATATAAGGTTTTTATTTAATTAATGGGTTTAAGAAAGTGCGAATGGAAAAAATAAATTTATAAATATTATTTTAGAAAATTGAAAAAAAAAAACGATTATTATTTTAAAAAGAAATGGAAAATTGTATTTTAGTTATTTAATTATATAGCTTTAAGATTATTTACCGATAGTAAATGTGGCAATAGTTGTATAGCTTTGTGCTAATAGGGGTGTGTTATAAATGCCTTAAACATTTTTAATTATATGGCCTTTATGGCTATATATTGGCATTTTGCCATTTGTAGTTTGGGAATAAAGTAAGCTTTTTTCTTTTTTTCTTTTTTTTTCTTGCTTGTAGTTGTATTGTAATAAAATAAAATCTCCTGTAGTTTTAAGACTCTTTCTAAATCCATGGCTAATTGTCTTAACATGACAATTACTCCCATATTCTCTGTTTTAGGGATATTAAAAGGTGGTGGAAGTTATGGAATGCCCATCACCGACTAAAGCATGTACTCATTTCATCGTCAATCCCCAAAGCACTACCAAAGAAACTGCCTCAAACTCAACTAGCTGGGTTGAGATTGACGTCAGCAACGAGTACTTGGAGGAATATTTCATAGGAGAGGAGACAGGAATTGGCTAATGGTTATGCTGGCTAGGTATTGAGCGTCTCCCAGTTGTGTTCACCTTAGTCGCGTAGAGTCATATATATGTGTACCTAGTTGAGGCTTGTCCTCGATAAATGTACTCAGACTCTTAAATACGACGGTAGTGGTTGTACTACCATCGCCTTTCTTCTATCCCCTTAAGTGGCATAAAGCAGCAGCAGACACGTAGTGAAGCAACATCGAATTTCAGTCGGGTCTGGCTGGTCGTTAGTGATGACGACGAAACTTCTAGTGGTAGCTGTGGTGGTGGCCATTGTCATCGTTTAACCTAGGAAACAGGGCAAATTATGTTCCCTCTGACCTAGGTAGAACCCCAGTGCTGTTTCTAGCAATTCATGGGAATTACATTATGGGTCTAGGTTAGTTACCTCGGTAGTTTTCAAGGTTGCTAACCTTACTAACTACTCTACCCTAGACAATACCCTCGCTATGTTTCCCCTCTCGTTGCTTGGAATCGCCGACGGTCTAATCATGCTTCAGCGCCACTTGCTAGTAGTTACTAGCTGTTAGCGGTGTTAGGTTAGCAGGTTACGCCGCTGGAAATGATCGGACTATTCTTCACCGAAATCGGACTTAAACCAAACATCAATGTTTTGCTTCATCTCCAGCTTTTTCCCCAACCATCCCCGCATGGGGAAGCGGTTCCGATGTAACGGTACTGCTAACCCAAAATCGCATAAAGGATATCCACTTACCCCAATTGTTTCCAAATACTAAACAAGTACGCATCTAAGTAGAAGCACTACAACAGGCACAATGTCTAAGAATTCTATGGAGTAAAAGGTCTAGAAGTCCATGGTCAGGTTAGCATTCCCCATCATTTAGCTGCATCGTCCTTGTCGCCTCTACAAACATGTTGGGATGACTTCTACGTGCCTAGTAGTACCTAGTATGAGGACTCTCATTGAGGAGATAGCCATCTACCTAGTCCAGCCATGTTCACCCCGGCCCGCGTAATTATAAATTTCCTCCACCGATTGTCATGCCTAGAAGTCATTAATCCATCGCTAGACTATTTCTGTCCTTGGCCGTGAGAAGGGCCGAATGCCAGTTCGGCTTTCAACGATGAGAGCCGATTTATTCAATGTGAGTCTACACGTCCTCATAGGATATATAAGCCAGTTCGTGCGTTCTGTTTATACAGCTATCCTGATGTTGCTAATCCATCACCATGTTGTTCACAGTCTCCCTTGGCTGGGCGTTAAGCCCCCTGTTTCTCGCAGTCCAGGCGCAGCAGGAACCCGTCACCAGTGATACTTACTTCTATGGCGCATCTGAGCCTGTCTATCCCACCCGTATGTTTCTCCTTAAACCGTGTTGTACAATGAAGAATTGAGCTAAAGTATACTTGCAGCCGAGATCCTCGAGGAAGGACCTTGGGCAGATGCAGTCAATAAGGCCAGGGAGTTGGTTAGTCAGTTGACAATAGAAGAAAAGGTTAGGCTTAAACGAACGTGGTTCTTGGGGCTAGCTAACAAAATATGTTAGGTGAACCTCACGGCTGGTGCTACCTCTCAAACCGGATGTTCTGGCTTCATACCCAACATCACCAGGGTCAACTTTCCTGGGATGTGCTTGGCTGATGCAGGCAACGGTGTACGGGGGACCGACTATGTCAGTGCATGGCCGGCCGGGCTACACGTCGGTGCTAGGTAAGTTCTCTGCTATCCCTGAAAGAAATCATAATGAGACGAGTTCGGTGATTGACATTGGACCAGCTGGAATAAGGACTTGACTCGTCAAAGAGCCCACTTCATGGGTAGCGAGGCCAGGGTCAAAGGAGTCAACATTCTTCTTGGGCCGATGGCTGGTCCTTTAGGTCGTGTAGTCATGGGAGGTCGCAATTGGGAAGGTATGTCGTATCGAAGATGACAACTGAGAATGCTTGTCTAGTAGCTGACCGAATTTGCCTAGGGTTTTCCATCGACCCGTACCTAACTGGGGTACTGATCCAGGAAACAGTGGAAGCTATACAAAATACTGGCGTCATTACTACTACCAAGGTAATGTGAATTCTAATCTAGGGGTTTTGAATACTAACGAATATAGCATTTCATCACACAAGAGCAGGAAACGCATCGACTTCCAACGACTATCGACCCTATTGTTGAGAGTGTGTCCTCGAACGTCGACGATAAGACCATGCACGAGCTCTACCTATGGTAAACCGAATGAACCCAATTCACGACTATAGCTAATTCTTTCAGGCCATTCTATAACGCTGTGAAGGCAGGTACGGGAGCGGTCATGTGCTCGTACAATCGTGTCAACAATTCCTACGGCTGCCAGAATAGCAAAACCCAAAACGGGCTTTTGAAGGGCGAATTAGGATTCCAAGTATGTATTGACTATTCTCATCGTTAACTATAACTGACATATTAGGGCTTTGTCGTCTCGGACTGGGGAGCGCAAATGTCTGGAGTCGCCAGTGCGTTGGCGGGTCTCGATGTCGCGATGCCGAACGGTGCCGGGAAATGGGCCGGTAATCTAACCCTCGCCGTCCAAAACGGCTCCGTTTCTGTATCTCGACTCGACGACATGGCAACAAGGTAACGCATAGCCGAATCGTTTGTTTTAATTGGTCATGCTAATTCATACGTAGGGTTATCGCTTCCTGGTACCAGATGAACCAGGACCATGAGGGATTTCCATCGCCAGGTTACGGTATGCCAGCGAATCTTACTGATCCGCACGATGTAGTAGATGCACGCAACGCGAGCTCCAGACCGACACTGTTCAACGGAGCAGTTGAAGGCCACGTACTAGTGAAGAACACCAACAGCGCCCTGCCCCTTGACTCCAGTCAAATGAAACTAATTTCGCTATTTGGGTACTCTGCCAAAGCACCTGACCACAACACGCCAGAGGGACCAGATAGCACCTACCAATTCGGCCCTTGGACCATGGGTTTGCAGGCCGCGAACGCAACTGAGGTGAACATCGGGTGGATGGGCAACCTCAGCATCTCATACTCTTCTATTGCACCGAACGGCACGCTGGTGTCGGGGGGTGGGTCAGGGGCTACTGCACAGAGTCTCATCAGCGCCCCCTTCGACGCCCTCGTCTCCCAGTGCCAGGAAGATGGAACTGCATTGTTCTGGGACTTTGAATCTGGAAATCCAGCCGTAAACCCCACATCAGATGCGTGCATTGTAATTGGCAATGCTTGGGCTACGGAAGGCTATGACAGACCCAGCCTACGTGATGAGTTCACGGACGGGCTGATCGAGAGCGTTGCGAGTCAATGCGCTAATACTATTGTCGTCTTCCACAACGCTGGCGTCCGGCTTGTGGACAACTTCATTGACCACCCCAACGTCACGGCCGTCATCTTCGCACACCTACCAGGTCAGGAGAGTGGGAAAGCACTTATATCGCTATTGTACGGAAAGACTAACCCATCTGGTCGTCTCCCTTATACCGTCGCACGCAAAGAATCCGACTACGGCCGAGTCACCAATCCAGACCTAACAGTCCTAGGGTCGGGGGTTCCTTACGAGTTGTTCCCTCAGTCCGACTTTTCCGAAGGCGTATTTGTTGACTATCGCCATTTTGATGCCCATAACATTACCCCTCGTTTTGAGTTCGGCTTTGGTCTAAGCTACACAACATTTGACTATTCGGACCTGTCAGTCTCGAAGGTATCGGATGCGTTACAACCGTACCCTACGGGGCGCGTGGTCGAGGGGGGACAGGAGGATCTTTGGGAAGTTCTATTCACTGTAGAAGCAAGTGTTACAAACGCGGGAGATGTTGAGGGTAAGGAAGTTGCTCAGCTCTATATTGGTGTCCCGGGGGGGAGCAGTCCATCTAAGCAACTCCGGGGTTTTGAAAAGCCCTGTATTGGAGTGGGGGGGAATGCAGAGGTGAGCTTTCCGCTCACCAGAAGAGACTTGAGTGTCTGGGACTCTGAGGCCCAGAAGTGGCTCTTGCAAGAAGGCGAATATAATGTGTTCGTCGGGAGGAGCTCTAGGGATTTGCCCCTGACGGGTAATTTCAAGATATGATGTCTACCATCTCTTAACATATGACATTAGACTAGCCATTCTGTAACTATATACTCCATTGCATACAGGCTGCTTAATATCCCCCTAAAGTATCAGCGGTAAAGGATGTGCTGGTGTTTAAAGTATTCAATCGCCTAGGTACTATGTACCAAGGTCACAACAGTATTGTGCCAACGTTGAACTACACTTAAATACCTAGGTATGATAAATTCATCTGTTGTCCGAGAGCCGCACGAGTAAAAGCAGATTTCCGTCTCTTATACCTTTATCCATCACTCCTTCTTAGTGTGTTTCTGCGGGGCCTCTATTCGCGGGCGTATATTTCGAGTGGTTCAAGGCGCAGGCATAGCCAGTGCAGCCCAGCATGCAGCTTGACAACTTCCGTATGATGTGTTGCAAAGAATGATTGATGCAGGAGCTGAAGCACCCAGCGTCGCACCCCAAGTGAAGCCTGCAGCTGAATAGCAAGCCATTACGACAGCCGAGCAGCCTGCCTGGCATACGCCATACGCGATGGGTCCAGCTATGGTAGTAGCCGCGAACAAAGTAGAAGCAAGGAACTTAGTAGACTTCATCGTGTAGCTGAACGATATGGAGTACGATTCAATATTGAGGTTTTGTGATTTATTTTGGCCGTTTTCTGGGAAGTTGGGATGTGTATCCTAGACTGGGTTGTAGGTGGATGATCATCTCCAACTTACAAGAATAGGACGAGGGCAAGATTTATAGGTATGCCGTATCTACCTGATTACTAGGTAGTTTTGGGTAGAAATACTTGGGTTTCACGGAAATGGTGTTATTGGGCCACCTACCTCTTTCTACATCCAACGAGCGCATCACAAACACCTTGTTGCAGGTGCCTGAGGTCCATTGGCCCCACTAGGTCATATATTGTCACTCCGCCAGTGTAGTCAGGAATAAAGCAAGCTTTCTTCCTTTCATCTTTCTTCTTCTTGGTTGCAGTTAACCTGCAACCACCCGTTTATATGAGCACCCCCTGATTTTAATATACCTAACCTAGGTTAGTATCCAGGTACCGTCTTATTGGAACTTGCCATACTTCCAGGTTGTCATAAGCCTTGAAAGTCTATACCTGCATATATATTCTACAGTATTCAGAAGGTCTAACTTGCATCAAATATAAGATACGTGGCAAAGAGAAGTAAACTTAAGTATGTACTCCAAGTAACCTACTTTTGACTATGTGGATGGTGCCTCCACCCATCGATATTAATGCTGAGGCGTGGTCAGTACCTACTTTCTAAGTAATTTGGATCGGTCCCCTTACCTTTCACGAATGAAAAATGCTTCGTGGACCAATCTGGCCAAATTCCGTATTGGTTTTGGCGTTATCAGATGATAATCGTTAATACCTTCTGCTACGTTTTCCCCGTTGGTTGCCTGTTCGGCTCCTGCGTGACAATAATCAACTGCCATTGGTGTTTCACTGCCTAACCTACGTAGGTACCTGTAGAATCTGAAGACCAAGCCTCTCCTGAGAGCCAGAAGGAATGAAAAACCATACACCATCCATACTTGCGAAATGTAACAGCAAGTGTGGGGTATCGCACATCTTCAGCAGCGAGTCTGCAGGGCCGGGTGAGCTTATGAGTCTTGAACTCAACTTGTTTCTCATTAATTGAACTAACCTACAGGCTACCCCCACCCCAATAGGGCGCGGTACAACAGCAATGAATCGACTGTAGCCATCGATGTCCCGATGCATAGATTGTAAGAGAATAATGAATCGATATCAATGGCCGGGACGTAATAGAACCGAGTACCGCAAAGCCCTTCATATATTTTACTTTTTGTTGTAAGAGCGGGAATCCTCAAGCTGTGTAACCCATCGTTTTATTAGGAGACCACAATAGTGACAAAGACCGTGAGTGCGAAGATGTACACTCCCGAGAGTAGGCCACTTCGTTTCGTAGTCCCGCTTGGAGTCTCGCTTGGTGTTTCTGCGTCAGCCGTAGTCGCGTTGCCCTCCACAATAGCTATGCGGCCGTCTAGCTGAAAGTCAATCGGAGTAGTCTTTTGAATATGTTCCACCAGAACCTCCGCTACAGTGTCTAACGTGATTGTGTTGTTAACTGGCTCGAGAATGTTATCACCTCCGCCTGTAAGAAAATCGACGGTCACAATTGTGTATTCAGCCGTTGCATCAACAGGGGTGTTGCCGATATTCAAATGTACCAGTCGCTCGCCAACGGGATTGTCGGGGTTATACTCGACTTTGACACCCTGACTGACCTGGAAAAAGCTTGTAACATTTCGCTGATTGAACTGATTGACACCACTCACGACACCCTCAAAGATCTTCCACAGGTCCGCACCGCTATATTTGACCTCGACGACGGCATTGCCGAAGGGAAACGATGTCAATAATTGTCCACGGGTGATTGGCCCCGCGTCGATCGTGGCACGGATACCTCCGGCGTTCACAAGGGCAAACGCCACATTGCTGCCATTGTTGGTGCGATATTGCAACATTGCGCTAGATTCAAGGTTGTTAACCAGTTGCAAGATTATTGAGAAGGCTTTAACTCACTCGCAGACAAGATCCCCCAAAGTACATTCCTTCTTCTGACAACTACCGTCTAATACGATATTGGTGACCCCGATTTTCTCGGCAGCGAATTCTTCAAAGGGGCCTCTCCACTCATCGATCTGCGCTTGTAACCCCGCGTCTTGTTTGGTGGCATTCGTTATATGCACCGGAGCACCGTGATAGGCAAGAATCTTACCCTCTGGATCGTACGTAACATCAATGTAGCCCAGGTACTCGCCCCATCGGTAAGCAGTGACGATGAAAACCTCATCACCATCTTTGTTCTTCTCGATAGTAGGGTACTTGCCTTCGGCGCCCTCCATGTCTCCAAGGAGAGTGTGGCTATGGCCGCCCATGATGAGTTGAAGACCTGTAGTTTCTTGGGCTAGGCGTTTGTCTTCTTCGTACCCAATGTGAGTAATGGCGGCGATACGGGTAATGTTTGTCGTGCTTCGGATCTTGTCGATGGAGCCCTGTACGGCGGCAATGGCATCCGTGAACTTTGTGCTGTTGCCGGGATTGCTGATGTCCGCCGTCGTCTCGGTTGTCACACCAATAACTGCTAGCTGATACTTCTCGAAGATGTGGTACGGCTTTATCGTCGAATTCAGCTTCTCATTATCCGACACAATGTTCGCGGACACGATGGGAAAGGACAAATTCTTGAGAAAGTCGCCTAGCGGCTCATCACCGCCGTCAAATTCGTGGTTCCCCAATGTCATCGCATCGAACCCTAGCTGATTCATGGTCTCAGCGATTTTCTCCCCTCCGTAATATGTGTAAAAGAGAGTTCCCTGGAACTCATCTCCCACATTCAACCATAAGCTGTCAGGATGTTGCGGCCTTGTGCTGTCAATGATGGTTTTGATACGAGCGTATCCACCGTAGCATCCTTTCGACGGGTTGGTGCAGTCGGTGCCTGAAGCAGCGTACTGGTCCAAATGTGCATGCACGTCGTTGACGTGGTAAAATGAAATGTTATAATTGCCATCAGCATCAATAAATCGCTTCGATAGGCGCTTGCTGTATAGAGAAGCTTCCGCCGATGACACGCCAGCCAAACTTGCGGCAGCGAAGGAGAGAACCGGTAGAGTGGTACCAAAAATCATTGTCGCGCGACTCAATCTAACCATTGGTTTGTACACGTTCGATGCCTAGGTAGATAAAGGTGATCAAGACTGGACTGCGAAGCAACGCATCGTCAAGATTTCAAGCCAGGATGGGTGTTGCTTTTGAATGAGCCTTAAATCCCCGCCGTCAGAGGCGAGATCAACAAACGTTTAAAGTAGCGCAATTCTAACCTTTTCCGAGCCTCCTTCCTGATCTATCTATGGTTGATATGTAAGTCTACGATATGCTGATACCTATCTTGATGTGTAATACTATAATCGTGGGGCGCCAATACGGCCGGCCCAACCATACGGAGGATGCTAGCTAACAACTGGGTAGTAAAACCGAGAAGCCAAGTCCAGGGAGTATCAAAGATTCAACACTTCAATCGCAAGCCCAAGACGTTATCAAATTTGTAAATTTCATTGGCAAATGGGAGCTGAATCTTGATAGTGATGGCATCAGACAGATCTTGGCACATTCAGGGGTAGTTTGAGCTAATTGCTATATAACTAGCGGGGGATTCGCCCGAAGAATTTACGAGCAGCCCCTTTGGAGATCTTGTTTACCTAAGTATCACCATTGATTTCTCGTCAAGATTATAACCATGGAGCTTTATGAAGATTGACTTTGTAAATTAATTCGTCTGCTTGGACTGCGCTGAACATGTGAGGTTAGTTTTTTGTTCGTATATCCTGAGCAAAGAGGAAGTAGGTTTTCAGACGTCTCACCAATATGCTATTTATCTTACCTACAGTACTAGGTAGTCGTATCAGTTCCAATTGTAAGATGCCAAATGTCAACCCGTGAAGTTTGTAGGTAGGAACATCTACCGGATTTACTTAGCAATGATCTTCGCTGGGTTTTTGTCTCGATTTCTATTATTAAGTACAACGCGAAAGGTCCTAAACGGCTTCAGCCTCAAGAGGTCCTCTCCCATCGCCGATCGCATAATACTATTCATGTGATCGCATAGTCCGAGACGTGAGAAGTCGTGCTTCTTTTACGTTGCTTGAGTGAATGAGTTAGATTGGTACTATGTAGGTTGACGGTTAAAATAACTTAAGTACTTTATACATACATTAGGTAGGTATATCTACATGTGTTTAGTACATATGTATATAATAAGTGACACTGGAGGCGTTCAATGTGGGACACCACTGAAAGATACCTAGTTACATAGGTAGGCAGTTATGTAAGCGTCCAGGTGGTTGGGCTGCTATTACCTAGCAGGTGCACATGTCTTATCTATTGGAAGACAGCCGTTCTCGCGCCTGGACCCATGGTGGCCCGGTCAATGCAATTTCAATTTCTTGTGCTTCGTACGAGGGCAGCATTGGCCTCTCCTCTCGGGATAGCTAACTTCGATAAGCTATCATGCAAGTGGCTGGTCGCACGTCATTCTGAACATGAGATAGTTATATTCATCTTTGCTTATCCTTATCCGATAAGATGCAGTACACTGGTCGTTTCTACTTGCCGCATTAATGATACATAACTATGTACATGTAATTAACTACATGTTCGGCTAATATTCGGTGATGCTGTGTAGTTAGATACAAACTTCAATGTTGATGGCCCCTGAAAAACTACTATGTAGGTACACTAATGTACCGGACGAAATAGTGTTCTGGAACATCTTTAGCTTGTGCGATAGCCGACCGGCATACTGGATAGTTGAACGCGCTTGTTGAAACAGGTGTAAGGAGGCGCAGCTCTGTTGTAATACGAATTGGCAGTTTTACTCGGGCGAGGGACCATGAGATTTACTGGGCCTGGATGAGTCGATTGTGAGGATGTAGATGAACCCAAGTGCCCCCCTGTTGATCACCTCAAACTCCCCCCATTTTGGGACGACGACTATACCTCATTCGGACAGGCACTTGGGCTCAACTGTTTTTTTTGGCACTTGGGTTCAACTTTTTGTCTCTTAAGGTTTATTTTTTCAAAAACGAAAAAATCATAATTAATTATTAATTAATTATAAACATAACTTTAAAAAATAATTTTAAGTTTAGTATTCTATATATTTTAATTTTAATTTAATTAATTATTAATTGATTTGTAATCAATTATAAATCAATCCTTAATTAATTCTTATTTAATTATTAATTGATTAAAAACAAATTGCTATCGGAGGCTTATCCGCACCCTAGTACATAGCGCTGGTCCGGGCTCTCCAGCTAGCCTCTAACATACTATCCTTAATAACTTTTCCTTCAATGGATGCATTTTAATGCAACCAGTATCATTAGAACCGCCTCAATCGGCGCTTCCAAATGATATATGTTTCAAAGAAACGCGACCGGTGGTTGCGAAGTTATTTGGGGTTGAATGAAGCAAGTACTTTTAACGCTAGCCGAGGGTTATCACGTGATCCAGGTTCCGATTACAGATGTATCTTTTTTCAGGTGCTTCTTAATCTTTAAATTTAAATAACTTCAGATTCAGATATCGCATCAATCTGAAACATATATTATTTGGAAGGTCTAATTGAGGCGATTCGAATGATATAGGATGCACTAAAGCGGCAGCTTGGGCTGATGATGGATTGTGTGGTTTTGGGCAGATTGAAGCTTTGAAGCTTGGGCTAGCAAAACTCAAAAAATAAGACTCGAAAGTTCAAATAATCAGGTGGGCCCCTGTAAAGCATGTGGCCAATTACAGCTCGCTAAACTCCGGATTTTCGTGTGACCGAGCCCCATTCTGGGTGGGCTTTATAGCGGGACACTAGGCCTAAAATGGGGGGAGTTTGAGGTGATCTACAGGGGGGCACTTGGGTTCATCTACCTCCTGGTCGATTGTAGCATTACGAGTCACGTTGAAAAGGATGAGATGATGGCTTGTTTGGTTCCTTTTAATTGATATGTTTATTTTTGAACAATACCTAAACGCTACATATTCAAGGACCTTGGGCCAAGATACTTAAGAAGGTAGTATTTCCTAGTATGATTGGAGAAGGAGGAAGGATCTCGGTTCCCATTAACTACATTAGTACATTTTTACCTACCTAGTTACTAGTACCTACATGTAGTACCCTATAGATAGTTATGTATTGTACATACAATAGGTACTAGGTTAGGTACCTAGTAGTATCCAATTGTCAAGTAGTTATCGTACAACTACAATACAACTTTAAACAATCAAGTCCACGAATCCCAAGTGCTTGTATTGTATGGATACTCACATGTGGTGGTAAATCCTTTGATAACGATCTCGGTAACCAATCAAGTACTTCGGCCGACATTCGCAGTCTACAACATAGCTTCAATATATTGAAATACAAACTTACATACAAGCATACATAGTTGTACTATTCAAATTGATGTAGATGGCGCTTCCGCCTTATTATGTAGCTAAAAGCCTATTTAGAGTTCATGCAGGGGCTTTCTTGACAGTTTTATGATTTACATGTAGTAGGTACTTCGTATGTTGCAGTGGTATGCTGGTATGCTGGTATGTAAATGCCATACTATGGCCATCCATTTAACCAATTTGCGACCCTCCCTAAACCCCTGATCTCCCAACCAACTTCTTTCCTATTAAAGTGTTGCCACCTTGATCTTTCTTTGCATTGATAACTATCCCGGCCTCCTAGAATGCAAAAACCTGTTTAACTTTTGTTGAATCTCGTTTCTCGCCTATCTTGTGCTATTCCCATCCTTGATTTCCCTACAAGGAGTCGCCTAATAATTGTTCGGAAAAGAATACGCTACTCGTCCTACACAACCACATCCCAAGTTACCACGATATCGCATTGTCCAGATTGGAGATACACTTCCCCCTTTCCCCTAGATTAGTTGATCTACACATACGCGTCGGATCGGATCCAGTTCTCCACAACGCTCCACAACGCTACAGATCTCATCCCATTCTAGTCGCCTACAGCCCCACGCCCAAGACAGATAGACCAAGAGCTCTCCCCTGGGTTCCCTTGCATTAAAACTTTAAAGAAAAGCCGTCTACCTAGTTTTGTCGTCCGTATTGGTTTCCATTATCTCGTTTGCTTCACTTTTTTCTTTTGGTAGCAGGACTTCCATACTCGACGTATCTATTCCGGCAATCGAACCTCTGCGAGGCATATCACGAACATGAACTTCACCAAGAAATTTGACCGTGCCTTCCAGTGGGCCGGTGAGAAAATTGGCCATGAGGCAAAAACTAGCCATTCTGATGAGTTTAGGAGTTTAGAGACTGAGATGGCTCTGAGGCACGAGGGTATGTGCTTCTTGGTGTTATCATCGATCATGTCTTTGCTAACATTGTTCTGTAGGCTACGACCGTCTCCAGAAATCCATGAACGCGTATGTCAAGTCGCTATCTCGCCGGGGCGAAGCTTTCGAAGATAAGGAGAAGGGTTTACCAGTTAGCTATCTGGGTCGGACAATGATCAGCCATGGCGAAGACTTTGAGCCAGACTCAGAGTTTGGCACTTCCTTGATTGGTATGCTTTTTTCCCCTGGAGATACCCCCCGAAGGGAAGAATTTCAAGGTCGCTGATATGTAGTGATGTGACAGCTATGGGTGGAGCCAACGAACGTATTGCTGGGATCCAGGAGACATATATTGCCCACGCCACGTCGAACTGGTTAGAAGGTTTGGAGCGTTCATTGGCAATGATGAAGGAATATCAGGTTTGTCACCTACGTATGTCTTCTTTGGCCCCAGGCTCGCCTGCTGACATTTCCACTCCCAGTCCGCTCGCAAAAAGCTTGAGCATCGTCGTCTTACATACGACTCGAGCATGGCTAAGATGCAAAAGGCCAAAAAGGAGGATTTTCGGCTTGACGAGGAACTTCGAACAGCGAAGGCCAAATACGAAGAATCCTCTGAGGACGTTCTACGCCGCATGCAGGATATTAAGGAGGCGGAAGCTGATTCAGTTCGTGACTTAACAAGTTTCCTCGATTGCGAACTCGATTATTATGAGCGGTGCGCCGAAGAGCTTCGGCGAGTGAAACAGGAGTGGGTTGCTGGCTCAACCCAGGTGCCAGATTCACGTTCTCGGATATCCAACAGAAATAACAGCACGGATCGCACTGAGCGATGGGCGAGCCGGCAGGATACCTACGGACAGGACGACCCAACACCCGAACCTGTACGCATGCCTATTCGCTCCAGCCCATTTCGTAGCAATGAAGCTGTTACTTCTGAAGTACGACCAAGTATCAGTCGCTCTACTACTCATGATTCAGGCTCTGCACCAAGACGACCTTCGACCAGAGAGCCTCTTCCTCCTCCATCCGAGGTGGTACGGAGGACACCTACAGCACCAGCAGTAGAAAGCCTCCGCAACAATCTACGACCAGTCAGCAAAATCCAGACGAACCAAAACCTGAGCCCTGATGTGTACGTAGATGATTACGACACAACAACTAGTAGTGGAAGCCCAGAGTATGACCGAAGTGAGAGTCCTGCAACAAGTTATGGAAGTCTCAGTCGCAGCGCAAGCAACAATGGTTTGCGTACGATAGCTACAACAGGAACTGTGAAGAAGGCTCCTCCTCCACCGCCACCAAGCAGAGCTAAGAAGCCACCGCCACCTGTCCCCGCAAGAAGAGAGGGAGGGTACTAATAGATTGACATGCCAAATCTTTAACTCGACTCTCCCTTGTATCAAAAATATTAAAATAGCAGGACTCTTGCTTTGAACATAGACGATGCGAATATCATGGCTGAAGTGTTGGGTGGGCAATATGTCTCATTCGTCGTCCCAGAAGACTTTTTTTTTCACCGCGTGGCGTTAGGCGTGTTTGTATACTATAGAATACGTGCCTAGTGGATGCATTGTGACAGACTGCCTTTGGGAAACGACTCGTTGAAAAATATATTTATGGGCTGGCTCCTTTGAGCTTACAATTTTATATCCGCTTTAATTTAGGTGCAAATTCGTGGCCAGGTATTATACTATAAGTAAATGCTAGGAATGTTTACGCCAATAGATTCGTCAGCTTCATTCCCCCTTAATGCATCGCATTGCTGGACTATAAGGGTGGGTCGAGTCCCCCGGTCATTTCTGTATCTCGGGTCACTGATAGCGGGCGATGTATCGTAAGGGGGGGAGGGATTCGGAAATTTAGCAGTTTTTGGAGCAACGCATACGTAATGCTGTGCCCGTCTTCTAGATGCACCTATTCCTACTTTTCGAAACTTCATAGCCACGTTAACGGTAAATTTAATTACCGTGAACCAAAGCAATTGCTTCCTATACGATACTCCTGTTCATAGCAAAAAAATTTATCCGTCAATCTGATTAATACTTGCTAGCTGTCGTATTGTCTAGACGCCTCATCCCTAGTAGCTGAACGTCACATGAGATTATGCCTAGACGTCATCCCCTCGTCGATGCTACCTAACTACGTTTTAAAAGATCCAGGCCATCTTCCACATCGACGCCAAAATTCCGTACGGATATCCGTCCGACGACGGCAGTCGCATCCGGAGCCACATATCCACGAATAGTTCATGTTCTTGAACACGGCCGACCAGTTATGAGCCCCACAGCACACGAGGCCAGACCCCACAGTACGCGAGGCCTTCATAGCTGAAGCTAGTGTGTGAGGCGGAATCCTCTATCAAGATGTCACTATAGCATCACTCAAAGGTGGTATAATTAGATACTTGTGGATTATATCCAACCCATGCAATACAACTCTCTTAGCGGATAATTCAGGTCGAGGCTCCGCCAATGTTCCCTCAAATAGAACAAAAGCACATGATAGGGGATAGAATGAGGAACATAAAGATGGCCTTGATGGGTGTACAAAATTCGAAAAAGAGAAGAGACAAAATCAAAGTCGTTGTTTGCAGGATATTAAGCCTCTAGGTCACGATTTACCTTTTCTACTCACTTCAAGTCTCAAGACGGGCAAGCTTTGCTTCGTCCTTGGTTTTCCACAATTCAACTCTAGTTCTCACCGTAATTCAACTCGTTACATCATGTTTCTCTTAAAGCTTCCAGTTCTTGTTTTGTCACTCTTGTACGGTACTGCTGTGGCGTCACCATTTTCACCATCTGTCAGTCTGCATCCTCGAGCAGCATGCGACGGAAATACAGCAACAACCAGAAATGAGTGGTGCGATTACTCCGTCGACACCGACTACATGACAGTAGTTCCGGACACAGGAGTGACTAGAGAGTACTGGCTAGAGCTTACCGACGTGACCGTCTCACCAGACGGAGTTAGCCGTAGCGCGATGGCCATAAACGTGAGTGCAACTATCAATACTCATTGAGCTACTGCTAAGCATTTCAGGGCACGATTCCAGGACCAACATTATTTGCAGACTGGGGTGACACTGTGACTGTTCACGTTACCAACTCTCTTTCTTCTTCTAACAACGGCACATGTGAGTATTCTCCTATAAATATGAAGTCATTCTTCTCAGACAGCTAATAATATAGCTATTCATTTTCATGGAATCCGTCAGAACTTCACCAATCAGAATGACGGAGTTAGCTCTATAACTCAATGTCCAACAATCCCAGGAGATACTGCCACCTACACATGGAGGGCAACACAGTATGGCTCTTCGTGGTATCACTCACACTTTGCGCTCCAAGCATGGCAGGGTGTTCTTGGAGGTATAGTAATCAACGGCCCAGCTACGGCGAATTATGATGAAGACCTAGGTATTTTATTTATCTCGGACTGGGATCACTCTACGGTAGACGAACTATGGGACACAGCACAAACAGACGGTCCTCCAGTTTTAGAGACGGGGCTCATCAATGGTACCAATGTCTGGGATAATGGTGGCTCGAGGTTCGAAGTATCCTTTACGTCCGGAACTTCGTATCGATTGAGGATCGTCAACTCCGCTCTCGATACTCACTTCAAGTTTTCGATTGACAACCATACCATGCAAGTCATAGCATCTGATCTTATACCAATTCAACCGTATAATACGACTGTGCTTAACGTTGGTATCGGTGAGTAAGATCATCGTCTCTATTTTAATATAATACTAACTAGCTATGAAGCTCAACGTTACGATGTCATCATAACGGCTGATCAGTAAGTAACTTCGGCGTTAGATTCTCTCGTTGCTCTTTCGAGTTCTAGCTAATATTTTATAGAGCATCGGTGGCGGATAACTTTTGGCTACGAGCCGTTCCTCAGTCTGCTTGTGCGGAGAACGGAAATGCAGATGATATTCGTGGCATTGTGACTTACGCGGATGTCTCATCCACACCAACAACCAGCGGCTACAATACCACAGAGTTCGGGGATTCTTGCGATGATGAGACCTCTAACCTAGTTCCATACGTTAGCAAGACAGTAGGAAGTGCTGGATCCTTCACCAACGAAGAGGCTAGCATTGCAATTATCAATAGTCTCTTCCGGTGGACTTTGAACAGCACTTCTATGCTGGTTGATTGGGCAAACCCGACTCTCGCGCAGGTCATCGATGGGGTAACTGAATTTGAAACCGACGACTCTGTTATATCACTACCAACCGCCAATGAATGGGTATATCTGGTAATCCAAACCGACCTTGCTGTGCCTCATCCGTAAGTATCTTATCCCTCTCACTTTATTTCAACCAAGGAGAATGATTCGATACTAATGAATTAGTATCCATCTACACGGCCATGACTTTTTTGTCCTCGCCCAAGGAACTGGCTCATATAGTACTGACATCACTCTGCAAACGGACAACCCGCCTCGCCGAGATACAGCGATGTTGCCCCCTGCTGGGTATCTAGTTATGGCTTTTGAGGCAGACAACCCTGGTGTTTGGCTTATGCACGTAAGTTAACCCCAAAGACTCCTTATCCCAATGAATAGCACGACACGCTTGTGTCTGAATTTCAAGCATACCCTTCCCTAGATATTCAAATGGCTAACATGAAACTTAAAGTGTCATATCGGTTGGCATACAAGTGAGGGCTTTGCATTGCAATTTGTAGAGAGATACGACGAAATTGCAAACATAACCGATACTGACACCCTGACCGACACTTGCTCAAGTTGGTCAGCATTCCAAGCTTCTGAGGGCATCGAGCAAGGGGACTCCGGAATTTAAGGGTAATATTAGGCTCAGGCACTGAATCTAACATGGCAAGGGCGTAGGTTTATTTTGCCCTATTATATTTTATAGTAAATCCCTAGGAATAGGTGCATCGTAGATGCCTCTTCATGTACGAAATCGAGCTTGGAAGGGATGGGACCTAGTTCACCACAAATTGCACCTAGTTAAGGGGATGGGACTATTTCTGTATATTGGCATTTTCTGGATATAGGTTAGGTACTTGCAGATATATTTATCATGCTTTTTTTTGTTACATAAGTTGCCACATATATGCGAATGATACATATATAAAGGCATAAATCATTGCAGGCAAAAGTACAAATGAGACCCCGCGAGTGTATGCCTGGCAAATATAGATTATATATGGCAGTCCGTCAGTTCTTAACTCAACAGTAGGTTGGAACGGTATCGACGTAAAAAAATAATAAACCCTGGAGTTCAGATTCGCCCTACCAGCCAGAAACAATAAAAGCTACTGAACCAGCGACACCAAGTGCGATAGTTACTGAACCACGAAGCTTTTTCGCCAAAGACGCGGGAGGCTCGCTGCCAGGCTCTATGTTGTTCGCCCGGATACATGACAGCTGAACCTGAGGAGAAGAATCATTCGGCGCGTTTGCTCGTACGTTCCATCCCCACGTAGTTAAGACAGGCCAGACTTGGCGAGTCGCGTTGTCCCAAGCTGTCTCGTTTCCAGCGTCATGGCCATCTGAAGCCGTGACAAACACTTCTGTTCCATTGACAGAGCTCAGTGGAAACTCTGCGTCTCGTGTAAGCATTTTGATAGCTGAGGGATAAAAAAGAAGACAAAGAAAAGAAAAAGAAAATTGAGTAGGTAATGGGTATTACGAACGTTGAACTCCGAAATTGGCAGTATTGACCAAGCTTCCGCAACTTGATGGCGTTGATGGCGGAGTTCCATAGCAATCTTGATTCCGGGAAAACTTATCTGCATATGCCTGCTGCAGATCGGTAATGCATTGTGATGAAAGAAAACTGCATGTGCCATCTTCTGAGGAATCATCCAGTGGACCATTTGGGATTACCGCTACGCATATTTTCCATGTGGTATTATCAAGTGCTGCCTGGTCTGAGAAGGATTCTTGGATAGTGTTGGGCGCTCTGAGAAAGATGCTGGTACCGGTGAAGGCTCTACCAGTTCCATTGGTTGGGTTCAGTGTCTGAGAGTCTGGTATGTCACGGCTGACATTCAAAGAGAGCGTCCAGCCGTCTACTTGCTGGCTTGGCCACCTTTGTGAAAGGTCAAAGCCGGTCACTGATGAACTACCAGTTGCATTCGGCTGGGCAAGTTCACGCTCCCAAGTTTCCCTATCAAACTGCACGGCATTGCCCGTCACCAAGATCCCACCCGTCGGCCATCCTGGGAAGGCCTCAACTCTCGCATAGAAGGCAGATAGGAAAATGACTTCAAGTAGCATATGCATGGTGAGTGTGGGGAGTAATGGTATTAGTACATCGATGGAGTTTCGCTTGATGGTCACCGTAGAATAGAATGTTTGAACGGAGAAAAATAGAGTCGAAATCAAGCCGGAGCTTTGATCTAAAAAGGGAGACCAATGTAGTGTGATGACGCAGCCAGTTTTATTTATATGTATCTTGAACTACTCCTCGGGTTGTACCTGTGATTGATATCCTTGTTTCGATGATCGATCTCATGATCATGTACCCTGAGGCATTGGTTGGCAGAGGACGTCGGAAAGCGGTGCGGGGACAACCCCTGAACACAGCATTGTCTATTTTGCGATCCCTTAATATATCCTGGACCAAATTCTGTCATTCAATTGGCCCCGATGAGTTTGTATGAGTTTGGGCTTCGAAAAGAATCAAGTAACAACTGAATTTTAGTAGTTACCTACCTAACCTAGTACCCATCAAGCCATATGTCTCGGTGCCTTGGTGGTCGAGTCTCGTGAACATGCCGAGACAAGCTTTCGGTATCTTTCTCACACCCCCTTTTCTTGTGAGCTGTTACATCGTGGCTAGTCAAGTAGGACAAAGCCCTACACACATAAGACAATAACCAACACCTCTGCTTTTCAGTTTTATTTAATATATCTTACCAATAATTTATACCAATAGAACATCCCGTAGCCATCTGAGCCTCTATGAGAGCCTATAAAATCTAACGGATTGATTCTTTTGCTTGATGGATGATCTTGGCGAACCTTTGAACCGCGTCGACTAGCACCTCTTCTTCATTCCATGCCCAACATAGCCTGGTTCCTCGCTTGTAGGTCATTTCTGCCCTTTTGAGACTTTCAGGGTCTCCTTGAACGGCGAATATTACGCCAGGTGCAATGTCCAGTGCGTATTCATTCTTGCCAAGACGAACAATGTCCATGACTTCGGGAAATGTGTCATCAGTCGGGTACTCTATATATAGGAAAAACCCGCCTGCCAGCATTGTTTGGGTATAATTGCCCTCTTCATCTTTGACGGCAATTTCGTAAGGAACTCCTGTCGAGATTTTGATCCCCAGTGGATAGAGATAGGTCTTGATGGCTTTGACTAGAGCATTATATCTTTTTCGATAGATCGGAATCAGTACGTCGTTCACATGTTGTTCTAGAATCCCCGACACCAACATGTGGTCTATCAGGAAAGAGGTATACTGTGACTGGCAACCTCCAGAACTCGTGGGCCCGCTAGAATTATCATTAATATTACCTTAAGTACCTAGTATGAACTAAGAAGTGTGGCTTGCTCATATTACTTACTACGAAGAAATTGCATAGATAAATCTAGGCATTGCCTCACACCATCCAACCCGCAGACCTGGCGCGACCAACTTCGAGAAAGACCCATTGCTTACGGCATTGCCCCATTCACTCGTTCCGGGCATCTGGCGATCAAGATCTATCAGTCTCGGAGGTAGGTCTAAGCCCTTGTGAGAAAGGTTGTTATCGGTTGGCCAGGCCAAAAAGTCATAGACGTCGTCCGCGATCAGAAGAATATCAAATTTGCGTGCCAGTTCCACCAACACTTTGCGATGATGCAATGACATTACCTTGCCACTAGGATTGGATAGTGTTGGAACCATATACAAAACATATTTATAGAGCTTTTTGTACTCGTGGTCAGGAAGCTTCACTCCGATTTCTGTGCTAGCATGCTTGGACTCTTCTTCGTCAAGTCTGAGTTGAAGAAACTCTATACTAATTCCTTCATTGTCTTCGGGAATCCCCTGCATCTTCTGCCCAAAGCCTGCGTCGAAGAAGGATGGAGCTGCGAGGAAGTAGGTTGGATCTACAAGGAAGATGCGACGTGTGTACAACGGGTCAGTGAATTTCTGTAAGATTGCGGCGAGCCCCCCCGAAGCTCCATTCGTAATAATGGTGCGCTCCCGGGTCACGGGGCCAGAAGAAGGCCGATATTTCTGGCTGAGCCAAGTAGCGACATGTTCGCGAATTTCGTCTTCGCCATGGTCCGGCCCATATGTCAAAGCGCAATCGGATTTCTCGGGTTGAGATAAGATGATTTGAGAGGCCGCTGCTAATTTTTCTGCAGCTTGCAAGCGCGGCGATGGTCGGCCGATGAGAAGATCAATTGGCTCCATGGTTGAGAGTGAATTCAAGTTAGAAGTATTCCTAGTATTCCTAGTATTCCTAGTATTCCTAGTATTCCTAGTATTATTAGGTGACGAGGGGTAAGTTTGGGATGACGAACGTATAACACTCCTACTTTCGGAGTTGAAGACGCCGAGTTCAAATGTCGATTTAAGCTAACCTACATAAATAGTAGGTCAATTTGTACTATGTAATAATAATTACTACGTAGCACCTAATATCAACATGGAAAAGAGCAAAATCAGACGGTCCCACACCAAGACAAGAGAAAAGGACGTTAGTTCTTAGAGCTAGTACGATAGTGTTAAAGTGCCCCTGAGTCCAATCGAAATGGAGTCAGGGACTTATTACTTTAAGTGTCCTACCTAAGTGTTTGACATCAATGATGCTTCTAGAGTTCGAGAGAAACGTATGTATCATTCAAGCGAATGGACTCTAAAGGATATATCTACCTAATGTTATGTCAAATTGCCAGAAGAGGCCCACGAGTTCACTAACCGCATATGCTTTTTTGGCTGTACAATACACTACCCATATAGCCCTACACTTATCGCATAGGTGTGTTCAGTGTAGTTTATCGGTACTCTTTAATAGTTATCCGTTCCTTTTTCTCATGCATCAGTTTCAGGCCTCGAGATCTTTGGGTATTAGAATATTTCACCTTCGTAAAGTCTAAAAGCTAGCTCAGAACCGACTAACTGCCCAGGGGAATATAATAGGTATCATAGATTAATAAATGGCGAACACAAGGTGACTGGCTGGGATATTTCCTTACTATCCACCTCCAGCCCCAAGCTTCCGGTGATGAGAAAGGTGGTGAACAGGTATTAACAACTAAGATAATGCTGAAGCCGAGAGCCCTATCTATGCATGTACTTCATCACCTCATATCAGCGCCCTGGTTCGGGTCTAGAAGTTGTTGTGATTGATGCCCACCCTCCAGCGCTGGTGCTAGATCTCCCGGAGTAGGCTGGCTCCCCAGTTCCTCCATAACACCCTCATCTACACCTTTCCCCTCTACTACGCTCAGCACATTCATAAGCTGCCTCGCGCCCTCCGGCCACCTGACAAGCCCTGCGTCCTTCTTTCTCCCCCTGACATCAGTATCAGCTTCAACATCGTAGCTCGGTACTTCACCTTTCAATATTAGATCCACACTGATCCGATCTACCCCATAAAACACTGCATTCGCATCGCCCCTTTGTGCGATTACCGTTCCATCGACTTGTACGCCACCGTAGAGCCCTCGGCTCTTCATATAACTCCAGACTGGCTTCACGCTCTTCCCAAATGCAAGCTCCACGTTACCCCCTGTCCCCACTGGGCCCGCCACGACAGCAATCTCCCCTCCCAGGCTTACCCGTGGCTTTGTGAACGCGCCGACAGCCGCTGAAGTATTGAGCACGCACACGCAATCGTAAATGTCCATGCCAGCCATGAGACCTGCGCCGATCGTATGAACAAGGAATCCAGCTGGCGGGGACCAGGAGCCGTCGGGCAGGCGCGCCACGACAAGGCCCGAACCACCTGCGCCAGATATGTGAAAACCGGAGCGGAATGTGGTGAAAATAGCAAGACCCTTCGCGTTGACTACCACGGACTGCGGGATTTTGACCAAGGCTTTGGATCTTCCGCCAGAGCTTGGGGATGGGGATCTAGATCTGGAGGTGGCGGGACGATTGGGAGATGAGGAACGTGAGTGGTTCGGTGACGACGAAGTCGTGGTACGGAAGCCGTCTCCTATAGATGGGAATATACTGTTAATATCTCATTTGCTTCTATGTGCCAGACAAATTTCTGGGAAGAGAAAGCGGTGAACCAACTACAGAAGCTCTTGAGTATCCGCGCGGCCTTGTCACATTCCTTGTCCATTGTAGAAGGCCAGAATGCTTCTGACCCAAGCTTGTTGGTCAGCTTGTTAATCGGTACGCTAGCCTTGACACCCCATTCATAAAGCTTGCGACTAAGGCCCATGCTAGTTTTTGATGAGGTCCAAGTTGATGATTTCCCGTCCATAGACGCATTGGAAAGCGAGGACCCTGCTAAAACGTCCGCCGACTGTGTTCTTTGTGGTGGGCCGTTACATGATAATGACGAAGGATACTGGCCCGGTTGGTTTGGTTTGACGTGAGCCAACGCGGGCGTATCGCCCGGAAGCTCTGCATAGTAAACAACTTCCTCTCCCGGAAGGGGGTTGTTTGTTGGGTAAAAATGTGTATCCCCCGGGAGCTCAGCGTAGAAAGTTGGCGTCTCGCCTGACTGAGATGTCTGATTTGGGTGCGCGCTCATTGCTTGAAGACTCCGGATATTTATAGCGAGCTGGCTGTCACAGTATATTAGAGAGATAACTAGGAAGCTCCTCCAAGGGAACAGCACGAAATCATTTTAGATGAGCTAGTGAGCGGTGTGAGTGATGTTGTAAGCAGAACACAGATGCCGTAAAATTCAGCCAGATTTTACAATCTATGGCTCAAACACCACGCCGTTGGGATTTCATTGGACGATGGGGAGAAATACCATCATAGCTTATCGAAATCACGGATAAGTGGCCCATGTTATTCATACATACCTTACCTAGGTACTTACCTGGGTACTTAGTGGAGAAGATCGATTTGCTATCACGAAAGGAACCAGGGACGTCTTCGTAGGGGTATATGATGATTGCAGCATCTCACATTATTGTCTATTTCGGCTATGGCGACACGCGTTGGCCACAACCAACCTCATACCCTCCAACTATCTAAGATTACAAGTACAGACCTTCGGGCTCGCCCTCTTGCTTGGTACGAAGTACTCTTTCTCTTGCTGCCCTGAAGTCGGCCATCTGCACGCGCATGCGGCGCTCCCGTAGAGCCATCAACCCAGCTTCGGAGCATATAGCCTTGATGTCGGCACCGGATAAGTCATCTTTCTGGCTAATAAACTCGTCGAGGTCAACATCCTCATTGAGGCTCATCTTGCTCGTGTGGAGATTAAAAATCTTGCGCTTGGTGTTCTGGTCCGGGTTCTCGAAGAGGATCTTGCGATCGATTCGGCCGGGTCGGATTAGAGCAGGATCAAGAGTTTCAATCTTGTTGGTTGCCATGATAACCTTGACATCGCCACGATCATCAAAACCGTCGAGTTGGTTGAGTAGCTCTAACATGGTTCGTTGTACTTCACGCTCGCCACCCGACGTCGAATCGTAACGTTTCGTACCGATGGCGTCGATTTCATCGATAAAGACGATGGATGGGGCATTCTCGGCAGCGACCTATAGCACATAGTCAGTATAAAGATAACTAAAAACTATAGAGGATAAAAAAAAATCGTACTTGGAATAGTTGTCGGACGAGACGTGGACCGTCACCCAGGTATTTTTGAATGAGCTCACTTCCGACAATACGTAGAAAAGTAGCCGAGGTTTGGTTTGCGACAGCTTTAGCCAGCAAGGTCTTGCCGGTACCTGGGGCACCGTAGAGAATGACACCTTTGGGTGGTTTGATGCCCATCTCCTCGTACAGCTCAGGGTGTAGGAGAGGCAACTCGACGGACTCCCTCACTTCCTGAATTTGTTGTTCCAAGCCACCAATATCAGCGTACGACTCGGTCGGGGCCTTGTCTAGCTTCATGACATTGACGGCCGGGTCGGTATCATCGGTAAGTACTCCGACAATGGATACACTCTTGTGGTGTAGTAAGACGGAGGCGCCAGGCTCGAGCAAGTCCTTGTCCACGAAGCTCATGATACTCACGTAATACTCGGGACCTGTTGTACTAGACACGATAGCATGGTCGTCATCGATCATTTCTTCGAGGGTACCGACGCCCATAGGGCTACCACGCATGTCGTCGACACGACCACGCTCATCGGCCATTCGGTCAATAGCATCGAGGTCGGGGGCGGGGCCGGTGTTGTCCTTTGCGGCCTTGGCCTTTCGAAGGCGCTCCTGGTTCTCGACAAATTCCTCTTCGAGTAGCAAATGATCATGGATGCGTTGCATTCGGAGCAGGCGAAGCTTGCATCGACTTGTCGGGTAGACGGCGGGAAGCTTGGCGGCGGCAGAGGTACCAGCAGCCTTTCTCTTCTTACGCCCAATACGAGTGGTAGGGCGGGGAGGTGGTTCGTACTTGGGATTTTCCTTCTGTTTGATATGATACGGGTTAGCACAGGCTTAACATGAAAAGAAATGTCGTGAACCCGAAAAAGATCGCTCTGTAGACGTATGCGTACCTTCTTGTCTTTATCCTCCTTGCCATCTTGACCGGCACCACCCATTCCAGATTGGTTTTGGCCCTATATAGCAGATCAGTACCGTTCATACGCGTTTAGGTATAGCTACAATGCTCAACTCACCATGTTGACAAGCTATCAATCGCAAAGCGATTGTCAAATGCTACTTCTAAAATAGAGGGACCCTGCGCAGGCCAACAGAATGTTTAATGATGGGCCAAGTGTGGTAGTGATGATAGAAATAGAAAGTGGATGAATAAATCAGCCTTGGAATGATTGAAGTTGAAATTGCGGTTACAAGCTCAATCGTTGTTGCTTCAAGTTGACAGCCTCATAGCCGTAGCACTAGCGGCTGATAGATTAGGCTTCAAAAGGGAAACGCGTGCATCGTACTGTGCCTACCTAGTAGTTAGATTATGTAATACTTGAAGTGCATGTACGGTACTGCATAGTACATACATAAGTACATAGTACTCCGTAGATAAGCAGTAGATAAGCAGTAGATAAGATCTAAAGTGCCACATGCCCACAAGCTCGGTGAACATAACCATGAAAAGTCGGATTGTATCGGGACGGAAGCATGTGGCCAGTGCATGCGCATCATATTTACCGGGGTACAGCCACTGAACCACTGGTTTTGCATGCGGCATTACATGTAACTACGATGTGCAACGGTTTCAATTAACTTTTTGGCATTTGAGAAGCTTCAACAATTTTTTTTACAACCCTCCTTTCACCAACATCTCATCATACCTACCAGGTACTACCTCCCACTAGAAAGCTCTTCATTGTCGGAAGCTTCTTCTACAGCTTCCCATAGGTCAATTGCTTCGACATGCAAGCTTTCTCTAGACATCTGCGTCCTGGCGCTGCTGTCCTGCGCCAGGTCTCTCGACGAGCGTACAGCTCTACCACATCCCCTTACTCCCAGACCATCAACAACCTGCGCATCAACTCCGACACCAAGGTTATATTTCAAGGCTTCACTGGAAAGCAGGGAACGTAAGCGTCACCCTTCCCCATGCGAGGAGACCACAGGTCCCCATTATAACTATATGATTCGCATGTCTTAAAACTAACACAGGTATTATAAATATAAAGACTCACAACTGACCCTTGAATACTTTTAGTTTCCATGCTCAGCAAGCCATTGAATATGGTAAGTATCCCAGGCGGCCTTCTACAGATGTGGGAAACTTTAGTCTAATCGAACTTTTACGAATAGGTACCAAGGTTGTCGGGGGCACAAACCCCAAAAAAGCTGGTCAAGAGCATCTCGGTCTCCCTGTCTTCGGAAATGTTGGTGAGGCTGTGAAGGCCACAGGTGCGAACGCCACCGCTATATTCGTGCCGTAAGTGTTCAGATAAGCAAGATTCAGAACATAATGCTGACTATGATTTTGCAGTCCTCCGTTAGCCGCCGCCGGTATCGAGGAAGCCATCGCTGCCGAAATCCCCCTCGTTGTTTGCATCACCGAGGGTATTCCCCAACACGGTACGTTTCTATTTAGAACGCCTTATCCCTAGTACCGTTGATTAATGGATTCCTAAAGACATGGTTCGAATTACCGATATCCTCAAGTCACAGTCTAAAACCCGCCTCGTTGGTCCTAACTGCCCTGGTATCATTGCGCCCGGCCAATGCAAGATCGGCATCATGCCCGGTTTTATCCACAAGCGCGGTCGCATCGGCATCGTCTCTCGTTCTGGTACCTTGACCTACGAAGCCGTTAACCAGACCACCCAAACCGGTCTCGGTCAGTCGCTCGTCGTTGGTATTGGCGGCGACCCTTTCAGCGGGACCAACTTTATTGACTGCCTCAACGTGTTCTTGAAAGATGAAGAGACGGATGGCATCATCATGATTGGAGAGATTGGCGGATCTGCTGAGGAAGATGCGGCCGATTTCCTTAAGGCGAACAATACCGTCAATGGTGGCAAGCCCGTCGTAAGCTTTATCGCCGGTATCAGCGCTCCTCCAGGACGACGAATGGGTCATGCGGGTGCAATCGTATCTGGAGGCAAGGGTGGTGCCGACTCCAAGATCAAGGCCCTAGAGGCTGCTGGCGTTATCGTAGAACGTTCACCTGCCAGCCTGGGTCGCACCATGAGAGAAGCATTCGTCAAGCGAGATCTATTGTAACCAGCTTCCGTCATACGAAGAAGCGAGAAGGGTAATAGCTGCCTAGCTGCCTAGGTACCATAGTATCTTGCAGCCCGAGTGAGCTTAATATTTCACGAGGAACGTCGGCCATAAATGTATAACGCTGCATCCACGCGGAAGCAGGATTGGGACCAGATATGGGGGTGGGCAAGCTGAGTTGCATCTGCTGCCAAGAGAACATATTGTTTTTTTTACGCTTACGATAGACGGGCGGCGAATAGTGCATTGTATCTTGGTGTATTTGTCTCCCCAATAAACCTACTTCAACTTAGATCTTAGATGGTTACATGCATTTCAAGTGATGTGTATCTACATACCTGCGTAAGTCGAGGAGTATTTTACATCAAATGCACCTCTTCAGTTTTGTAAATCTCAAGATAAAGGCCGGCCAATCTCACTAGATTGACATACAATAACCACCTCTATACATGCGTCCTAGTGATTTAACTACACCCATAATTAAACAACCCGCTGGTATATATCCGTGGGAAGGAGAACAATCATTCTGGGTTTTTTATTCACAGGATAGAAATAGAATTGCAAGCTTGATTTATATGTTGTGTAAAAGATAGGTGTATGTGTGATTCAGCATGATACCTACCTAGGTAGGTACCCTAGGTATGTAGGTCGACGAATTGTCGTCAAGGCCCATGTCATCATTTGAGTCACCGACCCGTTAAACGTGAATATTGATTGGATTGGTGATCTAGGCAAATTCTCTCAAAGTCGAATAAAACAACAAGTCCACATAATGTATTCACAGGCCCCTGCTGATATGGACAGAAGGCCAATAGCCCAGGGTCAGAGTGAGACTGGACTTCCCAACATCTCACGACAACCTTGGAAGTCAGTACCTAAGTTATCCCGCTGATTCATAAGTTCATCGTAAGGCAAAGTATAGTACCTACCTAGATACCTACCTAGATACCTACTAAGTGAACAAGAGGGAAAGGATTCTGATGTTGAGGGCACTGTAAAAGCATTCATGGATGTATCCCTGGGGCATTTCAGCTGCTGCGTAGCTACTAGGTAGGTAGCAAGTTTGGTTTTGGGAGGGATAGAAGTGCCGATTAATCTAGAGTCTCTTATTAGAGTAATAAGTCCGGCCTTCTCCAAATTGCCTTCAAACATTGAACTACTAATCCACGCCGAGGCCATGGTATTCTAATCAACCCCGCAGCTAAACGTGTATTATATCAAGGCATAGTAACACTACTCAGATGGTATAACTGCCGTGTCGAAACCTGGGGTCTCCGCACTCTTTGGCTTGGAACCAGTTGGGTTAGTATGACCTAGACTTACATAACTAGACCAGAATAGCTATAGGGTCAATGCTACATATGATGTACTATCCGCAAGATATACACAAATCCCGGGTTCATGGGCAGTAAGTACCTGCTTTGGTTGTCTATTTATATAGTAGTTAGGTAGCAGCAAGACTACAACTTCGAGATTGCTCCAGCTATCCATTTGTTCTCATTCTTGCCCCCCCTTCAAAGTGTACCTCAAAGAAACTGGATATGTCTGACGAAGAGAAACCAGTTGCGTCCATGGTCGAGGACCAAAAGTCTTCTCCGGGGTATCAAACAGAATGGAAAGTTCCACCAATCTCCCAGGAAGCGGTCGATGAGGCCTACCATATTCATCTAGGGTGGAGATCATGGGTATGAGTCCAATTCGTTTCCCTCTACTGTTGCGAAACCACGTCGAACTAACGAGAATATAACTAGTTGGTGGTGTTTATAACCAGTTTCGCGTAAGTTCATCTACCAAGCACTCCTCCTATTGTGCCTATTTGTCAGCACTAACTTATGAATCATAGTGTTATGGCCCAGGTGTTCGTAGTGGTAGCTGCGGGCTCTGTCATCGCGTTTATTATACGGGATATGGGAGACCCCACGATAGCGGGCTGGATCATTCAGGTGCTTTGCTCTCTACCCAAGCTCGCTGACCGCCCATGTGTTGACCATGAACTTAGGGACCATTGCTAATGCAATCCGTCTTGTCGCCTATTATCGGTCGGCTTTCCGATGTGGTAGACAGGAAATATCTCTCGGCAGTTCCTCCCTTGATCGCGTTCGTGGGTGCTGTTATATCCGCCAAAGCAACGTCCATGAACATGCTCATAGGTGGAGGTATTCTGATCGGCATCACTCTATCTACTGTCTCCATTGTCCAAGCCATTCCATCCGAAATCTTACCCTTAAAGTATCGTGCACTGGCAAATGCCTTCGGATTTGTGGGCGGTGCCGTGGGTGGACTGTAAGTTTACACACTGTATTAGGGTAGGGGAGTAACTAAATCGTTGGAATAGGATCGGATCTCTCGGCGCAGGTGCTGTGACAAACGTGGACGCTGGGGGGTGGAGGTATATATTCTGGATTCAAGCTGCCCTCCACGGTATCACTTCTGCTGGACTCTTCGCCTTTTACTGGCCCCCGACACAGGTCGAACGTCCGAAGTTGTCGTTGAAAGAAATCGTCTGGGCCTGCGATCCTATTGGATCCGTGCTTTTCATGACTAGCACAACTCTTCTGCTTGTCGCTCTTGACTATGCAGGCGGCACGTACGCCTGGTCAGACCCGCACGTCGCCGTACCATTATCTCTCGGTCTTGCGGTGCTCATTGGATTCATCATTTATGGTATGAAAGCGATATCTCCAATAACTTTGATTTATATCATGGCACACTCCCCAGCAGCCTGTACGAGTGAATAACTGACAAAACCAGAATGGAAGGGACGATCAGACGGCCTAGTCGCGCACATCTTCTTCCGACAGAACGCCAACTTCACCTATTCGATATTTGCCTTCGCGGTCGAGGGCTGGATATTCTACAGTGCAGTGAATTCGGTCGTACCCCAAATTGTACTCCAGCTAGGATTCGAAAGTAACTCCTGGGCGATATCGGTCCGACAACTCAGCTACCAACTCCCCGTTATATTTGCGTCAGTACCCCTGACTTGGTACGCAACCCGTTATAAGGATTTAAAGTCGCCGCTACTCTTGACTTTCGTTGTCTTCCTCGTCGTGTAAGTGGGCCATGTCTAGCAGATTCTTTGTACACAGTATAGTGTGAAGCTAATAGACGCGTGTCGAGATAGAACCATATGCTATGCTACCGTCCGACCATCATGGAGCTCAGCTCAGTATGGCTTTAACGTCCTTGCTAGCCTCGGCCAAGCAGGACCTCTCACACTTCTAGTAGCTCTCATCCAGTTTACGTCGCCGCACGCTTTCTTGTCTACAGCGACGGGCCTGGCCTTTTCCGCGCGTGCCATCGGTGGTGCTTTTGGATCCGCGGTCCTCAATGCTATTATCAACAGCCGACTCAATAACCATTACGCACTAGAAGTCGGGGCAGCAGCTATAAATGCAGGCCTTCCCGAAAGTAGTGTGCCGCTACTTCTGGAGGCGCTAGCAGCCGGCAAGGTGGGGACAGGAATTGAGGCCGCGACCCCAACGATCTGGGCGGCGGCTATCGAGGCAAGCCAGTGGGAATATACTTATGCTTATCGATTGGCATGGGCGAGCATTATTCCCTTCGTGGTGCTGGCCATCGTTGCTGTGGCTCTGACAAAGGGCGTCAAGGAACTGATGACGGAGAAAGTGGAAGCTACAGTCGAACATATTCAAAACATCGATGTCGAAGGTAAATGAACAATGGTCTTGGTAGAATAGCTTTAGCATTAACTATTCTTGTGATAATATGATGGCCTATGGTGTTGGTTGGTAGCCTCGACTGTAAGATTATGATCACCTACAAATGGAGGGCACTTATTACTTTAGATCGCGTTATATCCGTCCAGCAAGCCACTCCTGGAACAATCTCCTGTGCTGTTTAGAAGGATACTTCATAAGATGTTCTTATGCAGAATTTTTGTGACTCAAGGCCATCGTAATTTGATTGATTCAAGAGAAAGCTCGACTTATTTCACGGCGTAGTTCCTCGTAGTTCTCAACCTCCGTTTTGGTAGGTATTGACAAGGCTTCAAGCCTAAGCCCTTTTCGATGAAATCATGTTTGGGGCTTGGCATATTCGAGGGTATCTCTAAGTTTGTAGCATAGGCAGGCATGTTTGATGTTGTATGCTCCAGTCATCTATGGTGGCTCGTCATACTCCTGTCATGCCTTGTAAAGTCAAGAATCTGGCACGACGTTAGAGCTCACCTCAAACTTTCTTCGAGATACTTCCACAAAGCTCCGGAATCCAAGGTGGGGTCTCTAGAAAGCTAGAGATAGAAATTTCTAATACACATTCATGCCGAGACATTTTGAATGGTGTTGGCCCAAATTGTTCTTTTGAAGCTCTCCGTAGTTCGTGCTTCAAAATCGAGCTGACAGTTGTCCTCGATTATGGTCTTCCTACAGACTCGTTATTCTCACGGTTGCTCTTGTGGACGACCATCTAGCCACTTGCTCATATATGGCCCATCTAGCCAATATCCGAGTTTCCTATAGTAACTCCTCACTCCTACACCACTGATGACACTGATCTTAACACTTTGATGTTCGTCGCGTGCAATACGCTCTGCCTCTTCCATTAGAAGCGTGCCAAATCCTTGGTGCTGGAACTTTTTGGGGTCTCTTGCGTGAACCGGCACAGCAGTTCCGTAGACATGGAGCTCTCTGACAAGACTAGTGGGCTGTCCAGTGAGTTCCTCGCGGTAGGTATACTTCTCTGTGCATTTACGCAGGCGAAGTAGTGCAACCAGAATATCTTGTTTAGGATCCTCATAAGCGAGGAATGTCTCCCAACCACCATTGGCTGTGTAATCACGACGGATCAGTTCGATTTGATTTGGTCGGATCTTGTGCTTGACTTCGTTGATTCCGACCTCGCGTGTTCTCACGTCACGACACGTTGTTCCAAAGTCCTTCATCCGAGCTAGCGCCAATTCTCTGAGGTTGCCGTTTTCAACACCTGACGTGACCAGCGGCATCGGGATATCTCTTTGGACTCGATAGATTCTTGTCCATGGAGGGACAAGTGCCAATATTCTTGCCACAATGTCGATCAAAGCATTGGGTGTGTAGTTCTTATAGCGGCCCGTCCGCCACAGTTCGTACAGCCCCGTGCCACGGATTACCAACGTAGGATAGATCTTGAGCCCATCAGTTCGGAATGCTGGGTTTTCAAAATATTCTTTGAACTGATCTAAATCACGTTCCATGCCCACGTTTGGCAAATCCGGCATCATGTGAGAGACCACCTTGAATCCGGCATCCTTGGCAAGGCAAAATGTCTCCGCGACCGCTGCCACCGTGTGTCCCCGATTAGTATCTCGAGCAACATCCTCGTACAGGGATTGCACGCCTACTTCTAAACGCGTGCACCCATACCGTAGCATGTCTGTTAGATGTGGCTGAAGGCAATAGTCTGGTCGGGTTTCAATTGTAATGCCTACACACTTAACATTACTCATCTCGCCGGCCTCGACTGCTTCATCAACGTGGGTTGTTTGGTAGCCGCTTAGCGCGTTGTGTAGCTGCGAAATGAATTCTTCTCGATATGGTACAGGCAACGACATGAATGTGCCGCCCATAATGATGTACTCGACCTTATCGACCGAGTGACCGAGAGATTTAAGCTGATCAACGCGGCCACGAGCCTGTTCAAAGGGGTCGTATCGGGCCCGAATGGCGCGCATTGACGTAGGCTCGTAGCCCGTGTAGGACTGTGTACTATATTCGAAGTCGGAGTCGGGCCCACCTGGACAATAGACGCAGATATTACCAGTGTAGGCAATGTGAGGACACCTATGAGGCTTACACATGACGGCGACGACGGCTATACCAGAAGAAGTTCCTGTGGTATATTGTTAGCGGATGACAGGGAATCATATCCCTCCATTACGTTGACGTACGAATAGGCTTTGCGATCAGCTTGGGAAGTATGTACTTCTTGTAGTGTTCAGGAACAGCAGCAATGATGGCAGTCAGCGGCGGCATGCTCGCAATCTTGTGCTTCCTCGAGAATTTGGAGCGTAGACTGTTGAGGTTGATATCCCGCCTTGGGTTCTTTGGGTCTTTGGTGGCTTCATGATCTTCGATCAGAGCGCTCGCTATGTCGGCGCAACATCGTAGGAAACGCTCATTTTCAGGCAAGAGATTTGTATTCTTCTTTCTGGTCGTAGTGGTTATCGTGGTCGTGGCCATCGTGTATGTCGCATGCGGCTATTGATTGGATTTTAGATGATTTCGAGGATCTGAATCAAATTGTACGTGTCTAAAGGAGAATCAAGAACCTATCATTTTTAGATATTATGTTGGTATGGAATAACATTAGACTTTCTGACTTTAAGGTTTTCAATAAAGTTACCGGAATAGGAATAATCGAGAGCCGATCGCGTGTTAACCCCGCCATGTCTATGTAGAGGGGTACAGTTAGTTCAATGTTGCTTCCGTCATACTAGGTACTTGGGTACATGCATGTAAGTCAATGAAGTCAGGGGTTTATTAAGGTAAGGTAGGTTACATATGCAATTGTGAGCTGTCACATCTTTGGAACCTTGGAAGTGTAAGGAGCTGAGGAGGTTTTCCACTTCAGCCTCAATGTTTCCCTCAGCACCTTCTCTGCCTTACATACCTACCCAGTACTTAGGCATCAGGGCTCCAACCTGGAACTCTTGCAAAAAAAAAAAAAAAACCTTTAGAAATAACAACTTGCAAACTTTTAATTTGATTGCAGGTGCTCTTGCTTGCCCATCTACATAGTAGTTTCTCTTATCTCTTATTTTTCCTTTCTGTTTTTCTTCCAACGTTGAAGCTCTATTTTAAATTCACTCTATCTAGGCTGTCTTTTCCCTCCGTCACCACCCACACCCACCTATTGCCGTTGGACTTTTACTAAACCCGCTATTGGGCAACTTAAATCATCATATCGCATATTATTACATTGTACAGGTACCTTAATAGGTAGCGGTAGTAATACTATTACTGCTGGTCCTCCACCATATATCTGCATTATTTGAACATATTCACTTTCGAGCATCATGGCATCTAGTAGGGCGCGTCGCGTTGCTAAAGAGCTTGCCGATATGGAAGCTGACTCGAAGACGTCCGGTATCACCGCTCAGCCTGCCAATAACTCTGGCGACCTCACACACCTCAAGGCCTGCCTACCCGGTCCTCCTGGTACTCCATACGAAGGTGGTCGGTTCATAGTCGATGTTAAGATTCCTGGCGAGTATCCTTTCCGCCCTCCTGTCATGAAGTTTGACACCAGAGTCTGGCATCCCAACATCAGTAGCCAAACTGTGAGCCTACCCTTACCTCTAGTGGTGTGTTCCATTTGATCTGCTTTGGCTTTGCTAAGAACAAATCATCTTAGGGTGCTATTTGCCTCGATACTCTCGCTGCCGCCTGGTCGCCGGTCCTTACTATCAAGTCTACATTGTTATCCCTTCAAGGCCTATTCGAAAGTCCCGAGCCGAAAGATCCCCAAGATGCTGAAGTTGCTAAAATGATGATCAATGATCGGGAGGCTTTCAATAAGAAGGCCCACGAGTGGGCCGTACTCCATGCTGGAGCCCCGCAGAATCCAAATTTCCAATCCGTCCAACCCCGAACGGTTATTGCGCCCCAGCAAATTGACGACAGCAAGTATGTCTGCCGCAAACACTGGGTGGTTGTTTCCTAGCTAGCTAACATGGCACACTCTAGATATCGGGGATATAATAAAGATCTCATAAACAGATTCGTCAACATGGGCTTCGATATCGACCGAGTCGTGGAGGCGTTCGAATTTGTTGGTATTGACCGACTTGACGGCCAGGACTACGAATTGGAAGAGGCTTATATGGGTGACATTACGGCTCGATTGCTGGGAGAGCCCTAGTCAAAAGTCCGGTTTACAGACTGCGCTCCAATGCGCAGCGTATCCTTCACTCTTCCACTTTCAGATACCACCCCGTACTCTAGCCCGTACGACATACATATACAACATACGCCATCACATCCTTTACCAATACGGAACAGAAAGTCTGCGCCTTGAAGATGCAGCAGAGTGAGCTAGAATCGTCTTCGCAGACTTGCATACGGCGTCAGGCGCAGGGTGTTACTCGGTTGGGACAAATTACTTTGTCACAGTCTCATTTATTTGTCAGGACATAGGCATAAACTAAAGTTTGTACCCGCATGCTCTCTTATGTATTCCTGGTCAATGAATCGTTGTAATCCGTTTGGCTTTATAGATCTGAAAACGTTTCGTAACCCCCGTTTCCGATGCTCAGTGACCCTCAAGCATTACCTGTCCTTCCGAACTGTCTACAGGGTAGGAAATAAAAGTCTGTGTACAATACCATTGACCTATCTTAAAGTCTTCAGTTAAGCACTGCACATAGGAGAGACATGTTTTATCATTGCTAAGTCTACCTATGTCGCCTAAATTGAGTAAGCCACATCAAGACTTTGAAGAGTTACAAAATTATTACCAAGTACCTAAACATGTGTTTATTCTCTTAGTTGTCATGAATGTCGATCTAATACTGTCAACATTATTATGAATACATACCTCCCTAGTAGGCATTACCAGAAATCCAACGCAACAACAAGTGCGTCAGGGTTTTAGGAAATAGGATGAAGATGTGGGGGGACATTCGAGCTTCAAGTTCTGATGTTCTTTTTACATTCAAATAGGAGATAGCTAGATATGGTATATGCACATAACTATAGTTAGTACATAAATGTAAAAATGCAGTTACTAGGCACATAAGTAAGTCCACATGTCGCACTTACAGTACGACGTAACTACAATATAATACATAATAGTAGCCACGACCGTGAGACGTCATTCCATGTCAATTCAGTTGAAGTAATAAATTGTAATGATGAGGCAGGCGCGACTATAATATTTACTACCACTGCTACCCAATCAATCTAGATATGCATATTTTCATCTAAGTAGTAAATGGCAAGTCTTACCCTGATTGACACCTCATGTGCCATTTATATTTCTTGAAATTGAACATATCTATCTAGGTAGCCTCTCAAAGTTCTAGACTATCAATCCATCCATCGTTATTTCATCCTGCTCTGTATCTCTAAGCTTCATCTACATAAGCGTCTTCTTCATCCATAGCAATCAACCTACTCCGATTCGCCGAGTTTTTGACAACAGCGTAGGTTAAAGATAAATTCCTGGCTGTCTGAATATTACTGTATCACATCCACAATGGCTGTTGACGACCTTTCCTCGAGCGCGAAAGCAAGGGCCAGTGATTTAATCGCGTACGGCCAACGCCAAGTCGACCGCGTTGTGAGCCCACCCACGCGACAGAAGGCTTATGATCGAGTTTACGATTTGTCAACTGAACGGCCCATTCTACTTGTAAGCTTTACTTACTTACTGCATACTATGTACATACATAGTTACATGTCTATCTGGTACCTAAATAGGTGCGATTAAATATGTAAATAGTCTGACCTGATTATTGCTACCCATTAGTCCTTCTTAGCTTTCCAGTTGGCCCTGTGCCTCGCGCCCCTCCTCTTCTTCGCAGGCTTTGTCGCCACTACTATCGCCGTCTCGTTGATCTCCGCCATCCTATTTTCGCTCTTTTGGATCGGCATCGCATTACTCTTTCTCGTCCCCACCCTCTTCGTCACGTTCACAATCGCCCTACTGCTCTGGGCCTGGGCCGCTGCTTCGTTCTTTGCCAGCCGTTGGGTGTACCAGAGGCTACCCTTTAGCGTCGATGGTGACGGTCAATTGATTATGACCAATAGCACTGGCAATAAGCAGGTCATCTTCCAAGGGAAGAAGGGCGATGATGGCGGCAGTTTCGACGTCAAAGCCGAGGCGGCCGAAGTCAAGGATTAGATCGCCGGCGAGGTCGTATGGATCGTGATGGAGGCCGGCTGGTTTGCGATCCGCAAGGGTACCATCGCGATGATGAAGCTCAGATTCTAGGTGTGAATGGGCTGGCGTCCACAGACGGCTCCAGTAATATCAGTCAGCAATGCCAGAATAATTATGTATGATGGCGTTGGGTTCCAAAATAGATACCCGTGGCATAGGCCCGGGACTGGTGGCTAGTTGGGGCTAGACAGCAGAGGGTCGGTATTGGTATGCAGGCATCAGTATTGAAATATCATTTTCGGTATCCATCACAGTTGGTTTGGCCACTAGTGTGCCAGTAGAGACATACTCTGCTGATTATGTTCGCATACATTCGAAGTGCCAAATCTTCACATACATATATTGTGCCTATTTGCCCTGTGAAAAGGACACAACAGCCCACTTGCCACTCCACGCCCACTTCCGAGCACCACTATCTCCTCCGCCGCCCTCTGTAGCCCGGATCTCTTCGTCCTGTCCCAACTTAAGCCCGACAACTACATCCGCTTTGCACGTTCGAAGAGCGAGGACATTGACACCAGAATTTGGGCCAAGAGGCCCAATGGCTTCTGTAAATGGCGTCGAAGGATCCCATGCGGCCTATTCTTGTTAGCACATGTGGAAGATAAAACGGTAAAAGGTATACAAGGCATAGTAAATAGACTTACATCGCCGGTTAGCTTCCGGTAGTTCAAGTCGCCTTTAAAAATGACCACCTCGCTAGTCTTTAAGTCTTCATACAAATCTGGTTCCACGGACGGCAATCTCCAATAGCTGCCTGGATGCGTCCAGAAACGGTTGGATCTCATAATAAGTTGGCCCTCGGCGTGCATATGTGCCCACTCTTGGAAGAGAAAACTCATGTCCACAACGTCTTTGTCAGATAATGGTGATGGAGTTTTGTCCTGCAGTTTATCATCGTCGGATGGTGTTTCGTAAAATCGCTTCGGATCAGCTAGCGCACTCAGAAGAGCTGCGAAGTCTGCTGGAAGGACGTCGGATACGAACCAAGGGATGGATTTGGGATGGAGAACTACGACCGTGGCGAGACCAGACGATAATAAATAACCGGCAAGGATGAGATCGACATATAACTCAAACCCGGCATTATCGAGCACGATATCCACGCGACGCTCCTTCTTTCCAGCGTGCTTGGCCTTTCTCAGCACGTCATACACAGCTTCCAAGTCATTTACCAAGATATTTTTCTCTGAAGCCTTCCTGGCTTCGGATCCTTGTAATTTCTGGATGTCCTCGTAGGTGAGACTTGTTAGGAGGGATAAGTCAGTAGCGTTCCCCCACAAGCATATCTCACACATTTCGAGGAACAAGATCTTCTGGGCTTCGTCGTGGTCTATGTCCGCCTTGCCCTTATCATGCCCCATCTGGGTAACCAGATCTCTATATCGAGCAGCAAGCTCGAGGACTGCTGGCCGAGACGATCGGAAAGTCTTGATCTTCTGCCGCGAGAAGACATCATAGTTCTTCCAGTGCGTAGAAAGGCTGAAGGAAGTATGAAGGCGCCTTTTTGTCGGTCAGTCAAATGACGTATCTTAAAAGCATCAAAGATGTGAATCTGGTAGTTGAAAAACATACCTGTAAAGATAGCATTCACAATACAGCCAGGGAATGTTGAACCAGCTGGGAGTTCCCAACTGTTCCAATTCACTGTTGTAAATGGCTACATCGACGCCTCCGTCATCTTTTATTGGTCTAAATATCCATCAACGTAAGGCTCCTACCGCCGTCTTGTGACAAACACGGTAGAGGATAAGCAGATGGCGACATACGTAAGCTTTCGGTCGTGTTGGACTTCATATTTAAGCCGCGCCAGTTCTTCTATTATCTTCTTCCCATCATCCTGCTTTTCACGGCTATCGCACTCAGACACGGACCGATATAAGTCGTCAATTGCTTGGGTCTTGATGCCAGAAAGTCAGCAGGTGTAGAAGAGATATGGCAAAGGACTAACAATGATAACGGGCCATCGATCCCGAGCAGACACGTATGCGAAGGACGATTTATCGCTCGTTAAATACGGAGCTATTCAGCTTGGGAATCAGTTATTGCAAACGACCCCCCCTAGGATTACTTACGAGTCTTGGTGTCAAGCTCCATTGATGTTGACGTTATGCTGAAGCTTTTTTTAAAATGCTGAGACAAAGTCGAAGATATATTCTAATCGTATGTAGTATTCAACGTTTATTACTTCTCCCAATAATAATAAAGATAGTATACTCTGTAGGTTAGTACTTTTACACGGCGCAATACATAAAAAAATCATAGTACCTATTTACGTAGTATGTACTATAATACTACTATGTATGTACTAGGTATGGCGGGGCATTCCTGGAGGGGTAGCTCCGATATGGGTCCCGGGAGCTACCACAGGCCCACAATGGTACTACTATGTAGGTAACTATGGTATGTATTTACAATACTAGTAATCGTACTATCCATAGTAGATGTGTAATCTATTTATACAATATATATTATATTATAATATCAAATATTTGTGTGTATCGAGTCATTCAATGTTACGAAAGACAACTACATAGTACCTATACTACCTACATAGGCACCTAACCTAGGCAATTCTTGTACAATACATGCGTCTTACCATCCATATTATATTGGACAGTATCACCTGAGAACTTTGCAATACACCCTATACGGTCCCAGTCAGTCTACATACTGAAAGTCGTGGAGTGCTCTCAAGAGTCTCAATAAGTACTAGGTAGGTAGGTAAGCATAAAATTACATGTAGTACGTATTGGCTACATATGTAGTTAACTACATAGGTACCTATGTACAATATTGGGCTCCGTTATGGAGTCGAGCCTCGAGGCTTTCGATTGAGTTTGAAGTCATAGCAGACTGGTGTTGTCAATCTTGAGTGCTAGTCATAAGAGGTGATAGAACGAGAATCATGCATGTCTTATATGTACCTTAGCCTAGGTACGTTACGGCACATACATGTCACGTCTAACGAGATCATGATTATCTACTACTATCCAGTGAGTAAAATGGTATGAAAAGGAGACAGCGTGTGGGCATGTTAATGACTGCTAAATGGGTATTGGTTCTTAAATCTCTACCCCCTGAGTAATGGCTAGAATTATTATAGAGTAAAAGACGGCCTTCTTCGCAGAATTTTCACACCGTCATCTTTCTGGGTCACTTGCCTTTTATTTACATTGTCAACACCCTCCGGACAGCAAGGATGTAAATGTTCAATCTAGCTAAAGCCCTCTTCACACTTGAGTACATCTTTGCTGTTCGAGATATGCTTGTTTCCTTAACATTCGATCTAGATACAAGGTTATAAGACTCGAAATTGCCAGTGGCTTTTATCCCAGTCCTAGTATATAAAAGCATCACCCCTCTATATATCTCCTTTTCCTTTTGGCCAGGGAAGGGGATCCCGAGCTGAGGGAATCTGTCCAACTATGATAAGTTCGCCCAAAACATTATAGGCGCTGCGATTCGGCAAGAGGGATCGTTAACAGATAGGTAGTATGCATTTATTTTAGCTCAGCCCCCATGCCCCTGTCGAGAAGAATTGTCTTTTATATCGTCAACAAGGCAGAGCATCAGTTACTAGGATCTGTTGGAAGAAAAGGCCGCTTCTTGATTACCTAGACTGTTCGATACAATATTTATCAAACGTAACCACCCGAGTATGTGTTTATGATATATATTAAAGTGTGACAGCCAGATGAAATATACGCCGGCGAGACGCCGTCGTGTCTCACGGTGGTGTGTTATCCCGGATGAAGGGTTCGTGTTCGTTATTATGTCTAATATGTCCAGTTTCATGCTGCTTCTACGTGGCATATCTGCCTACTCGTAGTATAGGATCGGAACTGTTAAAAACTAGAATAGATGAATGCTCCAACTCGTTAAGGGTTTTTATTTGTCATTTTGTCTTTCCCGAGCCTCCAGGTAGGTAAGGAGGAAGGTGAGAAGGTACTTAAGTACGGAGGTTCAAGTGCCATCACACGTCGACTATGTAAATGAAGCAAGACAGTAGTAACACACCGAAACCCCCATTCTCCAAACCATTCAATTTTTCTTCATCTTGATGTAAACGGGAATTCGCTTTATCAGGGTCATGCTTTCGTCAGCCCATTCGCTTCCTGAGACCGATTCCTTTCCCGAACCATCTAGAACCTGATTCTACGAACCGGGTCTACTTCCCCCGTCGTCAAAGGTGCCGAAGAAGCACATCTCCTTTAAAAGATTACCTAAGCCACAACAAATGATATAGAATCTTCATCTTTATTTTCACCGCTGACGCCCTCATGACAAAGCGAGGCAAGATCTTTCGATGTCTCAATCTTGTCTTAGGCATTGCGCCGATGTAAGTATGGCTTGTGAGGATGGAGGCGCCACGTGTAGGCCACGCCGAGACTAGAGGCAATGGGAAAATATGGCCGACAAGTCGGACAAGTTTCTACTTCTCGGCTCGCCGAGCGAGTTTCTGAGGTGTATCGTGAGAATATCGCCCCATGGAATGATTTTGTTCTCGACCGTCTCATTGTAAATAGGAGGAGGTCTGGTGCTTCCCCGAAAGAGTCCATAATGGGTACACCGGCAGCGCAGCTGTTGCGGGAACACTTTGTTCGTCAGTTGATATACGGTCGACTAAGTTCCGAACGGTGTAGAATGGTTGTCCTATAAATTCCTATGGTGCTTCCTCTATGAGATCCTACCTATACAAAATATCACCAACTCCATCGTCACTCTCCAGGGAAACCTCGACCAAATGAGTATAAGGCTATCACTAAGATCATGGCAGAGAAGATCATAGCATAGCCTTCAGGTTAGCCTTTTGTCAATCACATACAGCCGAACGAATGCGACAATCCCCCCAGCTATTACAACATCTCCATCCAGCAAACATGTGCACGTATTATTACCTTCACTACCATCACCTAGCCCCTTGCACCCGAGACGTTGAGTACGCGGTGCATTACTCATTCTGCCCCAACGCTATACCCGATATTTCCAGCGCGAATCCACCGAGTTCCGTCAATACCGGAGTTACCGAGCATGGAGAACAATGGATCCAGCAGCCGTGCGAGGGGCTCACTTACGCGCCCGAGTATAGCCCTGTCGAAGGCGTAGACTACAACAGCCCTTGCGCGACGGGAGGGTGCCTCGTTTCACACAAGTGCAGCTCTGGGGGATGTAGACTGGAGGATCTTGGCGGGAGCTGGACTTGTTGTCAGTGTAATCGCGGAGGGAATACACTTAGGTGGTGCATACGACCGATGAAGAAGATCCCCGACTCTCTTTGTTATCATGCGATTTGCCAGGAATGCCGCCCAGATCAGATGTAGAAACGAAGGAGGATGAGAAATAGTGTGTGGATGGAGATGTGTGGTGCTGATGATTTGGCAGTAATGCCTCGTACCTATGCAATGTACCATACCCTTTACTATATGGATATGTTAAATCTCGTTCCTTTCCTAATGTACCCCTGATGGGAAACGCTGCTTGTCTACTAGGGAAAGACGAAATCGAATTTGGATTTGGATAAGAGTCATAGTGCTACCGTAGAAGTGAGACCGGTATTGATCTTGCGAAGCTGAGTTAAGCCATATTGGTTCCATTATTGGGTTTGCTTTATGAGGTCGGCGACTTCGCCACGTGGGAACCAAGGACTATGTATGACAGTTTTTGATAGTCAGGCCCGGTGAGGAAAATTCTGCGAACAATGCTTTTGCTTTTCTAGAAGTAATCTATCTCCACACCAATGTGGCTTTCCGGGCGATCCTACATCATCTTGCGTAAGTATAGCCCAAGTCCTCATGGGTTTTAGTGCCGCACGGATGGTTGCTTTGCGCAGGTCTCTCGACCTCCCGCCTTGTGGACCGGAGCATCGGGACGTGATTCGAGTACAGCAGGCGAGTATATCAAAATATGAGCACTTTTACCCCCTTCACACGTGGGCTTCAGGTCAATACTTCCATGTTCGTAGCTATCCAGCTCGATTTTGATCGCCGACGTCTGCCAATGTCATCTGCGTAGTCTTTGGGCACAAACATTACCAAGGTAGGCACTTTTCGTTGTACACAATGTAGAATCTCGGATGTCGCATATGGGATCCAAGAAGATAAGTATCGCCCATGTCGTCGACCACTCGAGCAACTACCTAGGCAGCGACGGAAGCTACGAGCAAGTATCGACAGTATCTCTAATCTCCAGACGTATTCCATCGCCCGCTCGCCCGCCTTCCCTTCTATCCACTGTCGTACATATCCTTAACCAGGCATCGCATACGCATCATGTGCACCGAGACGGCATATACTCTCCGGTGCGAGCACGTCGTCACCCGAACCCTTTACTGTTCCGACGCTCCTCCGCCGTCTCGACAGTCGCACAGGGAGCGGAGAACTTGCAACAGGGTCATTCGAAACGCTGTGCCCTGGCCACCTCCACCAGAGTTCGGGGTACAAGTTACATGCCCATTGGTAAACTGCCCATTTGAAGAACGGGGGGGCTATTGGAATTGTTGTTGGTGTGGAAAGGAGTGGAATGATCAAGGTCTGTTAGCCTCTCCAAGGTCTTCGAAGTGAGGCTGTCCAGACTCTAACACGCGCATGCTAGGCCGTTGTGGATGCGTTATGATTATCGACAGGCAGGAATATCGTTGCGGACATATTTGCTGCGACACGTGTGAAGCAGCTAGCGAGGCTTGATCGAGAGGAAGCCTACGACGTGGTATAATTACCATCAAAGGGGCCGACAGGCTCCGCTACCTACTCTAGAATTCTTTTTTTTTTCATTTTGCATGTGCTGCTTCAAGCCACGACATTCCGCCTTCATGCAGGAAGGCAGTCATCGTATGCGAAGGTGGCTGTGGTCATAGATTAGCTTCGAAAATTTGCATTGGAACGGTGTGTAGAATATGATCAAATGTGGCGGGCTTGATGGACATCCCAGGTGAGACATCATTATACTAGGCATACACATTGGACGGAATAGGCAGGTGGTTCGAATAAGTCCTCTGGGGGCGTGAGCTTATTTCTTTCTTCCGGAGGGGGTGTTCATTAATAACAAGAAAGGGGGATATGAATCGGAGTTATGAACGAGAGTATCCTCGTAAAGTATAGGGGCTTTTCCATGAGAACATGAGAATGTAGGCTCCAAGAGAGAACTAAAACGGCAAGGAGTTTCCGGAAAGGGGCTGATTGGAAAGATTTGCAGACGAGGCGGTCCAAAAAGCAATGCTCCTTAAGCAGCCCAGCTACCTGGTTACCGGTCGATCATGGAACCGTACGAGGCGTCAAGTACCTAGGCAGAGTATGCTCCGGGTCTCAATTGTGAAAAGCAACGCATTTGACCGCCTGAATCTTTGCAAGATCTAACGCCTACCTACGCCTACCTATGCAGGCCCTTGCTCGGCAATATACGGTGTTGTACATGATGCAGAAGGGCGTCAGGTAACCAATAGTGAAGCTGCCCAAATGTGCAAAGAAGGTGCTAGTATGGACGGACTGACCCAGCAGGAGAAGGAATATCGCGATTGGGTTGTTGGCGGCGTCGTAGTCGCACTAATCCACACTGCTACCCGAGACAAAGATCTGTATTGCACCCAGCGCACTACCCATCCCTCCTGTGCCGACGGGATACGCCTACCAATACGAAGGAGGAAGCTTGCTGATCCTTACCCCCGAAATTTCTTTCTCGCAATGTGCTGCAGCGCTGGTGTGTGCTGCCTGTGGTGCATCAGACGAGAGTGATGTGTCTTTTCCCCATTCCTTGTCGACACAAGGATGATCGAGGCTGGAACTTGTGCGCGAGAGACAACCCCTTCGCGCAGCCTGAATCACGCTGCTAGTGCCGACGTTGCTGTCGGAGAAATAGGTAGGTTTCTCATCGGTACAGTTAAGCATATATAAAAGGTTTATGGCGTCCGAGAACTCGAGGCCCACGCCGTGCCGGCTCTTATCCTCTGCCGAAACACCTGTACCAGAGCCTTTCTCGCCGCTATATCTAGATCCTGCTATTTCGAATCGACGAGAATGTGCCACGGACACCCTCACTACCACCCCTGCTCACACACGTCGGTCAAATGGCTGTACTGTCCGGAAGCCATGTTCGACTTGGACACGGGGTATGAGACACCCTGCTCGAACCCGATCTACTCGACGCCGCAACCAACCAACGTCGACTGTCCCCTGCAGACCTGCAACTTCAAGGCTTTGATGGGGAGCTGGAACTGCTGCGTCTGCGGGCAGGGCCCAAATACCCAGGGGTGGTGCACCGCATTGTGTCGGAGGATGGATTGGAACCCGCTTACGGGGAATGTCGAAGATATGGAAGTGTCATGTGGGCATGGATGCTGCAGCTCATGCAGTCCGTCGAGTGAGTACGGGCTCTATCTTCGTTCGCACCCGAATAGTCCTTCTGATAAAATTCCTAGCTACGCCGAGGAACACGAGTCCGGAGATATCGTTCGCGGACATTCGAAAAGGGAAAACCGGTCGTAAGGCTCACAGCACCACACGAGGCTCCGCACATAGGCGAGGGGCAGCGTACGACTTCAGCCAAAATAACGATAGCTGCCCTACCGTCCCGGAAGAAGGTGATCAGCTTACTTCGCCCTCAACGGCAACACCAAGCTCTCGAGGATCCCGCCGGTCCAGCCACGACCCAAATATGGAGTACTCAAAGAAGCCGAAGATGCAAAATGGGAAGAAGAAATCACACAAGGGCCGCATTCATTATTGAGTTGTTTCCATATGGGTTGGGTAATCACCCCAAGTGTGTTCTGGGAAAAGGCAGTAAAGATTAAAAGAGATGGCAGATGCGGGCATCCATATTGGCAGAGAGAAGGCCGCAACGCGTTTTTTACCTACTGGCTGTCGGTTTGACAACAGGCCACATTCTTTCGGTATAGTAGTCAGTTACCGACGAAAAAGCAGTCCATAAAAGCACTCTTATAGAAGCATGGTCTGGTCCACAGCGCATATGCGTAGGTTAGAAGACTTTGTGAGACATCAGGTATAACGCTCGAATCTGCCAGTGAGGCCGAGCTGTCGGTGCCCCGACTTCTTTCATGATTCGATTCATGTTTAAAGATACCCGTTCCCAAGCTACGCGCCGATGATAGAATTCATTTCGACGAAGGCATCATGGAAAATGTAATTTCTTTTCAGTGAAACCTCACTTTTAAGAAATACCCAATACGTTTCACCACTCCATTTTCCAAATTCCCGGGACAGCTTAGTGATATCATGCCCGAGTTTCGTAAAGTCAAGGCTCAAGAGAGAACTAGAATATCGAAGAGACTTTTAGCCCAGCCGCGGAATTCATGTTGTGTGCAGACTTGGTACCGAGCCCACCTTCGTTCTCGATCAAAGATTAGCCCTAGGTAGCATGAGGTTGCTCGTCCTCTTGGCCTGTCGCAGAGTAGATCATAAGTTTCGGCTGCAAGCTGTGACTAGTTCAGAATTGACAGGACGAAGCGAGATGAAACTCATGGCTATCGCAAGTGACCTGGGTGATCCCTCGCACGACATCAACGACAAGAACAATAGTTCGTTGCCTTACACGGCACACGCAATTGATGTGGTGATGCAGATGACTTACCAAGCCAGTACCTTATATCCAATGAGTAGATGCCTTGCCGCGCTTACTCTAGGGGACCATATAGGTAAGTTATAGGAGCATAGGTATCCCGTTTCCTAAGGATGTGAATACAGTCAGGTAATGCGTCTCCGTCTAACTATCTATCATCGGTTGCGTGCCCGCACGGGGGTCCGATCCGAGTCTCGTGGCGGCCGGAATGACTGTAGGTACCTGCTCTGTACCTCCTTAGGTAGGTACTAGGTAATAGGTATTGTATTGTATTGTATTGTATTGTACAATACCTAGGCAAGACTCCAGGGAGATTGCTGTGCCTTAGCCTAGTAAGACACAGATAACTAATAACCATCCGTGCCATCCATGAGCCGGTGGTACCCTAGGGTCACACTTAGCTTACCTTACTGCCACGTGCTCAGCATGCAGATCTGACGAAAGGAGCCAGATAGGTCGAGTTGGACAGGGACCCCTGGACCATACATTTTGTAAATGTTACTGATTCGAACCCTCCCAGTTGTGATGAGGTGCTTAGGTACCTATTCTTTACGTCTAGTTGGCGGGCTTAAGAGCCGTCTCGGCTGTGATAGCAGACTCTGCATGTGTGATAGTATGTGACCTTCTTCCTTCAAGTTCCTTGTCATATACATACAATAAAAATGCAAATGCTACATACATACCTACACTAGTAACTATAATGCATAATACATGTACTACAACTTCGGTAGCATCACATCATGAACGCTCGGCCGGAAGTGCCAGTTCAAACTATTCAGTCACTACTTTTTAGGCTTTCACTACTTTCATAGTATGCATAGTAGAATGGCGGATCGACGGCTATGACTTATTAGCGTATCAACGGGCCAGGTGATGACTTTTGCGAAAACACTACCTATCTAGGATTCTAGGGTACTATCATTAGATACTACTATGTAGGTAAATAGTAAATACATATGTAAATATTAGACGACGGGGTTTAAGAGGGGATAAACCTTGTACGGCGTAGATACGAGCACGATGGACCGACCGATCAATCTTTCGCCTGTTCCCTACTGCAACCTACAGGCATACAAGATGATTCACATACAATCATGCCCGTTTTTGTGCGAACGAAGTCCGGGTTGCTCATGGCAGAAAGTTGTTGGCGTTGCATGATCAGCGGGATCTGAGCTCAACTTATCTGGTTATCAAGGATTCAAGGGAGACTTGATGGCATCCTGCCCTGTTGACTGCCCAACTTACCAGCCTACCTTGGTCTACTTGAAGGTCAAGTGGGAAGGTATTAATATAATTGGAGACCGGGGAGGTGTCCGAGCTCTCTTTTCAAGCATTGCCACATGGCTATGAGTGATACATCTGTCTGTATGCATGTAAGTAATGCATTTCCATGCCATCCATGTATTAGGGGTATATAATATTACGGAGTAACTAGGCTCTTCTATCCAGGTAGGCAACGTGCGCTGCGTGCCATACTAACTTATTCTAGTTGGGCCACATGCGCCATATCTTTTAGCTGACCACGAACATTCATGCAAGTACTTGAAATACTAACCTAGTAGTTATGTACTACGCAGTAGGTAACTATGAAGTAATTAGTTATGTATGTACTGTGGAGGTATGGAGATGTATGTAACTAGTAACTTGAAGTCTTGAATGGTACAATACATAATACATGTAGTTACGTCTGAAATCTGAAATTCCGAATGCTTCATCTCCAAAATAAATAGGTAACATTGATATTTTATGTAGGTATACACTACATAGTAGTTACATATGTTATCAATGAGAGTACCAGAACATATGTAGGTAACATTAGCATTATTGAGGTTACAATATGTACATATGTATACATACTGTACCTATCAGTTACCTGGCTATGTACTAAATACTCTAGCCTGCATAGTTCTAACGATCGTTGGCTGTCACGCTGTGATTTATCTGCAGCTTCTTTGTATGTATGTAGTACAATTACTACCCTTCCCACGTTCTCACGTTCCCAAAAAGCAGCACCCAGCTGAGGCAGGTAGAGGGATGTATATTGATGTATACTTACCTACCTACATGTATGTATTCCATTTCTTCATGAACCCCTATTCCACACTTTCTATCTTTATTTCCTCTCATCCACCTACTAGTTATTACTGTAACTTTTCTCACCTTCTCACCTCCTCCGTACGTCACCCGCACAATATCACCACCACTACATACCAGCCTGCCTTGTTCTGTTTACAATTGATTAAAGTGATACCCATCTCAACATAAGCGACACAGTACATACCCACTACCTAGCTATTAGCAAACATACATACATACATACATACATACATATTACATACCTACCTAGCATAATAGTACCCTAAGGTATCAGATATCTACATACATAACATTGATACATACAAATAACTCCAGGCCTGCCATCCTTGCATAGCGCCGTTTCGCGCCTCGATCCACTCACCACTACTACTCTGACGACTATTCCTACCAGCGGCTGTCGTCAAAATTGTCACAGAATCTCGTCAGATACTCATCAAGCTTTGCATCTCAGGAAGCATATTTTGGCTATATTTTGAGCCCGAAGAATTTTTAAAAATACGAAACAATGCCTACTTCTTTGGACTCGTCTCGCCCAATCATGGCACCATCTACTGTATGTTTAAGTATTTTATTTCTTTTAACCAACTAACCTATTTAATCATTCGTTTCTTTTGTCAGAGTAATCTATTCCGAGACCCGTATTATTCGCGTATTTTCGCGTCTTCCAACTTCACCATTATTCGCGATCATGAATTCCCTTGGAGCTCAAGCCGCTGACCTCTACTCTTCACACCAGATCGGTTCTCCCCGCAGCTCCGTGCGTTACAGCACATACAGTACCGCGCCCTCGCTAGCAGCGACCGTGCGAACGACGGACTCGGCGCAGGCGGAAATTCGCGATATTGAATCAGGACTCGATCGCATGGAGAACAAAGCCCTATCGCAGCAGCGTGTCATCCTTTCTGAAGAAAAGGCGGGCAATTTGAACAAACTTGCCCTCGGAGCCAAGCTCGACCGTGCTCTCGACCGCCGCATGAGTAGCCAGGATGCCGTCATGAGGCCTCGAAATAGGAGCGAATCCGAGAAGGGAGATGCCGAAAAGCAGGACCCTGAGAAGCAAAACCCCGAAAAGCTGGGCATCCACAAGGAAGACCCCGAAAAAGAACAATAGGTTTGCGAGGGAAACTATTGTGCGAAGAACGAATACAAATGAGAGCAAGTAGATGACTAGAGAGACTAGAGGATGATACCATACGTGGGGCAGCTGCAAATGGGGGAGTCGGCTGTCCCTCTTTCTTATTTCGCCTCTTTTCCTAATACGCGGCCAGTGGTGTGTATGAATGTGTACCCAGGTGGGCTTGAGAAATGAAGTTTGGGAAGCTGGACAACCCAGCCTCTATCGATCCCCTTGGCAGTGTGTGAGCCTCGAGATTATTCTGAGGAACACGCTCTGGCCTATTGGTTTGGATGTGGAACGTGGGATACTTTTCGAAGCGCTCAGGTCGCCAAGCAATACCTTGGAGTTTCCACAAGTCGAATATTGGGCAGTATTACGTGAAGGTGTAGATATCGGCAGGATGGAAGAGTAGGGGGGGCACATGTACGAACGAGACAAGGCAGATAGTTACATAAATATTGATGTTTCGTCATTTCCACAGGCAATTTACTCAAATCGACCTATAATTGGGCCTTGATGCCCAAGTATATAGCCAGCCAGCTAGAAGAACCCGGACGACAGTCTACCATGCATACCAATGGCTTACCAGCCAACTCCCTAGACGCCATGCAAATATGTGTTATGTGTGTAGGTACCTCCTGCATAGCCAGGGATGGGGGCATTTAATCAAGCGACACAAGCGCACCGATGGATATTTTATGAACTCTTTGCCGCCAAGCTTGCGTTGATATCCCTCAACAGAGCAGCCAACTCAGCCTCGTCACCCTCCATCTCCAAACCTTTGCTAACCCACTCCTTCGCCTCAGCCAGCCGGCTCATCTCCATCAGGCACTTCCCACGTCTCCACCAGGCCTTAGAGTTGCCGACACGCTTGGCCTCGACACTGGCCTCGGCATCAGTAGCGCCCTCAGCCCAGTTCTGCAAGGCCATGTGCGCCTGGGCGCGATTGGCGTAGAGAGCAGCTACCTCTTCGCGAACGAGCTGCTGTGGCTCCCACAGGGGACGGGTCATAGCCATTTGCAGTCCCAGACTATAAAATTTGACGGCGTCGGCATGTTTTCCCTTGCGGTATTCGGCGTTGCCGCTGTCGCGCAGTTTGGTGACGTTGGCGGAGCGCTTCGGGTTGACGGGCAAGGGGGGAGGTGGCACCTGGTTGGGAGTCTCGAGGGTAAGGAGCGAGCGATGCAACGCATTGATCGCAGCTAGCTCAGCCTGTAGGGCGCGGGAATTCGTGGTGGTTGATAGCGCTTTGCTCTGAGGATCTATCTGCAAGGGCAGCATAGTAAAAGTTTCGAGGTCAAGTTCGGGAGACATTGTGACGATGTTGACAAGTGTGAAGACGGTATGAATGTTAGGGTTGAGGAGGTAGATATGAATTGAATTAATCGAATCGAATGGCGTTGTCGTTTTGTTCCTCTTTCTTTTTTGGATGGATCGTTTGTTAATGGTGAAGAATTACTGCTACGTATGTACTTGTTAATTTCAATGATGGAAGTACATGTATGGATGTCAATGCTATACAAACATTGAATTCAACGTTATCAGCAATAAAGTTAGATAAAACACTTAACGGTTAGTTACATGCACTGGCAGATGATTTGATATGCGACACCTGTCAACTTCAATGTTGAAAGTACAAAGTACGACTATGGAGGAACATTGAATATATTCATCTAAATAGCTAGTAGTATCTGTTAAATGCATAGCCGCATACCTACATACATGACCTACATAGGTACCCATTTACATAAGTTCCTCTAGAGTTAACTATCTTCATTGTTCAAGTTTCATCATCCATCCTCCACTCTTCAACCCCCTATCACAATAGAAGTGTGTATGAATTCATTTTTTTAGTCATAAATATCTAACCTAGGATAGATACTACAAACCAACATGAAAACACAATACTACTAAACTATCTTACTACTCATAACTTCATCGTTCAGTCTTACTATCCATTCGTCAGCTTTGATGCCTTCAGCACATCATTATAATATTTAGCAAAGCAGCAACAAATTCCCCCCTTTTCATCCCCCAGACTATCCCTGGTGTATAACCATTATATAGTCACTTCATAGATGGGTACTATATGCCTACTCGTTAGGTACCTAGGACCTATAGATGTCGGCAGATGAGTGTATACAAGAGTATCATCGGCTGAATGTTGGTTTCGGTTCCCAGCATTCCGTAAACATCTGCGACACAAAGTACAGATCATCTTCCCAATGATAGCTGGACTGCATGCTTTCAGCTACAGTCGCCAGTCAGCTTCCGTTACATTATCAGGTAACTTCGGAGAATTGTCGTAAAACCCCTACTCACCTCTGATCCTACATTCCTCGCGCGTTTGGGCAATGAGACGTGCCTCGTGGGGCTCGAGTTCTCCCCAGATAACCTTCTTCTTATCCTCAGACGCCGTCAACATGTTCGCTCTAATAGTATCCATATCCCGTTTGTAATAATGCCAATGGTGGAGGACAATGTTAGCTCCTTCTTGAAGGTACTCAACAAACGATGCAAGGTCATATCTCTGGTGCTACGCATTCAGCCGGGTCAGTCAGGCCATCGCAATATACCTAGCCTGGCTCTCACTCACTTCGTACTTGTTGTCTTTGGCACGACGATGCCTATCGGCTGAAGTAGCCGAGACCTCGTGAAGCAAGACAAACACTGTGAGATATACAGTAAAAAAGTGTTGCGGATTCTTGCTTGACATCATCTTCCAGAGTCCCTCAAGCACATATTTTCTCAGCGGTGCGAGCAGCTTCTCGTGTCCTAGTGAGTCAAACTGCGCCGGTATCATCCGTGGTACTGGTATTATTCCATAGTAAGGACTCTCATGGTCTTTGACTGGGTACATGTCAAGTGTCTCTCCCTCTTCGCCTTCTATATCGATGTATGCTGATCCAAGAGTGTTTCCTATTTGCACAGGTCAACTATTCCGATATGGTATGGCAAAGATGACGGAACTACTCACTGGTGGCAAACCACAAGCTAAACAACTGGACGAGGAAGTAGGCGGGGTTTACATCGTCTCCCATTGGTTGGCACGGTTGTGTCTAGGCGGCCACTGTTTAGCAAAAAGCACATCGAGCGAAATCACTGACTTACTCGAAGTCTATTTGCGTATTCCAAGCTAGAGGAGCGAATTCTCGAATTAGCTTTTGCAAAGGCTCGCTGACCAGATAGCCAGATACCAATCCTCGACAGAGGCTGTTCATACGAGACAACTTATGCATAGGGGTAGCATCTTACTCACGCAGCCTTGTACGTTGCTCGCACTATGGGATCCACGTTTGGATTCTCACTGTACTCATCTAGTGCCTCGTTTGCATAATTGAAAACGTATGATACGTAAGCTGAAGCGGTCTTCCAGATACTCGCGAGGGCAAACGGTTCAAGTTCGATCGTCTGTTTGTTCCCTTTCGAATCGATCCAATGTTTTTGGTTGATATCCCCGTCGATGGGTCTAAACTTCCGCACGATCAACTCAAATGGCTTCTTTTGACAGGAAAGAACAAGCTTTATCGTGCGCAGCTTTTCTTCCACCCAATCCCGCGGCCCGAGGTCTTTCATCTTGACCCCCTCCCACCTCTTCGTCAGATTCAGGCCGCCCTGGCGGAAGAGGACTATTTCGGCGAGCTTATACCGGACACATTGAACCCTATGGATGACCTTTTTCGAATCCGGATTAATCCCACGGCATGTTAAGCAGATTTTCCCCTCAGGATCTTCGAGAGCTGGGCGACACTGGGAAGAGGGTAAGCAAGGTGACGCCGACGAGCTATCGTATACGGCTTTTTCGTCAACCTACTCTTATCTTTTGCATACGACATCGAATACAGGCCCGCGATAAGTTAGCGGATAGCGAAGGTGGCCGCCGTTACGTGAGACACCAGAGCGGAAGGTAAGGGGGACATTGAGGAGAAGCACAAAGGGCGTACCTTCATTTTCCGGGTTTTCCCCGTCGCCTCGCGGTCCTCCGCGTTTAACCGAGACCGAGACCGCTTCCCAAGCTGCGATAGCGAACCGTGTTCCTCGCCTATGGCTTCATCTATTCCGCGGGGAATGTGTTCCCATGAATCAACTTGGTGAAGGGCACGAATATCACCATCCGAGTCTTCGGAGAGTTGCTCAGAGTCGTTGTCGTTATTCTCACCTTCGTCATCATCATCGTCGTCGTCGTCGTCGTCATCATCGTCATCGTCGTCATCGTCGTCATCGTCGTAATCGTCACCATCGTCATCGTTGTCGTCGTCAGCATAGTGGCTAAGGGTGGCGTCCCCCTTATCCACGACGCACCAGTTTTGTCGAATGTCTTCTTCCTCTGGCCCCACCGAAAAACCAGGACTCGGCTCAGTGCGTCGTCGTGTTCTTTCTGGGAGGGGGATTATCCCGCGTGGAAGGAACATATTTGGCGTGCTTGCAAAGTTGAATGGGGTAGTCAAATGATGGGGACCATATGCCCTATCTGGGTAATTGAACAGATGATTGTTCAGTGTGTATCCATAGGGTGGCAGATAGGGGTCTGGTGAGTGGAACGACGACCATGACAAGTTGCCAAAGGTTGACGGAGCCGGATTATCGAAAGGCCTGTTGTACACGTCCGGTCCCAGTGGAAGGGGAGGAGACAGGGTATAGTGGTCTCTGGGTTCGGGGTTTGTACCTGGCACAACCAGCTCCCCACCGTAATCCGGTACAAAGGTATAGTCTACCCCAGTGCTGGGGATCTGGTCCCTAAATACGGCGGGTTCTCCTTCTAACAAGCCGGGGATGGTAGAGCTCACAGTAGCGACTTCGGTAGCTGTGCCTTGTCTTTTTTGTCGAGGCTGAGTCAATGACGATGACAACTTCGACGACACTTTAGGCCGGGAGGCTTTAGGGTTATTGTGTTTCCTGATTCGAGAGGGAGGAGTAGAGGAAGAAAAGGACACGGTCCGATGCCCCTTTCTCGGCTGCCGTGATGCATGGTCAGATGGCCTATCCCTGGCAAGGGGAGTCGAAGGGGTCTTCACAGATATGTGACCAGGATGTAAAGCGACGACGTCAGTTTCATTCGTCATTGCCGTTATCCCTCTTTGTGTCTCTCTCTGGCAATGGCCTGATGCCACACTCTTGTCTGACAGGGACGCAGTGTTCCTGTCCCTGTTCCTGGACGCGTCCGACCGTGTGTTGTGCATTCAAACTGCCGGTTTGTCGGTCCTTTGCCTTGTTGTCACACCTCTCGCCGGTCATTGACAGTGGCGCAGGGGGGGGCAATTGGTCTTCTCAATTTGAAACCGGTGAAATAATTGTGTAGTAGAACCAATACTAGGTATTTGTTGGTTTCGTAATACATACATAGTAGTATGTACATACAAGCTCCGCTTTCGTCAGCTTATTTTCTTTGCAGAAAGGGTGGTGCACAATGTGTTTGGCACATTTTCTTAAGATCCCTCGCCGGATCAAACCGTTACGTTTTGACAGTCCTAGGATCCTTACCTACCTAGGTGGAAAGAGCTTTATCGGAGGTCATTCCGCGATGGCTTGAGGTTGGACGATGATGATCTCAGCAAGGCGTTGGCAAGATACACAGTGTATGGCATAGGTATACTACTACCTAACATACAACCTGACCTGCTACCTGACATGCTACCTGACCTATTACCTGACTTACATTAACCTAACCCCTCTTCTCTCTCTCTCCCTCAGATTGGGCAGTCTGCCGAATACCTAGCACCACACCGAGGACACAACAAAAGCAAAGCGTCAAGCCACATACATATAATCCAATCCCGGTCTCAAGGCGCGGTCTTCTACTTGTAACTACCTTAGTAAGTAAATTACTTCAAGATTATCATGTTTCTTACATCATTATATACATACTTACATATGTTGTACATCGCGCCCCCAACATGGGCGCATAAGCTACCTATGTATGTACCTTACATACATACATGTGCCTACCTAGTACCTACATACCTATACAAAATACTTGGTAGTAACACGGGTGGGCGGGCTGAACTGGGTGAGTGGCCTACATACATATGTACCAAGGTTAGGTATGTACGCCTCATCCTCAGAAGCAAGTCGGAGTAAGAAATTCGAAGCCTTATTTTCTGCTTGTATGGGCCGTGATGAAGCATGCATTGCTGTATTATGGAGTGTGAATGGCGAGGGCTGTTGTCAACATGACACCATCCTACAGCCTGGTCTAACCCCACGAGCTATATTACGATATGGTGGTCCGCGAGGCAAGATTTAAATATAAATATGCCTAGTAAAGCTCAAGCTGGAGTTGGTAATTTTGTATAAGTAATTAAATAGATAATTCTGTCATCAGCCCAGTCAGAAATATATCTGCCGCTCTTTTTTTTCTTTGGATTTTTCTTATATAATTCGCGCGTCTCTTTGTGCCGAGGCTACGCGACCCTGAAAATCGAGTCGCGATATGCGAGCTGAGCCGAACTCGCTCACCGGTCGAAGGGACGAATCCCATGCCATGATAGCCTCATACGAGATCCACGCAGGGGGATAAGCCAGCACCAATGGAAACAATGAACCTGCTAAATGCTTCCCTTGGAATCATTCCCGAGTGGTTCTATGTCAATCAGATTGAGCATCTACGGGAGATCTCTATGCCATCTCAGTTCTTGCCTCACAGCAGGGAACTTGATTCCGGCATTCCGGTGCTACGTCAGGCACAATGCTTTCAAGGACTTGTGGGGGAGGTGGTGTGGGAAAAGCCCGCCTTCGGGTCTAAACATCTCATGGGGGGAGTGGCAACCAGACTTCAGCAGAAAGAATTTGTACGATGTGATAGACGATCCTATTCCTTTCCTTTCCAATGTGGGTAGGTTAGATCCGCCCCGTAAAGCCCGCACTCATCGCGGCTCGGGCGTTATTTTAGTATTACAATATTCGTCGTAAGTACAACAATGAAAATAGACATTCAACGGTTCCAGTGCAGATCGGACGGGACATCAACTACCTAGTAGGGAGGTAGACAGGTAGGTAGCTTTGTGCTTGTATTTCTGGCATGCCATTTCACTCTCGTCCGTTCTGTTGCTGGCCTTCACCATACCCCCCCATCTCATTGTCCGCCGCGATAGCCATGCTAATTCTCGAAGGAACGGTAGTCTCTCTATACAACGATGCAGCTTCTTTAAGGCAATACAGCCGGATGTACAGCCGGATGAGACCACACAAAGATTTCCCGAACCCTGTGTGTGACCACATCGTTCGGCGCCTCGTTGGCATTCAGTATTGCTAGACCCATCAAGCAGTCCTTCTGCAAGGTCAACGCGATGATTCTTCTCATCGACCAAGTCCACCGCTATGAGTCTTTCAATAAAATAAGGACTGATACGAGCCAATAATGGATGGGTTGAAGCGTACATAGAAATTGTGCCATGGTTCAATGAGTCGTTGTCGAAGTGCTGAGAACAGCAACCATGTAGTAGTCGTTATAAGTCTCTGAGATGGAGAGGCTTCTCCCCTTCCAGGGAATCTATCTCGTCCAGACTCCTGGAAACGAGTCTTTAAAATGACAGCTCACATACTTACATCCGTTTCTGAGAGCCTTGTCTGCCTGCAGCCATGGATGCGCGAAAAGCATGATCTTGCCGCGGATATCTTATCCCGGCAGCAAAGCAGCATTCCTCGGCCACCCCCGGGGTATCCCAACTTTATTGATGGTCCAATGAACTGGTCTGGACATGAAGCTGATAAGATGCAGCTTCGTGTCCTCGAGCTCACTGCGTCGGATGTAACCGAAATAGGGGAAGGCTTACAATTCTTCCACAGTACGTTTTCTTAGTAATACTAAATACTCCTGCTAGTCACAGTATTCCCAGTATTCCCAGTATTCCTGGCTTACAATTATGTAGAACTTGAATTAGATGGGGTCGAGGCAACTCGGGAACATTTTCCCCTTCGAAACCTTCGGAATCGACTCGAACAATGTGCCCTCGAAGTTCATCGTGGCACAGGAGTATGCATTATTCGTGGGCTGAATTCGAAAGACTATACCATCGAAGACAATATAGTTCTCTTCCTTGCTCTTGCTAGTTATGTTGGCGATCAAAGAGGTTTACAGAGCTCTAAGGGTGACATGCTCTGTAGGTTACCAATAATTCATTCATTTCCATCTCTTGCTAACGTAAACGAAAGCACACGTCACCGAGGCTAAGATGTGGACTATATCTAAGGAAAAACGCCACGGAATTCATACCAGTGATAGTTTGGTAAGCACAGAACCCCATCAGAAGAGAGAAGAAGTACCTATCCCAAGCTGACTGTAGGTATATAGCCCTTTCATAATGACATGGGATGCGAGGTCCTATCCCTCCAAGTCCGTGGCCTGGCTGATGCAGGCGGGCGTACCTGCGTGGCATCTATGGCCGCCATTTACAATGAATTGATACAGTCAAGCCCCTGGGTTTTACATACTCTAGCCAAACACGACTGGCCAATTCAAACGTAGGCGAAGTTAATCATTGGAGGGTTACTGTTTAACTAATACTCTTCTCAGTAGCAACTCGCGAAAAAAGCCACGATACGTTTTATGCCCTCTTCTAAAGTTCCATGCCGATAATCTATTAATTTCGATGGATCCTGCTCGCATTGGGCCACACCCTAAGGACTACAACAGTTCGATTCCACACATGACACCTAGACAGAAGGATGCCCTCGCGGTACTCCAGGCGACAGCTCAGAAGCATCAGATACGACTAGAGACTCAGGTCGGGGACCTTGTATTTATCAATAACCTAGGACTCCTACACGCCCGCGAGTCATACAAAGACGGCTATTGCTCCAGACATTTAGTTAGACTTTGGCTTCGAAATACACGGCTAGGGTGGGCGATCCCCCCCAGCATGAAAATGCCATGGGATGCCTCATTTGGAGACGGAGCTAAGAAGGTGGTTAGGAGGTATTATCCTATTGTGCCAATGCCTGAATACATGGAAAGCAAGTACTCGAACGGCACGGCGGCATTTGTGGCCGAGGGTGATTCAGACGACGACGAGGTTACTACTCAGTACGAGATCAATGATATAAGTCCAGAGTCCGACGAGGCCGCTTAGGTTAAGGTTCTGAGGTGTGAGTGTTTTGGTCTAGAAATTCTTATAGATGAACTCCTTATAGACATGTCAGCGTATTCCCTCGGTCGTGACATCTACCCCTTAGTTTCTCAGATTACTTAAGTTAGGTGATGCTGACGCATGGGCTTGATGATCCCATTAACTATTGCCTCTTGGATAGCGACTTAGTACGGCGTAGAGTGTTTAGGTCGTGCTTATGCTTGTGTATAAGGGGGATTCTGGCTTCTATAATACACAAATAAGCGACATTAGCAGAGCTATAACTCGGCAACTATTTCGAGCAGAAGAACTTTTGTATTCCCGATTTGTAGAAATGGAGAGCCAAGTTGAAACAACAAAGCGCCACCTATTCATACAGGTTCCTGACGATTGATAAGGGAACATTAGCATAACTAATAGTTATCATGGCTGTCTAAAATGTAACAAGTGACAGAAAAGAAGACAGTTCCACCTTCACAATTAGTTATTCTATCCATGATAATTGTCTCTTATCTCATTGATCACCTAAGAACCTACAGTAGGTATTAAGGAGTAGGTACCTACGCCACCACATACTTCCCTAAGGTAGATATCAAGACATGCGCAACTTACACTTTAGAGGAATTATAATTAATCTAATGCTTTCTATGTCATTACTGGAGAAAATCAAGTATTTACGCATTGTAAAGGTATGCAAATCTACTGGACGGAAATCACCGAAACTGATCACAATTTTCAAGACCTTGTTGGAGGATTAACATGAAGCATGAATGATAGGTGTTGTGGCCCACAACACGGTGTTTTCTGATACCTGATGGAACACCTTAACAAGTTCCTACGCCAGTGGCGCGGAGAATGGACATTAATGATCGGCAGCCGTTCCACAATCTTAATGACAATCTCATCCGAATAGATCCGAGTAGAGCCGAACGGGATGTGACGAAGCATGACTACAACGCGGATTCGGGACACGGCCGTAGTTGACAGGACGGATGGCCGGATTTTGTTTGCATAGGTATGGCATGGCTAAGAACTGGGTAAGATCAATTCAAACGTCTCTCTTTTAAGCTTGGCTTTTTTTTTTTATCTTTCTCTTTTCTTTTCCTTTGTCTAAATTAATCCACCTACACATCCCACCAAGGCGCTTGAACAAATGATTTTTTTTTTTGGCTTTCTTAGTAACGTGGAGGAAAGGCTTGACAAGTGTCAGTGCCAGTATCAGATATGTATGCAAACGCCGCGCCAATATTATCTCAAACAAAATCTAAGGCTTGGTTGGCTTGGCCTTGCGAAGGCGAACTATGCGTAGTTTATGGGGGGCACTCTGATACATTCAAAGAAATGTGACGAAATAGAGCACCACAACTAACTATGAAGAGTAGAAGTAGGCTACACAGTTATGTACCTTGTATGCTAGAAATGCCCATTGCCAACAGAACTAGAGTGGATAAAGGTAGAGTAATTGCGCTGTTGCGTTGAAGGAATCTCAAGGTTGTTTGTCGTAGGCTGTGCACGTACGGAGTAGTACCTATGAGAATCATTCATTACCCGGCTACCTGTCAATTTGTCAATTACTATGTAAAGCAAAGTCGACGATCATGCAAGGTGGATAAAGGGGAATTGCAACTTGCGGAAGATCACCATAAACTCGTGTTGTTCATTGCCTAGACTAGACACAAGACAGCTAAGAAGTCCCACTAGCCAATCCAAGGCCGATCTGACCGAATGTAATACGGTTGACCCAAGAAATGTTTGATAAGCTAGTTGGCTGGGGCCATACACAAATCATAAATGACCTACTGGGCAGCTTTTGGGCTTGCTAGAGCACGACAGAGAATTACACAAGCGCCGTACCTGATAATCATCTAACCTACTAACTATTATGTACGTATGTTCGGTCAGAACCTTACTTTACTTACATTAGTATTCCGTGAATTAGAGTAGATATTACTACGTACTAGGTAGGGAGGTATGTAAGTACTAAGTAGGTAGACAGTAGACTTCAAGGTTATTAACTAGGGATTTGGATTGGTAAATAGCTGGCTGGTACGAATAGGCCGAGTTTCTCACACGGGCCAAGGAACACATTACTGTTCATTTGACCAGAATACACTATTAGGTCTAGATGACAGTAGATGTCCTCAGCTCCTACTGCTATACAACGTCTTATTACCTATCGCCAATCTTTACTGCGCCTCGCTGAAGACGGGTCCAACAGCGTAGGGCGTTCCACTAAACTTGAGAACCCTTTTCTGATCGACAAGCATGATAAATACCTACCCTAATAACCTAGCGTTAACTCCAACAAGCACGATTTTTTTTTTTTTTTTTACACACCTGCACCGCACTTATTTCTGACCTTAGATTGCTGTTTACTATGTAAAGAGGCAAAGGTGCATGAAAACCGCTTCCTTGTAAGTTATTTCTGTTGTTTTTATCGAGTTATCGACAAGGTGCATATATCCTATATCATAGCACTAGGTTAAGTAAAATTTGAAGCTACATACTTTACATAAAATGTAGTTATGTATGTAATTCATATGAGAAGGTAAGTATATCGACAAGTTCTGTATCATTCATGATGGATCTTTGCAAGCGCAAGCGCAAGAAAATGGCTTATGTATTGAGATTGGTTGGTTTCCATTAAATTTCAACTTTTTAACTATTAATAAACAAACTTTGATCTGTCAGGCGTCATGGACTCATGGTAAGTTACATACAATGTCATACATACCTACCTATTCAAAGTTGTATTGTACATTGTACATCCGTAGTGGTACGTAGTACGTACAATACATACTAACAAACATACCTAAAGGTACCTAGTACCTTTCCCCTGTTCCCATCTACCCGCAAATACCCCGGTCTTCACTAATCTACATCGGTCTTTTCATGGCGAGTGTAAAGCCAATCAAGGGATTCAATTCAAAAGAGCTCCATTGATCGGGACCAGTTTTAATCTCTCTTGTCGAGCTAGACCCTGGAGACCTTCTCCTTAACTAATATCTCGTAATAATGCTTTTCTCCTTTCCTTTTTTAATCGAGACCAGGTCTTGGTCTTGGTCTTCCAACTTTTATACATACCTAATACTTTCCCTCTCTCCCGAACCACACTCTCTTTTAAAGCCTTTCTAATTAATTGGCATATTGGGGGAAGAAAAAGATATTGGTATCCAACCATTCCAACTACACACACTCATTAAATACAGTTGCTCATTCACACGCTCTCTCATCCCGTATTATACCTACATCTCTTGGAAGGAAAGGAGACACCCCTTAGTCCTGGTCGAATCTGCTATCGAAGGATATATCAATAATCCGTACCACGAGATCCTGGAGATCCTCAACGAACCATTACTTAATTAATCCAAGATGGGTTTCTTACGGTCAGCTCTGACCAGCTCGCTGCTGCTTGCCAGCAATGCTGCCGCGCTGGAGCCCATTATCAAGAAGGTCGGTTATATCCTATATCCAGCGCCGGAACACCTCATGAACGGGCGAGAAGAATCTCGGAGTATGTATTTGACTAACCATATATACTTTCAATAGGGTGAGAAGCTGTTCACGGAAAGCGGTAAACAGTTCTTCATCAAAGGTGTTGCGTATCAGCAGGAAGCCGGTGGCGGACCCGGTGGTAGCACCGATTCCGACACCAAGTACGTTGATCCTCTGGCGGATGCCGACACCTGCAAGCGCGACGTTCCGCTGTTAGAAAAGCTCGGCATCAACACCATCCGTACCTATGCCATCGACCCTAAGGCCGACCACAGCGAATGCATGGCCTTGTTGGACAAGGCTGGTATTTACGTCGTCGCCGACTTGGGTGAGCCCGCGCTTTCCATCAACCGCGACTCGCCTGCTTGGAACGTCGAGCTGTATGAGCGCTACACTGCTGTTATCGACAACCTCGGCCAGTACGACAACGTCATCGGATTCTTCTCCGGTAACGAAGTCACCAACAACGCTACTAACAGTAAGTTATAAGTCTGCTTGGTCTGGTTAGCCAGACACCTAGTTGGACTCCGCGCAGACGGAATGTGACTCATGGATAAGTGCTAACCATGCTCCGTAGCTGATGCCTCGGCGTACGTTAAGGCTGCCACTCGGGACACCAAGAAGTACATCTCCGACAAGATGGCTAAGGGTGGCCGATGGATGGGTGTTGGATACGCTGCCAATGACGACGCCGAGATCCGTGTCAACATGGCCCAGTACTTCAACTGCGGTGAGGAAGAGGAAGCCATCGATTTCTGGGGTTACAACATTTACTCCTGGTGTGGCAAGAGCAGCTTCACCGAATCTGGCTACGATGTCCAAGTTAACTTCTTCTCCAACTATTCCGTTCCCGTCTTCTTCGCCGAGTACGGTTGCAACACCGTAAACGGCGCCGAAGGTCGTCTCTGGGACGACACGACCGCTCTGTACTCGGACAAGATGACCGGTGTCTTCAGCGGTGGTATTGTGTACATGTTCCACCAAGAGGAGAACGATTACGGTAAGTAAACCAATGCTATGAATGGGAGATCGCGAAAACTGACATCTGTCCTCAGGTTTGGTCGAGATTGACGGCGATGATGCCACCCCGATGAAGAACTACAAGGTGCTGCAGTCCAAGCTCGCTGATGTGAAGCCTTCGTCGACTTCCATGGCCGCGTACAACCCTACCAACTCTCCTGCCGCATGCCCTGCCGTCTCTAAGAACTGGAATGTCGCCGATACCGCGCTCCCCCCTACCCCTGACAGCAGCTTGTGCGACTGCATGTACAAGTCCATGTCGTGCATTCCTTCGGATGACCTGGAGGAGGAAGACTTTGGCGCCATCTTCGGCTACGTTTGCGCAAACGATGCCGAGGCCTGCGCTGGCATCAAGGCTGACACCAAGACTGGTGTCTACGGCCCTTACAGCATGTGCAACCCCAAGGAGCAGCTCGCCCATGTCCTAAACAGCTACTACACCAACCAGAACAAGGCTTCCACTGCCTGCAGCTTCAAAGGACAGGCCCAGCTTGTTTCCGGCACGGACGATGCCTCGTAAGTTTTATATAAATCATTAGTGAGTGAAAGTTGACTAACCCTCTACTAGATGCAAGGATGCGCTATCGAAGGCCAATGCTGCAGTCGCAGTCGCAGCCACTGCTACCACCGCATCCGACGCTGCCGCTTCCACCGGTGGCAGCTCCACTGACGAGAGCGGTGCCACTTCTATCCGTGCCGCGTCGGTCATGGGTGATATGGCCGTCAGCCTTTATGCTCTCGTAGCCTTGGGTGTTGGTGCTGGTATGGTTATGCTATAAGGAGTTGATAGACATTCTGAACATATGCCATTATGATGTTTTGCGTAGTAGAACTGTTTAACTATTTTTGAGGATCGTTGAGTAGGTTAACATTGAAAAGGGGAGGTTGCGAAGCAATTCCTTGGTCTGGTACTAGACCTAGACCCTCCTAAGATACCTGTCAGCTTGTGTCGCTGGACCGGAATAACACACAGAGCTTCGGAGTCCGTTTTGATCAGTTTGGTGTATGTCTCTTGGTGATTTCGTTTCCGCAGCACAATTCGTACATGTACTTTTAGTACCCAGCCGCATGTTGCACTTGATTGTACATGTCCTATGGTTGTTACCAATAGATATCGCATTAATATTTTCTAACGTTTTGTAATACAATGGGTACCTAGTGTATCTTTGATCATTTAACATGAGGATGCTCCTGAAGGTTGTATTGTTGCCGGTTTGGTATTCCGGGATGCTGACATATGTACAACGTAGTTCTACGTATTGTCTGAAGTACTAAGGGATTTCAGGCCGAAGGGATTGCTAGCTCGCACCGTACATCTCGAGAATCCATGCTTTGACCTTTTCTGCCATGATCTCGCTGTGATCTATGTTCAATGTTAACCTTTGCTTCGTGGTTGAATGTAAGATTGGAAGTTTGTATAGGTACATACGTATACAAAAGGCATGTGGAATACATCCTTCGTCCACTATTAATCTCGTACGTTTCGAATGTTTCTGCCTCTTGATAAACCCATCTCGATGCTCATTCGCTACCCAATGATCATTCTTACCGAAGAAGAAGAAGAAGGTGGGAATTTCTCTGTCGTGAGCTTCGGCTTCGTGGGCTATCTCCCACAATTCGTTGCCCCACCGTTCTTCCCCGATGACTTTCATCTCGTCCATGCCCATGTGTAAAGCCTGCCATACGCCGTCTCGGCTTTTGAGCCAGCGCGTCGTTGTTTCTACCCCGTGAGCCGAGAAGCCCAAGACCCTGCGTACAAGCCAATGAAGGGCATTATGCGGGCAGAGACGCAAAATTGTTTGAGCAATGCGGTATGCATTGTCGCCAAGTATGGGTGTTTTGCGAAGCAAATTGAGCTTCCACCCACTTGGGGAGCTCGAAATATGATGAATGGTTGGAAAGAGGAGGATGCCGGAAGTAAGATGGACATGAGGAGCCAAACTTGGATCTCGGAGAAGGCGATGAAAGAGCTCGAGAGTGATGTATCCACCAACAGAATGCCCGATGAGCAGGATATCGTCGTACGGTAGTCCTCTACGCGGACCAGATTCGATGCGTAGCTGTTTTAGAACAGTGAGGGTATGCTGGATCTGATATTCAAGACTATGAGGCTTCCTGTCCGTCGTGAAAGGTTCATGGTCGTCGTCAGAGAAGCCGGCTAGATTCTGACCGTATATTTGAAAGCGAGCATTTCGGAGCAAGTTAGTCTCATCTAGGAGTGTCCGGAGAGTTGACAAGAAGGGCTCATAGTAGCCAATGAGGCCGGGATTTCCGGAGATAAAGAAGATGAGTACATCACGCGACGGTGACCCTTCATCTTCAACTACTTTGTTGTCTCGTAGTTTTGGAGGTAAAGTTAAGGAGTGAGTATTAGGCATAGTCAAGACCTTTGAAGGTCTAAGAAGAGCTACGTGCCGATTTGTTCCGTACTACGACCAAATCAACTATAACCTTCAAAGTTTCTTTTATATGCTATGTACATATGTATGTACTTATGTATTTGTAGTAGTGTCAAAGTTAATGATATTGTAGTATTCAATGTTGTTTATAGCCTTTGGTTGATTGGTTGCCATGTGGCCACTATAATAGATTCATATATATTATATGCACCTATGCACCTATGCACCTTATGTAGTTATATAGTTGGTCAGCTGCTTAAAGGTACCAACAGCATGTGCACGTGTCGTCATTGTTAACTACCCTAGGTAGGACCTGGTAGGTAGGTACCCTGGGCACTGCTAGGTAGAGTAGAGTAGCATCTCTGGCATCTGCATCTCTTCTTCTTAACCTCAACTCTACAACCTTCCGACATTTCGTGTCACATTACCTGCCTAACGCTGTTTAACCTGACCTTTTGCGATAATTCACTCACATGTACATATTGATATAACCCCACCAAGAGTCACTGGTCATCTGGATAATTCAGCCCACTTTGTCTAGTAGTATGTACTCATTTATCAAAGATCATTCAAGTTGATTCATTGCACACATACCTGAGTTTCCGGTAGGTATGTACCAAGCATATATCTACCTACATAAGGTAGGCATCTACCTATTAACTAAGGCATATACTAAGCAGTGTATGTATGTCCTAAAAGTTGAAACACCATCCATCCATTCATAATCCATCTCTCTCTTTTAAAACCCTAACGCCTATTACCTACCTAGGTACATACCTTACCTACGTATCTTCGATTCTACCTAGCAGTAGTCTGGTAGTAGCACATATGGATTGTGGGTTCTAAATAAATACATGTGCCTAGCGCATCGAATCGTTTTTTTGTTCCTAAGAAGTGGGTAGATCTTAGTTCTTTTAAGTTCTCTCCTCAATTCTTACCTCAAATTATCTTGCATAAGCCCACTATCCGTTTACTGCTTGCTGTAAAGAGACGGGAACCTCGGCCGCCTCACAGATCCCGACCATCTTAACAAGGCCACGACACCTGGTACATATTACATACCTACCTATACCTATGTACTTGCTGTCTACACCTATCAGGCATCCAGCCTCCATTCGTCCTCTGCTTACTAGGTCTCTAGTATTGTAACCAGACCAGACCATACCATCGCTAACTCACCCATCCGTGACACCCATCCGTGGAATCCTCCCGTGGACACTCGTCGAACGCTATATTTCCACCCTTCTCGATCTTCGAATCTCTTCTAACTCTACCTCGTTATCTCGTTCGTTATCTTGCTAGTCTCCGCCGCCTACCCTATCACGTTGCCGACCCCTACCCACTATGACGACCGCCGAGTTGCGGAAGCGTCCGCAGCCTCCGGACACTGTCCCGGGGTCGAAATCTACCATCGATAGTGGTCACCCTGCAGGCGAAGCAAAATACGGCCGCTTCAGGGCCCTCCTCCGAGCCGTCTCGGTCTCCCTATACTTTGCAAGCGGCTGTTTGACGTACGTCCTTTTCTCTTCTTTTGGGTCCTTTCCTGATCGCTTCTCGGGATGAAGAAAAAAAAACGAAATATCGATCTGATATGTCTATAGCATACACATTACCCAGATCCTTGGCGCCCCGATATACTACCTCAACCGCGATTTCTATTATGCATACATGTCCTTGACGAAAGCGTCCTTTGGTCTGTTGATAACAACTATGACTCAGTGGTGGGCGCCTACTGTCATTAGGATTAGCGGCGACTCCTCTGTCGCTGGACAGTTCAGTTTAGCGCCGGATGGTAGAGTCAACTGCGCTTTCCCGGAGCGCATGGTCATGATCGCCAATCACCAGGTTTGTGCCAGGCTATTCTCATCACGTTGGTTCTTGTGTACACGGCTGACAGCCGAGTGCTCTGTGGCAGATATACACCGACTGGTTATACCTCTGGTGGGTAGGATATACGGGCATTCCGCAAATGCATGGACACATCTACATCATCCTGAAGGAATCGTTGAAATGGATCCCCGTCATCGGTCCGGGCTGCATGTTTCTCGGCTTTGTCTTCATGTCCCGAAAGATGGCCGTCGATCAACCACGCCTAGCCCATAGACTTGGCAAACTGAAGACGCGGCATACAGGTCCGGACGGGAAAAGTTATTTAAATCCAATGTGGCTGCTTCTTTTCCCGGAGGGCACTAACCTGTCCGGCAACGGCCGGGATAAGTCAGCCAGATGGGCTGCCAAATCAGGTATTCGTGACTTGGCGCATTTGATGCTGCCTCGAAGTACTGGCATGTACTTTTGCCTCAATGAACTTAAGGGGACTGTGGATTACGTTTACGATTGCACTGTAGCCTACGAGGGTGTCCCGTATGTATCCCTTTCCATGCCGCATCTGCGAACTCTTGTTGTCAAGCTAACCTGCTGTCTTTAGTCGCGGACAATACGGCGAAGACTACTTCACCCTGTCAAGCACTTTCTTCCAGGGCCGACCTCCTAAATCTGTCAATTTCTACTGGAGACGATTCGACCTGGCTAAGATCCCTCTGGACACTCCAGAAGCCTTCGACGAGTGGCTCCGTGAGCGCTGGTACGAGAAGGATGCCTTGCTTGAACAATATGTCGCCACTGGACGATTTCCGGCAAATGGGGCTGGGATCAAGGGGCACATCGAGACGGAAGTGCGGACACAGTATTGGTGGGAATTTTTTAGGATCTTCGTTATGCTTGGCGCATTTGGGTTACTGTTCAATGTCATGCTCAGAACCCTACGCGTGCTCACTCGTGGTTAGTCCATCCCCTTTCCCTCCATTCTTTTCGAAGACCGGTTTTGTGTGGGCGTTGCATATGGAATGGTGATGGAACAAATCGGGGTTGAATTTGATACCCAAGGCGATGTCATGGCGGAATCGCACATATAGGACAGGAGTTTAGATTGATGAACTTTGCATAACGGCATGATATGCATAACTCTACTCTTTTCATGGCTCCTCTAATTACAAGAGGCTGCCTGTGTACTATGTCACTCAGTTCCAGGGAATAATACTGTTATGCTCTTCAGGGCCTAGGAGTGTTGGTTCTTGTCCATTCTAGAAATCATCAACCGTTGCTCGCAAGCAAACCTGACCCTGTTGCAAAATCCTGCAAAGGGAACACTGTCGTTACAATCGGCTAGATTCTCTAGCCTAGATGTTCTTCTACTAGTATATGGGAACGGCAGCGCCTGGAAGTAAACCAATGAGCACAGATTGCCTATCTACTGCAACATGTTGTACATACACCTAGGTAGGTACCCGAGAACTCATGTACATCCAATGGGAAAGGATTCTCAAGATAAGTCGATCTGGCGCCGAGTCTTTGCACTCTCCTTGGCGGCCTCGATGATCCGTAGGACATCTCTCGCCTGGGACGCCGGGACGGGTACATCTTCCTCGCTATTCCGGATGAGGGCCTCGCCAAAAAGGGCATATATCTTGCGGTAGGTCTCAGGCTCGACATTCGGACACTCCTGCTCGTGCAGGTTGCCATTGTCATCCACAGTAGTGAGCCACCCATTCCACTCCGGGGCTTCTCGGCCGAAACTGGCGTCGCTGGTCTTCATGCCGGACTTGAGCTGGGGCTCCTGCGAGTCTAGGCCCGTTTTGCGATAGCTGCCCTTGGTGCCTCGGATGCGGAATCTCGGCTGGTGCACCTCGGCGCTCGCGACGGCGCTGCGCACGAAGACGACGAGGCCGTTGTCGTAGAACAGTTGCACGGTGATGCTGTCGGGCGTCAGGTCTGGCTGCTGCGGTCCTGACAGGACACCGTCTAGCTGGTTAGCAAACGTGGCGAAGACGCCCCGCGGCATCCCAAACAGCACGTACACCTGATCGATCAGGTGGGTGCCGAGGTCGTAGAGGGCCGAGCCGCCTTGGTCCATTCCCAACGAAGCCTTCCAATTGACCGGCTTCTGCAGCCGGAAGCGGTCGAAGTGCGTCTCGAACTCCACAATCCGGCCCAGCGTCTTGCCATCGGCCAATAGTTTTTGAACTGTTAAGAAGTCGCTGTCCCACCGGCGGTTCTGGTACACGCATATCAGGCGGCCCTTCGCCTTGGCGATGCTGATGAGGGTCTCGGCTTCGGCGACGCTGGGCACGAAGGGCTTCTCCACGAAGATGTGCTTGCCCGCCTGCAGGGCTTGCTGCGCAAAGGGGAAATGCGTCTGAGGGGGTGTGGTGATCACGACCAGGTCCAGATCGGCGTCAGCGAGGAACTGGTCTAGAGAAGTGAAATGCTTGATGTTAGGGTGGTCGCGCGGGGCCGACTGCTTGGACTCGCTGGGATTCCGCTGCAGGATGGAGTGAAGCCGTAAGGTGGGCGTGATGGTGATGAAGGGTATATGAAATATGGTGGCGGACAATCTGAGACGCGTTAGATTATAGCTTCGTGTGAGCGAGGTTATTCACAGTATCTTACCCATAGCCGATGACACCTACGTTGAGCGTACGGGTTGTAGCTGAGTCGGCCATTGTGATTTTCGGGTTTAAGGGGGTTAGTAAATTGGTGATGTCCTTTTTCTCTTGGCCAATTCTTGGAAGCAAAGCTGAAGTATCTAGGTTAGGTTACTCTATTAATATAGGATGCAGTGTACTAGGTTAGGTAGTTAGAAGAGATGAAGCTCATTACCTAGACATAGGGAGGTATGGACCAATCTATATATATCAACTCTTGCGGATTTGAATACCTACCTACCTCTAATACTATGTCCCTACTCATGACATTCTACTGGTTGACTGTTAAAGTTACCTATTTAGATCTAGGTACAATACCTACACATGAGAAACATCCGATGTCATTATGTAAAAAAGATGCTAAGTAATGGGGATGTCATGATAGTTATTACAATATCGAATAACTTATGTATCATCTGAAGGCCGTGCGAATTGTAGCACATGAACAGTCCGTTCCTCCAAAAAAAAAATGAATCATATTTTATATTTTAGCTCTAGATAATATCGAAAATCATCACAATCATCGTCATTGTCTTTGTCTCTTCTACGACCAGCTACATACATGGCATTAGTACAAGATATCGACATCTACTGATATTTAAGACTACCTAGTACCTACCTAGGTAGGTTACCTAAGTATTTAGGCAGACTCATAAAGACCACTGACTGAATGGCTATGGGGTGAAATAGTAGAAGTGAGAATATTTGAGATTCTCTCATCTTTTTTTTTTCTCTTCAATTTTTTTTTCATTCAGTTTTTTGTTTTTCCGATTATCTTACCAGAACTACTTTGGCATAGGAAGAAGAAGTAAGAGAATCAGAAAACCCGGGCTTAAGAATGCTACATGTGCTCTCTTCACACTATTCTAGCTTAATATTCGGCTTGTATGAGCTATGCGATCCCGTCGCGATACTACCTAGAAACCTACATATATCGTTCGTTCCCTACGGTATTACTCCCAATTGCGAGTCTTAAGGGTTAGTTGCGAGGGACGACGATTATATTTTGACTTGGGAGTCATGCTTTTCAGCTAGACACCAGTTACAGTCAGCATTGAAAGTCATAGCCAAAGTCAAATCGCAATATGCCTCGGCCGAGTATCATTGATACCTACCGGCGCCAAGTCACACGATGCGCTCAACGTGTGCGCGCATTCTCAGCGACCACTTGTCGCAGAGAGGTTCTCGACGTCTCTTCGCTTCCCGACCGCATACTGCCCAAGTACAAGGATAGCCCGACGTCTTCGCTCCTGTCGCTGCAGTGGCCAGAGCCGCCTCGGAATATCCTGATCATCCCGAAGCTCCACACCCCCAAGGTAACCGATTCCACCCTCGCCTTTGCGAGCCACATCTACCATGAGTACCCCAACCTGAACCTCGTCTTCGAGCGCCGCATCGCCGCCACCATCCACGAGTCCCTGCCCTTCCCCATCTACACCGCCAACCCGGCCACTTTCCCCGCCAAGATCGACCTCGTGGCCACCCTGGGCGGCGACGGAACCATCCTGCGCGCCGCCAGCCTCTTCAGTCTCCACGCCTCCGTGCCCCCGATACTGTCTTTCAGCATGGGCTCGCTGGGCTTCCTGGGCGAGTGGAAGTTCGAGGAGTACAAGCGCGCCTGGCGCGAGGTCTTTATGAGCGGCAGCCGTGTCGCGGTCTCCGACTTACAGGATCCCCACACCCAGTTCGTTGCCAACGGCCGGCCGGACGGGGGGGACGAGAGCCACCTGCACCGGAATTGGGAGGGTGTTCGCGGGAAGAGCATGGGCCTGACCCGGTCCAGCAAGATCCTCTTGCGCCATCGGCTGCGCGTCGGGCTCTACGATGCCGCGGGGGTGAACATGAACGAGCATCTGATACCGACCTCGACCGCCGAGCCGGGCCAAGCGACCCCATCGCCAATACCACCCGACGTCACACTACCCACCCAGGGCCAGCAGCCCTTCCGGCCCTTCCACGCCGTCAACGAGCTAGTCATCCACCGCGGCCCAAACCCACACCTCGCCATCATCGACGTCTACGTCAACAACCACTTCCTGACGGAGGCCGTCGCGGACGGTATGCTGATCAGCACGCCGACCGGATCGACGGCGTACTCTTTGTCCGCCGGCGGCAGCATCATGCATCCCTTAGTCAAGACGCTGCTGATCACGCCCATCTGCGCGCGCAGCCTGAGCTTCCGCCCGCTGGGCCTGCCGCTGGAGACCAAGGTGGTGCTGAAGCTGAGCAAGAAGAACCGCGGGCGCGAGCTCGAGGTCAGCATCGACGGCAAGCGGCGCGCTGGCGTCACCGTCGGCATGGAGATCCGCGTCGAGGGGGAGACCGTGGGCCGCCACGCCGACGGGAGCTGGGCCGGCGGCGTGCCCTGCGTGATCCGCTCTCCGAGCCGAGGGGATGGCGAGCGCGACGGGATCGCTGAGGATGACGACGGGTGGGTTGGTGGTCTGATCGGCCTGCTTAAGTTTAACTATCCGTTTGGCGATGGGCAATGACATGGCAATGACATCGTTCATGTGCTCCAGTTCATGTGCTCTATAGGTTGGTCAGGCATTAGCAGGTGAATGGGAACCAAAGCTGATGAGCAGAGTTATGGTCCAAGATCTGGCTAAAACCTAGCCAATACAACATAACGACCCAAGATCAATCGAGGCAGAGCTTCTCTCTTCTAAGCACGAGAGATTTCCCTTATAAGAGATACCCTAGGGCGCAATGCCTACCTACCAGTCCGAGATGAATCAAGGTACCTACCTACCTAGTACTTAATACCTCCTACGTTACTAAGAGGCATATCCGAGATATTAGATCTCGCATCGGCAATCACAAACAAAAAGGGCGTATCAAAAATATTCTCGTATAGAACTATATACCAGTTTATCAAGTCCTATAGGTCTATTGACTTTCAAGGTCGTAATCGAACGATTAATGACCCTGTACCTATCTATAGTCCTCACATGCCAGATTTAGGATAGTCTCTTTATTTCATTCTCCATCGTCTTTCCGACAAGCGATTCGCAAAGGAATCTGACGAGTACCTAGCTGTTTATTTCCTCATTACATCCTCATTACAAACGCAGCGGCAAAGTAGTACCTAGTCAAGTGTCCGGATTAGGGTTGGCATGGGCTCTTGCAGGATAACACTGGTACTGCACTGGAATGCATTCATCATCTTTTTGGGCTCCTTCTCGAGTTTACCTATACGAACCACATATTTTCGACTGATTCGTATCACCTCGCCTAATTCACATGCTCTCGATGGATTCACACCTCCCTAATTTATTTCTGATTCCGGTTTTATCCTTGAGCTCCTCTACTCTAAGAACCCCCTCGTTTGAAGAAGAGATTGGATGCGCGTCACTGCTGCCTGTAATTCCGTCGAGTTACTTTGCAAGGAAGCCTGCTTATACGATTCTAGGAGGTCCTTGGCGTTGTGTCGTAAATGCAGCCGGACAGTCTCTTTCCAGAACGATGAGAGGTTTGCGTAGGGGTGGCCCTCTTCTGGATACGTGTCCTTTGCGTGAAGGATCTGGAGCCAAGGTTGCAAGGCATACTCTAGGGTCATTATTCGCACCTGAATTCTGTATCTCTCCTCTTCGTGGCTGTTTCTCTGAACTTCTCGGCCTGGCTCGTTGAGCCACGGATTCTCGCAAAAGATCATGGATAGCACGCTGACAAATAACTGGAGCAGTGTAGACTCGTTTGCTTGCCACTGCTTTCCAGCCCATGTTCCGAGAAGAGAGAGGCATACTGTTCGCGTTTATTGTTAGCACCAGATCGTCGATTCGGCTTGTGTTGCTACTCACCTTTGCCATCTTCGTATAGGTTGGGATTGAAACGCGCCTTACCGCCGTTCGTCGTCTTGAATCTTAGCTGAGGTGGGGAATTTGGGTAATTCACATCGCAATACAGGTCGAACTCAAACAGACCGTGCTCATAAGGGGTACCCCTAGGGGCAATTATCAATACCTTCATCACGTCGAGCCGGGACGATCCGTGACGGATGTAGATACCATCCGGTAGCGACGCCTGCAGCGTCGAGATCTCCGTGATTAGCCTTTTCATCCGGCCTTTGATTGGGTTATTAAACCGCGCCACTTCTCTCATGAAACAAAAGTTGCTCATGATCAACTCGTCAGAAACCTCTCCGATGCATTTCTCCTGGTGCCATTTGGATAAGTCCTGGCTGGGCTGGTCATCGCAAAGATCCATCGTAGTTCGAAGCCGCTGCATGTTAACGGTATGCTGGACCGCCATCTGGCTCAATCGTTGGCAAAATTTCAATAAGTTCTGCCCCTCTGGGTTTTGAAAATCAGCAGGATGGTCCTGGGAATGGCGGAGTATCGTCTGCGACTGAGCTGCTAGCTTTTTAAGCAGCGTGATCAGAGGCCTACCGGTATCGATCGAATAGATTCTGTTATTTGCCTGTCCAGATTCGAAGGAGACGCTTAGCAGCGTGCCACCTCTTGCATGGTAGAGGCTTCGGTCGTCGTATACGAGCCCCGCAGTGGCATTATGACCGCCCAGCGCATCGAATAGGTCCAGCGCAGCATCGTGGATCTCATATTGCTGCGAGATATCATCCATGGAGTCATTGTTAAGTAATGACGCAACCTCTTCTATCAGCGGGCTGCGTGAGATCATTTGCGATAGAAAATCCGCCGGCGATGTATCATAAGCTGTTTCCTCTTTCGAGGATGGTAGTAGTCGTGACAGAAGTCGTAGATACGCTTCACGTGTAGTATTTCCTTGTGTATCAACAGATGGCTTCGGTGTCGGATTTGTGGATAAAAATCGCCTAGTGAGATGAGGAAAGGGGAGTTCGTCATTCATTCCGCCACCATAACCGACTCCACTGTCCGAGATTAAACCAGCCGACGACATTGTGTTTATGGCCTTCCCTTTCATTTTGTAGATGCTGGACCGGGATCGCGATTTGGAGGTTGTGGTCTGCCAACCGCAAGCAACTGCCCACGCTGCAGCTAGACGTCCACGATCGCAGCACCAATGCACACTTAACTTTACCCCGGCGACACCTAAGGGAATACCTGGCCCATTAGCCTTGGATGGGTTGAAGGCTTCGCCGCAACCGAGGCATGTCACTGTTTGGCAAAAGACGCTCTGGCATACCGCGCCGAGGAGGATTCTCCCTACGTCCGTTAGCATTGACACGGGTGAGGAAAGAGGGGAGAATATCAAACTTACCAGTGCTCTTAGCCCATCCTGTCGTCATCTTAAGGACAGTTTGCGCGTTCATCTTGATGTCTTTATGGCATCCAGCGCATGGTGTACGAAAACACTCGTGTAGGAATTCGCGTAGCGGTTGCAAATCCTTCAGAGCCGCTTCAATCTTTGCCGGCTCGTCTGGGTGCTGCTCTGCCTCGACAGAAGACTCTGTGGCATCCTTAGTACCCGTGTCGACATCCATCTTATCAGATTGGGATTCTTCTGCCGCCGACGAGAAGTGGAGAGCAGGACTGGTTGCTGACCAGTACCATGGCGGACCCGACACTTCATCAGCTGAGTTGCCATTGACTTGCCCAAAGGAATGGAAATTACCGGGTGCTGCATGGGTAGCACCGAACATATGCATTATGTAGTGGCTGTGGCTTGAGAACGACTTAGGTAGCGGCACAGGCAGCTTTGACTCAGGCGCTGGCTTGGGAAATTTGCTGACGGAATCTTTTGTCAAATGATGGTCACTAGTTGCGCTCGGGTGTCCGACGCACGGCGCGTAGGAGTGATGGTGTGTGGCTTGACCCAGTTTTTGAATGGAGAAAGAGGGAGGGGGAGATGGCCTTGGTATCTCCTCATCACCTTCCTCACCAGAGGAGTACATCAATGAGCGGAAGTCTTCGTCGACAGAGTAAGAAGACAAGGAGGAGCGCAATGAGTTATGGCTTGTTTGGCTACGTGCACTGGCTCGGCGACGAATAATCTGAAGCCGGTCTTTTTCTGAACGACCAAAACGGGGCCCTCTACCCAAGCTTGGAATATTGGCTTTAAAGCTGTTATTTGGCTCAATAGGTAGATGGTTGCTTATCGAGGGGTTTGTCACTTGTCCCTGGCTCTGAGTTTGGTTCATACCTGTTCCTTCAGCTGCCGGGAAATCTTGGAAAGGCCCGATGAGTTTTGGCTTTGCGAGAGGCGCGATCTTCTCAGAAGTAGGTGTTGGTATGTGTAAGGGGGCTTGGCCTAGACCATGCGCTTCACCACACGGCTTTTCGGCGGTCTCTGGTGTGGGAGTCCGTGGAATATGTAGCGTCTGGGAAACTTTCTTAGACTGTGTCGAAGAGGTCGCTGCCGAGATCGATGCTTGATCTGAGCGCTCAGATGTCACGCCACCATCCATGGCCGAATCGTCTAAGGTCGAGTCTTGATTGTGATGATGTCGATTGCGAGATAATCGACTGGAAATATTCTTGATTGCTCCTAGACCGGGAGCCATGAGATCTGGGTTATCTGAGAATCTGATGACGTGACGACACAAGGCTACTAGGTAGCAAGCCCCGGATTGTTTTGTATATGGGCCGTGGACACAAATAGATAGACGAAGCCTACTACGTTAGTTAGCGACGGACCTCTATCTGCAAATCTGTACGAAATGGATTATAGCAGCAGTAAGTTGATGCGAGTGCGCAATAATGTTTTGTTGCGCGTGGTTCACGTTAACTGGACACTTTGAAGAAGGCGTGTATTTTTATTGTTATTGGCAATGGTAATGGTAACGGTAAGGGTAACGGTAGAATGATACATGTGTAAGGTTGAAATGATGGGGTATCAATGTTAATTGAAAATACCTAGATACCTACCTGCCTTTTATAGCTGATTGTTTGGATACGAGATGGAATCAACGCGAAATGGTTTCACTCCAACCATAAGACGGCAACCGTCTTGTCTTGGTTCTTTTTGGATCCTTAAACGTCTAAGGGAAGACGAGGTCGATTCTGTGAATATACCGTATTTCCTATTGCAGTGTCGATCTCGATATAGATGTCAGATGAAGGTATTTTCTGTAATCAGCCGTAACCGTAAAGAAAGCGAGAAAATAGAAGAGAAGAAGATGGGGCGGGCAAGACGACAACAATGGATGAGAAGCGGGACAACAAAGTGAGCACTGTCCAACAGCAGTTTATAACCACCAGGTAGTAAATGCTAGGAAACAGCGTTAACGGCAAATAAAACCATATTGCTCAAGTAGCCCGAATATTTTTTACCTACCTTATGTACACGATGTGTACGATGGATGCGGATGCGGATGTGGATGTGGGTGTGGGTGTGGATGTTGAGAACTACTACTATGTAGTATGTAAGGCTACATATGCACAGATGTAGCTACCTAAGGTTAGGTAGGTATTTAGTGCAGTGTGTACCTACATAGGATGTCAATATGGTATGTTCAGGTTGGCCTACCATACAAATGTGTACATATTATCACATGGCGTGGTGTGTATGCCACTGTATGGTAAGGCATGACAGTTCAGGTTCAATGTTGGGGTTCAAATGTTTGTGTGATGCAGACCGTTGATACCCTACATACAGAATAAGCAGGTACAGTATGTATATATGCACTACTTCAATGCTCACACGGCAGTGTAATTTACATCATGATGGCACTTACCTCCATTACTATGTACATAAATAGGCAGGTGCACTGGAGATATTGGTATCTATAACTTGAAGTTAAGTGCGTCTTCATACTAGTTATGTATATATACATATACCACTACTAGGCACCTAGGGTGTGTAAGTTTGAAACGACAACATTGAAGGAATTCGACGATTGATAGTATTGATGTATGTCCCTATGTATGGCCCTACATGCATCCACAGGCATAGTTAATGGATAAATACACTGAGTCAGGAACTTAATATGTAACTACATGTTAATGAAAGATGATCCCATTACATAGTAGCTGCATACGTACATATAACCTACTAAGCAGGTATCATGTATATTTACATATGTAGAACTTGAATACACTATGTAGCCCACTCAGCCGCAGCGGGGTAAGCTGGCGTGATCCACCATCCATCCCGTTAATCCACTCCACAACCTTAAACTCCACCTACTTAGGGCAACATGGAAATGTCCCCATTCAAATATTGTCCCTTTGATAATTTGGTCCAATCACAAATGCCAAACACATTTCGCTTATCTTCTTCCACTATGGTTAACGATAGGTATCAGTGATCTGCTCGTGCGAAAGCTACATAAGTATTTTCGCATCACTGCTGGCCTACATAGGTACCTAGGTAGGTAATGGGTGATCCCGCAACAAGTGCCATCACAGGCATTGTGGATAAGACATGCCGACCCTTGAATTGGTCAAGATATTGGACTATGTAACCTTAGCTAACTACAACTACCTAGGGTAGTCTTCGAAGTTCGAACAGCTAGGCGTCGATGATTCTATAGGTTCAATGTTATGTACGAAGTACGTGTACCTTGTCTTACCTGGTACGTACATAGATTCAACCGAAATGAAGAAGAATCAACGATAACATTAGCTGGACATTAGCTGGATTATCCCCGTTCTAAGAATACCAAGAATACCAAGAATACAAGAACAAGAATTGCTTCCGGAGTAGTTAGCGTGATGTCATTGTGCCACCTACGTCGTCCATCTAATTACCTAGTACCTAGGGTAGCCTGGATACTAGTTTGCTTTCTACTATGTACCTAAGGACATTGGGTATATTAACCTTGAACACTCTAACCTACCTAGTAGTCTCTCGCTCATAGCCCCAACCATTCTCACCTCCTCACTTCAAGTGCCTCACATTCTCGCACAAAACAAAACAAAACAATTCAGTCACAACACTTTTAATTTACCAAACTACTTTGCTATTTTCAATATGGATTTCGTAAACAAGCTCACTGGTGGCTCCAAAGAGGGCCAAGAACAGAAGCAGCAGGGAACTGAAGAGCAGAAATCAAGTGGTGGTTTCATGGACAAGATCAACGCGATGGCGGGAGGGGGTAAGGAAAGTGAGAAAAATGAGGATGCAATTGACAAAGGTTTGTCCATCTCGTATCCCTGGCTTCCATGAAACCTCCATATGAAGCCTAAGGCGTAAGACGTCAACTATATCATTGCTCAAAATTTTAACCGGTCACTTTCACAGGTCTTGATTGGGTTCAAGAGAATATACTAGGCCAAGGGGACCAAAGCAACGAGAGTGCTGTTGAACAAGCTAAGGACGAGCAGATCTCCGATTTCATCCGTGCTCAATATAAGAAGACGACGGGCTCTGAAGTACCAATCCAAGACAAGTGAAACTTCTAGACATACATGTACCCTATCTCCCTAGGTAGTCTGCTGCAATGGAGCACGGAGCAAACTCAACATCGAGGAAACAGGCGTCTCACTTGATAAGATTCGATAATAGAAGATATTTTGATGAATTTCTAGAAAATTATTGCAAATACACCAGCAAAGCCTCACTAGCCTTCAACGTCACCGTTGTCTTTCCATTAGTTACTGTGAGAGGTTCGACGGCCTCAGCGCCCGCCATGGTGCAATCTCCGTTAGTAAATGTCTGCCCTCCGAAGGACACCAGACCATTTTGATCTATCCTAGACATAGCACTCTCTGCCGTCAACCTCTTGGCATTCACCGCACTTCCCGTCAACCCACCAAGTTCGAAGGATTGACTGGATCGACTGCCACTTCCGCTAAAGTAGTCTGAGTTATACAGCAATACTCTCAGCGGAGCTCCCTTGGAATCAAATGAGACGTAGGCTGCGTAGTTAGTAGTACCGTCGTCAAGGGCCGTAAGGAATGATGCCTTGGCTAGTAATGCGGTTGCTGCGTATGCGCCATAGTAGGGTGCCCCCATGCTATATCGACCCCAGAAGCAATATTGGCAGTTTCCTACCGTCCCATGATGAAAATATGTCCGCGATATGTTGCTATAACTGGCGCGTAGAACATAATCCATGGTCCAGAGCGCTGCTCCAAAAGTAGGCGACACTCCAGCAGCTCCACCTCCCGATACTACCAGCGATGTTATCAGCAGGCTACGGAATTGTTGAAAGGGGTAGAGCGCATACCGGAATTCGTCTCGCCGAACACATACGGCTTCCCTTCCTTCAGGGCAGCTGCTATGTCGGCGTCGAAGACGTGTAGATTGCTGGAGATACCTCTATGGCTCATCAGTGATGTCACACTCCCTCCAGGGTAGTTGTGATGGGCATATGTCTTGACATATTGCTTGACCGTGGCGTTCTCTGTCGCGATTAACTCTGCCGCACCCCATTGCGGAGGAGAGTCGTTGGAATTCCCAGCTTGGATGATTGGTGCCTTATTCACGGCCGAGCCAACCAAGATGCCCCAGTTATTTTGCGAAGCAGCATCTGCAGCCGGCGACCAGCTTCCTCCAGCGATAGGCTGGCCATTTCTAGCATAATCTGACCGATTAGCCTCATTTCTGAACCAGCTAGAATGCACCTACACTCTGGTTCGTTCCCCAGCTCGACAGCGAGCAAGTTCCCCACCTCAGAGACGGCGATCTTAGCAGCATCGATCGTATTCTGGATGTTGTTTTTCCCCCTATTTAGTCCGACCACCACACTGCCGCCATAGGATCCCGCCAAGGTCAGAAACTTGGACCCAAAGGTAAGGCTTGCCGGCGCATCGGCCGGGTTAGAGACGCTATAGACGACGTATGCCGAGGTCCTGGAGTCGTACTGCGCTCGGTCTTGCGTTGTGCCTCCTATGCGTATCGGTGGCCAGACGCCTGTGAGGTCCTTCCAATTGCTAAGACACTGGGTGGTGGCACTGACATTGCTGAAATAGGACGGGAAGGCGAAGAATTCGAAACTGCCGAAAGCCTAGATGAGTCTCTGTTGAGAAGGATAGGTTGGATCTTACCTACGAAATGCCAACCGGGGCTGGGTCTAGAGGTGCATATCTATATCCTCCAGTATGCGCCTCTCTAGGGACGGTGAACACTACCGCAGCGCCGGCGTGCTGGGCCGCAGCTAGGAGCAGGGCGAGACGTCTGAGATATGAAGCCATGATGTCTTTAATCAGGATATAGTTCTGTTGATCATATGTATGCTCACGCTTTATACACTGAGCAATTAATTAGCCTATTTTGGAGCTCTTCAGATATCTGGGCACGGAGCCTGCCAGATCTATCGTCTGATCCTACGTCGCTTGCATCAGCTCCATACATATACTTGGAAATGCACACATTCTTATTTACGTGACTAGGTATTCGGAGCCGCACCAATCATCTTAAAGTACCAAAGAAGGGGTTCTATTTCGCATCGAGGAGCCCTAGATCTAGAACGTTTGATTTTATCCTACTAACCTAGGCTCACTATCTCTACCTATTAGGTTATTGTCTTGATACTTTCTGGCCTATGAAAGCAATGACAGGCTGAATCTGTTTACTAAAGTTGAAATTCTCAGCTCTAGATGATCGAGCGCTTCCTGTTGCTTCATACACAGAATCCCAAGACAATCCGTAGAAAGGGGCTATGAGAGAGACTAGCTTCAGCAAGTATATAATAGCTGATAATTGGTAATACTAACTTACTACCGAGGACCAATAGCGTACCTAGTAGTGAATATCTCCGAGTGCTCACCCTTACTGATTAAGGCGGCCGGATTAACGTACTGTACAGTGCGGTGATTGCCAAGATATTTCGGAGTTAAGGATAATAAGGATAATAAAAATGTGGCTGATTACTGTGCGGATAGAAGTAGAGATGATGCTTCTTATCGATAGACTAGATCGAAGCTTAACTAGCGTACAGGTTCAGCTCTAGGATTGGACGAAGGGACTGCCACTCTTCTCCACACAGAAAAGCTAACGAAAATTTTTGGAGCTTCTCACTTTTTTTTTTATCTTTTGTCCAATTCGCGAACAAGAATTCATGTTCAATTGTTTCTGCCATTGGAACATATTTCTTCACGTCAACACTGCTGTCATTATATCCTTACACTTAGTTTCCACATACTAGTGATAGGAACTTCACAGTGACAGTTCAAAATGACTTCCAAGGAGGATATCAAGCCCAAGGAGGACGAGTTCTCCATCAAGCCAACTGCTGTCACTCCATCTGTTGACACGAGCACATGGCCACTGCTTCTGAAGAACTATGACAAGCGTACGTTGAATATTGCTATTTAACATTCATATTTGAATATTTGAATTGAACCGAATTGAGTTCGGTTGCGACATGAATATGCTAACCTAGAGAACTTATAGTTCTTGTTCGAACGGGACATTTCACTCCCATTCCCAATGGTAGTTCGCCTTTGACACGAGACCTTAAATCCTATATTAGCTCCGGTGTTATCAATCTCGACAAACCCTCGAACCCTTCCAGTCACGAGGTCGTTGCTTGGGTCAAGAGAATCTTACGGTATGGCAATCATCTTTTAGGTCAGGACTAGGAACGTTGCTTGAAACTAATATCAGAAATTCTATAGTGTCGAAAAGACTGGTCACAGTGGAACGCTCGACCCCAAGGTCACGGGTTGCTTAATTGTCTGCGTTGACCGTGCCACTCGACTTGTCAAGTCCCAGCAAGGTGCTGGAAAGGAATACGTTGCCGTCATTCGTCTACACGACAAGCTCCCTGGCGGTGAAGCACAGTTCTCCCGAGCACTTGAGACCTTGACTGGTGCTCTCTTCCAGCGGCCCCCTCTAATCTCTGCCGTTAAGCGACAGCTTCGTATCCGAACCATTCACGAGAGCCGAGTCATTGAGTTCGACAACGACAGACATCTCGGAATTTTCTGGGTCAGCTGCGAGGCGGGCACTTATATTCGAACGCTATGTGTGCACATGGGTCTCCTTCTTGGTGTAGGTGCACACATGCAAGAGCTGCGACGTGTACGAAGTGGTGCTATGGATGAGACCAAAGATCTTGTGACGCTCCATGATGTCCTGGACGCGCAATGGATGATGGACAACACTCGAGACGAATCCTACTTGCGCAAGGTTATTTCGCCTCTAGAAACTCTCCTTACATCATACAAGAGAATTGTTGTCAAGGACAGCACTGTCAATGCCATCTGCTACGGTGCTAAACTCATGATTCCTGGCTTGTTGCGATACGGTACGTTTTAAAACTTTACCCTACCCAGTAGCCACTGACACTAACTCTTCAATTTAGAGAGCGGTATTGAGATACACGAAGAAGTTGTCTTGATGACCACCAAGGGCGAAGCCATTGCTCTTGGAATTGCCATGATGTCCACTGTAGAGATGTCATCTTGTGATCACGGCGTGGTGGCAAAAGTAAAGCGATGTATCATGGAACGAGACCTGTACCCTCGTAGATGGGGTCTGGGCCCTACTGCCGTTGAGAAGAAAAAGATGAAGGCATCTGGAAAGTTAGACAAATATGGACGGGCAAACGAAGCAACCCCCGCCAAGTGGACTGCCGAGTACAAGGACTTCCATGCTCCGGCACCGTCATCCGCCACGGGCGCAGCAGCAGCAACAGCACCAGCTGCTGATGTGTCCATGACAGAAGCTCCTGCAGCTGCCGCTCAAGAAGCTGCCCCTACATCGGCACCCGTCGAGGCTGACGATAATAAGAAGAAGCGTAAGAAGCCTGATGGTGAAGCATCAGAAGACAAAGCTGAGCGCAGAAAGAGAAAGGCCGAGAAGAAGGCAGCCAAAGAGGCCAAGCGCGCCTCACTAGGAAAGAAAGACGATTCGGACTCTGACTAAATGCATATCGGATTCTCAATATGGTTCTTCTTTTCCGGGTAGCATTTGGTTGATACCACTTCGGTCTTGTCTTGGCTCGTTGCATGTATATGCCTTCTAAGGTTGATCTCACGGCGTTGTCTGCTGTATCATACAGTTTCTCTGAGGGTCAGGAAAACGGCGTTTAGGACGTTTGTTTGATTCGAGTTGTTTTTTATCTTGCTACGTCAAAAAAGTATCGAGATGTTCATTGGGATGTACATGCGAAACTTGAAAATAAGTTGGTAGCAGGTGATGATGGCAGAATCGAGTTTACGAGGTGTTCATTCAATGTCGTCAGCTGTGCATTCATGATTCATGTATGCATGTGATTGTCTCTTGAGATGGCTAGGACAACAATTGCAAGTGCTTATGAATATACTGCCAGTACACTACTAACACCGAGTTGATCGTATCCAGTCGTGTACGCCCATGGTACAAGAACTCAACCACCGGACTCCAGTGACAAGAAAAGAAAGAATACCAAGGTAACAGATCGGCGGTGTAGAACGATCGACCCATGACCTCAGAATTCGCCGTTGGGGGGGTTTTACGATGGAATCATGTCTCAAGACCTGGAATTGGAGGGACAAAAGTGTGTTAGTGCGCTGACGACATTGACGACGCTGTACTCTTCTTTCGCTAGCTAGGTAGATTATCGTCGAAGATGCCCTTCGCCTACCTGCTCATATACCACACTTTGCGAGAATATACCTGTAGTTGTTCATATTTCAGGTACTTCTCTTGTTGAATACCGACATACCGACGGTATACTCACCGGGTAGGTATCTCAAGTCCTAAACGTAGACGCCCATGGTAACTAACTTTCGCCAAGAGTCGTGGAGTAGAGGTGAGGTTCCACGGATGGAAAAAAAAAAAAAAAAAAAAGAGCACCTACCAACTAGTGTGCCTAGTGTAGTTGTAGTGTAGGCTGCTGGAGAGGCAGGTAGGTATGTAGGTATACAACTCCAAATTCTGCGATGATGGACTTCCTAAGCGGGCAGGTCATTCGGAATGGACTTCTTTTTTCTTTTTTCTTTTTTTCGTCCGCTGTCGTACGGCCGGGCGCTGTCTGTCTCATATCTCATATTTTTCTCTCTTCTACCGTGGTCTAGAAGCTCGTGGTCCCTTTTTACCCCGAAACGGGTATCACCATGAAGTGCCCTAGGTAAGGTAAGTAGGGTAGGTTACTTACAACACGTTTCGTCGTACAACAAACAAAACAATACAGAAACTATTTTTTCCCCTGGTAGGGTTTGGGGTTTGGTTGGCTGGCTGGTTGATTGACCTAGGCTAGTCGGCTCTGACGTATGCTCGCTGCTTCTACGTGTTTCGAGGAGCTCCTCTGGTCATGGTCATGCTGGATATTCTGTACGAGACGAGAGAGGGCGAGAGAGAGAGAGAGCCCGGAACCTCGGAACAGATGGAAATGGTATTGCATTGCTTCGAAAGGACAGGAAAGGCAAACATGGGAGCATGGGAACATGGAAACATGGATAACAGATTAGGTATTAAATAGTGTCGAGGGACGTCTGCCAAGTACGGCAGGTACCCAAACTATGGTAATGCATGGGGATTAAAAGTGTGCCCTTGGATCGTTCGTAGGAGCCACTTATACATAATATTCCTGGTTGATATTCATTAAAAAGTCCAGTTTATAAATTTTCCGTCAAGCATAGTTATACGATAGGGCGTTCGACCCTGATGACGGGATAGGGGAAGGTGGAGCGGTATGTGGCTGTTTTTGCACTACGGTGAAAGTATTGCCTACTACTATGCCGTACTTCGTACCTCTAGGTAGCCAGCTAAATAAACCTTGTCGAAGGGCTGGATGGCTTGGTGGAATTAGGCTTCGCTGTCGTATTACTTCGGCGAGATATGTTTTGCCCCTAAACTCGCATGAAAATAGATAGTTGGCAGTAGTAACTAATATAAGGCAGTGCAACTATTGAATCATAGATAGTTATCTTTAAATCTTCCAAACTCATATGTACTACATAGTAGACACCTACCTAGAAGGCTGGTCGTTCGATTATGCTGAACCCGGCTTTTCTTAATCTGCGCGGAGGGTCACCCGGGCAGGGGTTGATATCAGCCTCACTACCGCAAGGATCTGCTCTGCATTGGTAACTTGTTCCATAATTCCACTACGTTGGTTGTGAGAAGATCGAAACAAACTTATGCGAAGATCTCTCGAGCCACGAGCTATGGTACGTTGCCTGGGCCATCCCTTAGCTTTTCTAGCTAGGTAGTCAGCCAGCCAGTAAGCCCGGCTTTCCAGGCTGCCTGGCTGCCAAGGTTGTCAGACATGTGCCGTGCGCTTAAATAGACTTCTACCATCGTCGCGGGTAATATTGACATAGCGCTCGGTAGTTGTCCGTGAGTTCATGGTTCATAAACTCAACAAATGCGCGGATACTATTCGTGCCGGTACCTACTAAAGCGGAAGCCAACCAGATAGGTGTTCCGTTTGGTCATCGCACCGGTGTATGAAAAAGCTTACCCATTGCGTCGGCGTGGTACTCGGACTTTTGCGAGGCACGTTCTCGAAGCTAATGACCCGCTGTTCCTGTATCGAGGCAAGTAAGAGCCATATGCCCATAATAGCAGGTGCTTCGGTCGATGACATCGCACACGTTTCTTCACATTCTTATGACTCCTGCATACACTACTAGGTCAGTGAATTTGAGGCTCCACGACATACGCAGAATTCGTAGCTCACGGAGGCCAAGTCGGCGGCTCTAGCCGGGTGACGAATGGCCCGCGCCTTTGTGCCGTTTCCCTATATTATGTCCTACCACGCGGACATGGCTGGAATGCAGCTTGCTATTACAATTTAACCCCCGCCAGTTACACCGGTAGGTCAGCCGCACTATTGAAGAACATATTTCCTACCTAAGCCCACTGTGACACTATGTATGTAGGTTGAATAGGAGAGCAAGAGAGTACCAGGGGGGGTATATTACGTACAGAAAACCATCTAAGATTCCGCACCATCGCCTATGTCTTCCATCGCTTATAATAAGGATGAGGCCCGACTTTTCTCTTGCGGATCGACAAGTCAGAGAATAGAAGTGAACTTTGGCCCAATTATTGGATCCATAGATCGTCTTGTCCCTGCTACCTAGCCCCCGTCCTCAAACCCTTTCTTGCTTTCTTTTAAGCTCAAGCTTTCTGCACTTTATTGTTCCTCGCCAGCTTTGCTCGACATGCGAGATATTTAGGATGTCGCTCCTTAATATGCTTGTGGCCATCGGGCTGTCGTCAAATTTAGCTCATGCTGGGCCGGTGATACGTTCACAATTCCCAACACAACCCGACGGAGCAGGCGACGCTCCCGTGTTCAACCAGAATTTCCCTGACCCGTCAATAATACAAACTCAGGATGGCACTTGGTACGGGTTCGCGACGAGTGGAAATGGGAAGCAAATCCAAGTTGCCCAAGGAGGAACCCTTTACCAGCAATGGGGTCTTCTCGACGTGGATGCTCTCCCTCAACCTGGAGCCTGGACTACGGGGGACAATACTTGGGCCCCTGACGTACACCAGATGGATGATGGGACATACGTCATGTACTACAGCGGGGAGGTAGCCCAGAACCGAGCCCACCACTGTATTGGCACAGCAGTATCGTACACACCCTACGGGCCATACGTGGCTGCCGACGAGCCTTTCGCCTGTGACCTCTCCATCGGCGGTGCCATTGACCCCTCCGGGTTCCAAGATGCGGACGGCACACGGTATGTCCTATACAAAATCGATGGAAATAGCGTGGGACATGGCGGCAGCTGCGGCAATACCATCGCACCAATCGCTCCTACACCCATCATGCTACAGCAGGTCGCCGCGGATGGTGTGACGAAGATTGGAGATCCGTATCCGATATTGGACCGAACTGACGAGGACGGACCGTTGGTGGAAGCCCCCAGCATGCTGCTTACAGATACGGGGCTATACATTCTATTTTTCAGCAGCGGATGCTATCTTGAATCGACCTACAACGTCAACTACGCAACATCGACCAGTGTGTTTGGACCTTTCCAACGAGCACCGCATCCGATGATTAGAACTGGGGAATATACGCTGCAAGCACCAGGTGGTGCCACTGCAGTTAACGTTGGTGATCAGGTCGGGATTGCCTTCCACGCGAACTGCCCGGACGGACGGTGTATGTACACGACGCCAACCATCCTCCAAGGCCGGGAGGTTCGAGTGGAGATGTAAGGTATAGGTAGTAATGAGGAAATAGAAAGAGGGAGACGAGATCAATCGGCGCAATGGTTACTAGACGGGAGTCTTCGTATGAAAAAGTAGAAAGGGCGCACACGATGCAGATTTTCGACTACGAGTTGACATGTTGCTCCCATTGACGCCAAGGATTTTGAGGATATCCGAATACACATACGGGCTGGCTCCAAAGAATTAGGTATAATTCGGTCTTCAGACAGACTTGGGAGACTTGGGAATGAAAGCTTATGGAATATGAGCATATAGAACTATAGAGTCTTATTTAATATAATCTTATGAATTTCTTTTAATTGAAAATTTGACTTTTTGATATTTGCTGTTGGCATTTTGTTGAATCCATAGATGTTCTTGTAGAGTTGAGATTGACCTAACCTACCCTGATACCTACAGTAGAAGCCTTGAACTACCTTGGAGGCTTGAAGAAATGAGAGATGCCGCTAGGCCTAGAAAGGCATAGCATCTACAGCCCCTGCCCCTCTAGTGATCTTGTCACCTAATAACTAGAGATGCCCTAACGTCAATAGGTAGTTAGTACCCACATTAGTACCTGCCCTGGCTGCCCAGGTACACGATTTAAGCGCCCACTCTTCCAGCAATTGAAGTTCACAATGTTGCTTCGACTCTTTTCACATCTACAGAATACAACCTTAGAACCTCGACGATGCAAGATAACCCAACCCATCACAATCACATTCTCAATAGACACACTGGAACATACTACCACTCACTTCAGCCAACTACTCAATATTTCATCCAATCTCGTTTCCTAACACAATCCTCCTTTTCCTTCTCAAGCGCTTCCGTAACATAGATCGTAACGTAGAGTGTCGAACGACAAACCCCAAGCTTGCGCCTACTTTACTGGCATTCAAGGATATCGTCCAATTTAGGAAGCGTGTTAGGAAACGACTCAGTTTGTTTTTCCCCGAATCGGACGATCCTGGGGTACACGGGCTGCTATGCTGGCCTCTACAACATGGCAGCCATGATGGTCAAGCCATCGTAGTTTTTGCCGCCACCGAGCGTCCATCTGGCCCACCAAGATATACCAAGTAAGATTACCGAGCAAATCACGGCGCTTAGGAGGTAGGACGTCCAGATCCTAGACCTCCGGCTCAATTCTCCGGATACATTTTGCTACGCCAATGTCTTATGTCCAATTGAAGACTTCATTGATACTGCAAGGGGCAGAACAAGACGTAACCGCCATACTACCCTTTCATGTATGTCATCCATAATCTATACCCCCCTCTCTACGCGCCGGTTACCACCGAGTCTTCAGTAACTAGTGTGAACTTGCCCATACGATGCAGCCATGGAACCACCGTGATGGTTACGGACGATCCGATCGGGCCCCAATATAATATTTACCCCGTCCTGATTTTGTAGTAGGTACGATTCTATTTTTTCTAATTGCAATCTCATACACTCTTTTTGTCGAGGCTCTTTATTCTCTTGAGGAGTATATTCAAGACTCTAGTAACCAGCTGGCTGGCTGTAACTTCATGGAGGTCTTATTGTAATATCATCAATATATACTTTTTAATACTTGGTTCTTTGCCACCCATCTTTCGTTTAAATTCAAATCTTTATTGTTATATCTCCAGGCGAGATGACTTCCCTTCTATGTGGCCTAGCCCTCACGCTCTTTACGAAACATGTTGCCGCCTTGCAGGTCACACCAAATTCACCCTGTGCTTCCCTCTGTGTAGATTCTAATAGTCTCGACTTGTCCGACCCAAACTCGTCAACGATAGGCACAGATGATATTACCTGTTACGATTCCGAATATGCTTCCTCGTCTACAGGGCAAACGTTCCAGAAATGCCTGAGCTGTCTCCAAGACAGCACCTTTTCTCAAGGGAGTGAGAACGATCAACTGGCGTTCTTATGTAAGTTTCCTTGGTTTTTGTTATTGTATCAAGTGCCAATTCTAACAAGCGAGTAGATAATCTAAGATTTACATTTGGCCATTGTACTTCCGGACCTTGTTCTACCTCCACCGCGTGTGGTGACCTAGAAACGGCTTGGACGAATAGTGATCTGGACGATAAGAAGAGTGATTATTCGTACTGTGCTGCGAACGGGGCCGTAACAGACGATGCGGTGTCTAAGTGTCAATCCTGCGTGGCTGCTTCTGGGAGCCAGGATTACTTAGCCAACTGTATGCCATCTTATAATCTCGCCTATATCTCATTACTAATCACTGTTATAGTTCTTACTGCTCTAGATACGGGTTGCAAGCAACAACCGCTTGCAGGTACCCTCTTAGGGTTGAACGATACCGTCTTTTCCAAGAATATGATCAGTTCGATCGATCCGACTGCCGAAGGGACCATCGAGGGTGACAAGAAACCAATTCTATCAACAACGCAAATTACCGGAATTGCCGTCGGTGGCGCTGTTGCCGTGCTCGCTGTAGCCGGCTTCTTCCTCATACGTTGCCGTAAACGACGAAATCGTCGTCTCATTGTTGGAGATACCAAATTCTCAGGAAAGGGGCAAAAGAAGGACCGACACCGCTCATCCCTCTCGTTCCGCTGTCAAACCCATTTAACCCCACGATCTCCGGCCTTCTTCCCAAACCCTGCAGATGCCATCATCGAGGAGAAGAACCCGTATGCAGGTCCTCACTCTGCTCTCGGTTCTCATCCTCTTGTTGCCCCCGAGTCTCCAAGGCAAGCGACATGGTTGGCCGAGAAGACCCGACCAGGTTTTGGTCCGTCCCCCGCCATGAACGATAGGATGGTACCATTACCTACCATCACCACGGCCGTTCCTACAATTCCCGGGAATGTGCATTATTTAGGCTCCCCTAAACCTGCATTCTTCTCGCCTGTCGATGAGCCGGGGAGCACCACTAGCACGAAGAGCACAGCGCAGCTTCTGCCCTTGAGGCAGTATAATCCTGCCGAGTATGGGATGACTTCACCCCAGGTGGGTGTGAGTCCCGATGGCATGTATAGTAGTCCTACTTCTGGTACTACCAACAGCCCCCTATTAAGTCGTGTCTGGGAACAAAGAACACCGACGTGGGAACTTCCGCCGCGCGCATCTAGCCGACCTTCCGGCGTTGGGGCTTGGGAGAGGGTTGCAGCCGGGGTCGCGGCGAAGAATAAAAGGAGTAGTAGCAATTGCGGAAGTCCAGTTAAGACTACGCAGTTCAGTTTGCATTATCCACCACCGCCTGGCCAGCGATAGCTCTCGTGCGCTTATCTGGATACAGGCTTGTGTAGATTGACGTCCGCGCAGAAGGCGTGTAAGTTGGTCTTCGGGTGCGATGGAAATAAGGGGCATGGAATGATGATGAAGGGATGATGTAGCTTAGCGCGTAGATACCCAGGAACAAATAATGTAAAGAAGTCAAAGAAATATCATAGTTGAGCGATAGTCCTCGTAGCTGCAGTGAGCTTGACTCGTGAAGTGTCCAGTATCAGGCATCTCGTCACGGCTTCACCGACCGCCCTCGGACGTACACCTCGGTTATATTCCGATCATCGCTCGTCATGATAAACTTATCAAATATCGTCCTGGGGGAATCTTCATCTTCCAACATGGTCATGATCCCCCCCGGCGCATTCGCATTAATAACAAGCGCATCGAACTCTTTCCCAACCTCAAAATTCCCAATCTTATCTTCGAGCCCGCACACCCTCGCACCCCCAAGCGTAGCCAGGAAGAACAGCTCCCCGATATCCAGCCCCTTATCCCGACCCTCGCTCATCACCTCGCGCGCATTCGACGCGACGAGCGCCTGCCTCATCGCATCAAGAATACTACTCGAGAACCCACCCCCGCTATCAGTGCCTAGGCCGACCTTAATCCCGCGGCTCAGGAAGTCTCGCACCGGCGCCGCCATGAACCCCCCGCCGACAGTCATGTTTGAGACCGGGCAGTGCGCGACGCCGCACCCGAGTTCCTGGACACGGCGCATCTCGTGTTCGCTCATGTGGCAGCAGTGCGCGAGGATGGAGCGGCTGCTCAACAGGCCGTAGTGCGCGTACAAATCCGCCTCGCTGCCGCGGAACTCCGGGAACAGCTCCGCCGTAAACCGCATCTCCTGCTCGGCTTCGTTGAAGTGCGTCTGGATCGGCAGGTGCGGATTCGCGCCGGCGATCTGTCCCAGACCCTCCAACAGGGCGGGCGTGCACGAGATTGCGAAACGCGGCGTTAGCACGGGCTGCACCAGTGCGCCCTGCGGGTCTATGCGCCGCACGTGCGCGATGCAGGCTTCGGTGTCGGCGAGGGAAGCCTCAACGCTGGAGTCGCGGTAGTACGGGGGCGCGTTGCGGTCCATGTTGCACTTGCCGACGAGCGCGCGCTGGCCCTTCTCCCAGCACAGGTCCGCGAGGATGGTGGTGGCCTCGGCGTGCATCGAGCCGTAGTAGGAGGCCGTGGTGACGCCCTGGCGCAGGAAACTCTCGACGCAGTCGGAGTAGATGCGCCGCGCGTACGCCGGGTCGGCGAACCGCGCCTCGTTCGGGAACGTCACCTGCTCGAGCCACTCAAGGATGTGCATGCTCTGCCCGAGCCCGCGCTGCGCCCACTGCGGCGCGTGGTTGTGCGTGTCGACGAAGCCGGGGATGAGAAATTCCCGGCGTGGGGATAGGTAGCGTATTTTTGCGGAGGAGGGGATGTTGAGGGATGAGAGCAGGGAGGGGACTCTTTCTTTGGGTATGCCTAGGATTACGTTGGTGATCTTGCCATTGTCGCTGACGACGAGCACGGAACTCTCGAGGATGAGCAGGTCTGATGGCCCGCGTGAGTGGATTATTGTGCCGTGGAAGACTCGGGCAGGCATTGTATTTATGTTATTTTTGTTGATATAGGAAAGTTACATGTGTAAGTGAGGAGAGTTGGCATGCGGGATGTACCTAATCTTGCCAAGATATCGGAGATTCGGAGGCCCCACCCCCCTACCCCCCCCCCCCCCCCTATCTATCCCAAGGTCTTACTCACTAAAATCGCTAGAATGAATTGGGACATAGCAATGCTTTCCCACTTACAACTCATAAAAAATGAGGTATCTTGAAAGATCGCATAATCTACCATTTCAAATACTATATACTAGGTATGTATCTCAAGTAAGAACATGAGTGCTCTTAATCCTCTCTTGGACCACCTTGTAATTAACCTTCCATTCCTCATCCATCCCCGGCAGTGGTTCTAAACCAGCCTTTACCAGATCTGCATTCACCCATCTCAACACTTTGTCTATATACGCATCTTCCGCCCCAAACAGACTGTGGAATCTCTCCCCAGGCTGGAATTTCAATTTCCTCTCCCGATGCTCCTCTTGCATCACCGATCGCGGTGGAAGCTGTACTTGTCCCGCAAACACCTTCGCCACGACCTGTGCTTGGAAGTCAAACAGCGAAAATGTCGACACGAGGTGGGAGACGCCCACAAATGACAATGTGGGGTCTGGGATGTAGAAGACATCCTTGTGCAGATTGTGCGTGATGTAGCCATCAGATGTGATGACTACTTTCTCGTCGGCCTCTTCCCAGGGAACGTGAGGCTGCTCCAGGTCTCCCAGAAAGGGGTAAGAGGTAATGTATCCCGTTGCCACAACGACACGGTCGATGCACTCAAGCACTCTTCCGTCTTCTAAAATGACCTTTCCAGGTATGTGGCGATCAGACTCTAGTGTCTGGGAGTTGCTATCGCCAGCTGTTTCATCAACGATGAATTTGGCAACCATCGGAACTCTTTCGATACCATCAGGTAAGCGTGATGACAGGATGTCATATTTGCTCTGCCGGTTACTCTGTATTATCTTCGCTCCCAGCACCACGGTTTCCTTGGCGATGTCCAAGGCCGAGACTCCCGCGCCGATTATGAGCACGGTCTGGTTACTGAAAGGAGCAGGTGTCCGATATTGCTTTGAATGCGTGACCCTATCCGGGAACCGCTGCTTCCACGTAGCTAATCCCGGGACATCGGGCACGCACGGTACATGGTAGTGTCCACTCGCTACCACAACCCCGTCGAACTTCCAGTTCTTCTTCGTCAACTTATGGCCGGACTGGGTCCTTGTAAATGTGCTCGTCGAAACGCCCCATTGCGTATCACCCTCTGGTTTCGATACACTCTCTACTCGGGTGTGAGGAAGTATCACATCGTAAACGTTATGGCGGCGAGCAATGTCTTGAATGTATTGGTGGACTACCGCTTGATCGACAAAGTCCTCGCTCCCTTCCGGCCAGCGTAATAGACTACTTCGCATAACCGGCGTGGGAATGTTGTTCTTAAGACCAGCATAACTAAAGCCACGTAAATATTGAGTATCAAATCTTTTGCATTAGGAAGTTCTCGGGGTAATCATACCATGGATTAGGGGGACCGTGTATTAACTCGACTTCGTCCGACGATAGCCCTTGCTTCTCCACTTCCGACCAATTCGGAGTCGGTGGTCTAACATTGGGGAACGGCGGATCTCTGTCCGGCTGAGGTTCGTAGCCCCAAACTCCACCGACCGCGCCGGTCCGCTCGAATACGGTGACATTGAACCCAGCCCGGAGAAGGTGAGCCGCTGAGACGACACCACTTATACCAGCGCCTATAACAGCTACATCCTTGATGTTGGTGATAGGCCCCCCATTCTCAACTTTCCCGTTAGTCAGCAGCACCATGATGATTGTGTGAGACGATGTGGTGTATTCTCGAGATCCTAACGCGCAGAGACTTACATCTACCTATCTATATATTATATACTTACCTTGGCAGATCTTTATACTTCCATGTTATCTTGTATAGAGACGGGAAAGACGGATGATAGTGGGATGCTACACTGCATATCGGCGCATTCCCCCTCTCAGTTGCTGATTATAAATGACTAAGGCGAGATTGTGAGATGAGGCCATATGCTCCAACGATTACGTGCCGCGCTCGACTCCCCACTTTAGTCCTAATCAAGCTTCTTTCAACATATACCTACCTTGTAGGAATGCTTGAGCTGACGAGTAAACTGGGTTCATTAGATCTACTTGGGTAGTTCGAGGCGGTATTATAGCCTTGGGTGAAACAATTTATCCCCGGTAGAGAAGGGTTACGGGAACTTCACTCGGTCTCTTAATCTAGCACATCCTCCGTTTCTGGGATTAAATATACCCCCAGTAGCTGATCAAGTGCGCTGGAATACAACTCAGATGAGTTTTTATGGAAAGATACCTACCTAGGTAGGTAAGTAGTAAACTGAAATGGCTTATGAAGCAGTTCAATTCGAGACTATTCAGGAGTTGTTATCAAGTCAACATCAAATATCATATCGCAACAAATTTGTAGCTTAAGTGAGAAAAAAAGGCGTGCTGATATTTGGCTTTATTGGTATAAGGAGAGACTTGCTTAAGCCAAGTTCATTGCCAGTCTTCTAATGCTACATCTAACGCTATATCCCAGTGCTTAGGAGAACCATTGTCAACTCATCTACCGCCTCCGGCATTATCTAGGTGACTATTCTACACTCACAGTCCGTGCTTTTGCCGCGAGTTCGCGATGATGTAGGAAGCGTATCGTAAGAGCAGTAACAATGAGACCCGCGGCAAAGAACACCATAGTGATGAACCCCTTAGGATACTGCGGTGCATCGACCTGCTGCCAGATGATCAACGGGAGCCACGCCTGCACCACATAGGCCATCTCATTCATGGCTCCTATGACCAGCGCGCGTTCTTCATTATCATCGCTGCAGATCTCGTGAGCCCACGCGAACGTCAGTCCGCTGATCCCTCCTCCAATCAAACCTAGCACGTAGCACGCCCACTTCCAGCCATCAGGGATATCCCACACCGCGAGGCTCGTGTTGGTAATGATATTGACGACCCCTGAGAACACCATAGCCGGCCACCGGGCACCCTTGAAAACGGAATCAGACGTCCACGCATATATGTACGTGAAGATCACCGCAACCGCCGAAGTGAGAGTCGGGTAGGAGTTGACGGCCGCGACGCCGTACCCTTCCTGCTTCAGCCAGAGCGCGAAAGCCGGCTGGCCGCCGTTGCCGCCGCCGTTGTTGAAGAAAATGTAGAGCAGCGTGAGCGCGTAGATGTGCCAGGACGAGAAGATCTTGCGGAACTTGGCCTTCGTGTAGGTGCCCCTGTTGGCTCTGCCCTCCAGCTGCATGCGCTTCTTGGCGAGCGCTATCTCGTCCTTGGTCAGCCACCAGGCGCGGGTGATCTCGGGGACGTCCGGGAAGAAGAAGAAGCCCGCGATGGCGATGGGCAGGGAGATGACGGTGTTGATGATGAAGAGCCACTGCCAGCCCCTGTAGCCGTCGACGTCGTTGAGGTTGTAGACGGCTGTCATCAGGTAGCCGGAAAACATGCTGCCTATCGCACCGCTAGCGTGAAAGATGCAGCTTCGTTTTGCGAGCTCGTCCTTTCGATCTGCTTCATGTTAGAATTTTCAATCGTAGAGTGGAGAAATACGAGTTAAATAGGGGTAGATGAGAGGGGAGTATCATAACGTACTACATATTTGTTAGTTTCTGATTCTAAAAAAGGGGGGGAGAGGATTGCTATGAATTAAGTCAACTTACCACCAACTTCCAATAACGTATTGCAATCCTGGGTAAAATGCCGACTCGGCAAGGCCAATAAAAAACCTCAAGACGTAGATTTGCGTTGCTGAGGTGCATTTTGAGAGTAGAATGGTAAGTACCGACCAGACAACTTCACAAGCCGGAATCCAGATAGAGGGGCGGATCTTAGTGAGCAACATATTACTATATTCTCGTAAGTGACATGAAGCTCGGGGGAGATAAGATATGGTCCTTACCTTGGCACTTCACCAATAACATAGCCAACCGTCCAGCATGCGATCATGTAGTTGAGCTGGTTTCCGTAAAGGCCCAGATCTTCTTTCATGCCGGACACGAAAGCACTGTTGACATTCACCTGGTCTAAGTACTTGATGAAGTAGCCCAGAGAAGCAAAGGTTAAGATGACTGCGTCAAGTTTGAATAGGAAATGCCTCTCCTCCGGAGATTTATCGAATGTATCCCAGAGATATGACCGCCATGTCTGCTTGGGCTTCTCAGCTACTGGCGACAGAGTATGGCTAGATTCATCATCGCCGTTGATGGGGGTTTTGGCAGCCACATGAACTTCGGCCTCATCCACCCCCTTCGTCGTTACAGTCTCCTTTTCTCCCATTTCGAGTTTTTAGAACCAATTTCTGATGGAAGTTGAATATTTCGTATGAGCAGGTCCGGGGCATTCTGATATTTAACACAGCTTCGTCAAAAAAAGGGTCCAATAATGCTAAGATACCACAAGGGTTCAGCTTGATTTACTCCTTGCTAGTAAACAATCCCACGTCTTGGTCAGTGGTAGTCAAGCACTTGTACCGCCGAAGATACATCGATCTAGATTCGACGAAATAGAAAATGATTATAAAATAGCTAGTATGGCAATTGATTCTGGCAATTCGTCCGGGTCTTCTACTACCATTTAGTCTTAGCCACAACCACGCGTCTGTTATAGACTGTGAAGTCCCACTATTAGTCGAGCAACGACTTAGATAAACCCTTCGGTCTTACGTCTTACAATTGATGTAGCACATTGCGACATACAGATAATGTGGACATGGATAACGAAAAAAAAAAGAAAAGGTCTGGGGTTAAGAAACCCGAGGTCGAGGTAAATGGGTGAAAGGGCTAGGTAGTTGGTGATCACCTCAACATCGATGGCCATGACGCCATGCCCAACCCCGCAGAAAACAATGAATGGCACGACGTTGCACACCCAATATGCAATGTGCCTCGCATCATCCTTCTCCAACATCGCGAATTGATAAAGAAATCCAATGGATGCTTTGATTATTCGCGGGGAACTGCGTGCTCCTCAGTAGATGCTGCAAGCCTTCGCTATGGTGTCACATTTCAAAGAAGTTCAGAAAGATAGCTTACCAATCCAGATCTTACGACTGGCAAAATTGATCATTACAATTGAGACTGATGTTATTGGAGGGGGTTCTCCAATTCAGGAGTCGTGCTGTATAGGCAGATAGGTAGATATATATCTGTCGTCAGGGGCCGTACGGCAGAGAGTAAAAAAAAGGGCGTACAGGAGAATATCTACCAAGTAGTTTACCTCCAAGTAATAAAAATAATCAATATAATCAATACAAAGCTTGAAATCTCAAAATCCAGCATTTTCAATCATGGCGCCAGCACCAATTGATGAGCGTATCAAGGACGTCGCGGAGCCACGCAAGGATACACTGGGACTCCCAGAGCCAGCCCTTCAGCGACTAAAGAAGGCCGGAATTGACCTCTCTAACGGATACCCCTATCGTCCAGCGAGGCCACTCTACCTCCAGGATGTTTACAACATCAGAAACAAGGAATGGAAGCACAGCGACGCCGGAGCTCGCGCGGATAAGTCGAAGTCCGCGCTGCTGTCAGCCGCCACCAAGGTTACGGATCTGACCACCCACATCGGAACCGAGATTGAGGGTCTGCAGCTCAAGGATCTCACAGACCAGCAGAAAGACGAATTGGCCCTTCTCATTGCCGAGAGGAGCGTCGTATTCTTCAGGAACCAGGACATCTCGCCCCAGCAGCAGCTAGAACTCGGCAAGTACTACGGGGTAGTCGAAGTTCATGTAAGTGTCATCATCCCAAGTAACCCCCACGTCGGCGTCGGCGTCGGCGGCGAATATCCATGGATGGACATAAGCTAACTCCGACCAAACAGCCCCAGGTAGCACAGGTGCCTGGCAACCTCGGCGTAACCGTCATCTGGCCGGACCTGCAGGCCACCGAGCGAGCAGCCAACTTCCGCAGGCCGGGGGGTGCCTCGCGCTGGCACACCGACCTCGTACACGAGCTGCAGCCGGCCGGGATCACGCACCTGCACAACGACACGATACCCCTCGTCGGCGGCGACACGCTCTGGGCCAGCGGGTACTCGGCGTACGAGAAGCTGTCGCCAGACTTCCGCAAGATCATCGACGGCAAGCTCGCCGTGTACCGATCCGCGCACCCATACCTTGACCGCGACGACCCTGAGGCCGGCCCCAAGTTCGTCGAGCGCGTGCACCCCCTCGTACGTGTCCACCCGGCCACGGGGTGGAAGGCGCTCTGGGTCAACCGCGCCATGACCGACCGCATCGTCGGCCTCGATCGCGCCGAGAGCGACGTCATCCTGAACTACCTCTATGACGTCTACGAGAAGAACGTCGATATCCAGCTACGGTTCAAGTGGACACCGAATACCAGTGTGCTCTGGGATAACAGGTAAGTGAACTCCGTCATGGTTCCCTTTTTCCACGCCCCATCAGATAAACCTTGCTACCGAGGTCTCGGTGAGGATTAATAACAATGCAACATACTGACTTGGATGCTACCTTCTAGAATCACGATACACAACGCAAGCTGGGATTACGGCGGAAAGGAGCCGAGACACGGAACGCGTGTCACTTCGTTGGCTGAGAAGCCGTACTTTGACCCTAGCGCCCCGACTAGACGTGAAGCTCTGGGGCTTTTGGATGAGAGCGAGAAGCAGATCGACGGGCCGGCCTAAGTGGTTGTGCCATATGTGCCTAACCTTAGGTACTTATTTACCTCCCTCCCTACCTATGTAGGTAGGTAGATAAGTCGAAGTAGCATGGCTAGTATCGACTTATTTAGGCATTCTGATGATAATTCAAAGTCAATTTCGTTAATCCATGAGTGCTTTTTCGTCAACCTGTGTAGAAGGTTAGAAGTAATGCGAGGTCAAAACCCCCTAGAGATGCTTGCCCAAGCGTCTTGGCCATCGGAGTGGACATAACGCTTACTTACTAGGTAGGTATACACTACCGACGAATTAGATAAATGTCCTGCATTTTTAAAACCCTAACCCTAACTCAATACTGGAGCCCATGCTTGGTTTTGACTTCAACGGCCCAACCGGGACGGCCCGGAATCGATTAGGTTATAATAGAATGGAAGTGCCTATCTAGTAGGTTAGCGGCCCCATAGGATTATCGAAGTCGAGGGCTTTCACTAAATTTTAGCGACGACGACGTATTGAATACCGGATAAATAGACTTCCTTCTGAAACTCAATATTTTCTAGCCGGCGAAATGATTCTAGGGCCTTATATTTTGCGGTATACTTTGTAATGAGACGTTCAAGTACTCTTCAGACAATCTATAGGCAATTAGGTTCACTTTAAGAACTGAGTAAGCACTTTTTAGCACTCCTGCTACAAAGCACAGAAAATCCATGTCACCAAAATCCTCATCAATGATTGTCTGAAAATGGCCGTGTTTGGCCGTCATATTCACACATAGCTAGTCGTAACGCTATCAAACCCAGCCCCCTAGGCAAAAGTGATAGTCCAATCCGCGCCAATTCTAGCGCCCACGCGTTGCACAATCGCAAAAGCAGCTCTGCTACCATCTGCCTTGTGGTAGTCGAGCGGCACCGAGACGGTTTTACCCTCAGACTCCACCACAACCTCCTTCTTAGAAGCCCAAGATGAGGGAGCACCGACAATAATGACCTTATCGACAGCAACACCGTGCATTTGCTTGAGCCACTCTCCCTCTTCTATGCTCTTGGTATCTCGGCCCTCCGCGTCGGTAGAAGTAAGTGTCGACCCCTCCAGCTTGAACGTGCGGTGGATATATTGACCCTTTTCGTAATCGAAAGAGTCACCATCATCCACATAAAGCTCTCCTTCAGCTTGGCCCTTCTTGCCAACTGCTACGACGAGGGTATAGTCGTCAAATTTCATGAGCTGAGCAGAGCGACGGGGCGTATCACGTCTGGGGATGATGTGTCCGCCGCGCATTAATACTGGGATGGTTTCGATCGGTGCTTCAACTGTCACCTGCTTACCCTTGGCTGTGGGAAGCTTCTTGTAACTGAAGTAATCATAGTAAACTTCATCGTCAGGGATAAATATATCCACTGTGGTTTTGTCCTTCTGCACAACTGGCTTAACAAGAAGCCCAGTTGATCCCACAAAGAATTGGTCATCAATGTCAAACCCGCCTTCCTCGCTGGGGTGTGTCCAGTATAATGGCCGTATGATAGGACTGCCATCTCTGTTGGCATGGTAAAACGCCGTGTACCATGCTGGAAGTAAGCTGTATCGAAGGCGTAAGGCCGATGTGATGATAGACCGGTGCGGCTCTGCGAGTAGGAAAGGTTCTCGACGACGGGCATCAATATGTGCGTGACCCCTGAAGAATGGATAGAAAGCGCCGGCTTGGTACCAACGACTTTGCAGCTCCAATTCGGGATTACCAAAGAAACCGCCGACATCCGCACCTGCGAAAGGGAAGCCCGAAATTCCCTGAGCGAGAATCATGGGGATGGCTGCTCCTAGATGCTCCCAGCTAGCTTGATTATCACCGGTCCACATCGCACCAAGACGTTGCGAGCCAGCGAAAAATGACCTAGTAAGTACGAATGGGCGTCGTAGCTCGCCTTTCTTTCGAGAAAGCATAGCTTCGTAAGTTGCGTTATGGAACGTCATCCCGTTTATGTTATGAACATCTCGATGCTCCCAATCTTCATAATGGAGATTGTCCTTCGGCATGGTGACTTCTGGTCCGTTGAAAACGGAGGGCTCGTTCATGTCATTCCAAATAAAGGTATTTTCCATGGTGCCTTTAAACTTGTCATAGTTGAAAAGGGATGACCACCACTGGATGGCAGCCGAATTGAAGGCATCAATCCAATGAGAAGATCCCGGCCAGCACCAACCATCGAAGATGTTACCATCCTTATTTCTGACGGCTAGATCTTTAGACTTGAGCTCGTCAGAAACATGATAACCTCCTGCATTTTTGATGTGCGGGTCGATAATGACAACCAGTTTTCTTCCGTGGGCATCCAGATGTTTACCCATGGCAATCGGATCCTTGAACATGTCTCCATCCCAAGTAAAGTATTTCTTATCATCAGTGTACTCAATGTCTAGCCAAATGACATCATACGGGATGTTATAACGGTCCATCTTACGGTCGACCTCCTTAACATCATCATCCGAGACATAGTTCCACCGGCACTGATGGTACCCCAGGGAAAATTCCTGAGGCAAAGCAGTAGTTCCTGTGAGCTCCGCGTAGTTTTTAGTGACATCGCGAGGGGTGGGGCCGAGGAAGACGAAGACATCCATCAGACCAGCCTCAGACATCCAATGAGTGTGGGTGTTGGTTTTGGCTCCGACTCCAAGAGCCAAGGGGTTCTTGGATTCTTTGTCTTTGGTGATATCAATCCAGGTTTCGGCAGCGTTGAGCCAGAAAACACCGACGGTTGAATCCTTTCGTTGCGCTTGCATGAAGGGGATTGCGCCGTACAGAGTCATTGGGCTATCGAGTACATACTCAAAAACATCAGAATTGTATAGTCTGTAGGGCTGTTCATAGTTGCCGTCGCCGCCGCGGGTCTCCTTCAAGGAAAGGGGGCCTGCGTGTTCTGGAATTCCATAAACGTGTTCGTAACCGACAAAGGTGATATCCAGAGCAACGCTCTCGGGGCCACGAGGCTTGGAGTCCGTGTTACCACCGAATGTTTCTTCCCACCAGGTACTCTCGTTTTCCGCAGGATTTACTTCAGGTGTCTCATCTTTCTTCTCTTCCTGCCCTTCTTCACCCTCCTTCTTCTCGGCTACTGGTTTTTCAACCTTCGGCCGCCAATGCTCCAAGTTCATCAAGCCACGATCATTGAGCTTGATCTGAGTAACACCATCCCGTTTGAATTCTATCGAGTATGGCTCGTAGGTAATATCGGCTTCGAATGCCAATTCTGGACCATACTTAATCTTTATCCCAGTCTTGCTTTCATGAGCCACCTGAGCATTCGTGTCGATATCTAATCCACCGACAATTGTCCACTTCTCAGCTTCATTATATCGCTCCTTTCTAGCTTTGCTGTTATGTCGAAGCTCAATATCCTTCTCTCGTCTCTTCTCCTCGTCAACGGTGACACGGGCTGTGCCCGACTTCAGGAAAGATATAGTAAGAGGTAGTCGGACAGTGTTTCCTTGTTCGTCAATGGCTTTGGAGATGGTGGCTTTGAATTGTCCATCCTTAAATGAGGCTTGCTCGGAAGGAATCTTGTAAGGTGCTTGCCACTCGGACCCTAGGGCAATGGCATTATCGGCGTATGCTCTATTCCTCTTGCAGAAGCCCGACTGGCTACATCTCTTGAAATCATTTTCCTTGACCGAAACTAAAACTTATTAGCTACGACACATAGGGGACTATTTTTTGGATGAAAGGTTAAGTACCTCCTGGGGTAATAAGAGCACATAGAAGGACAAGAAAATATAATAAAGTTGTCCATCTTAAGGACGGCGGGCTGCTACCGGCACCGACCATATTGGTCCCCTTGGCACGCCGCCTTTTGGGAAGATGATTGATGTCAACAACGGCAAAGAAGGGTATCAGTAGGAATTGAATTAAATCATAGAGCTACATGAATTTCCAGATCATGAAAAGATATGAACAATGCTTTCGCTGGGTGGAAAGCAATTGTGAAATATGAATTTGTGATAAAAGGCCAAAAGTGTTGAAGCAAGTTGTCCAAAAGATTAAACAACTGGAGCTATCTGTACCTGTGTACAACAAGGTAGCATTTAAAAGCTAGGTACATACACTGGCAGTGGCAGCCATCATCTAATCATCCCCACCACAGTATTGAACCCCAAATCAAAACCCGGAGTCCCTGGCTAGCCACATTGAACCAGGGTAAAATTGTATCCTTCAATCATCTTGATTGATGCTACCTAGTAGTTAGTTACTAGCCACATCCCGGCAATCTCCTATCATGATATTGATAGATCGAAAATTCGAAATAACTATTACTTACACATGGCAGTATTTACTATTTACCCCTACTAACTACCTAGAAACCTACATGTAGGCGGCTAATCCTCACCATCTCACAGCAGGTCATCGTGAATACCAATTACAACCCTAATCCGTTCCATAAGGAGCCTTTCGATATTGCTGTGCTCTTGTCTAAAGGAGATTACTCTTTATCTTCAATTTTGTCAAGAACACCTAAACCTTAGCCGAAATTTTAGTACACCCTAGATAAAATTCTAGGTACAAGGTAGCATCTACATATATCTGTAGCTAAAATACTACCTACAGGGTAGTACCTACAACTTTGATGCCCAAGACAGCTATTGGAGGGGAGCGCCACAATACGGCAGGTGGGCTCCAGCAGCCCCTCACCCCACCTTCCACTATATTCCAGATTTTCCTGAAAAGCGTCTTCGTCGCCCTTCTTTTACTCTTTTTTCCCTGGCAAAGCCTTAAGAATTTTACCATCGTCAACGGAGCTTTACCAAATCTCTCTTCTACTTCCGTCTCTACTTCAATATCTACTTTCACTACTACAGTGACTGCTACTCAATATCACTCCGTTGATACTACCCCGCAACACACCCAAACCCCTCCTTCACCAGAAACCAAAATGTCGGCAACTGAACAGACGTGAGTAAAATTTCAATGCTTTTAGCCACCTAAGATGGGTAATATACGAGAAATACTTTGGGGAAGGTGGGCTAACATACTCTCTACAGCTTCATCGCTATCAAGCCTGATGGCGTCCAGGTACTTCACCTCCTCATCGTAGAAGCGCTCTCGACATGATATTAACCCCGATTATTTTAGCGTGGCCTCGTTGGCAGCATCATCTCTCGCTTCGAGACTCGCGGGTAGGTGCTAACCACATATCTCGCCTTCATTCTTCATGATCTAACTCTGAGTATAGTTACAAGCTCGCTGCTATCAAGCTTGTTACCCCTGGCAAGGCCCACCTCGAGCAGCACTGTAAGTTACTACCCTTCTGTCACTTACTGATATTACAATAAGCTAATAAGTTGCTATAGACTCCGACCTCAGTGACAAGCCTTTCTTCGCTGGCCTTGTTGAGTGTATGCGACTATACCACCCATATATTGTGCGACTTTGGACGAAACTAACCCATTCTTAGACATGAACAGCGGCCCCATCTGCGCCATGGTCTGGGAAGGCCGTGATGCCGTCAAGACTGGCCGAAGTATGTCAGAAATCTCAGATGGTCACTTTGTATCAAGCTAACTGTTACTTTCACAGCTCTCCTCGGCGCAACTAACCCTCTCGCCTCTGCCCCTGGCACCATCCGCGTATGTTGAACCCCCTTATAAATCTAGGAATTTACAGCTAACAGTATGATAGGGTGACTATGCCTTGGTAAGCAGAATCTAGTGAAATGTTATCACCTGTGACATGTCAAGAAAAGACCTACCCATAAAGAGCCCTCGTCTACTTCTGATGAACCCCTATAGATTTACCGTGAGCACCCCTATAACTAACCATGACTTCTACAGGATGTCGGCCGCAACGTCTGCCACGGTTCCGACAGCGTCGAGAACGCCAAGAAGGAGATTGCTTTGTGGTTCAAGGATGGCGAGGTCGTTAACTGGGAGAGCGCCCAGGCCAAGTGGATCTACGAGAAGCCGTAAATGCTACCAAAAGGGGCCTATATGATGGAAGGCCATCTTCGTCCAGCTTGGAAAACTCCAGATCAAGCTACATGACAATGCTAGACCAAAAGTGCATATTCCAATAAATCGAGAGAAATCGTAAACGGGAACAAGTCTGATCTGCAGTGTGAAAAGTGCATGCATGTGAAGGACGGTCTAACAACCCGTCCAATACTTAATTGCTTTTCTTCTTCCATATCGAGCGCCGCAGGGCCACAAACCCCCTAGCCAGCCAGGGGGTTGCCCAGAGACTCAGTGCTATCCTAGGAACCAGTAGCATTTTGGTGATTGCGTAGGCGGCAGCGATCTGTATGCCAATTTTATACCCCTTTTCAGTGTTATCAACCGAGACAGCCTTCTTGACCTTGTGCCAAGCCGCCGCCTTGAGACTCTCGCTCTTGTCTCTAGAGACATCAGCATCACCATCACCTACCCCATCATCCTCCACCCCCTTCTCTTGCCTACCAAACCCAAACCAACCCCCCTTCCCCTTCCCACTCTCCTTCTTCACCTTCTCCATCTCCATCTCCTCCTTCAACCTTTCCTCCAGCCTCTCCTCGCCCCCCTTCCCCCCATCCTTCTTATCCCCCAATCCAAACCACCCCTTCTTCCGAAACCAACGCATATAACGCGCCAAACCCTCCTCGGCCCAGGCGGCCCAGGGCCCCAGAACCCACGAGGTAGGCACCCAGTCCATGCTGTGGAAGAAGTAGGCCAGTCCGAAGAGGGGCAGTATGGCGGTCGCTTCGTGCAGCACGAGGAAGGCGGCGACGTGGGAGAAGGGCGCGGAGCGCAGGCGTTGGAGGTAGGGGTGCAGGCGGCGGGGAAGCCAGCGGGATGCGCGGGAGAGGATTGCGTCGGCGCGGCGGGACTGGGATGAGGCTTTGGAGGAGGAGGGTGGTGGGGGTGCTTTGGTGGTGGATTGGAAGCGTTGAGGTCGGGGTTGTGGTTGGGGGGGTTGTAAGAGGCGAGGGCGAGGACGTAGGAGCGAGTGTGGCCGGGAGAGAAGTTGTCGGCGCATGATGCCTGCGCTGGGCGGCATTTTGAAGGGTTCCAAGGTTCTTTCCTTTTAGGTGCATACACTTATGCGGAAGGTTTTGAGGTGGCATTGAAGATCAGAGCCGGCAGAGTTGGTTTATATAATTTAAAGATGAAAATGAATGTGGAGCTCAGCTAAGGTCCGTACTAGGTAGTAGTGGTGGGGGGTAGAATGACGACACTATTGCTTACTTCAAGGTACCGGGGTAAGTAGGTAGGTTAGGTACTACTAGGTACTATAATAGTCTACTGGTTAGGTACTAATGTACAGCTTGTACCTGGCTTCATACACAAGACCACCACGTCAATGTTATTGTAAAATGGCAATGCTACTATTTGAGCTCAACCTGACTTGCTTGGTAGGTATGGTACCTAGTAGCTACGGAGCTTGCGCGCCAAGCCCCTTGGCCAGCATGCTCTCAGGTTGGAATCCCTTTCCCTCTTTCAAGACACCAGCTTTCCGAAGGATATCAACACATCTTTGAATAACCTTCAAATCGACACTCTCAGTCTTTCCAGCAAACCGTACAGTTTGCAACCATTCCCGTGCATCCGCTTCCGAATAATCCAGCTCGGTGCTAATGTACTTGACTGCCTCGTCCTTGTGCTCAGCAAAGTAGTCAATACCCTCATCCAGCTTCTTAAACAGCTCCTGCAACCTCGGATCCGGATTCCCGCCCGGCAGCAGCGAGTTCGCAGCCACGATCTTCCAGCTGCTCCACGGCGTGTAGATTTCGCCTACGCGGCGGATCTCCCCGCTATCGTAGTACCGCTTCGACGTGAAATGCTCCCACATGAAGAAGTCGGCCGAGCCGTCGTTAACCGCATTCCGGAGGTTCGCAAAGTTTTGCAGTATGACGAAGTCCGCGTAAGGCGACTCGCCGGGGGTCAGCCACCCTTGCTGATCCGCTAGCACGAACCCCATCACCTGGCTGCCGGAGCCGATGCGCGAGATCCCGATCTTGGTCCCCTTGAGAGAAGAGACGGATGCAATCTCAGGTCGCTTTGCACCGGTTGAGATGGCCCAGCCTGCATATATTTGTTAGACGCTCAAATTCAAGTATTCGCGAATGCCAATACTAGGTAGGTAGTGCAGTACATAGAGGTGTCTCAACGTAGGTCCCTACGATGCGGTAGCCGCCGTCGCCGGGAACGTCTTCCTTGCCCAAACCTGCAATCCAGGCTTCAGTGAGGCCGATGCCAACATCGATTTCGCCAGACCGGATAGCTATAATCATGTGGCCCGTTCCAGACGGGAAAGGGATCAACTTTGCGTCGAGGCCGAAATGCTTCTGTGCAAAGTAGAGCGGTGTTGAGAAATGCTCCGGCACAAAGCCGATCCGGAGGGGTTGCGCAGAATCGGCCATTGTTGCTATTCCGAATGATGGGTGTACTAGGTACGTACGTTATACAACTTCAATGCTGCGAAATGTCGTCGATGGGCAAGCACTTGACCTTGAAGTGAATATGTTAAGTTTATAGAAATAGATGAATAGATGAAGAACAAAACAACGCATGACGTTTTACAATCAATCGGGTGGGCAATTAACTATCAACGTGCAGCGGGTATGCGCGGGACGGCATAATGCGGATATTTACGTGCTTAGTTACCTAGTAGGTACTATTTGTCCAGGCGGTCGAGGCCCGAGGGACCTTGGGTACCGCTAAGAAAAATATAGGGGTCAGGGGCTTCATAAACGCTGGACTTCAATTCATTAATTGGCCCTACATACATATTTAGGTAGGTGCCTGCTAAACTAAGCACACCAACAAAAGGGTTCATCTTATCTATAGAGTTTATGTTTTTTAAAGGTTAGGTATCTATTAGTCTGGCCCGTTTGATGGAAATTCAATATTGTAAGATTAGGAGCAGGAGAAGGGGAAAGGGGGCTACATAAGAACATGGCAACTACTAGGTACAATACAATGCATACCTAACATAATAACCACCTCCTCCGAAACACGGATCTGACTACCATCACTTACTTAAATACATTATCATAGACCTTAATGTTCACTACGGTATTGGCATATTCACATGGATATTCATTAGTGTAATTATCTATTCGGTGGCCTGCCGCCATTGCCATATATAAACAAGCGATCCGTTCTCGACAACACCCTCGTTTAATGTCTTTCACGTACCTAAGGGACACCTTCGTTCCAAATCGGAATATCCTCTGCCTTGTATCATAGATATCCGCTATAGTCGAATTGCCCACCATGCCTAAGCGCCGCCCTATTGATCGTATTATGGCCGAGAGCAGGTCGTTACCAGTCGTGCCTCATCCCCGGTGTAGGTTCACCGGAAGCTTGCCGCATGAGATCAACTAATGTACCTGTCTGGAGTAAAATTGTTGACATATTTATGTGCTTAGACTAGAAGAACCCAAGAGGTCGCAGATCGATTCCTTATAAACGATCCCCTCTACGGCGCGTTACCAATAGCCACTGGGAAGGGTTTGCCCTTCTACCAGTAGAAATTCAGCTTATGATTTGGCCATTGATTGTTGCGGCGGGACGAGTTGTCCGTGTCAGTATAAAGTGGATGGGGGATACTTGGATATTGTTTGGGAGTCCTCCGCCAGTCACTCTACACATCAACCGCCAGTCGCGCTTCGAGACGTTCCGGTCTTATCAGGTGGCTTTTGGGACTGATTTAATACCTACGAGGGTCCTTTTTAACTACGACTACGACACATTATATCTTCAAACTCATATGCTGTCGCTCCGCTTTCTCAACAGAAGAGATCGCGCTAAAGTGAAGTGGTTATCCATTCCGGAGTACGTCCCCATCGGCCCTCACAGCAGGCTCGCAGGATCATGGCCGCAAAGGTTCCATGACACCCATCTATTACAGTGTCCAGGATTCTTCATGTCGCTCATGAGGCTTTCTACGCCACATACGATTTTATGGAATTCGTCGTGTCTGCTCACCAGATTCTACCCAGCTCTGCGCAAAATATCGGTGCGCACTTTTGATACCTGCAATAAGAATCCCTGTGATAACTGTAACAGATGCAAAAATTATCTTAGGTCTTACCAAAAACCCCTAATACTTGGCCATAATCGGAAGGTCCGTATACCGCTTTTGGGATACCTAGAGGGCGAGTCGGTCGAAGTAACGTTCAACTATCGTCGGTTACACTACTCTACCCTCAATACCATTATCAATAAGGATCATGCTCGCCTAGCTATCACGCTACACTGGGCTCTCAGTTCCAATGAACTGCTATTCTCACCGATATATTAATGCTATGGTATGGTCTGGTGGAACCGAGATACTCAGGCACATTGGAGGATCCCTACCTCAGCGTTACACTTGTCAGAGGTTGCTGGGTGTTGGTGTTTACAGATCAGTACCAGTATGTACAGTATGTGTATAAACAAGAAGCGTTCATAAGTCACCAAAATAGCTTTGCTTGGGTATTTGTAAATATTCCTACATCGTAGCGAAGGTGCAAGAACGGTTAAGCAATTGCCATTCCCGAGTCAGAACTTCCATCAAAGCGACTGTGACCCCGAGGAGCCGCATTGGTGGACATTCTTCTGATGCCTTGATCTGCATACTCTCTATCCTTAAACACATACCGATAGGTCCGCACAGGTTTATATCCAGTCTAACAACAGCAGCATTCATAATACGATCCGAACATCCGGGCGATGATATGTAGATCATCCAAAGGCCGCGGAGCCTAGGTACCCAGTAGTTGGCCTACTCTGTTCCAGGGAAAGCTGTCAAGGTTCCTCGTAAAGCGCTCATTTCTTTCTTTCACGAACAGGATACCCGAATTAGACTTTGACGGGATTACCGGGCATGCTACCTACCTAGTACTTTGGGAATAGCCATAGTTTTCCCCCATCGGCCATTAGGTAGGTAGATATATTTACATATTTCCACCTCTTATTAGGTACGTAGGCGAAGTAGCTACCTATCATGGTCATAAGTAATGCGAGCAAGCAAGCAAGGGAGCGGGAAAACAAGTTTTATGATTCTTCGCTGCTCTGCCCTAACCTGCTTCGTCGGCAGCAGCTTCCGAAGGTCTGGATCTCGCCGAGCGAGCGTGATGATATGTTACCTAAGGTGCCTAGTATGTATATGACGGCAGTTGCGCGGTGCGTGGATCGGATCGTCGCGGATAACGACCATACCATGCATACCATACGGCGCAGCGAGGTTCGAATCCCCCCCAGGAGGATAGGTCCCTACCTAGGCAGAATCCTGTGGAGTGTTGAGAGGCACGATCCAATGACACGGTATGAAGAGCGAGCGAAAAGGCATGCTGTAGCTTCCTTTGGGGGTTTTTTTTTTCTTTTGGGTTTTTTTTTTCTTTTGGAAATTACCTGTGTTCGTCCTTCGATGGGCGGCAGGCGTTAGGTGGTTACCTACAAGCGATGTCCTTTTACACGGCGGAAGTGCACCGGATAACGCGGCGGGAAGGACCGAGCAGAGATGGAGAGAGATTGGTGTAGATACCTATGTATATGTAGGATGTGTAGTTATGGGAGACGTGTGCTGTATGTATCCCCTTTTTCTTTCGCCAGACTTAGCAACCAGCTCGGGGATGATATGATGTAATTTAAGTACCTACTGTAGGTGCCATGGCATGATCTGACCTTCTACATATGTACTGTATATCTGTAGGTAGGTACGTATGCGAGGTACTTCCAAATTTCCCCGCGTTCTACATACATAGGTAGGTAGATACCTTATGTAGGTAAGATTGCTGCGCTGTTTTTTTCTTTGACGTTAAAGTTAAATGCGTCGACAGCATGGAGAGGGACTTTCGCTCGTTCAATGGTTAGATAAGTTAGGTACTAGACAGGTATGGTTTTGAGAGATATCCATAGGATTTCCTTTTAGGAGGGTTTCCTTTTTTTCTGCTTGAGTGATGGACTGTATCGTATGTAACGTGACTTTGAAAAGAAAATACATATTGGTAGATGATACGATATGATATCTTCGTCCCAAGCCACGATCTACCTCCCTACTATATACAAGCTGCCAGGGAAAGTAATTATCAAACCAGGGATTTCGAAACCCACTATCTCTTAAATAGTCGTATGGGGCCGTAAGGAGATTTGCCAGCAAGCAAAGTGTCAAAGAATAAGCAAGGAGGCGTTTGTGGGTTCCTGGGGCTTGCTATGATTTACATATCTATTCGGCTATTTCACCCTTAGCTAGGCTGTTACCAGGTACCGAGCACTCGGTAGCCACTTGAAACAAGCATTGAACTCCGCTAGGTAAGACCAAAATAGGTAGATTGCAGGTGGGTACGGTGTTTTTGTGTTATTAGATTAGTTATCTGTTCTCTGTTAATGCTGTTAAAAGGACTTCGCTGTGCTTTAGTTCGACTACAAGCCTATCAAGCTATCAAGGACCTACCTAGTACCTCATGTATTATACCTAAAAGCTTGCCTACTTACATTGATATCCATATGTAGGACTTAGCTGCACAATTACCTACATGTGTAGTACACATGTAGGTAGAACAATGTACAGCAGGTCTCTCGCTAACGGCTTCCTACGGCCGCGGGAGCGCCTTAGCGGGCGGCGGCGGCAGGTCATTAAATCCGCAGCAAAAGCCACCTCCGAACGCTCCAGTCAGAAGTGACGTTCGTTTCCAAAAAGGGTAATAAGGGGGGACAACGTCGCGACCGGGTGGGTGTTAGCTTTGGACGGGGGGCACGACATTCAAACTGCATGGTCCCTCTCCCCCGTCATTTGCTGGCGCTATGCATTGTCCTTTTGTTCAGCCGCAAGTAGTAAAGCAAAGCGGGAAAAATTCCCGGGGGGCACAGTTATTTTCTTTCTTAATTCTAGATCTGTAGATCTGTAGAAAGGACAGGAGGAGATTATTTTGATCCGAAAAATTAAAATAAAAGAATCCACGAAAGAGGGACCGAAACACCGCATCGCACGACCGACTAGGTAGGTCGATAGGCAGTAGATAGGTAATCGAATCTTGTGCTTTGTTCCTTACCTAGGTTTTCTTAGGCTCGTTTCGAGGTTGCAAAAGGACAACAATGTGTTCAAGGAGGGGAAGGGGCATTAGACAGATGGCCGTGGTAGATTTCCTCTTTCTCTATTTATTCCCATCGCCGGACATGGTCGACCGTGCTGTGGTCTCGGTAGCAAGCTAAGTCTGTGTTGTGTTGACTTTCATATTGATAATAATAATAATTATAACATTATTGTTTGGAAGGAAAAGAATCAGAAAGAAAGAAAGAATAAAGAAGAAAGGAAGAAAGACATTATGTATTCCAAGGGGAAGGTTCTCATCACCGGACTCAACGGCTACCTCGCCGGCCGAGTCGCCGAAGCTGCGCTGAGGGCTGGATATGACGTACGCGGCACCGTCCGAAATCTAGATGCCGGCGCCGAAGTACAGCAAGCGTTGTTGAGTCTGGGGTGTGGAGGCCGAGCCGAAGTCGTACACGTCCCCGATATGGCCGAACCTGGTGCCTTTGACAAGGCTGTAGTCGGTATGAACTTTTATTAAAGCCCGAAACCACCCTATAACATTGTTGTAGGATTACTATTGTGGGCTGAAGCTGACAGAAAGCCTTTATTTAGGATGTACTGCGATCATCCACCTCGCGTCACCTGTTAAAGAAACATGGACGATGGAGCCACGCAAGTTAGTCAAATATGCTCTAAGCGGCACCATGGGGGTTTTAGAGTCGGCATGGAACGCCGGCCCACAACTACGAAGCGTCATTTTTATGTCTTCAGCTGCCGCCATGTTCGATGTACCCCCTAAAACTGGCGTTTACACCGAAAAAGACTGGAACACGACCTCCGAGGAAGCTGTGGCAGAACTGGGCGCTAATGCTGGGGGACTGCACGCCTATTGCGCCAGCAAAACTGCCTCCGAGAGGGCGTTCTGGAGGTTTCGTGACGAGCGGAAACCTGCCTTTAGCATGACTACTATCCAAGCCACGTGAGCTATTTTCTTCCCGTGATGCATCAACAACTGCTGAATATCAGCTACGGAATACTTAAATGGAACCAACTGACACACCAGACGACAAAATAGATATTTCATCGGCCCACCCCTCGTACCCTGGAAAACCCAAGACGAGATCCCCTTCTCCCTGACCAACATCTGGAAGCTCTTGCAAAAAGCAGACATCCCAGGGCCCATGCTCCTCTACGAGTCCAGCATCGACATCCGCGACGTAGCGCGCGTGATCCTGTGGTCGGCCTCGCACCCCACCCAAGCCGACGGCGAGCGCTTCCTCTGCGCGTCCGCGGTGGGCGGGGCCCAGGCCATCGCAGACATCCTGAACCAGCACCGGCCTTCCTTCGGGGTGGCGAGGGGGGATCCGGGAGAGGGGTACGAGACGGGCTACGCGCCGGCGGCGAGTGGGATTATCGCGTTCGATGCGACGAAGGCGTTGCGGGCGACGGGGCAGGAGTGGATACCGTATGAGATGACTATCGTGGATACGGCGGATTTCCTGTTGAAGAAGTACCTCCAATGATACCTATGTTTAGGGTGGCGAAATGGGCGGGGGAGATATGTTTATAGTGGTGATGGAGTGAGCATAAGTCATATAGGTACCCAAGAAATATAGGTATGGCTAAAAGGCGTGAGGACTAAGGGGTATAGGGTACATATAGTCCTAGAACTCCCCCGGATCAAATCCCTTTTTGCCGCTGGGGTGTGTAGGTATCATCTTGTTTACACGAGTAGACTAGCTTCTTATTAACTGTATATTATTTAGTTTAATCTAAGCCTTTACCATGGGGCTATGAGATCAAATGCAGTTGTGAGAAGGCCAGATTAATCACCGTGAGGTTATTGTCGGCTAGGTGGTGATGGATATATGATTAATCAAGCGTGTGTGAAAAAAAGGTGTCAAGAGACCGCATATTATTCACATATCACCGCTCTTCTCCTACGCTTTTGCAAGAGCTGAGTTTCCCGTAGGTAATTGTGTAATCGAAATCATATGAACGATAGGGAGTGGCGAGGGTAACTTGGGGCTGATACACCACAATATCCATTATTACATGAAACCGCCTAGCCTAGAGATTACTAGGTGTCCGGTAAAGAACCATCGTCTAATTCCTGTATGAGAGAGAGCAAGCGTTACATTCATCCGCGACAAAGCCACACAAGGTGGGATGTAGACTGTGGTCATGCTTTAAGCAAAAGCCGGGCATTTTATTCTCTATCGTCTGCGACCGCATATTCCAGCGCGTTAGCCATGGCGAATCCATTGTAGTTGGGATAGATGTGAAGCAGTTTTGTTTCGTCTGAAGAAATGCTTGATTTATGTCATGCTTGAACTGTAGCAACTCGTGTACCATTTACAAGCCCTAAAGTTCATAGACTCATTCCAGTCAGCAGTACTCTTCGTCCCCCACGAAAAAGAATATGTTGTTGGCGTCAATTAGGCATGTCGATAGTGGACAACGTGTTGTTCAATGACCCGGAGATTACATCGCTGCCCGGAATAAATTTTCTGTAAGACAACAACGCCTAATGAATTGTAGGGTATATCATTCAGTATTTCCGAGTCACGCAAATTATTCGTTGCGCCTCTACACCGCGACTGTGAATACCCCCCTCCCTGAACCTGCATCAACACTATAATCCCGACCCATTTATCTAAATGCCAAGGTTCACCTGGCAGGTCCATGGTAGGGAAAAAGGTTCAACATTGAAGCTGTATAAGGGAAGGGCGATGGCTTTCCCTGTGACTAACGGGGACTTCGACTTCGTCTGCGACTACGACTTCGGTCTCTTCGATCTCTCTTATCCCGGTCTCTTCGGGACTCTGTACTTCTTTCACGACGACTTCGGCGTTCGCGATCGTGATCCTTATCACGATCGTTATCGCGATCGCGGTCCCTTTCGCGATACCGGTCACGATCTCGGTCACGTTCGCGATCACGATCCCTATCTCTGGCTCCTTCTCCGCGGTATCGATCACGAGATCTGTGGCGTTCACGATCACGGCTTCTATCCCTATCCCTGTCACGACGACGGCTACGGCTCCTAGTGCGGCTCCGCCGACGATCCCGTCGATCATCTTTCTCTCGATCACCATCCCTATCCCGATGGTCGTCTCTATCCTTTTCTCGGTCCCGTTCTCGGTACTTGTCGGCTGCTCGAGTATCGCGATCAACAGGCCTGTACCGATCAATCTCGTCGGGAACACGCGATCTCTTGATCTCAGGTGAGCGATCTCCTGTGCTACGTTTGTCATCGACACCAGGAACGGGTAGACCCTTTTCACGAGCCTCACGTTGCGCGGCTAAATATGCCTTCGCTTCTTGTTCGCGCTTCTTTATTTCGCCTTGCTTCCAAGCTTCGGCATCTGTTAGTTCAGGCTTACTAGAAGTGGCTGGTCGGGATCGGGATCGACTTCGGGCTGGACGCGATCGAATTCTTTCGGTTCGAGGCCTAGTTGAGCGAGACCTATCCCGGCGATCCTCTCGTCGTTCCGGGCGGACTGGCGAGCGACTTCGTGCACGTTTATCGCGATCTTCTCTACGCCTAGAGCGGCTCCTTTCTCTGTGGCCAGGCTTATACCTGTCATGCGAACGACTTCTGTCCTGCCTCTCTCGATGGGATCGTACGCGAGAACGGCTCCTATCTCGTTGACCAGGCCGGTAAAAGTCCCTGTCTCTATCAGGAACCCGGTCACGATCTCTAGAGCGACTTCGATCTCGGCGAGTTGATCTATGTCGTGATTTGCTTCGATCCTTTCGGTCGGATTTGGCGTGAGAGCGACTGCTGTCCCGAGCATGCTCGCGGTCGCGGTCCCGATTCTTGCGGCCATCTTCTGTACCACGCGATCGGTCGCGGTGATGATGGGAAGGAGCTGTACCAGCTTCTCCTCCTCGTTCATCCTTGGCTTTAGAATCCTTAGCATCCTTAGCATCCTTGCTTTCCTTGGCCCTTCTAGATTCGACATGTTCTTTGGATTCTTTAGAATCCTTAGCCTGGCTGGGCTCCTTTGCGGCTGTCTTCACCTCTTTCGTCTCCTTTGCATCCTCGGCATCTTTCGTGGAGTCCTTGGTATCGGCTTTAGCAAGCTCGGGTGTTTTCTTAGAATCCGAGTTCTTGACAGATTCGCGACGTATTGGCTGTATAGCAGAAGCAGGCTTGATTCGTCGAGGCGGGGGGGCAAGAGCCTCGTCAATCTCAAGTTCGGGTTGTTTGGCAGCACTCCTCTTGCTCTCCCGTAGTAAGTCCTCAAGAGCTTCGCGTTCAAGTCTCTCATGATCCTCCTTAGTGAGCTGTTTTTTAACCTCTTCAGGCTTACCACGACCTCTCTCTTCCCTAGGTGATCGTTCACGATGTCGGCGTTCTCTACTGTCGCGGCGGCGGCTGCGGCTGCGGTCTCTATCACGATCATGGCCCCGGTCTCGCTCACGATGACGCGACCGATCTCTAGACCTGCGCCGAGTATCTCGGTCATGGTCCTTCTCACGATCTCGCTCCCTGGCACGGCGACGTTCCTCTCTTTCCTTCTCGCGTTCGAGTTCGCGCTCTGCTTCCTTCTTCTCACGTTCGCGCCTTCGAGCGTCTCGTTCCTCTTTGCGTTTAGTTTCTGCCTTCTCCAATTCGCGCTCTCTCTCGCGCTCCCGTTTCTTTCTCTCCTCATGTTCAATCTTGCGCTTTTCTTCCAATATTTGCTCCTCCTTCACTCTCAGTTCCCGTCGGATCCGCTCACGCTCTTCTAGGCTATGGGCTGACTCGATAGCATATTCCGCATCTGTCTTGGAGCCGCGAATTTGCTCCTCCTTGGCAGCCTCGACACCGATCTCAGCTTGACGCAGTTCACGCATGCGCGCCTCGATACCCTTTACATCGATGAGTTGATCGAGAACTTCATTGGCCTTTTGATAAACGCCGGATCGATCTAGAGCGCCGTCGATAAGGGCGGCTGCCTTTCGGCGGTCTAAAGTCAAAAGTTGAGCAGGATTACGCTCCAGTTCCTGTTCGGCAACTTCGAGAATCGACTTGGTGACTTGAGCTTCGTAATCCTAAGAATTAGAGGCATTTAGTAAGCTAAATATAAATATATATACGCGTTGTGTATTTGCCATGATAACTTACACTCTGCTCGAACTTTTCCCAGACTTGCTTACGGATCGCGTCATATCCACCCTTCTTCTTGAAGCTATGCGCTAGTCCTTCAATCGCAGATCGCGTAGCAGAAGTTAGTGGAAGGTCTGAAGCCTTGAATTTTCGCGGCGTAAAAGCAGCAGTGCCGGGCGTTGGAACAGGTGTTTGCTCTGCTGAGGCCATGGTCGCGGCCGATGAGGCCGTCAGACCCAGAGACCAACGGTCAATAGATTCAGGAAACTAGCATGTGAAATTTAATATTCAAAGTATCGTGTGCGGCTTGAAATTCTCTATTTCAAAGGAATAATTCTACGAAGAGAAGACCATGAGCAATGGAATATGAAAAGGAAGTTCAATGTTGTTGAAAAAGGGAACTTTGACATAAAAGGTTTAAAGTTCGGAGACTTTCAAGATTGGCACTGGCAGCTTTGGCTTTGGATCCTTTAGGCACTTATGCTTAATCCTCAATTTCCATAACTTGGAAGTGGTCCGTGCATGAGCTTAGATAGAACCTGATTTGATTGGTAGTTTGCTTGGTGGCTTGAATCCATTGATTTCATAATTTCATAATTTATTCATGATTCCATGCATTAGATCAACCAGTCAGACTTCCATTCAAGTTTCATTCATATCGTTGACCTACCTACCTACCTAGGTACCTTCACACTCGACTTCCCACAAGCATCCTCTATTTCCGACTTAACCACCACTTCACGAGGTTCGCTGCCCTTTCTCACTAAGCTGAGATAGCCTCACGATATACGAAGATATCCCCCACGAGAAAGGCCGGTTGAGATATCACCACTCCACTCCAATCAATCACAATGGTGCACAGAGTCGTTTTCTGGTCAGGCTTCGGTATGGCCACACAAGATTGAACCTCTTGTCTCCTGGACTACAACTAACTAGCCAATAATAGGCGTCGCCGTCAACATCTGGCGACTCGGCCTGGAGATGCGCCCGTTCTTCAACAGAGGCTCTCTTTGGACCTACCCAGTCTTCGCCTCAGTTGGCGCAAGCTTTGGATATTGGCTACAGGGTGTCGACGACCGACAAGCGGCAGTTCTAGCAGAGCGCAAGCGAAGTATCATCGAGAAGAGGGCTAGAAAGGCGGCACGGGAAGCCGAAAACAACGGGGTAGCCGCATAAAGAGCATTCCCAACCTACTTGAATCAATCAATGTACATATAGTGGGGTTCACGGAATAAAGGGTCTACGATTTACAAGAGCAAGCCGACATATGAGTATGTTGTAGTTGCTTGTGAATACGGTAATTGACCGTTTAGATGGTCAACACGCCTCTTGTGCGATGGGATGGTATTGAAGGCTTCATACTGAAGGGGCTCGATACATTGGTAAAAGCCTCTTAGTCAGAAGATCCTGTCCTTGGCCTATCTATCTATCTCATTACCTGATTACTCTGGTTTCCTCGGGTTCAAGCTCTAGTTGGACTCTTCGAGTTTACGCAGCAAATCTGATACAGATGTAGGCTGTACCGTACCCAGTTCTGATAATACAAGTGACAGATACTTATCCGGAGTGGTGTCATACAACAGTCTGAAAGATGCGCCTGAGCTTCTTTCGGGATCGATCTCGTTGTATGTCAGGGAGTCGGTCGCAACTCTCTCCGTAATGTTGATCGTCTCACATAAAACAAGAACTGGTATACCCAATTCCTTTGCAGCGATGGCGATGTCACAAGTCCCTGAACTTGCGTACATGGATCCATTGTTGAACATGGCCTCAGCAGCAACCATCACTTTACTGACGCCTTTTAGATGCCATCTTAATCCACCAAAGTCGCCACTGTATGTCACTCTGATGCCTCCTGCGGTAAGGTTCTTTGCAAGCGTCTGGCCCTTCTTCTCGTATGGATCGTCAAGGACAGTGACTGTAAACTTCTTTTGCTCGATCAGACGGGCATGAAGAAGAGCACGTTCTACCATGCTGTTGCGGCCATAAGTCAACACCACGTCGTCTTCCTGAATCTTATCTGCGGCCTTCTCGGTGATGACAAGATCGGCCATGCTGATTCGCTCCTGTATGAAGGTGTCTATGCTGCTGCATAGTTCCCTCTTCGCCTCTTGCTCGGGCACATCTGGGTCGATCCTGCTTACTTGTAATTTGAGCCAACGAATCGCGTTTCCCATAGAAAAGCACATGGGTCGACATGCAGTAAGGTACTCTATTTGAGGATTCAGGACGTGTGGTGTTAAATGTCTTGCGAGCGTGTTCCCAGGGGGTGTGGTATAGGAATCAATAACCTGTTCGGCAATTAGCATATGTTAAGCATATATATTATATGTATATATGGGTGTTCATCTCCGTGAGCTTCAAGTACCTTTTTAAAGGCTAGTAAGGTAGCTTTCAGGCGTGTAATGCTTTCATCAATGGTGAAGGTAGCCATTTGCTGGCCAAGTGCCAAGACAGATGGATGGACATCTTTGTCTGCTTGTGTCATGGGAATTCTCTTAGCCATAGAAAGATGGCTGAAGCATTCGGGGATAGTAAACTTTGGTTCGGCCGGAGCGATAGAGGACAGTCCCTTAGACAATACTGGTCGCCCTGTTGCTCCTGGTGCAGTAGCCGAGTTGCCATCTTGTTTACCCTTCGCTTTCCCGCCCTTGACTTCGCCTACAGATGGGCCTTGTTGACCAGGTGATGAGGATACAGCAGATTCTACCTTGACCACTTCTTTTGTAGCCTTGACTTGTGCTCGTCTTGCAGCCTTCTCGGCCTTGGCTTTCGCTTTTAGCTCAGCACCAGAAGGTTTCTGTGGCTTCGAAGCGTCTACTGCCTCGCTCTTTGGACCATTTTCCTTCTTCGGAGGAACTTGGGGCTTCTCGGGCTTCTTAGCTGGCTGTGGAGTGGCCTCCGGAGCAGGTCCATCCTGTTCTGTTGACATGGTGAAGGATTCGTGATGATTGGTTTGGGAAGAATAGAATCTAGACCAAATAAGGCCCATGAAAGAAAAAGCCCTTGGATATGTGTGGGGGATCAATCGCAGGAAAAGGATAAGCACCTGAGAGGTGCGACTTTTCCTTTTTTCGCGATAAATCTCGGCACGCGCAAATGACAGAGGAGACCAAATAATCTTGAATTGGACTCGAAATTGAGTCACAACTTTTGAACGTGGGGTGCCATGCAAGGATTCAAACTTTAGATCGGCGCAAGCCACAGGGTTGGCGGGGTTCTTTGCATGGTATATTGTACATATGTATTTAGTCTATATTACATAAGTCATATGTATTTTAGGTTTGATTGAGCCACAACAGACTTTATGTAGTTTCACGAAAGTCCTCGTGACGCATGTTCATACTACTACTAATAGTAGTACATACTTTGTTTATATGTATACAAAGAATAAATTTACTTTGTTTATATGTATACAAAGAATAAATTACATACTAGGTATGTATTCACATAAACATTGAAAGTGTGTACAACAAAGATATCTATTCAATGACGATGTAATAAATCCGTACATTGTAGTTACCCGCTAAGGTGCCTAACCTAGATATTTGTATATCAGGTTGGAATGGACTGTCTGCATCGTTTGATTCACAGTCTACAGGGCATGCCCCTTGATATCTTAAATCCCAAGGTCAGCATTGAATCAGGAAGGGGTAACTAGGTGTTATCTTCGCTGACAAAGGACGACGAATGAAGCCTAGTGAAGCATTAACACGATATGTACGCTATATATCTGCCGTATAGAGATATGTCCGCTATAACAATTTCGGGGTTTACTAAACAGTTGACCTTGGATGATACCGACAAAACCCCACCTCCCCCTCTCACAGAGTCACAGCTCGGATTATGTATGTTCATGTACCTAGGTACATATCTCGGTAAGGTTTGACATCAACTTTATATTGTACCACCTACATACCTACGTAAGGTAAGACCATCCGAGAGTGAACCAAGTAGCAGGAGAGGGATCAACTAAACGTCATCAATGTATGTATTTACCCGCGTCCGTATCCGGCGCTAACTCGTACTCGCCAACTTTCAAGTACCTAGTAACGACCCCGCGTTTCCAAGGCATCATCTCCCGATTACTTGGTACTGTTAGAACTGTCTCGACCCGAGAAAGAAGTAAAGGTAACCATCCTTACCGATCTAATAACAACATTGATGCTACCAAGTACCGAGGGTTGGTCACCACATGCAAGTTACATGTTCACGATAGTCTCCCAAGTCATCTTGTTTCTATAATCTACAAAGTCTATACCTGTTTATACTATATATTCAGTCAGACCCCCTTTTAAAAGTCATCTCATCTCGAAGACACCTGCAGACAGATACAGTATACCTATACCTATATATATACATATATTCCAAGGTTGCAATCCGTGAACTTGTCGCAGTGTCTCAAGATGTCTACCAAACACTTCATCAATGATCCCACTCTGTTGGTAAATTCAGCTCTCCAGAGCCTTGCCTTGACTAATCCTTCCGTCGCTTTGGACACCGAGAACAAGATTGTTTACAGAAGACCCAGCCATGCACCATCTCAAGTGTCCATAATCAGCGGAGGTGGTAGTGGACATGAGCCCAGTTTCGGTGCTTTTGTTGGCTCTGGTCTACTTTCCGCTGCCGTTGCTGGAACCATCTTTGCGTCGCCAAGTGCAGAGCAGATACGCAAGGCCATAACTTCAAGGGTAGATACCGACAAGGGCGTGCTAGTCACAGTCATGAACTACACCGGAGACGTCCTGAACTTTGGTATGGCCGTCGAAAAAGCCAAGGCTGCCGGCTTGAAGGTCGAAATGGTTGTTGTTGGCGATGACGTTGGCGTTGGAAGAGAAAAGGGAGGCAAGGTGGGTAGAAGGGGAATCGCCGGGACGGTGCTAGTGCACAAAATATCCGGCGCTCTTGCGGCACAGGGACGCAGTATCGAGGAGGTTTACCGCGTCGCCAAGCTTACAGCAGACAACCTCGTAAGCGTCGGAGCTAGCCTTAAGCATGTACATGTGCCTGGGAGGGCGTTGGTAGACACGAACCCCGCCGAAAATCTCCAAGACGGCGAGGTGGAGGTCGGAATGGGAATTCACAACGAAGCAGGTTCAGGACGCGCCAAGGTTGAACTACCAGAGCTTGTGAGCACGATGCTGTCACAGCTACTGGACCAAGGCGATAAGGATCGGGCATTCCTCAATGTGAACTCTAACGAAGTAGTCCTTCTCGTGAATAACCTCGGAGGAGTTAGTGTCCTTGAGTTAGGTGGCATCACGACAGAAGTTGTGAAGCAATTAGGATCATGGGGCATCCAACCAGTAAGAATATTGAGTGGAACTTACAGTAAGCGAATTCCATTGTCGTTCTCAGAAACTCCTTCGGGCTCAGCTGAGGGCCCCATACTTCTAAGTCATGATCTTAGATCGCGATTTTAGATCATAGAACAAAGTAACAAACACTAACAATCTTATAGTGACGAGTCTGAATGGACTTGGATTCAGCATTTCGCTGCTGAATGTCGTCAACACGGATATTGGTGGACCGAGTATGATCGAGCTGTTGGACTACCCTTGCGAGGCTACAGGGTGGGCGGCACCGATACAGAAAACCACCTGGGAAGCAAAAAACAGTGCCACCAGGGAAGACGCAACGGGAACCGATTCAAGTGTCAAGTCAAGCGGCCTCAAGACCAACGCAAACGCATTTAGCAGCATCTTAGCTTCAGGACTACAGGCTGTTATTGCTGCTGAGCCAGAGGTTACGAGATACGATACCGTGGTTGGGGACGGCGATTGTGGCATCGGCTTGAAGCGTGGCGCCCAAGGTAAGTCATTACCACATACGGTTGAGTGCAATTGGAAGCTAACAGTACTGCAGCTATTCTCAAACACATAACAGAAAATGCAGCAACGGGAGACGTTGTGGTCGATGTCGCTCATATCGTCTCTGTTGTCGAGACGGAGATGGATGGTACTTCAGGAGCGTTATTTGCCATCTTCCTCAACGCGCTTGTGCACTCCCTCCGAGTGCTTTCACCCGGGGAGGCCACTTCGCAAGTCTGGGCCGGTGCCCTCAAGCAGAGTTGTGACGCGCTGTCTAAATATACACCAGCCGGGCCAGGTGATCGCACAATTATTGATGCCTTGTATCCTTTCGTTGAGGTCCTTGGGAAGACGGGTAGTCTCAAGAAGGCTGCCGAAGCCTCAAAGAAAGGCGCTGAAGACACCAAGGGTATGGCCCCCAGCCTAGGACGAGCGGTATATGTTGGAGGATCCGGATTCGAGCAAGTGCCCGACCCTGGCGCTTGGGGTCTGGCATGCTTTTTCTTGGGGCTGGCCGGGATAAAATCTGAAGATGACAGTTGGGTTGCTATATAATCAGTTTCTTTTCTCACGGGGTTTGTATTGATAACACGGAACGGGTGGAATGCTCAAGACACATAATCAGATTCAGGTAGCGTCAGCTCTCTCATTAATGCCACGGCTAGATATTGTATCTTTTCCCTCCATGCTAAGCCCATTCTCTCAGCTGCGTCGCAGTTTAAGCTGGCCAGCATGTCCATAATGACCGTACCCTGGAAGATGGATAAACAATCTGCATCAAAATGCCGTCCCAACCTTCGAGACCTGGTCTTCCTGTTTTGGACATCCCATGGAAAAGATCATGCCGTGTAGAATGCGTTAGAGTACAAAGTAGCTAGAACTCATTTCCAATCATCTAGCTGAGCAAAACTAGAATAACCGAGTCTCCTCGTAAGAACCTATAAAAAGGATCAGCATATTAATATTTCCACCACCAAGTCAGGATATGGATATAGAACAATAACAAACATACATCTTGCTAATAAACCGATCCTTGTTAACGGGCCTTCCCTTCTTTCCGTTGGAGAGTTTGGGGGTCTCGGTCCACATCTCCTTGACGTTCTCCAGCACCATGTTGCAATGTCGATCAAAGGCCTTGACGCGAGCGAGAAGCTTGCGGTTGTTGCGACACGAGATGAGAACTTGGGTATGGCTTCGGACGGCGGTCTGTAGAATGGATAGAGGACCGGCACTGAACTCGTGTTCCTCGAGCAAGGAAATCTCGTATTCACTGTTTGTTTGGTTTGGCACATGGTTAGTTATAGATCAACGAAGCTGCGAGCTACGCTGGGAATGGAGAGTGCGTACGTTAATTCGTTGCGCGGCTTCGTGAGAAGCTCCCTACAAAGCGGATTGTTAGCTTGTTATCATGAAAGGGATATTTGTTATTGGTAAGTCTTGATCTTACTGAATCTTTGCGTCCGCCATGGTGGTTTTGAGGTATTCGGTTTGGGGGTATGTAGGATAGAAGTGGAATGGGAGTGAGTGGTTGGACTACAACGAATGTATCGGTAGTAAATAGATTGACGCAAGGCTGAGAAATTCAAGATGGAAGATGCAGCATGCGACTTTAGAAAAGTTAATAAATATGGTCTAATTCTCGTTAGAAGAATAACTTGAATAGGCTCTCCACTTCGATGCATTGCTAGATCAAGGCTAAAGGTATTTTAGTACTAGTGCAGTACTACCTTAGTACATGTAGTAGGTAAGTACATGGTATTTTGTACTTATAATAAAAATTCAGGACTAAAAAGCAACATTTGAACATTTTGAACTTCAAGAATTGCTACCAAATCACCAATTCAATGTATATCGACATGTATTGTATATACATAACAGCTACGACTTAACTCTAAACCATCATTGAGGTCCCCCCAACCTAACTTCCTCGATGGGCATATAGCCTTCATATTGCGCATCGTTGAAAGAGTTAATTTAGATGTCTTTTAGAGTCCTAATAAGGAGAGCTGGGTCTGCAGCTTCTATTGCGACCCCTCCTTGCTGGAGACCTACTTTCACGATGCCTTTGAGAGCCAACTTATTAGATCCTCGCATGACCGCAAGAGCGCAAGTATGTGAAATATAGTAACTATAGCTATTAACCCTCACTCGACCGCTGAACTAATACTAACTGTCCTTTTTTTGTTTCTTCTTTTAACAGATGTCTACGAAGCCAGAGGCTATAAAAGAAGTTCCCAAGGAACTGAGTACAGACGAGCCCCGTGATGTCGTCTTTACCAACACTTATGGTCTACGGACCATCGAACTCAACCGACCTGCAAAATACAATGCTCTCAATGGCTCTATGATCCGAAAGATATTCCCACGATTGGTCGAATGGGAAAAATCAGATATGGCGAATGTCATTGTCATGAAGGGTGCTGGTGACAAGGCATTCTGCGCCGGAGGCGACGTAAAGGCACTTGTAACTCAAAACCAAGAAGGACCCGAAGGCCAACGAAAATCGGTCGACTACTTTGCGCTGGAATACCAATTAGACCACTACATCGCTACCTATAAGACACCGTATATCGCATTTATGGACGGCATCACAATGGGTGGAGGTGTAGGGCTTAGCATTCATGCTCCGTTCCGAATCGCCACTGAAAGAACAGTGTTCGCCATGCCCGAAACTACCATAGGCTTCTTCCCCGATGTTGGTGCCTCGTTCTTTTTGCCGAGAATGCCAGGGTCCGTGGGCACCTACTTAGCGCTCACAAGCGATACAGTCACAGGCGCAAACGTATTCTATTCGGGGATTGCAACACACTACCTGCATTCAACGAGTTTACCAAACTTAGAAGCACGGTTGGCTGAGCTGCGTTTCAAGGATTATGATAGCATGGAACATCGCCTATCCATTATTGAAATGACTATCGAGGAGTATGCAACTGGCCTACCACATGGCGAGCCAATTCTGCTAGGCGGCGAACTTCGGAAAGCCATTGATCGATGCTTTGATAAAAGTAATATTACCGACATTATAGATGCCTTGAAGGACGAGCAGGGCCCGACTCAGGAATGGGCTGAGAAAACCTTAGCTACGTTGCATAAACGATCTCCTACTTCAGTTCACGTGGCACTTGCGCAAATGCGGGCAGGAAAACAGTGGTCCATCGCAGAAACTTTCCAAGAAGAGTACCAGATAGCCGCCAAGTTTATGGGACATCCTGACTTCGCCCAGGGCGTAACAGCTCAACTAGCGAAAGAGCCGAAACCCACACCTGAGTGGCAACCAGCCAGCTTGGAAGATATCCCGCCAGATCAAGACATCGCCCAACCCTTCTTTGATCCGATCGGAAGGTTACCCGAGCTTAATTTGGTGACCGACAGAGACTACCCTGACTATCCATATCAGTCCTTCGGCGTCCCCTCAGAGGCTGACGTCGAAATATTTGTGAGGGGAAATCAATTACCTCGTCACAAAATCCGCGAGGAATTCGTCCGAAGAAAGAGGGGGAGGCAAGGTATCAACATTATTGTGGATGAGATTCTTACCAGAAAGACCATCACAAATGAAGAAGGGTGGGTGGAATGGGCAAACGAGTGATCTCGCTCACCACCACACAATAGTGCACTACGTCTTCGTGTATTATAGAAGCGGTCGCCCCGCTACTTATCTGGAAGTAAATACTATGTATTGTACCAAGATGTCGGTACTGAGTTTGTACCGAATGTTAACAACGCTGATGGAATTAGGGACTAACAAGACTTCTAGAATGCCACGTTCAGGGATAAATCCACGTACATACTGATGCTGGCTCTCACACATTTCCCAGTGCTGTGCTGTAGCTAAGGGTGGTGCTAATACTATTGCAATAGTAGCGCGATTTAATTCCACCTCCTTACCTGTATATCGCAAGATCATTCAGGTGCCCAGCTTCCAACCAGATATTTCCTCCGTGCTTTGAGATACAGCGTTGGGATTGAAGAAGTACTAAGTAGATAGCTCTACCTTCCAGCTACCCATCATATAAATATCTTGGCGCTCTATGTAAGTAGGTAGGTATCTGGCGCTGAGTAAGATCAGAACATGTGTATGAGAAGTTTAGCCACCTAGGTGATCTTGTGACAAGTTTGTGTACAGATCTACAGCCGCGTACAAGGTGATATCTGAATTATGCGACCGCTCTAGATAAAAATGCTAACAGACCAATCATTCTAGTATGGAGCAATTCTGGCTATGTTGTGGCAGGAAGGGTGGCGATAGATACGTAGTGAGCCTGGAGAGTGCGTGAAAAAGGGGGTGTCACGTGACTCACTCTTATCGCATCACTAGGCACCTATGTAAGTACCTGGAAGCATCTTATACAACTTCACAATTTAGTATATGGAAGAGGCTTGTATCGTGCCATACCTGCTAAGAGACGACCAAAATATAACTAGGCAATGAGGATGTCTACGATACTGCGACGATGCGGATCAGACCTGCTTATCATTTATCTCAAGGCCGATACGGTAGCCTGCTTCTCGCTTTGGAGAGAGGCCTCTTGTTGGAAGCCTCACAGCTTTATCTCAGATGTACAAATTGTAGGAGACAATGCTATACGTAGACTGAAGTCTGGGAATCAGACATCTGGGATAATGGGTTTTGTAATAAAGGAAGCTGTGTGAGGCTTTTTAGAGTGGTTTGTTGGAATTGAATTTGCTAGTGAGGTGTACACACCGAAACGATTCACTCCTTGTGTATACTAATACATAGTATGTACATACATGAGGTATGTTGTGGTTTAATACCTAGTACTTGATGATATTCCATTCGATAATATACAAACTATCAATAATATCAATGATGATCACTCGCTTGGTCGGTGACTGGGTACTCTCTACCTACATACCTAGGGTAACTTGTAAGTAGCTTCCTAGTATCAGCAACATTGAAGAAGACATCAACATTGAAACCCTCATTAACTGCATTAGGTATGTAAGCTGTTAAACTGCCAGCCCTAGCTAGGAATTTGAAGGTTAACAACCTTTTATACTACCTCAGTATTCATAGAATTTGATTGGTTGCAGGTGCTGATAGCAGTCACTTGGCCTGAAACCCCACCTCCCCTCCCCACGCCCCACACGAGGACCATTTTCAAGTTCTTTTACAGTTCTAGGGTCCACTCATAAATGGCAAATGCCCCCCAGCCACCCCGACGTGACGTGACGTACTAACCTAGGTACTTTACCTTAGGTACCTAGGTACATATTCAATTTATCCCACCGCGAAACCTTCTCCAACGCGCTTTTCAAAAAGTTATTAGCGCGAATCTCCACTGTGTACTTTGTCTCAACGCGTTGCTTAAGGGGTACAACTTTTGCATCCCTGATCTATCCAACTTGTACTTCGTACCTCAACCAGATCCAATCCACAATATCTTTCACCTTCAAATGTTCATCTGTTCAACAAACCTTCCCTTTACTTACTTAGCATTACACAATCTCGTCAATTGAAATTAGAATACATTTGTTCAATTCTTGAGTGACCAACTCTGGTCCAAGAATCGATTCTGCATCTGATATTTTCATCCCATCATCTTTACCGTCTTTTCTTTTTTTTTTTCCCGCACAATCAACTCAATAGGACCGGTCAACGTTTTGTTTCGCGTCTTCCTTGGACGTTGGTGAACTCGGAAGAATTACTATTTACGCATCTTACGATCATGACACACTCCACACGCTTCTTTTAACGATTACTTCCTAAACACAACATTCAATACAATACATACCTATATTAGTAAACCGTCGAATCCTTCGCTTTGGTGTATTGAAGTTGTCTGTCGCAGGAAGCAGAGGCCTTCCTGCTACCGACCGAGATGGCGAATTACAACCACAACCACAACCACCACAACAACAACAACAATAACAATAACAACAATGCACAATGGGGTGCGAGCGCTCCTGGAGTCGACGAATTCGGTCTGCAACTGAGACCAATGGGCCGTACGCATCATCTTAACTTTGGGTAATGTCTCAACTGACCGCCATACTTGTCTAGTGAAAGTTCAATACACCTTCGATAAAGATTGCCAAGAACGATGCCTCGCACGATGGCCACATATTCTCCAAGTCCGAGCAATCCCAATAGACGAGCAGAACTCAATCGGAGTGATCGACTTGAGAACCTGTCTCCAAGCCGTGGCACAATGCAGCCCAGAGCTAGCTAGTGACAATGAGAAGGACTACACGGTGTATGCCTTTGATTATTCTGAGCCTGATACCCCTTTGGTCGGACAAGGTATGCTTAGCTGGGGTCTTCAACAGGGATCCAATTCAACGGGTCCCCAACAGCAATTGATTACAGGAAGAGTTACCAAGAACCTACTCGCTATCTTCGGGAATGGCATCAAGGAGACACTGGAAGTCAGGCTGAAGCTGACTGCTGTTATGAAAATCGCACGAAGTAATCCCATGCCACCTCAGAGAGTTAGCGTCGAACCTCTTCCGGCCCAACGAACATCTACGCCCGTCTCCTCGGAGAACACGGAGTGGAATTCCTTCCATCAGTCCCACCCGCACTCAGGGCAGCCCTCCGGATCATGTTCCAATCACGCACTAATAGCACCAGCGCCGACTCGGCCTTTCTACTCGAACTATGATACAAGAAATGACATGGGAATGCGAAGCAACCAACTACCACAGCAAGCATCGGAGAACTGCCTAACCTCCATTGAACCAGTTGCAAGGGATTCACATGGATTGACTCGAGCCCAAGATTCTAATGTTGCTCCAACTCAGAAACAGAGTACAGCCCCTGAGGAGTCAGCGATAGCACCGCCCCCTACGAAAGGAGGAAAGCCCCAGTCACGACCCGCGTCTAGGGCATCTAGCCGACCCCCCTCGGGACGACCTAGAGGAAGACCGAGAAAAAAGCCTCTCCAAGCTGAAGGGAGTACATCTGGTTATGAGGACGGTACCGACGCCGATGACCGACCCCCGCCAACTAAAAAGAGGGCTACAATGACCAAGGCGGAACGTAGCAACACTGCAACTTTTGGCTCGGCTCCAGAGTCACTTCGAGTTGTTGCTAGTACTTCAGGATCACTTCGAAGTTTCCGTCCAACTGGTCTCTCGGGCGATGGCCCTGGAGGCAATAATCTACAGGAAGTTCCACGGGCCCCGACGCCAGTTCCTGAGTATCGTCATTCAGGTCTCCCTCCTACACGATCAATAGCGCCTAGCAACTTGAGACGTGGATCGATGTCTGGCTCAGGCCCAGAAAGTTCTTATACCTCGTCATTTCTAGATTTGAACCGCCCTACATCCTTCGGCCAGGATGCTCGCTCTCCTACAGACTCTGTTGGAGTCTCGCCATCTCAGACGTATTCTGACGAGCCGAGTCCCGCAGATATTGGCTCGTCGCCTCCGGTTCCCCGGTCTACACTGTATAGCGTCCAGTCCAGCCCGGCCCCTTCGAGCCCAATCTTACCACCAATGCCTAACACCAGACCACTTCCTGATTCAGGTTTCATGAGTGGAATGATAGAGCAGAGTTCCAGCAAAATGCCTATTGCCACAGTCTCGACCGACCTCGCAGCAGCCCAGTCGAAGCCGAAGCCGAAACCGAAACCCCGTCGGAGCCGCGCCAAAAAAGCTTCAACCAAGGCTCAGAATGACCTCATCATCCATACAGAGACCCCCGGACCTCCTGAGCTCTTGCCCCAAACGTCCATCTACAACCCACCTCATCTAAACCGAAAATTCAGCGAGCCCATAAGAACACCAACAGTTACCGATGCTCCAAGTTTTCCGACAATGCAGAACGCATCATCAGAGACACTGCAGCAGGTCACTATCGAGCAGCCCTTAGAAAAGGAAGTGGCACCAGAGGAAGTAACTACACAAGGAGATTCTGCAAGTCTAGGAGCCGCTTCTATCAGTGATTTCATGGATGATCAGCATATACAACATCTCGATTCTCTAGATTTTGTTAATCACTCCTTCACAGACTCTGCGAAGGACTCATTGAACCACAAGGAGCCCCAGCCGGTCCCAGAAGCTTCTGACAGTCAAATGAGGCCCCCAATCCCCCCTCAGCCACAGCGGGATGCCCCTATTGAGCCAGAGCTTCCAATGATGCCGGCAAGCGATCCCATGCACTCCGGGCTAACATTTCCACCACTGCCAGAGACGGTGAACTCTCAATTACGGCAGGAACCGTCCGCAGAACCAGAGCTTCCAGTGGTGTCCGCAAACGATCCAATGCACTCTGGCTTGACATTCCCACCCCCCTCAGAGCCGGCACATCCCCAAACCGATACGACCGGCCCAGTTGACGGGTTCGCGGATGATCTGGTAGACGTACTAGCAGATGGCAAATCAAACAAGAATTTCGTTAAGAGACAAACGATTCGACAGAAATTGGAAGAAGCTGTGGTCAAGGGGGAGGCTCCTCAATTCTGTCGCAACTGTGGAGCTCTCCAGACCCCAACCTGGCGAAAGATTTGGAAGCAGAAGCATAGAGGTCTTCCGTCTTATCACGAATACTCAGAGAAGCCTGGTATGGTCACGGCGATCAGTATCCTTGAAAGGGACAATGAAGGGAAGCCAACCTCGTACGAGATCTTAAAGAAGTCTCTCGGTCCTACTGATAATAAGAGTTTATGGATAGAAGTTATTCTTTGCAATCGTAAGTCTAGCGTTCCAGATGTTACCTTCGAAGTCTAGGTAATTGCTAACAATTAAACAGCATGTGGGATTTGGTTCAGTAAATTCAAGCAACATAGGCCACCAGACAAATGGGAGAAGGACGAGCAGAGGCTATCTCAAACACGAAAGAAGAGAGCAAATGGCTCTGGGCTGCCTCGTTCAAAGAAGGCCCGCACCAAGAGCGATCCTCAAACAAACCTAACATCTGAAGTCGGCCTACCAACAGATCCTATTGGGGCATTAGACGGTACCGCTTCTCCAAAGGATTCTATAACAGAACTACCTAGCCAGGCGCTACAGCAAGGCGGTGCCACCAACAAGAACTTAGGGAACGGACGCGGGAGCTCCTATTTGGAAGCCAACCGACAAGGTTCCACGCATTCTCGAGCGTCTACCCACTCCAGAGGAAGTGGAACCCCTGGCAGCCCCATTGCCGTTGATGAAGATCTTGGTGGTACACGACGACTGCTTTTCCCGTCTCCACGAAAAGACGGCCAGCATAAGATTCTGGGCGAAGTTGCCGTTAATGTTGTGCATACGTCCTCAGAGTTTCATAATGTGAAGGAAGGCAAGCGCGGGATGGATAAAGAGAATGGCGGTCCAGTAACACAGATGGAGAATTCATTCGATAATGAATATGTCGATATATTTGGGACCCCGCCCCGACCCTCGACGCCGCCCCCCCAGGCTAACAGTGGTGGTCCTTTCAAGACCCCTACCCATCCAACCCCTAGCCATCGACCTGTCACTAGAAGTGTCACCAGATCTTTGCGCCCAGCTGGGTCACCAAGCCAATTTCCGATGCCTGAACACACCCCAACGAGGACCCCTCGCTCCAGTGCGGCTAAGCGCCACACGCCGGGCGACTTTCTCCCTTCACATCTACTAGACAATCAAATCCTCGAGACACCGATGACAAGATCTATCCACCAGCTCCTGAACGAAGCTGACAATTTTATGATTTCATCACCTCCTCGCGATTTTGAACTAGATCTAAGCACGTTTCAGTCTCTTACCAACGAAGAGCTCGCTGCCGATGATCCTTTCATCTTTGACAATCTACTTGGCACAGATCCAGCCTTGCCTAGTTCGCCTCCTGTGCTTCGGAACGGAAAGAAGAAGGGCATGCGCCTTGGCCCCAGCCTTACGTTCTCTAATGAACCTGTTAATTACTGGGCGGAAGGGAACGGTTCTGAGAACAAGGGGGCAGACGGCAACGATTTCCATTAATCAATTTGTTTGTAGTACAACTGCAAAACAATGTTTCCACATTTTAAGGGCTTATTGATGCGGCAATATCCAATGAGGGATATGATTGCCTGGTTTATAGGCTTGTTTTATTCAGCACCTGGTTTTTTTACGGTTGAACGGTTTCTTGGTCGGAAACTGGCTCTAGTGAGTCATTAAGATACCCCAAAGGAACGGTGTTTTTACGGAAGTTCATCTACACTCGGTCGATGTATGTATGCATGATGATGTTTACTCCTCGGTCGGTGACGAAGGGCATACCCGTGGAGGTGGATAGGAGGGATAAAGAATTGAAGAAATTAGATTACATACCCAACTTTTATGAGCAATCCTGCACTGTGAAGGTTATGTGATGAACGGCATGACGATACCTCTGGTTTATTGGCTTGCTGACGTGTTGATGTGAATCGAAACGGGCGTCTACCAGCTACCCACTTCTGTAGGTACTTGGGAGTAGGTATGTCAGGTACGGTTTAATCACGATGCTTTTCTCTAGTTCCTGTTTACCTATGTACCTATGTAAGTAGTGAATAATTGCTGTAATAACTTGAAGCTTCCACTTATAACTACCTACCTAGGTTAGAATACATTATTTAGAACTGTTGCTGTCTGGTTGCTAAGGGGAAGGGGGGCACGGTTCACCATAGACAGATATACAGAGACAGACGCACGCACTACAACTATGACCACGAACATTGAAACTCCAGCCAATCAAGTTCCAAGAGCCGTACGCTTCTGGTAAAAAATGGGCGGAGTGCCCCACTGCAGGTGCGAGTTTTGATTGGCTTGGGTTTAGTTAGAGGCTGTTTGGGAGCATAAGTTTTGCTTATACTTATGGTCCGTGACACTTTAGTACATAAGTATGCTGAAGTGCGTTTTGATTGTGGGGGTTTTCTCCACTAAAACCACGACCAATCAACGCATTTCTCGATGTCGATAAGTATTGAGATGTTTGTGTGTGTTATTTATGAATTTGAGCTGGACTGTAGCAGTGTAGCTACCTATTGTCCAGGCGTTAACAGGAGGTACGATGGGCCAAACCTAAATTTTCTGTACGGCCATGTACCTGTTGATATTCCACAGATGTTACCTTTTTTAAGCTTTGCAATTGAATAATTTCTTCAATACTATCTCAAATCAATTGATCAAGGCCCTATTTGAATCGCCCTATTTGAATCGCATTAATTGACTGATTAAGAATATCAGTTTGCAGTGTTTTAATTGACCCGGTGCGGGTGATATTTGAGGTTGAAGACCGAGAGCAGTAGTAGCCGCCGCTGTGTGTTAAGCTTAGGGCGTCCACGTGACCCCCTTTGGAGCTGCCACGCCGCTACATCGGGCCTTGATGAATTTAGGACAAAGGGCTTTAGAGCCTTTCAGGGCCATTCGTATATTTTAAGGCCCCTGTGGCCCCTGTGGCCCCTCTGTAAGTAAGGACATAAGTAGAAATAAGCATCCAAATAGCTGCTCATGAAAAGGCAATAAGCATAAGCTATTTCAAGAAAGATGATTGGATAAAAAAAAAAGTATTATGGTTCGATCCACAAGCAGAATTATAGTGGGTTTCAGAATAATTATACCTCACAAACACTTTACTTATCCTTTTGCTGAAAACCCACTAATTCCCCATAAGTCTTTTTTTACTTATGCTCCCAAACAGCCTCTTATGTAGGTATTGATACCTAGTAGTTAGTGGAGGTAGTTACATAGTATGTTGTGTTGTGCATGCTTACCTAATACTAGGAACTATTGTACTGTATGTATGTAGGGTACTGTACTAACCTACTATGTAGTTGTGAGGCACTATGATAGGGATAGCAGGCTTCCTTAGGTATAGTTGGTGTTTTAATTGAGGAAATACGGCAATGTCACTTGCGCTGCCGGCCTGAAACCCTCATCAATTACATACCTACCATCATCTTACCTGTCCGGTGGGGATAGAATATGAGGTCATAAGAGCATTCCCACTACTATAGTCTAGATGTATCCTGAGCATTAGGAAGAGCACTGTTGTAACCTTGGTATTTATTGCTTATTGTTGACAGAAAAAAGGGGGTGCATAACAAGGAAAGATGAAAAACGCTGGGTATGAAGGTATTACTGGGATTTTCTCTCTTTTGTCTTTACGGATTTTCGTACTCTTCTACTTCACATACATCCTGCCTCACAAGACGCCAACGGCCAACATCATTCATATAAAAGGTGACAGTTCGAGGCTGTTCATCGTCACTAATTCCCTCGAGAATCATGTCCAGCAGCTCGTCAGCATGCCGCTCAAGCTCCCTACGCTGGCGGATCTCTGCGGCACTACGGAGGTTTCCGGAGCGAGTTCGGAAGAGGCGCCCGCGCCGTCGGACTGGTGGAGACGAGACAATGGGAAAGGGGGAGGTCATGTAGTAGGATGAGGGTTCTGCAGCAGCTGTGGTTAGGGTTGGGGATGGCTGCCTGTTTTTACCTAGCACCACCGGTTCTTCCTGATGAGGGGACATAGGTTCCGGCGATTGGCTCCACCTTTGCCAGTGCTGCGAAGAGCTTGCTTCTTCTGTGTTCGTATGCTGTAATTCTGGGGGACTAGACTGAAATGTGTAAGTGGGTAGGGGTTTGGGTTGGGTATTGGGTTGGGTATCAGGCTGGGTATCAGGCTGGGTGTTGGGCTGGGTCGATTGGGTACTTTGAATACCGAATTCAAATGATTGGGTGCTACCAAAAGTAAATGGCTGGGTGATGGATGCCGTGGACGACGGTGTCTCGTCTCTTATAGACAATTGGGATAGCTGGTTAGTTGGTGGAGTGATCACTCGACGAGAAGATTGAGATTGTGTGCTGAAAACAGTAGCAGGAATAACAGTAGAAGCAGTAGAACTAGTAGGAATTGGTTCAGCAACAGTTGGCATTCTGAATGATGGCTGAGATTGTGTTTGAGCTATGATCTTCGGCTGAGACTGCGACTGCTGATATGAAGAATGCTGCTGCGAGCCAGCTGGCCATCCCAGAGACACGTGTCCAGGTGTCCACCGTCAGTTCATGGCACGATCCGGATACACGAAGATATCCTTAAACTGGTGCGTAACGTCAACGACATTTTGGCATAGTTGAAAGTCTAGAAGGGCAACCATTAGCAACGGAGGTCGCTCGGTTGAACAGGTTTTAGATAAGTAAGGTAGGTATATTCAAAATACATACCGACATTGTTGCCGAGATCTTGGGCATTCAGCACTTTGACGCTTAGGTCTGGATTCACTTTGCCAATAATTTGGGCTCCATTTCCAACCATAAGATGGCATTCCTAAATTTGATAGCATAAGCAATCAATCATAAACCCAGGCAAATTGCATCACTAGGTACTAGCCGGGTACTAACGCCCTTCGGGATATGAAGGGTCCTATCTACTCAGGGTAGCAAATCCCTAGGAGGGTCCCTAGTAGAGGCAGCGAGACAGGGTATTCCACTCACTCTGTTGAGATTGGCTTGGACCTGGCCATCAGCCTCGATGAAGGCGACATCCCCACGAAGTTGCGAGACTTTCCCCACGATTATTACATTGCGACCAATATAAGAGTCTATGAGAGCTGCGGAAATACGCGGGGTTGATATTGGCTCCATCTTCCTCAAGGTGATCGTGAGGTGTGGTTCGAAGTAGGTAGGTAGGTGTATGGAGTAGTAGGTATTAAGTACTAGGTACTAGATAGGTATGTAGTATCGAACTGAAGGCTTCAATGTTGTTGGTTGACTTCTTTATCTTCTTGTGTATTATTCTCGCTTCCACGTTCCACGTTGTCGGGTGCTATGGACAAACAGCAAACAGCCTTGGAAACAAATGCAGACAAGTATGTAATCAGGGAAAGCAAAGTGTGGGGCGGGGCAATCAAGAAGACCGAAGAAAAGAATGATAACGCGACGCGTTTTAATCTATGTGGTCCGTGCTTTAAAGCTGAAAATTAAATAGGCTGCCGCGGAACCGGACCGGCTTTACTTAAGCGTTTCTGAAATCGGAGGTGTTCCTACCGTTGATATCAATTGATCTCACAAATCTCACTGTTGCACAACAGCACGGCCCAATCTAGGATTTTCACTTTTTCCAAGCCGATCCATGTTTAAAGACCCAATTGTATGAGATACGGCGTAGTACAGCCCACCAATTGGAAGTCCCGGAGAGCTCAGCTATTGTCCCGCGACGTCTAATTGGTGTAGTGGCTCGACGTACATGCACGTACGAAGAAGACGAACAACAGTTGAACAACTTGAACCTCGAAATCTATACACCTACATGTACATGTACCTACCTAATATACTACAGTACATACATATATGTAGGTATTAGTAATTGCATACATACATCAATAATAGTATGTATATACCGTACCAGCCGTATCCCGTGGCCGACCAACTTGTGATATATGCATAAAACAAGTTTCCAGGGCTTTCTAGATATGCAGCTAGTCGGTCCTAAGTTAGGGCGTATATTCATTTGCATGCAGTGAAGCCAGTTAACCTGTCCAATTCATGATAGTAAGAGTATGAGTGCCAACTTACCGGGACTACGTACATGAGCGGTCCCGTATGAGAAAGTATAGAACGTCCGATTAATTCCCAATTGAGTTTGCGAGGATCCGGCTGGAGTTGAAGTAGGACAGAGAAATCAAGGAACCACATTGAAAGAAGACAGCAGAAAGGGGGGATCATAACGAAAGTGTCACGCTAGAGGGATTAGCTTTCGACGATAGATTGCCGCGAGTCTAAGAAAACTCTATTATGATAGTCTCGGCAAGTGAACTGGCTATTAGTAGCTTCAATGTTGGTCTGACTGGTCAGACTGGTCAGTACATCGTAGCTACCCTAGGTATTACATGATACTAACCTTAGGTAGGTAGGGTAGTACATCATAATAAGCTCTCCACGTGCGTGTATTCAATAGTGATACATACATACTGATATGTATATACCTCAATACCCATTCTTGTGTACTACCTATATTATTTATAAAATGGCAAGATCATCAACAAACCCTTTCGCTGCAGGCATTCCTAGTTGGCATGGTTAGGTCAGCGAATGCCGGTCCCTGTTGCTGGATCTGACGTTGCAACGGGACCGGCCTCATTGAGGTATAGCTGTTGATCAAGCTTCCAAGGGGGACCGTTCATTCCGGAGTCAAACCTCATCTACCGTCGCCTCTAGCCTTCTACTGCATATGGGTATGCAGCAAAGGGTATGTAAACTTTCTCCCCAGTTTGTGCGAAGGTGCCTGGCCCCAAAACAATCCGTTCAGCTTGAAGGTGTGTCCTGTTATTCTACGGACACATCGGTACTTACTGATAGGTAGCACTGTAGCAGTCATCCGCGGATGCTAGCCACTGGGCATGTTAAACCCTGTTATATAGATTTCTGGTAAACACTCGGTTTGATCAATAACTATATTCATAATCTTATTTTCAAGAAAGAAAACGCCCAAAAATCAAAGATCAAAGATCAAAAAAGTATTGTGACCGATGACAAGCGCAAATGACCTTGTAAGTTCAACGGTTCGTTTAGGTCCTCCCAGGTCACATCTGCCATATGAACTCTATCCTGATATACCTACCAGCCAGGTACTAGGCAGGTAGTACGAAAGCAAGTCCAACCCATCCGGACGAATTAGATCCTCTCAAGATAATTAGAGTCGTGTAGGTGCCAACTCACCGTTATGAGTAGGATCCTCGCAAATGCCTACCTACCTACCTACCTACCTACCTACCTACCTACCTACTACTACTACCCAAGCAGCTGGAGCTAAGCGTTTTATTACAGAGGTTAATTGTTTATTTAACATTTGTAGCTAAGCATGTAGTCTATCAATTCCTTCAATTCTATCCAGGAGGCGATAATTATAAATTCGAAAGCTGACAGTTCAGCCGTTCTTCTGGATCCCTATATGTAGGTATCTTCACTTGCCTAATTCGTACCTAACCTTGATTGAGTCTTACGCTGGTTTAGCTCTCATCATGTCGGTTTAGCTACTAGCAACTTGCTAGTAGCAAGTATTTGTGTCAGGGGTCATTTCCCCAGTACCCTGAAGCCCGTTCACATGGTACACCATCTTGAGTACTCATGTATGTATGTCTGTATGTCTGTATGTATGCCTACCTAGATTATTTAGCTATGCTAACCAGGAAGGATGATGCCTTCGTAATTCAATGTTGTGAGTTAGAAAGAGGAGTAAGTAGTACAATTAATAGTAAAGGAGTAGAGGATAAAGAAGAAAGTTTCTTCTAACGACTTAGCTGTATAATGTATAGAACACGAGACCAGTTAGATAATGTGAGGCCATCCATGTTTTGTGTTCTTGCATGGAAGGCAAGTGAAGTTTCGAGATCGCTCTTGCTACTAAGATGACATCCATTACGTACATACTAACATTGAACTTGGAATATATGTACCTATCTGATATGTATTGAATTCAAAAGGCCCACGAATTGGCTTGCATATCTAGGTACATTCGGCCTATCTGCATACTTACTTGAGGTACAAGTACCTAGAAATGGATGTTTCCCCCCCAAGATTGCCTTAGTGCTCTTCATCCGAAGAAACATTGATCTTGACCATTAATCCTTGGTCTTTCCATCCTTGGTCTTTCCATCTACCATGTCGGGACCTACCATGACTTAAATTGATCAACCTATCCAACGCCCAATGCCTCGAATAAACTGAAAACCCGAAAAAACTGAAATGCTTATACTCTACACTTATGATCTGGGAAAAGATCTGCCCCCTTCACACTTCATCCAGACAAGCCCACCAGCCTGGCTATCTTTTGGCATTCCCCTCTCTCCCGCTTGATCCCACCAACATAAACGCCTAAGTTTTGTGACGTGCTCTTTGAGAATCACATGGCCGATGCCGTGCATAATCCACTTTCCGACCTGATTGACTCCCTTACCCGCTCATCCAAGGCCAAAGGTTGTACATACCCTATAACAGATATGGATGGATCACCCAATTTCTTCCGAAATAACGTCCGAGATGAAGAGGCCGATGGGAACGATCCCTTCGACCCCCAGTACATTAGCGACCACCCCTATACTAACAATGCGCCATTCGATACCGACCCAGATGGTTCTTCCATCGATGCGCCATTAGACCAGTTGTCCAACGCCCTCCGCATGGACTTGATTCGTGCCCAAAACTCGAAAGTATCTTCAAGTACTCGGCCAAGATACCAACTAGAAATGTCGTCGCAAATGAACCCAGTCATGGTCGGATATCCCATGTCGGCGAGCAGATCCCCGGAAATACCAGGAGCTCACCTTTCGCAACACACTGTGATGCTTAAAAATGAGAACGCAGACGACGATTCGAACATCGTCATGATGGAGGTAAACGGCACACAGCCACCAGAATCCTCCACCACCAAGAAGAAGAAAAAGAAGCAAAGGAGGTGGCAAGCCAAAGAAGGTACCAACAAGCCGGAAGGGGAGGTGGTCAAGCGAAACAAGTTCTTGGAAAGAAACCGGGTTGCGGCGACGAAATGTCGCCAGAAGAAGAAAGAATGGGTATCGGATCTCGAGGGAACGAGGTTCGGGCTGGAGAGTCAGAATAACCACCTCCAGATGGAGTACAGCAGTTTGAAAAACGAAATCACCCAGATCAAATCGCAACTAATGGAACATGCCACTTGCAATGACCCAAACATTGACAAGTGGATCGAGAACGAGGCCAAGAGGTTTGTCCTCGGAGCCGGAGAGCGGTACGATCGGATATTGACCAACATCGATCCCACCACCGGTCTGGTCCACCACCAACACCAACACTACGAGAGCACTTCTTCCACCTCCGGGTATCCTACAGCCCCGGGTTCCGCGGAGTTCGTCAGCCCGGCCACTCCGGTACATCGGGACAGTATATCATTCCCGGACCCCCTAATGCCCAACTCGCCCATCTTCTACCGCACGGGTGGCATGGCGCCGAACATGCCGTCGGGGAGTGCTGGCACTTCCGGGCTTGTGGAGGATACGTATTCTATGGACCGCATTCCCACTTCGCTGGCGGATGATACGACTGGCTTGGACAGCGTGACCATGGCGGAGAATTCGTTTCAAGACTCGACGATCCCTGGAGACTGACAATACAGAGGAGGAGGCCGTTTGGGTTTGCCTTTGTAGCTGTATACCACTCCTCCTTCTCAGTCCGTTGTCAGATCGTACCAGCAGAAAAAAATAAAATGAAAACCTTCCCAAAAATAAAATCCCCCTCCTGCCCCTGCCCCTGCCTACCTACCACCACTTAATCCCCTCGGATCTCATTTATTCCTACGATGACCACTCGAAATGTTCATTCGACGGCGAAGAAAATATGCAAAAACGCATTGTTTTAGATTTCTGCCATAAAACGTTCTCTAAAGCTATTTGTTATGTGTGTCAGTTATTGTATTACCTAACCCCCTTACCCGCCTTCTTACTCAGCTAGCCAGCCCCTAAGGTTAGGTTAGGTTGTGGGGGGAGAGGACGGTAACAAAGTGAGTTGGCAGTTAGTAGTCAGTTATTCTTTTTGGCAAGGGAGAAAGGGAGAATCGAATAGGTAGTAGTAGTTCAAAGACATTTTCTGGGTTTCGGTCTTGGGTAGTAAGTGAGTTGAGTTGAGTTGAGTGAGCGGGTGGAGATGATGGGTGGGAGAAGAAGAAATGATAAAAAGAACTTTTAGGACTTTTTATTTATTTTTTTTCTTCCTACCGTTTGGCTCTGAGCGCCGGGTCGGGTAGGGTAGAAACGTAATGGGCTGGATGAGAACTTGATTAATTTCTTCGGAGGTGATTCCGATACTAGATGCGGTTGGCTGACTGGACCTGGCTGGGCTGGCTGGCGCGCGGGCTCAGGTGGCTAGGTATTGTATTGTACCTACCGACTTACACCTACCTTACCTACCAGGGGTAGCTATAGGTAGAGTAAATAGAGCCTTGCACCCCCATGCCGAATTTGGCATCGGGCGGGATGCCGAACCTACTATAAATGAAGGTATATCGTATGAACACATAACCAAAATTTATAGAAGTTGGTAGTTAATAAGAAACTACACTGCCTGCTTTCTTGTCTTGTCTTGTCTTGCCTTGCAAGAGATCGTGACAGGGACTGTCTTATTTTCTGTGCTGCATCCACACATGGGGTAGATACCTACTAGGTTAGGTACCTCTAGGTCGGTAGGCAATAAGAAATGAGGATGAAGGGAAATCTAATTGTAGGAACTAGCAGGCAAGCAATATATATATATATATATATGCACTTACATGCCTACCTAAGACACCTGGGCACTGTGATAGTAAGTAAGTTATTGACTCGAGCAGTTCAAATGTCGTAGGTTAGGTTAGGATATTAGGTAGGTAACTATTGAGACATATGTATTGTACACACAATGCATTGTTCACACAAAACCAACATAACGTCAGAACCTCGACCCGTCACCCACTTATTACCTAATGACTTCACACTTTTCCACAGTATTCATTTCTCTTGCTCTCTTCCTCTCCTCCTCATAGGACATACATCATAAACTAGTTAAACTAAACTACACCAACAGCAGACAGTAAGTACATGTAGCCAATCCAATCCCATCAGCCTATTACTTGTTGTTGGGGGCAAAAATCCAAGAAAAAGGGATGGATGTTAACTGGCCAAGTACATATAAGATCGACGTCATGTTACTCTCTTTTGCATGGGACTGATGGGTCGTGGCGGGCGGGCGGCATAACCCACACGGTTACCCCGATGATGTGTGTGCTCGGACTCGGGAGCTCGGATGCAGGCCGGTTTCCCGGGGAGGGGGGCTTAACTAGTATGGAAGTGGAAGCCGTTTGAATAAATCATGGATGTTTTATACTATACATTGATTGAATGTGTAGTTATGTACCTAGCTCAGGTGCCTAATTGTAGACACTCTACCTGCATAGTACAGGGCCCCGGATATTATACCAGATACTAGATGAGGCACCACTTATTCAACCAGCATTTTGCCGCTCTCGAGCGCTTTCGGTAAAGCAGCATTAGAGACAAATACCCTCGAGACAAGATCGCTCTGGTGACTCTCTATCATACTCTGGAGCGCCTCCCTCTCCACCACCAACCGGCCGGTTTCCAGGAGGTCCTTGACATCGACGTCTTCGATATCCAATGCTCGTCCGTAGTTAGGTACCTCTTCTAGTGCCCCAAACAAGTTGTCTCGCGTCGTCGTCGTGATGAAGGTGCTGCGCCCGTTGCCCCGCCCCCACTCGTTGGTGTTGAGTACCTGCTTCACCCACTTGGCCTTGAAGCTCTTCTGCAGCTCTTTCTGGAGTTTGCCGACTTGAACCAAGCGCGTGAACTCCTCGGGGAACGGGAGCTCCATGCCATCCTGGCACACGATCAGCTCGCCACGGCGATACCGGTAGCTCAGGGCGGTGCGCCATGCCAAGTCGTACACCTTGCGCGTGATCTTGGTGCCGAAATCGCGGGGCTTGGGACCGAACACTTTACCACCGCCTCGTAGAATGGGCGATTGCTTGGTGCCCACACGGGCACGACCCAAGCCCTTCTGTGGCCGTAACTTCTGATGCGAACCATGAACTTCCCACCGGGTTTTGGTAGAGGCTGTACCCTGTCGCGTGTTGTCTCCTTCATAGATTACGGCTAAATGTAGGATATCTCGTCGCAATGGTAGGTATAGGTGCTTCGAGGACCAGGATTCGAGGCGCTGGGGCTCGAAGGAGGGAAAATCAAAGATAGTTACGGGAACGGACAGTGCTATTTTCTAAATGTTAACGTTGGGGGGCGGCTTGAATTGTAGAGGGCATTGAAAGAAAAATGGATATGTACTTGGCTTATAAGCGGCAGTGGTTACGGAGGTAGTGATCTTGGGTAACGGGGCCTCGGTTGCCATGGACCGTGTGAATGTCGTTGTGGGTATCCGATGCTGAGAATATGTTTATTAATACCATACTCCATACACATAGACACACATGCGCGCATTATAGGTAGAGGACTTCAGCATACCGAGGCTGCTTCTCTGCATGTTTGTGACGAGAGGCTTAGACTTCTTAAAGCCTCATTGAGACCCCTCACTCCTTTACTTGCCATGGCTCTGAAGACCTCTAGGATATTGGAATGGGCTGTATTCGTCAAGTTGCGTTGGTGTGGGTAGTAGTAGTATTAGTGATAGTGATGGGTCTTGTGATGGGTCTTGAATGGCAAAAATGAATTGAAGTTCCGAAAATTCGGAAAATGAAATATTAGTTACTAGATAACTACTTCAATGTTCAAACCTTGAGAGTACAATGCTCATTCATATCGATAAGAGGTAGGGCGGAGAGACATTGACCATTAAGACGTTGCGATTTGACAAACTTTAGTGGGTCACTGTAAGAAGCTTCAAAATTCAAATTCAAAATTCAAATTCAAAATCCAAAAAGAAGAACTTTCGGCTTTTCTGCATAATAATTATTTCGATATTTTATTATTCCGCTTGATCGTATCACGCACACCCCGCCTCTCTTCCCCTCAAGCCATGTCGAGCTGTCAGAGGGTCGCAAGACCCCTTGTGCAGTCTCTTCGACAAGAACGTCTATTGGTACAAACTACAGCGCACTTTTCCCGGTCCTTTTCGAAGAGTGCTTCACGACGAGATGATGGTCCTACCACCACTTCCAAACCTCCACCCCCGCCAACGGAGTCGACTTCGTCAACCAAGACTAAGTCGACAACACCGCCAGCGGCAACAAACACACCAAACGCAGCAAGCCAGTCTGGATCTGCAAAACCCCTCAAAACGATAGAAGGGAGACAAAGATTGCGCATGAAGCTACGATTGCTGGATCGGGAGACTACTACGGCGCATTGGGCCGAGCGAAAGCTGGTTCGCATGGGTACACCCCCCGTTGGTTCGCGACGTCGTCGAGCAGCCATACGTACTTCCGAGAACGTGCCATTCGAGCAGCTGCCATATCAGTGTTTCCAGGAGGCCCGCAAAATCCTACAAGAGGACCGTCAGGAGAAGATCCAGGCCATTGCGAAAGAGTTGACCAAAATCAAGCGATTGGAGGCCACTCCCGCCGACCAAGTTCCTGGTGGCGAGCGCAAGAAGAACCTACGCCTAGCAAGCTTAAGGAAGTATCTCGAGGAGCTAAAGATTCTGGCCGATATCAATGACCCTATGGTCAAGCGGAAGTTTGAGGATGGTCTCGGTAAGTGTCTAGTTTTCACATTTCTCTCATGATTTGCAAAATCTCTCATGTCCATTTTCCAATGGATAGAGAATAGACATCCAAGAGCATATGTGGCTTGAAACTGCCCCTAAATGAATGTTAATCGTTATGGATGTAGGCGATATGGACAAGCCAATTTATCGGTACTATGCCGAGAAGAAATGGCGTGGCATGCCATACCGCATCATTACCCAACGTATCGAGCAACTCAACATCGTTCCTGATGTGCTACCTAAATTCGATCCCATTATGGATGTTCAACTCTACTTCCGACGAACTAAGGTCTCACCTGGCGCCATTATAAATTCTCGCATCTCAGAAGTGCCTCCACGTTTGAGAGTGCAAGTATTCAACGCCGGCGAGCGTCTCGTCTCGATCGTGGTTATGGATTCAGATGTTCCCAACGCCGAGACCGACTCGTTTGATAGGCGATGCCACTATCTTTCGGCAAATGTACCCCTTTCCCCAACCCAGCCATCCCTACCACTAGGCAATGTCAACAAGGAGACCCAGCTCGCCGTACCGTGGCTCCCCGCCTTCTCCCAAAAGGGCGCACCGTACCATCGACTATCCGTCTTCATCTTAGAGCAGAAACCCGGAGAGACCCTAGATATCGAACAACTCCGCCAGCTCTACTCGGCCCGAGACGGGTTCAGTCTCAAGAGCTATCGAGACAAGTTTGGCCTCACGCCCGTCGGCTTCAACATATTCCGAACGATCTGGGACGAGAACACTGCCGCCGTCATGGAGAGGGCCGGCGTGCCGGGTGCCGACATCCAGTTCAAGCACAAGCGCGTCTTCTCGCTCAAGGAAGACAAGAAGCAGAGAGGTTGGGAGGCAAAGAGGCAGAAGCCCAAGTACAGAAGTTTATGGAAGTACAGCAAGAGGATCCATGGAATTGCTCACGGCCGCCACTAGGCGCGTTAACGAAGAGAATACTATTAGTAGTGTATCATATATACATGTACAAAATGAGAAGACGAGTTTGTATATGGACTCGAATTTATATCGTATAACTCGGTGGTGATATGGCTGGCTAATCTGATCATAATCTCAAGTTCACATTATATAGGTACCTAGAAGGTGGCTGCCTACTTACCTACCTAGGTATAGAGGTAGGATGCTATTCCCGTGCGACAAATCTGGCATAGGATTTCAACCTCACTCCGGCCGTCTAGGTAGTTTGGTCATCCAGACCCCACAGTAATGACGATATATCCAAGACCAAAGACGACATGGCATCTGATTCGACCGCAGGACGAACTCTGCATAGCACATCTGCAAACCAACCAAGCTCGGCACTTACAGGGTTGCTAGGTATGACACAGAGAGCTAGTCACCTTTGGCTACTCGATTGCTCAACGACTCGTGAAAACTAAAGACCCGCGCCTGGGCATGGCATGGCATGACCTACAAGCTATTAATGCAAGGCATCTGCATACACAATACACAGGTAGGTTACCTAGTTAATATTGACATGCCGTCCGCCCAAATCTCCCGACCGACCGACCGACCGACCGCGGCCGGCGCAAATTCCCATCGGCGTCCGCATACCATCCAATCCCCTTCGACCTCTCTGCCGCAAACTAGATAGAAGACGGCCGAGAGTCGGAGAAGTCGTGTAGGTATGTATAACCAACCACGTATATATATATACCTACCTACCTACCTACCTACCTACCTACCGAGAAAGGTCTGTTGCGTGCAGATGCTATAGGATGGCGTGATAATACCTAGGGCATGTGGTACCTATGTACCTGCCCAGGTATGTATGGTATTGCTACAACAGTCTCCAAAGCAATGCACCTTGCCATCATGCTGCATTGTCGACAAAGCACAGTAGGTCATGACTTGTACTGGATTCGCTGCTCATGGTTAGCTAGGTACCTAGTTGGTGTTTTTTTCTTTTTTGCCCTGTAGCTTAGAATCAAGAGCTCGCTGAATGCCTACTACTTACCTAATCTTAATGGCTGAATAGTAGGTATTCAACCATCGAGTTCTCGAGATATATCTAGAGATCCAGTGCTTCGTACAAAACTCGATGCCCACGTCCTACCCACTGCACATGCGTACCTACCTAGTAGCAACCTACCTACATATATGGAGTGGGTAGGTAGGTAGGTAGTAGCAAATAGATCTCCGCCATGGCTGCAATCCCTACTGTACCATTGGACACGACATCTTCTTTGGCGTGATCGCGGCATGTGTCACGCAATGCAGTAGGTAGGTGGGTAGCTTAAAACTAATATAAAGACCTCCCTTTACCATGTCAATGTGTACCTTCCTTGGAAAGATGAATTTAGGTAGTAAAAAGGATATTGTAGCTAACGGGACATCGAGGAGTGAACATCCAGCAGCGTACCACCTACCTACACGCATAAATATTAGAGTCATCTCCACGAAATGACGGTCAAGGCTCGACGCGTAGCAGTCATCGGGGCAGGTCCATCAGGCGCCATAGCCACGGACGCACTAGTCAAGGAGCAGGCGTTCGACACGATCCGGGTGTTCGACAGACGAGCCGGAATCGGGGGAACATGGATCTACACGCCGCACCTACCGACCGCTATCCCGTCGCTGCGCGACCTAGTAGCCGGCAACGCCGACGTAGCTGTTTCTGTGCCGCCGCCGCAGCAGCTCCCAACCGTCACGCCGGTATCCGAAGAGATCAACGGGCACCAGCACCGCTTCTCTGACACGGCCTTACATGAGAATCTACACAGCAATATCACGCCCGCGCTAATGAGCTACACGCAAGAGCCCTTTCCACACAAGCTTTCGGCTCGCACACTAGCCGAGTACGGTCCAGGTCCAGAGGCACCCTTCCGACATCACACCGTGATCCGCGAGTGGGTCGAGGGCATATTCACGCGAGGGGGCCACGAAAAGCTCCTTGAGCTGAGTACAACGGTGGAGCGGGCCGAAAAGGTTGGCGGCGAGTGGGTGTTGACGCTGCGCAAGGAAACCCTAGGGAGGAATTACTGGTGGAGGGAGACGTTCGACGCCCTGGTTGTAGCAACAGGCCACTACAATGTCCCTTGGTTCCCCAGTGTACCAGGTCTTCTCGAATATGATGAGAAATTCCCTGGGAAGATACTGCATAGCAAGCATTTTCGCACGGCATCACCATTCAAAGGAAAAGTAAGTGGATATGAGACTGACTGATGGCAACCATTCTAACATATAAAGTCAGCGAGTTGTCGTGGTCGGAGGTTCTATATCAGCGCATGAGGTCGTTCATGAAATTCTCGACGTAGCGCAAACCCCCGTCTATGCCTCCGTACGAGGCGAGCCCATTCCAGCGTTCGGGTGGGAGCCGTTCTTACATCCAGATATCGTAGTCAAGAAAGAAATCGCACGACTAGATCAAGAAACCGGGCGTGTCTTCTTTGCCGATGGTTCATATCTCGACGACGTGGACCACATCGTCTTCGGAACCGGCTATACCTTTAGCGTGCCATTTATCGTCCATGTGCAAGAACGCATTAGGAACGCATATCGTCGTCTTCCAGGGGTGTACCAACATACGTGGGATATCGAGGATCCAACACTGGCCTTCGTGGGAATGGTGCGTGTTTTCCAAGTTGTACCAATACTCCTATCTCTTCCTTCAAGTCTTAGCCCAGTATCTTCTTAGTGGACTAGAGTATTAGAATGCTAATATGACTATAGCTCGGAGGCGGTTTCACCTTCCGTGTCTACGAATGGCAAGCGGTGGCCGTGGCGCGGCATCTCGCCGGTCGGGCCAAGTCGCTACCATCGATCCCGGAACAATTGGAGTGGGAACGTAAACGTGTCGCCGAAAAGGGAGGCGGCAAGGACTACTATTCCATCGCACCTGACTATAAGGCATTTTTCGAGTTCTTGCGGGATATCGCCGGGGAACCGGCCTCGAATACGACAGGTCGAATATTGCCCCCATTTGATGACAAGTGGCTAGAACTGTGGACGGGAATGGTAACCTATAAAATCCAGGGCTTCCAGCGCAAGAGAAAGAGGGCAGAGGAAGCTAGGGGGACTATTAAAGCAAGACTATGACGAGTGGTTTTGGGAGATAATTGTTCATATTGGGTTAGTATTGCGCCAGAGGGTTATTTTGGTGGTTCTGGACCTTCACCTGTGTTGCACCTCCAGCTTTCGGAAAGCGTATGAAATAAGAAGCGAGTACAATATTAATGAGTTTTCCTTGAATGAAAACATCTCTAGACTATTGAAAACAACTCACTTACGAAAACTGCCTTGTAAGCTGTCGGCCCTTGCTCTTAACCAATCCACCATTTGCCATCCTTTACCTGTATCCACGTCAACCACCCACTGGATAAACGATCGATTGCCTCGGTAGTCGTGGTGGTAGATAGCTCCGTTCCCCGTATTTGCCCCTTTCCAGCTAATACGACAACAATCAGTAGTGATATGGTTAAGGCTGCTGCAAATGGTCTCCTCATCCTACGGTGCATAAATATCGAATGTGTTGGAATTCGTCCAATAAATGTGCTTAACGATTCTCTTATTGCCTCCCACCCTGATTTATAGGCAAGCAAGCCAAGAAGCGCCACTATGTAACCAACGACTTGGACGATAGATAGTGGCGTTCCCCATGTTGCTATAGCGATAACTACAAGAACAATGTTCTTCAGAATGCCCGAAAGCACGAGAACTAGACCAGATGTTTTCCCAATCTGTAACGAGTTAGAGGGCGCTCCATAATCCAAACCTACAAAGCTCTTTTTGGATAACATACTAGAAGAACACTCGAAACGTTCAGCATAAACGCCACGATTGCGTTAAGGAGTAGCATCCAGAAGCCGACTTCACCAGCATGTGTCCATTCAACGGAACCCCATCCATAACCAACAGACAGAAGGAAGTTGGCGGCAGCGCAGACAGGGGCGTAGTAATAAAGGCTGACGAGAGGATCCATGTTTAGGCCATCACTCGATATGAGGGACTGTATCATGATGACCCGTAGTGATTCGAAGACGACCCCGCCAACTTGATAGATAAAACCCGGCCATGAAAAGTGTATCTCTCCTGAACTTGCTATCGTTACACCTAAGACGATAAATAAAATGAAGAGGAACTTTTCCCAAGTGGGATACTCAACACCCCAGAGCCAGCCGACTAGAAATGTAACGGCTGGTCCAATCGCCTACCCAATTATTCATAAATTATTAGTTTGATTCGCAAAGAGATTCTTGGAGTCTTTTCTTCCGCTCCCCCCTCACCTTAAGCATCTGTATGAACGGCACACTTAGGTAGAGATAGACCAAAGTGCTAAAAACCATGCTCGCACTATATAGAAGACCGATAGGAACTACAGCCCGCATGTAGAGCCGTAGTGTCATGTTGATCTTATGGCGGCCATCGAGAATGCTCGTAGTTCGAGCTAGGAGTTGAGTGGCAAGAGTAGCAAAGGTCATGTGCCACCATGTTAATATTACGGCTAGACAATAGAGTTAGTTGGGTGATATACGTTGCATATTAATCATAGAATGGAGACTTGCGATAACCTGAGCAGATGTTGTTAGTGACATTGACGATTTGGTAGGTAGCACTATGAGAATAGGAACATACGAAATCCGGCATCATCGATCAACCATTTATTGAATATTATGGTGAGATTAGAAAAGAACATCCAGAGTCTGGACCATGGGGCCTTCCTGAGATTAGTGACTATCATCAAGTTGATATGGGAGCGATGGGAGTGTGTGAACCATACGCTATATAACAGCCAGGATGCACCTCTGGGCTTAAGACTGATTTGTAGTTAGGCATTGCTGATGAGTAGGTACAGTTGTACCAAGGGAGCAAAAAAGAAAAAAGAAGAAGAAGCTATCGTGTAGCTAAGAGGAGGATATGTAGACGATGTCGCCTACGAAGATCAATCAGAGGAGCATGGCCATAGTTGATATGGATGATACAGGTTGTATGGTGTCAGGAACACATGTGCAGAGTCAAATTTATGACTGAGAGTTGTAGCAAACAACCCCATTTTTAAAAACTACCTACTAGGTAATGGCCAAATGACTAAAATATCTAAATAATATAGGAAGCAGCGACATGTCGTCCTTGAGTGACTGCATTTTGAAGTTGGTTCATCCGAACATACCTACCTAGGAAGAGTAACTATGTGTGTAAGCAGGTATGATGTATATATACATATCCACCATTGAAGTTGAGCCTAAAGATACATAACTACATGTATGGATTCTACTATGGAAGACTTGGAAGTAACTACCCAGGTACAAGCAGGTAGAGAGAATGTAGGGATTACCCCAGTATGACGTTATTTGCTGCACCTCAGGCTAGCTACCTGCATAGTATACCGGCGCACCCTACAGTTAGAACTTAGCAGTTGCCGCAGATACGCGTAGTAACAGGCGTTCACGCGTTAATTGGTTAATGCGCCTTAAGCGCAATTACCAACAACATTCACCAATTTATTTCTTAGATACCTACCTATTCACATCACATACCTACAACTTACAACTTTAAGTGGTGATCAACCTACAACATTATTAATTCTATGACATCGATAGAATTAAAAAGGTGATATCGCATCATCATCCTCATCCTCACTATCACTATTCTACCTTATTATCCCGTCTCAAGCGGCTGGATTTCCTATACTTTAACATTTCTTCCCTCACAATTTGTCTACTCAATGCCATATGCTGGCATATTAAAAGCACAAATTACCTTCCCATTCTTACCTTAAACCCGACCAATGACGATAACGAGCCATGCCTAAAGGTTTGGGCGCCTCCCGCTGGGCGACAGCGCCAGATACCATAGATACGTATCGTGTGTCAAAGCCTCGTCACAGGCGCAGGTCTTACCCAACACTTCCCATATCGAGCCCACCGACACCCACTCCTTTGGAAGAACCAATACCTCTAAGGAAGCGCTCTCGTCGACGGCGGCGACGTGCAGCATCTAGAGAAGCTGAAGCTGTCCAATCAGCCAGCTTACCGTCCCAACATTCATCCGAATCAACACCAATTCAAACACTGAAACGCACACCGAATCATCGAGCATCCCCCCAAACTGAGCTTTCGCGATTCCTCAAGATCGTTACGCGTCTCAATTGGAAACTGCCTTTCCTTAAGCAGGGTTACAGCCTAGCCAAAGACACCAATGGCAAGACACAGCAACAAAAGGAGGCATGTGAGATTCAATTCAAATTAGACTTTCATGAATTTTACATGCTTCTGGAGCGAGCTATTGTTCATCTGATGGGTGTGTATGGCATTGCGGTGGACGGACAACAAAGAATGGATGGCCGCCACCGATACCATGCAAACGTACTAGCGACGTTGGAGGATGCCAACAACCCCCTGAGCGGTGTGTTTGGTACACCTGAAGTAAGTGGGCAGCTTGCCACAGCAAAAGAACTTCGAAATCGGTGGAAAGATGCCGACGAATATGATGGCAAGATAAGACCAGTACCTCTCAGCTCATATAACCTCGAGACGATCGTGCAAACGATTCTAGGTGCCATTGATCAAGCCCACGGTCTTGCTAGTGAGTATGTTAGTAAGGGAGGAGAAGAGATGCAAGATGCAGAGGGAGAGGGCGATGCCAGTGGGCGAGAAGACTGGGACTTTATGGTGGATGCGATGGACTGGGAGGCAGTCTGAGTCTGAGTCTGAGTCGGGTATGATACGGCATCGACTGGTTTTTCCTTTTCTCTCTAAGGTTTTATGATTCGGCAGTATTGTTATGGTTTACGATACACCAGGGCGTTGAAGGCTACGGAACTGATACCCGGACATGTAGGATAGGACTGTTCTGCACTTTTCATTTCGCCTCTGTTTGGAGGGTTTGCTAGATTGATACCTACATGGGAACCTAGGTATGCATGCACAACGTACATAGTAATAACTAACTAAATTCATTCATTGAATTCACAAAATTTCACATGCATTCCATGCATTCTTTGAATTATGTAATGCAGGGTCTTTCTGGGGTTGAAACTGAAATGGATATCAACCAATCAGAATTACAACTGATTTTCACTAGTGTTAGACTTGCCCCACTTCAACCAATGTACCTACTACCTACCCTAGCAGCCTGGGTATCTTAAGCTTATCAGGTGCCCCCTTAAGTCAGTATTGATAAGCTCCGTGAGACATCTCGAGCTTCAATTCCATTTACGATCTTGGCTCTTTACCAGCTGACTTACTTTTAATCTTACATATTACTTATAAATACCTTCATCTCTCACTTCCATCTTATATTATTGCCTATGAATTACTCTATTTATAATATCTTATCCTAAGTAGAATTCCTGAAAATGGCGCCGCCTACATCCTTACGCTCTGTTGTCGCATATGCGAGCAACCTCGTTTCGCAGTTCCCAATGGGACTGTCCAATTTACCGAATCCTCTCTCCGTATTCAACCCACCAGCTCCCATTAGCCATGGACACTCCGTCGTTCCCTACGAGCCTCTTTCCGGCGCACCGACATGCCCTATCGACGGACCTATAAGCTGCAATAATAATACCGCTGCCGATTCATGCTGTTTTGTCCACCCTGGTGGGCGTCTGCTGCTCACCCAATTTTGGGACGAGAAAGTTCACGTCGGTGGCAGTGAAGAAGATTGGACCGTTCACGGGTTATGGTTCGTTGAATATAAATCTGGAAATTGCGTACTTTGGACCAAAATAACTAACCTCGGCCGTGTGCTGTTACAGGCCAGACCTTTGCGATGGGTCATTTGACCAATTCTGCGGCATGGCCCCACGATTCGACAACATCAGTGCGGTGCTAGAACACTACGGTCAGGGGGATCTTCTGGCGGAGATGAACAGATATTGGATTGCGAAATAGTGCGTTCCCCATCATTTTACACAAAAACATTCAAGTGACAGTCCATTGCGAAGAGTTGAGGAAGGCTGACCACCGTATTTTAGTGGTGGGAACAATCATTTATGGGCTCACGAATATAACAAGCACGCCACATGCATCAACACCCTTGCCCCAAGCTGCTACGGCGACGATTATCAGCCAGGTATCGAGGTGGTAGACTATTTTGTCCGAGCATTCAGCTTATTCAAAATGCTCGATACCTACCGGGCCTTGATGGACGCTGGCATCGAACCGGACTACAAGAAGACGTACTCACTAGACAAGATCCAGTCCACGCTCGATGAGTTCAGCGGCGGCCGCGTAATCCTCAAGTGTACCGGCAGGCATCACAATGTCTTGCACGAAGCTTGGTATGTGTACTTCATCAAGGGCAGCTTGCAAAGCGGTAACTTTGTCCCGGCAAAGGACAGCTTCAAGGGAGATCAGGGCAATTGCGCATCTCAAGTGAGATACTTGCCTAAGAGTCATAAATGAGCGGTCATATCACTGCCATCTGTTGTTTGAATATCATTTCAGCATCATCGGTCTTGTCTGGCGTTGGGGCACTTTGGATTATACATATGGGCTTATGCTGCTAATAAGGGGTACAATCACTGCCCTTGTTGGCAAATGTTTAGGTATATTAAATTGGGAATTTTTATAAAGTGATTTACCTACAGTCGGCTTGGCTACCGAGTGCTGCTCAGTGTTTCGGGAATCAAAGTCTATCTCGGTAGCTAGTCTTACGAGTCTTGCTTGAATCTGTCTACACATGGTGTTGACTTTTAAGCCTACTAAAGACTATCGCAGAAGAGAAAAGACCGCACTAGGGGTTGCTTGTTGTTGACCTATCCTCCTGCATAGACCTTGTATAACTATGACAACCTTTCTCGGTATTAATTCAATGGCGTGGAAAGGAATAACGTTGGACTCCAAGTTAATATACCTGCATACATACCTACGTAACTCTACATAGATCCCCTTTCCCCTTGAGACGTTGTCTCAGATCAGACTGGTAATAAACAAAAGAGTATACATATTGAAAAGAGAAATCGTGTTGCTTTGCGATGTATCATTTCCATGATGCGGTTAATATGATAGATTATATGTATGTCCGCCCTTCTATCAGTATCAAACTACCTGGGCTTTGTCAACATCCAGGCCAACTAGATGAGTGAGATTACGACAAAAGAATGATCACTTAACCTCAAATACAGGAAGATGTCTTAGATGGATTCTAGGTAGCGCTGAAGTGACGAGGCTCATAACGGGCCGAGGAGTTGACTCTTCAATATTTATTTACACACCAGCAATTTAAGTCGGTACGTTATGGCTGGTAGGTAGGTGATCTTTAACTATCTGCCCAGGTATCTAGGTTACCCATCTGATATAACAAGGTTGGCTACTAGATGAGATACAGTATTCTTTGATCACCCATCCGCGTCAGTACATCCAACTTAAGCGACAGCGAACAAGAGGATACGCAAAGTCAAGATGATATATGGAAAGAATGTATATCAAACATTAGCCTAGCTGATGATAACTATGAGCCATCGATATATCGAGAGGAGCACTCCTTCCTGATATCCGAGCCTCAGGCCATGCCCAAAGAATCGCCACAAAGCGCTCTCAGGGGGTATACATCTACAACCTGGTCTGGTATACCAACGTTGCTTGCGGCCAGGGTGAATCTCAGTAGTTGGAGCACCAAGGAACTCGAAGTAGCCTATAATAGCATCATGCTTGTTGATCTACTTTCGTCTCCGCATTTTCTTGCCTCTCGCCCCGCGTTTCCTGGATGATCTCTTCCGGTGTTTGGGTTCGTACCTAATATACGCGACCCCCTTAAAAGCCGTGTCTTACGATTTTTTATATTTCTACCTAGGTACTATTACTCATTGGCTACTAGATACCTATGCATCGAAGATGGGGAAAGCTATGGGGTTGGATGCACACCCTCTTTAACCTGCCTGTTCTAGACTCCATGTCTTGACATGGTCGAACGAGAAGTGAGTGTGGGGATGACTATTCCCGAATATTGGGGAGAGTTGTCACACTGGGGGGTTAGTGGCGGGCTTCTACCTATTTGCTAGATATTCATACCTATGTGTGATTCTTTACATACATACATATCTAGGTTACTTAGTTCCATTGCAGTAGTGATATTGAAGAGGACCTACATAGGTAGGGAATCGCCTCATCTGCCCAAGTACCTAGTACCCTACCAACTTACCTTCTATGTCTTTGTCGGTACTAAGCGACTGGGCCGAAATAGCTGGTCCCTTTGGGCTCCCCCGTGCCACCCTCCTTTCACGGCAACTCATAAAAAACCTGTATCCAGGTTTGCTTTCGTAGAGACAACTTGCCTTACCACATCCTCAGTTACGGCCTGACCCCATCCCCGCGATCATCAGCAAGATCGAATGGAACCTTTTCCCGATATTGGGTGTCTGCCACTCAAGTACCTCCATGCCTATTTACCTACCTACGTAGGTGGGTATTTACATGTAGGTAAGAAAAGGGGGGTGAGGGGCACATATGTATGTAGATGCAAGTCACCCACTGACATAGCTACAGTACTAGGTATGCGGCTTTGTTAGACGTGGCTGCCTCGACTATTGAAAGAGCTGGTCTCCTATTTGAGTTAGAAGAGTGGTTGAAGAGTTTTACTTCACGAGAGGAGCCTGGCTATGGGTGAGGTCTGGGTACTCAGGAAGCTGGATTTTCAGTTTTGTTAGCTTCAAGACATATGGTAGATACTAGGTCGAATGAATATACATAGAAGCAATTGATATTCCTATTCATTGCCCATCATCAAGCCTCTTACAGGTACATGCTGTGTCTCGAATGAGATATGGTGTAAGTTGAATATATATTAATACGCGTTATAGCGCTCAGTTTGCAGGCACGAGATAGACACGAGACCTCGCGATTCTTGATTTTAACCAAATACCAAAGAGGCATATCACCTCATGAAAGAGGGGTTGAGCGTTGAAAAGGGGAAAGAGTGTCTGTACCAGCATTTCGAATGCCGGAAAAATTGGGGGAACGGGAGGGGGGAGCGCCAAGATGGACGATGATCTTCGTGACGGCCTCTCTACATTTGTAGGTTAGTTGAAATACATATATAGTATATGCTACCGAGTGAGGTATTAAGTATATGCCTACATGTACCTACCTACCTACTTAGGTAGACGTATGTAGCCCTAGCCGACTAGGGGTAGTAGCTGGGCATCTACTAGGTACAATACATAGGTTAGGTTAGGTGAATGATAAATCAGATGTTACGATATGCTAGGTATGCTAGGTATGCTAGGTATGCTAGGTATGCTAGGTAGGGAGGTAGATCATATCGTAAAGGTCAACTTTTCCTTGGGACTGGGTATGCCCATCGGAAATGAGAATGTTGTGTGTATGGCATTGGCCGATAGCTCCATGGGAATGCTGGTACTAATCGTTTCTCGGTAAATGGATCTCACAGCCGCTTAAATGCCGATAGGGCCGCTAGATTGGGATTTCGAAATTCCCCTACTTATTTCTTATGGAAAATCGAGATGGTGGTGTGTGTGTGTGGTGTGGTGTGGTGTGGTGTGGGGGTACGCGATAATTTACTGCTCTACCGTTTGCTAGTTCGGCTGGTGAAACAATCTGTAGTGTAGTCATTGGGACCAAGATCGCATTGGTTGACTGCATTCCGTCATCCCTCCCTCTCCTGCGTTCGACAACAGCGGTCCAGGCATGTCAGGAAGTCCTCTGGGTAGGGAATGAATGGCGTGCTCGATGCCCACAGACTTTGAACTGCCATGGGAAGGGAACGATCAATATTAGAGGCGTATCCGTTCTGTTGTGTATTTGGTGGAACAAAACTCTTTCGTTCCCTTCTCTGGTCTGAAAAGCTCAAGTGCTCCAGTGGGAATTCGTGGTTTTTTCGGCATAGATACTATGTTATTAGTAGCGAACACTACGCTGAAGCCTTGGCTACTAGGGCTACCTGCATGTATTGTACAATACATCTAATACCTCGGAGTGGTGGAGAATTGAGAGTATTTATTACTTAGGTAAGAGCCAAAGTAGGCTTAGTAGCCCGCTCTCCACTGGCAATGATCGACGACGCAAGTCCAAATTTGCTGCCCACTCACTGGTTACAAAATCGCTGCATGACTTTTGCTGGCTCCGCCTAGCTCCGTTCACAGTACCGCTCCTAAGCATCCTAAGCTACAACCTTAGCCAGTAACATGCCACTATTCCTTGTTAGCCGAAGTAACAGGATGGAAGTACTGTACATAATGAGTAATAACCTTGTCCAGTCACCAGGTCACATCGCTGATCCGTTCAAGATATTAGCATTGAAGGGACTGCCCCGCGTTAAACCTAATTGATATCTAGTTGGTAGATGATACTTGACTGCTTATCTAGATTCTAGATAGGTATTTTTTTGGTGTATGTACTATGGCAGTATGGTAATGAACAGCACCTTTCTTCGACAACAACATTCGGGGTGCGTTCTGAAAAGTGAAAACCTGAAACCGAGTAAGAAAGTGTGTGTGCGGGTGTATGCTATTAATACTACACGTAGTAAGCTTAACTGTTGGCTTGTCAGCTTGTCAGACTTCGGATGAAGTTATTAGTAGGAGGGGCGGAAAAGGTAGTTGGATGTCTGAACAAGCTCGTGGCGCATAGTCCCTTATGGCCTTTCAGGAGTGTCATAGATATAATAATGGATGCTACCATAATGTTGCGCTATCACATCACATATGATGGAACCTTGTTCATCAACATGCCATCCATGGTACAATACATACATATGCACACACATATGTACATACATACATACATACATACATACATACATACATACATACATACATACATACATACATGCATTTTGATAGTGCTATTGATATGGAGCGGCTTTGTGCTTGTCAACTTGTGGTAGGGGGCGTTGAGGTTCTTAAACCGTTCTTTAGGGGTCCATGGCCCGTGGCAGCTTTTGTTCGGACAACATCAGGATTAGCGCTGATGCCGCTTTTTCTGAGGCTCAGCTCAGTCCAGTTTTAGTCACGTATGTAAAACTGATAGGCAGACTGTGAGAAGGCCAAGCTCAGGCCAAACTCCAGCCAGGCTCAGGCTTAAAGCAGCATGGCTCAGGTCCCGTTGTATTGTACAATACAATACTTCCATGGACACTAGGACCAGGCCTGGTAGGCTCTAGTTACTGTGTAGATGTCGATAATAGCGGCACGCGTAAATACTGTAGTATGCATTTTTACGCAAAATTCATCGCAAAAGTCTCCATATTGTGGGGTTCTGCTGAAGTTTTTAGCAGATGGAAGAAGAGGAGGCAAAGGGAAAAAATTAGCACACTAGAGCCGAAAAAGCTGAAAACAGCCCTAGGTTAACGGGCTTATCCATACTATATGTAATGACTTTCAAGGTTGTTTCTGCCATGTGATCTAGAGCACTGGGCGGATGTTTCATAAAGCTCTTACTGAACGTCTTTGCGTCTCCATGATTATCTCGGTCGGATCGCCGAACACTACACGCCACCCCGCGATTTATATCGAGTTAGGACATAACGTTGTCGGAGATGAAATTTTAAACGTATTTTGGACTTGGGCACGACTGCAGTGATCCTGATGATTGGACCTTCTATACCTATCTAGCTTGCTAGTGTAGGCTGTCCTTTAGGTACCTAGGTAGGTATGTATTCAATGCAAAGACATGCTGAGCAGCTGACATGTAAGCACTCCAGTAGGTAACCTGCCTGTTCAAGCCAGTGCCGGTTTGGTGCTTGACATCAATGCCAAGTAAGCCGGGGAACAGCCGCCAAGTTCCCAAGAGATCTTCGATGGAGCGGAATCCCAAATTCCCAATTCTTACTTGTTGATGGATGGTATTCGTTGCTATCTTTATCGACAGCCGCGCGTCAGTAGGCAACTAGGATCTCAGCAGCTGCAATGCTGACAGCAAGATCATGCCGACATGACCTACATAGTATTGATATTCATGGCAGCATGGACGCCCTTTCAAAGTGATGTACGTGTTCGTGTTTGGAGGCTAAGGGAAAAAGTATTCCGGAACAAAAACAGCGACGAGCAAACCTTGAGATACATATTCTCAATTATGTATACCTAATACCTATTATGTACATACCTAATAGTGTACTATACGAGATATGTATCCATTCCAGTTAACTAAATCCATTAAACTAGCAGAAACTCCATCAATTAATTCAATTACATATGTAGCTAGTTGGTAAGTACCGAAGCGCACCTACCGTAATTTATTAAATTTGGGCTTTTATGATGTGCTATAGTAGTACAAAAAGCGATATTCCCAGCCACTGAAAAGACTAGTACGGCAACAGATACCCTAAAAGAGTTAGTCATTCCTACTATGTTCGCCCTGCAACACAAACATGCACCTTACACCGGGGTAGGTACAGGTACACTACAATCCTTTTTTAACATGCATCCATGGATGCTGTTGCGGGTAGGTAAGTGCCCTGCTGGAGGCTTCCCGTCATCTATAAATGTAGCAGACCAGAGCCTTGTGAATGACATACATACATACATTAGGTAGTACACACTACTACTATGTAGGTACATAACTAGTTCGGTATGTATTTTCTAAGGTTTGATGTATAACTACATACTACCTAATACTAGGTAGGTAGTATACTACGGCGTACATAAGTAGGTACTACATAAGTAACATAACTACTAGGTATGTATCTTTCCATTCGCACTTTACCACATGTGCATGTTAGCCCTGGGAGATCCTTGTTTGACATACCTAGGTACAAAGCCCACTTTCCCAATGTTAGTCGTTTGCTGGTTGTACGCCAATAGAATTATGTATACAATCATTGTACCATGTACTCCATGTACCAGAGCTAAATGCTTTCGTTCGCCTGCAAACCCAGGGTGCCTGCCGTCGTACTGCCTTTTTTGTTCCTTTTCTCCCACCAAGCATTTCCCACTTTGATCAATTCAATCCCACGATCTTCCACATCTTACTATCGAGTCCCGCGTTTTCGATAAATCTTCACATCCCACAAAGTGTCACTCGATTTATTTTATATACACTACTCTACTTAGTAGTACCCTGCCAATTTAACAGCGTTGTCAGATAAATGTCAATTATTTATTAGACTTTGGTTGTTGGAAAAGCACCTGCAGCGCATGACGGCTGTATTCTTCCAGAAAAAACCTTCCCTTCCTTTTCCCTCGCCTCACCACGCCTCGCCCTGTTCGGAATAGCTTCGACTTCCTATGAATCCTACTTCGGATCGACTTGTTAAGTCCAGACTCGACTCTTCCCTGGTTTGTCGTCCGGTGAGTCTGCGTGAAGTCTCGGAGGAGAGAGATACAGGTATCGTCGTCGCCTTCGGTTGACTGGCTGGCTCGGAACAAGCTTCTGGGTCGAGTCAGCAATACGCAAGCGTATGCCTCGCGCTTCAGCATCGGCAAAGCGACAGCACGGTCTTTCCAACCCTCGCGATACTAGACATGAAAACGGTTTAGTAGGACCCGGGAAGCGCGTCTCTAAGCAGAAAAGCCAGGTCCACCTGAACGGAAATGCGAAGCAGCCCATCGACGATGCAGCCACGCCCCCGATTCCCTCGACACCGCCTCCTTACGCAAACGGATACTCCAAGCAACCGACTGAGATGCCTGCCGACAATAGGGTCACGGAGTCTTTGAGAAGAGGCTCTCTTGGCGGCTTCTCCGAATCTTCGTCATCTGAGTCTTACCAATCTCATGTCGGACAAACCCATCTCGAGGAGAACCACCGTCGTATCGATGTAAATGCTACCAAGAACTCCAATGTCCACCGTGATCCTGGTCCTTTTGGTGTCGACTTCGCTCTTACTGTCCTCCGGTCCTGCCCCCTGCAAGATACTATTGCCATTCTCATCATCTTAATGCAGATCCCCCCTCTTGCTTTGTCCGGCATATATGTGCTTTTCACCTTGCTTACCTTCGTGACGAGCAATGGCCTGACCTTTAGCGATGTATTCGAATGGAATCTAGGTGCCCCTTCTTTGGCGACTGTCGTATGTGTTGATGGTATCGTGCTTTTAATATGGCTATTCCTATGGGGTCCGATTCAACACGTCATTCTAGATCTAGCACAGATGGTCATTGCCTTAGGCCTGGGTGGTGGCTCGAGTTCAAGAGATGGAGGCTCCATGAAGAACACACTCATCTGTCTCAGCATGATCCTATTGTCTCACGTTCTGCGTCACACAACGATGAAGTATTCTCCCCTGGGATATCTCTTGGGCTCGAGCCGCTTCATGGCTCCTGATCTTGACGACCCCCTTGAGTCTTTAGAGTCCATACGTGGCTATGACAAAGTACAGACGGGATGGTTCGGTTGGGTCAAGAGCATATTGGCCATCCACATTTTGACGCAGGGTCTCGTTAAATACATTCGAGATTGGTACTTAAGACGCGAGAGACGCGACATCCTAGCTCAGAACGCCGCCGATCCCGAGGCAGGAAAATCTTTTGCTGCAGAAAATGACGGAGGATTTTCTACTCCAGATAGCGATACCGCGTCTCTTCAAAGTACGACAGCATTAACTACAAAAAAGAAAAGAAAACAAAGCGCACAGATTCGGAATCGGCAGCCACTTTGGGCAGCCTTAGCGAGTACCAAAATTGTCGTTGTAAAAGAATATGAACTTACTCATGCCGCAGCGGAGTCCGCAGGTTCGAATGCTACCGACATTCATAACCTGGGGAATGCCCCTTTCAACACACAGCCTGAACAAATTTGGATATCCTACGTTGGATGCGACGAGGTATGCTTCAATACAAGCCATTTCCCCGCTACATCCGAGCCGAACGCTTCGCAAGGTAGTTCGAGAATGGAAGTTTGCAAACCGTTCTACGTTAGGGTGAATAACGCAGTCTGGCAACCCACTCGGATGGTTCCGGTGCATGATGCCGAGGAGGATGGTTGCCAGGGAATTCGATGGAGTGGGGATATTTATGGGTTGACTCCTATGTCAAACTACGAATGCCAATTCGTCAGCACCACAACACATGAGGTTTTGTTCTCGACTAGTGTTAGGACCACCCAAGCCAAGTCGGCAGATGTGGATGCTAGTACCAACAAGCCTACCGGTCAACGATCTCTTCGACTTGATTCGCCCATCACAACCCTCAGGACTTCCATCGCTGCCGCTGAAAGCAAATTGGCTGAAGAGAAGGCTCGCCAGAAAGCGTTGCGAAAGGAGTTCCACCGCAAGGCAAATGCCTTGAAGAAGGAGAATGAAAAGCTTTCTGTAGCAGTTCTGTCAGCCGGCACGGGTGACGATAAGCTACGCCAAAAAATCCAGCAGAATACTACCCAGCAGAAGCAGGCCGAGCAGGCGGTGATGAACGTGGAAGCAGAATTGAAGGGGCTTGAGTCAATTCCTGAATCTTTGAGATCTGCCTGGAAATCTAAGCAGTCTACGTGGACCAAGGAGAAGGCCAAGTACGACAGCGCCGTTGCTGCGTTTAAGGGGTTCAAAGCGTCTGTCGATCGTGGAATCAAAGCTCTTGAGGAAGAGAAGACTAGCCTTCAAGGAAAACGCAACAAGATTAGCAATCGCATAGCCAAAGTCGACGGTGAGCATGCACGGATAGCTGACGCCAATGCTCGCGGCCTTGATGAAGCAGAACGCCGTCGGCAAGCTCGGGAGACGTACGAAAACGATATTGCAAAAGTCGAGCGTGATCTTATCGCCAAGATCAACGAAGTAGACACCGCCATTTACAACAAGGAACAGGATAACATGGCACTGAAAGCGCAGCTTGATTCGTTTCACACGCAACAACAGGCAGCTTATGCTTACGCCGCCACCTACGAATTTCCCGATGCTACCGTACCATATTCATCTCCAGGCCCAGTTCCATCAACACAAGCGACTGCAAATAATGCGACCCCGTATGATGCTACCGCTTCCTGGAACAACAGTTTGTATAATTCCTCACTTTGGGGTCACTCAGCACTTGCGCCAGGATTCATGTCGCAGGGAGCTGCCACATCGAATAATGTTCAGCAGCCTCGTACTAAGGCTAGAGGTCGTTCATCCTCGATGCTTAGTGATGTGTCTGGATTTACGCAAGTCAGCACGCCGGAAGATGAAGGAAACAGTACATTTCCAGCCATTTCACACGGCCAAAATAACTCTGGGTATTCAAGCGTTCCTCCTGGTTTTGAGTTTCCGACGCCAACTGGACCTCGAAGCGATGCTGACGGCGAGGCTGTGAGCCTTGGTAGTGGTAGTGGTAGTCTCAGTGGGGGCAGCTTTGGAACTGGTAGCGACGGGGATCCAATGAGCCCTCCACCGTAACCCATCAATTCGTCCAATGGTTTACGCTCGCCAAGCTGAGGTGTGGAGGCTGAAGGCTATCTTGATACGTACCTAGGTTTTCCGCAACGGGGATGTCCATCTTATCTGTTCAGGCTGAGTAGATTGGAATAGGCAATGAGAAAGTTTGTTCTTTTATACCGCATCTCTTGAGATCTTGCAAGCTATTTATTACTTTATTTATGTATGTGATGTGACTAGTTATGTACATAGGTAAGCTCCTGGAAGTGATACTGATGTAAGTTATCATACGTACCAATCTATAGACTATGGTGATTACTTATGACCTCCCCATCCCCTTATTGCTATGTAGGTAAGTGGGGTATTGAATATTGTTCTTATAGTATTATGTAAGTACCGTGCAAGTATCTACTTGGTAGGTACATATGTAGTCAAAAAAGAGACGTAGTTAAAAGGGGTAGCCGATCAAAGGATGGATGCCGGACGGATTTCAAATTGAAAGCCGCTCACGTGAACCCACTGCAGTAAGCAAAGCACAGGCCTCAGTGCTAAAGTGACTGGAGTCACTGGACCAGCTGAGCCCCTGAAAAAAAAGAGTACTTGGTACAAAGTACCAATCGATATCTCGGCGGGATTCATACATATTGAGCCAATCCCGCACTTATTCGTATCTGGCAATTCAGATCCTAGACTCTTTCGAATCTGATTACTGCGTTTCTCTTCTCCTATCGTGTTTATGTAAACATTGTTATTTGCCAGATCGCTTCAATCCCGTGGTCGGGAATTGTGGGTTTCGTCTATTCCGGACCGTCCGCTTCGTCGTATCTTTTTTGCATTGAGAAACCGACCCAAGCTTGCTTGATTCCTGCCTGCCTGCCACCCAAGTTTTCTTTGGTTATATCCGCTAACTAACCTAGGTACCTACCTACTTTTGCCTTTGTAGCTGGATGGACCTAGCTGGTGGTGGTCTAGCCCGGGTCACGGGCACGGGGCCCATGTCCCCCCCTCGTAAATCGGCACCGTACGGCCAAGCCTGCACGAACTGCTCCAAGGCCAAGTGCAAGTGCATCAGTCGCGGGGGCCCTAGCGCCGTCTGTGAGCGCTGCCACCGCTTGGGCAAGGAGTGCGTCCCCTTTGCCGGCGTGCGCAAGCGTGCGGCCAGACGGCCTGCTGCGGAGAGGACGGCGCATCTGGAGGAGAAGCTCGATGACTTAGTCTCGATACTCCGGGCCCAGGCCGCTGGGAATCCGACGGCGGCGGCAGCAGCAGCACCGGGAATGCTTGGAGCTGCTGCCGCCAGTGCGGACCTCACGCCGCCCGCTAGCGTTGTCGTTGACCCGAATCCCGTCTCGGCCGCTGTGTCGACCGGCCACCACAAGCCGGGTTCCGATGGTCGCGGTCGCACAATGCCTCTCACAACCATGACGCCCGTGGTGGACCGTCCCATGCTGTGTGATGGATATCCGATAAACTCTTCGTATCCTACTCCTCCATCCGTAGCTTCGTCTTCGGACCCTGGTCTTTCCCCGGCAGAGGCCGAGGAAGCGCTCCGTCTGTTTCGGGACCACTTTCTTCAGTACTTCCCATTTGTGTATATTTCTCAGAATACCACGTTAGTAACTATCGTGCCCTCCCCCCCTCTTTTATTTTAAGGCCTATCTTGATAGATACCTACGTTTGTGCTCCACTCGAACCTTTCCTCTAAGTTTGTTTCTCCTTTTAGCATGTAACCCACTAACAACCACCTATAGAGCTGATGAACTACAAAAGACGAAACCTTTCCTGTGGCTGAATATAGTGACCCTCTGCTGCAAGTCACAGTCGCGGAAGGGGGTGCTCAGCCAAAGGGTCAGAGAGATCGTCGCACAGAGGATGCTGATTGATCTGGATCGGAACGTGGATCTGTTACTTGGACTCCTCACTTTTCTCGGTTGGTATGTAACTTCCAGTCTCCTAGACAATTCAGATCATGAGGGTATGGTATAGGAACATTCTCATCCAGTAGACCCCTTTTTCTCCTATTATCCTTTTTTTGTCTTTGCGGATTGTTCCTACCCCCCTTTCGCAACCTCGTCTAACATTTTTCTTTTTGCTTTCAGGGGCATGCACTATTTCAACGGCAAACCGTATATCGTGGCCTTGGTCAACCTGGCCGTCACCATCGTCACGGATCTTCGCCTGGACAAACGACCGCAAGATAACTTCTTCAGGGAGCTGCACTGCTTCAAGCCTACTTATCCCTACCCCAAGACAGCGCTCCCCGCGACTCGCTCGAACGAGGAAAGGAGAGCTGTGCTGGGGTGTTTTATTATTTGTTCTAGGTACGTACTTACCCCCGGATTTCGTTACTATACGGAGACTGCAATATCCAAGTCTATAATTAAATACTTATTTGTTCCCTCCTTGTCCTACAGCATATCCAGCTTCCTAAGAACGCAAACGATGCGGTGGAGCGCCCACATGGAGGACTGCCTCCAGAAGCTTGCGGCGAACCCAGAATGCCAGAACGACGAGTTGCTGGTGACGATCGTCAAGACGTACAAGATCCAGGAAGACATCGCCTACGTGACGTGGCGGTCGGTCGACTTCCCGGGCACGATTAAGCCGCCCCCCATGATCTACGCCAAGGCGCTGCGTGCGTCGCTGGAGACGGTCAGGAATAGTGTTCCGCCCTCGCTTGCGAATTCTAGTATGCTTATTCTATTGCTTTTTCTGTCCATCGCCTCCTCACCCCTTAAGTTGAAAGCCCTTCGCATGTTGTATCGCCGTATACGCTAACGGAACATCTCAACTGAAGAAATCCTCCTCGGCCACCTCTACGCCACCGAGCTCGCCATCGCCGACATGTCCCTCTGGCACGTGAACCCCTGGCTGACCACGCACCCCCTCAAGCCCAGCCCCGCCGACCGTTGCAGCAGCAGCACCACCACGACCACCAACGGCGCCATCGACTTCGGCAAGCTGGAAGCGTACTACGCTTCTTTACAGGCGAGCAAGGCAGGCTTAGACAACTTCCTGTCGTTCCCCAGCCTCGAGTACGCGTACATCTCGTTCTCGCCGATGCTGCATCTCGGCCGCGCGACGCAGACGCTGTATAGGCTGCTCATGGTCGACGACCCGGACTGGGATCGGAACATTGTCCGCGGCAGCGTGGATCTCATGGCGGCGGTCGAGAGGGTCGCGGATAAGTTCGCGCAGGTGCCGCGGCTGTTTGGGCTGGAGCCGAGTGGCGGTGGCGGTAACGGTGGCGGGGGCGAGGCGGAGGAGTCGGATAGCACGGACTACTACACGCGAGCGGCCAACGCGCTCCGCGGCACGATTCCCCTGTGGAACGCCGCCGTGGAGCAGGTGGAGAACGGCGGGGTGGCGGCGGAAGGGGAAGGCGAGGCGGGGCCCGAGCCACCGGTCTTCGACCCGAGTCAGCATCACTTGCAGACGCCGGGGATCGAGTTTACGTCGATGGAGTGGGTCGATGACCATTGGTTGACGGATATGCTGCGGTCGTGGGAGGGGGAGTATACTTAGAGGTGCCTACCTGCCTGCCTACCTACCTAGGTATCTTAGGCAGTGGTAATGTTCTGATCTCATGGTGGATTTGCTTTTACGATGTACTACTAACTATTAGACAATTAGATAGAGCTGAAATACCCCACTGCTTTGGTTTCTTGGGAATAAGGGCGGTGCGTGAGGATACGGGTTAGATCTCGTTTTTTTACCTAGATATACATGCTTATTCATACTTCATACTTCACATAATATTGGTGTGCTTTTTGTGTCATTGTCATAGGATTAGGGGTAGAAGAAAGCGTGAATGAGTGCATGAGTCCTAGGTAGGTATGGAATATAGTTATCCTAGGTATATATAGTACCTTTATCCCCGAGTATACCTACCTAGGTATCCAGACTGTGAAACTAAAACAGCTGAATGGTCGCTTCATTTCTCTCCGTTTACGGATTTCGGAGAATTATCAACCTAGAGATAGTATACTACCTATTATGTATGCAGACAGGTAGAATACTGAACAGTATTGGTAGGTAGGAGGTAGTTCGTGTGGATCCTCACGGGTTTAGAGTATTTACAACTGGAGTCCAAGCGAGCCCCAGACTACAGTAGCTCCTATAGCGCGGTAATCACTAAACTAAAAACCCAACAGCCAACCGTAGGTATTGCACACAACCCAGCAGCGTCACGTCCACGTTTTAACGGTCTTACAGTATATCAGGCACCCGTCAACTCTGATGTTAAAGTTGAAGTTCGTTGAACTCCGTCCCATGCACTAACGCTTCCCTCGTAGCCCTGTAAGCGTCGAGGAACCAACAACAATACCTACCACATTCCTGAAAACTAAGGTAGGAAGAGTGCCCCGATAGGCAGGTAAGCACTACCTACAAAAAGGAGTAGAAAACGACCCATAACATCGTGATGGGTAATAACTATAGTATAAACGTATTCCCCTTCCTTTAAAATGGCGGGTTTCGGGCTCGGGGTTGGAAAGGGTTTCCGGTCTGGCGTTCAGCACATACTGCAGAGAGTACTGCAATGCTTGCGCCACTGGAACTGTATAGCCAAATCCGGCTCATCTCACAAACATACAAGGTCTTGAGTACACATAATGACTTTGGACGTGGTTGTTTCCTTCTATTCACTCGTTTCGTTGGCTAGATACCTATGTGTATATATACGACTCCTGCTCTTTGCTGGATACTGGCTTGAACACTATTGCGTATCTAGGTACCTAAGACGAAGCGTTATACACAACAGACTCTTCGTTTGCCTCAGCTGATATCCTATACAATCGGGATAGCCCCTATCAACACTGATATAGCGCCTATACACATACCGAGTAGCACGTAATCTCTAGCATACGTACCAAGGAACCCCCGACAGCGAACCATGGAGCAGACCAACGACTTGAAAGTTTCCAAACCTTCATTTACTGATCGTGAGGGCGACACTGAGTCTTCGATAACAATGCAAGAGAAGGAAAAAGACGACTTGGCGGACACCGAACTTGCACCAAACGCTAGAGCTCAGGAGGCGAATATAGATGGGTTGCTGGTAGACAACGAAGCAGTCGAAAACACCGAATATATATCGGGGTTTAAACTCGCCCTTCTCCTGTTTAGCCTCGTCACTTTCTTCTTCTTGCTCATGTTAGACTCGTCAATCATTAGCACGGTGAGTTGACGCACTTGAGTCCTCTTCTTGGGCGGACACCTATTAAGGTATGAAGACAAGGGCTAATAGTGGACTGGACAATAGGCTGTACCGCAAATTACGGCGGATTTTCATAGCTTGCAAGATATCGGCTGGTACAGTGGTGCCTACCAACTTTCCAGGTATCCACCCCTTTTCCTGTGGTCATGAACAAAGGTGAAAAGAGAGTTAGCTTACAAGGTCATTTCAATAGTGCTACATTGCAGCCTCTAACCGGCAAGGTGTATACTCGTGTCAGTGCCAAGTGGGTATTTATATCCTTCTTTGGCATCTTCGAGCTTGGCTCTTTGATTTGCGGGGTCGCCCAGTCCTCGTCCATGTTCATCGCGGGCCGATCCGTCGCCGGCATAGGTAGCTCGGGACTCCAGAATGGTGCTTTGACAATAATAACTGGCGCCGTCCCGCTAGAGAAGCGACCCTTTTATATGGCATTATTAATGGCATGTAAGCTGTTATTCCATCTCCCGAGAAGATGGCGTTGAAAGGCTGACACAATCGCTCCAGTCGGCCAGATAGGTATCATTGTCGGGCCATTGCTAGGAGGCCTGTTTACCCAGTATGTGACATGGCGATGGTGCTTTTATATCAACTTGCCACTAGGTGGTCTTGCTGCACTCTTCCTCGCCTGCCTGCGCGTACCCGACCAGATCGAAAAGCCGCAATTCTCGTTCGCCATGCTCCGTAAGATTATCCCGGATCTCGACCTCGTTGGCTTCGCCATCTTTGCACCCACGGCTATAATGTTCCTCCTGGCACTGCAATTTGGATCGGCTGATTATCCCTGGAATTCCTCAACGGTGATTGGGCTTTTTGTAGGTGCTAGTGTTGGCCTTCCGATCTTCCTGTACTGGGAGTATCGCCAAGGTGACAAAGCTATGATACCGTTTTCCATGGTGCGTAGACGAGTCGTGTGGGCTAGCACCCTCCAATATTCATGCTTAATGATTTGCGTTTTCGTCGGTTCCCAATATTACCCCATCTACTTCCAGGCTGTTAAGGGCGTGGGTCCAACTCTCAGCGGTGTGTACATGTTACCTAATATCCTATCCTCGGTGGTGTTCGTCCTGATCTCTGGAGCACTATGTAAGTCATTCTCTTCAGTCCCAATATCAACCGTGACTTTATATGAATGTGAGCTAAACAAAAGTATCTAGTGACGAGGCTCGGTTACTATCTTCCATGGGCGGTGTTCGCTGGCGCTGGCACCGCTATAGCTACCGGTTTGATCTCAACCTGGAACCCCAATACCACGGCGGCTGAATGGATCGGATATCAAGTTATTTTCGGTACCAGGGGTTGTGGGATACAATCTGCTTTGGTCGCGCTTCAGAACACACTCCCACCCGCACAGAGCGCGATAGGAATTGCTTTCCTGATTTTCTCGCAGAACTTCTTAGCGGCGGTATTTGTGGTCGTTGGTAATACGATCTTCACACAAACTTTGCTGAAACAGATTGCTGAGCTTGCGCCGTCTGTGGATCCTACGGCGGCGCTTAATGCGGGTGGTAGTGCTCAAGCAGTCAGATCCCTAGTACCGGCTGGTAGTCCAGAGCTCGATGGCGTGATATTGGCCTATTCCATCAGTTTTCGAAATGTTTGTTACCTGATTCTCGCCGCTGCGTGCGTGAGCTTTGTGGCATCCTGGGGTATGGGTTGGGTGGACATGAGGAAGAAGAGAGAGCCGGGAAAAGGAGGAGCATGAAGAAAGATCCTTGCTTATAGCAGTTGTACGACTCACCATCCGGGTACTCATCCGCTTGAAAGGTATTGACATGGGAAGGACCGTTAATAGATTTAATGACCGTTTTATTATCCTATCGTTAATATTCCCGAAAACTTAGGCCGAAGTCGAACAGTCACCTGTTGATTACTAGACGACTACTGCTGCTGTTAGGTTTGAAGTGAAGAAACCCGATCTAATAGGTCTTTAGAACACGTGGCGGGATAAGAACTAATAATATATGACGGTACCCATGACCCGGATAGACCGGCCACTTGGTGTGATTTAGTTAGATGAAGGTTGTATTCTCGCAACGTGTGCATCGGAGAGATCAGTTCGTGAGTGTTTGGTCAATCCCTTCCAGGAACCAGGTCAAAAAAACAAGGCGAGGATGAAAAGATGAAGAGATTTTTATGAGTTGTCTTTTTTTCCCTTCTCATATGCATATCTAGCGCGCTTATAATATAAGAGCAATAGGGCTGTCGGGTGTCAACGATGGAATGATAGTTGAGTGCGTTGGCGTTGAGTTGTTTCAAAGAGAGTTTGGGTAATAATTCAATAATTCATGATTTTTACCAGTTCCTGGGACTCATGTGGACATTGTGGAGTTTAAAAAAGATCCATGGAGCTTCTAAAGTTCTAGTACTATGCAGTAGTGTTACACGTACCCGTTGGTGAAGTGGGTCTATTACACAATACCCCTGGGCCCTGAGGGTAAATACACTAGCAGGGGGGCCCAGTAAAGTCTTAGCCACGACTTAGCCATCAATGATAATTGAATGATTGCCTCAAGTTCGAACAATTACCATGGTTAAGCCACATATTGTCAGTGCTGGGAGTCCTCATGACCCACAAAAGGCGCGCGAGTAACTAGACGCCCTTGTCTCTCACCCAACCGTCCCGACCCCCCTTCATGTTCCTTAATTAATACTACTAGCAGTAGTTACTAGTTACATACCTGTACATCATCTTACAGTATGTACAGTACCATAGTTTGGCTGAATATCGAACACTTTTGACTCACTAGTAAATGGGTTCTGAGTTGTGAAAATGCTAGCCGGGCTGTGCATCACTGCATACCGAAGCCATGTTATGATTAAGTTAATACAATGCTGGCGTTTGTCATGAGTTGACTACTAATACTTCCCATCACCTCCCCTCCTCTTCCTTCCATTCCCCTTCCCTCATTATAGAAGTCTATACATTCTTTTGCTCTTTTGCTCTTTTGCTTTTTTTGCTTAGACTTATATAGAAAGACATCTATTTTCTTACACAATCGCATTATTCATTCGAGACAAAAGGACAATGCCCTTTATTCCCAATACTCCCGAATCTCTCATTGGTCGCTCCGACTCTAAAAATCCAGCTACGACATGTCGAGGTATCACCTCCGGGGGCCGTCCCTGTCGCCGGGATCTAAACGCTACCCCAGATTCTACTCCAGCGCCCCCTCCTCGTAAATCCAATAAGCTACGCGTAGACGATCCGAGTAACCCCGACCTTTATTGCTGGCAGCATAAAGATCAGGCAAGCTTGTCCGCAAAGTCCACTCCAGGAACAAAGCTGCACGCTACGCCCATTCTTGAATCCCGCGCAAGCTTAGACACTCTTATTGACCGGCTTGGTATCGTTGAGGCGCAAAGGCAAGGACGGAAACCAGCGCATGCCGCCGGAAAGCCTAGTGACGGCCGGTATAATGAGAAACCATCGCAGTCGGGCCACACGGCCAACGCACAACAGAAACCCAAGGCGAAAGGATTCAGCTGCTGCTGCTTCACCATCCCTGAACTAGAGGAGGAGCGTCCAGTGCGACCCCAGCCCAAGCCGATACAGCAACAGCATGCGCCTGCTAGGCCTGCTTCTTCTAGACCGCCATCGTCCCAACACCATTCAGCCCTTCCTTCTCGTCCCCGGCCAAGCACTGGGTCTTCGCAACGTCCTGCCGATCCAACCAAGTTGCAGACTTCGACATATTTATCGTTGATTCCGGCAAGCGCATCGCCACAGACGGCTTCGCAGCTTATAGCAGAACTAGCCAAGCCCATCTCGCAGCAAGATGAAGCCGGTTATATCTATATATTCTGGCTGACTCCCGAATCGCAATCATCAACTGCACCTGCCGAGGCAGCCAAGTCGCTCCTATCACCTCCCCGTCCGGACGGTGGTCGCCAGAGACGTACCAGCGACGTGATGGAGTCGTTCGCTGTCAAGGGGGGTAAAGCTGGATCGCCCAAGAAAGTCCTTTTGAAGATTGGTCGGGCCTCGAATGTCCAGCGACGTCTCAATGAATGGAAGCGCCAGTGCGGTTATAACCTGTCGCTTGTCCGCTACTACCCCTACATTTCCTCCAGCCACCCATCCACGCCTCGCAAGATGCCCCATAGTCACAAAGTGGAGCGGCTGATACACCTGGAACTCGCGGGGGCCGGCCTCCGAGTAAGCGACAAGGCCAATTGCGAAGCCTGCGGCAGGGCGCATAAGGAATGGTTTGAGGTTGATGCTAGCAAGCAGGGCATTTCAATGGTTGATGAGATTGTCCGGCGCTGGTCCGACTGGGATGAAGCCCAACCGTAAATTGTGTATAAACACCTGAAAAAGGTGCACATGATATCATGAGATCACGAGAACACGACGAGCATTTTTTTTTTCTTTAACGCGTTAACTATCCGGATATAAACATGGTCGCACTCGGCTTGGTTGGGGTGCATAGGTAGGTTAGCATAGCATATAGCATAGGGTTATACCTTTAAAGCAAATGGGAATACGACTGACTACGTCGACTTTCGCAATTTGAGCATACCAGTGTTGGCCCCCTTTGTGTGATTTGACCCCTTAATGGATGCTATTATATCTGCCACACAAGCGGTTGCACTGCTTCGAGTAGCATGAAATTCCTCCAACATACATATTTATCTCAGCATTTCCTCCAGGAGACCCATATTGGTGCAATCCACCCGACGACTTGGACCACGCCGCTGCTATCAAGAAATTGGTAGTATTGGTGTTGGCTCCCATGATCTAGTGGCATATTGTAATATAAAGTCAGCGCAACGATAGGTTCCATTTAATGCGCATTTACTGCAGTCACAGTCACAGTTGCATCTTTCAAAGTCTGATGGACTTGTGCTCGTTATGTTGATTGTTGTGCGTCTGCGATGGTACGCTCGTCTGTGCCACGCCACCGTGGCGCTCATAATCGAGCTTTGAGGGCCACCTTATCAGATCGCACCATTCATTTTTAGGGAGAATACTGAACAATATCTGGTGTAGGGGGGCGGCGCGTAAGAGAATTTTGCTTAACTTGTGCAATCGAAAGAATACCAAAAACATGCCCATGTACCCGGGTATATGTCAACGGGCTTCGTAAGTGGTTTACTAAACGGAGGAATGTAACCTGTTGAAAAAAAAAGTATCTTGCATGCAGCCCGGGTCCTATAAGCAATCCTATCCGAAGTATCACTGATGTTCGGTCGGGAGATCAATCGGTGAGCGCCGGATCTCATACCGAGCGGTAGACAGGAGGTCTTGTCTTGTCACGGTCCTTTCGCCCCAAAACCAGCTTCAAAACCAGCTTCCTGTCTAGTCTAGCTTGGGATGTTATGTGCGCTGCCGCATCCTGACATTTCTTACTTGCTTCCTTCCTGCAGGCGAGGATGCGCATTATTATGGCATTCCGCCGCGGGGCGTTCGCGCCGAAAGTATCTGTCCTAAGCCATTGCTGACATGCATGCGACGCTGTCTCTGCACCTACGTAGTCATGTTTTAAGGGTCATCATTCCCCTTTGTTTGTTCGCCTCGTGGCAATCCTGACCCCAAAGTTTTCCGCATGCGGTGCTTTAAAACAGTGCCAATGTTTTGCGTGATTTTCTATGTGTAGGTATTACTGCCTTCGCTGAGACACAATTCACGGTCCACGACAAGGTCGACAAGGACGAATAGGTAGAGGAAATGGCAGATGCTTCAGTCGGCGCGGATCACGATGACGAAAACGCAACACCATATTCGGCGGCTTCAAGCCAGACCGTCTCAGTCGCTCAAAACGTATCGATGGTATCGTGGGGTAGCGGCAGCGCACCATCGTTGCCCTCGGTAGACAATGATTCGCAAGCAGTTAGTTTTTGTTGCCAGCGAGCGGACTCGGTCACACTTTCAGCTGACATCTTGATAGGATACTCATTCCATATCTGAGAGTGTAAGGTATGATACGCGATCGATGAGTGCCTAGAAATAATGAGGTCCTGACCAATCTGAAGATCCTCGACCGTCTCTCTTGACTCGAGCCTTTATCACTTCGTACAGGAAAATGGCCGAACCTATCATCGGTATAAAGAAGGAAGTACGACATACCTACTATCTACTTACTGTAAACCGTAGTGTCAAGCTCTTCGCTGACATTGTGTTACAGGATACTTCCTACCAAATGATACTGTACGTTTCGAAGGAAATGCGCCAGTCTCTGCCGACGGCTAATACCTTGGACAGGCAGAACAGGAACGACTAGGTAAACAACTTTGTGTAGACGGCTCTCTTCGAATTGCTAATACCTAGGATAGACCTCCAGCATCAGCTATTCACCATAGCCATCGGGAACAAGCTCAACATTGCGCCAATACCAGACAATCCTCAACGAGTTTTAGATATTGCGACAGGTGTGGCCAATTGAACCACTTACCATGTAATACCTACTTACTAACCTGTCTCCTAGGAACTGGTATTTGGGCTATCGAATTTGGTTCGACCTTTCTCCAGTTACTTACTTTGCCCCTATTTAGGTAGACACTGACCTGTAATAACAGCCATCCAACACCCCGAGTCCGAGGTCATCGGGACAGACTTAAGCCCTATCCAACCCCAATAGTATGTTCACTCATCCAGAAATTTCCAGTCAGCTAGCCAAGCTATCAGCGCACAAAGCAACCCAGTTCATCGACAACTACCTACCAAGTGCCCCCTTACTAACAGCCCCTCCCCGTCCCCAGCCTACCCCCCAACTGCAAATTCGAAATCGACGACGCCGAAGACGAATGGACCTTCAGCGCCCCCTTCGACTTCATCCACGGCCGCGCGCTCATGAGCTGCTTCAACGACCCCCGCGCCGTCGTGCTCCAAGCCTTCGCCAGCCTCCGCCCCGGCGGCACCATGGAGTGGCAGGACGCGCTGTTCCCCATGAGCTACGTGGGCGAACCGCCGACCGCCGCCACCTCGGCGCTGTGCCGCTGGAACGAGCTCATGCTCGAGGGCGTGTCGCGGCTCGGCAGGTCGTGGAGCAACGCGCAGCACTACAAGCGGTACTTCGAGGAGGCCGGGTTCGAGGACGTGGTGGAGAGGCGGTTCTACTGGCCCACGAGCCCGTGGGCGAAGGGCGCGTATTTCAAGACGGTCGCGGCGTACTTCCAGGCGGACATGCTGGCGGGGCTGGAGGCGATGAGCTTGAAGGTGCTGGGGGTCCTCGGCATGACGCCGATGGAGGTGAGGGAGTTTGTGGAGGAGGTGAAGAGGGATTTTAGGGATACGAGTGTGCATGCGTATTTGACTGTGTGAGTTTGCGGCCCCCCCTTTTTTTTTGTTGATCGTGCCTGGTAATCGCTATCTACTAGGTAGGGGGTAGGTACGCAGAAAGCAATTTAAGAGATGTGGTCGCTCATTTGTTTTATTCAGGACTTATATATATGGACGGAAGCCGCAAAATCCGCGGTAGCGATGATGAGCAATATTCGGACATGGTGTTTCAAAAAAGGGGGGACAGAGATCTTCTAACATATGGATTAGAGGGACGACTGGTAGCTACCTACTTAGGCATCTAGTAGATTAATCTACGAGATTCCACGTACTTTCATCTACGTATTGAGCTTCTGAGTTAAGTATCTTCTAGCCTCGGTTTTCTTCTTTTTTCTTTCTCGATTAGCGCTTAGGTATGAAGTACCCATGCGAAAGGAAAAAAACTGGTAGCACGATATATGTGACTTCCAATGTCCACCCCCTACCTTATGCACCTGTTATTTCAAGCCAGGTGAGTCGGCCGAGGTTTCTAAGGTCTCACGTCCCGACGGTTTGGTTCGCGCCTGCGGATAACACGGGGGTAACGCGGAACTTTCGTACATAATCTGCTCATCGCCTAATCTCCCCGATCCCTTACTTTAGCATTGGTGAGCTTTGGGAGGTTGATTTATGGAAGCCTGCCTGCCTTCTAGGTAGCCATGTAACGTCGTATTCAGCTCACTGGGCGTCGCTTTTAAACAGGAAAGTGTTGGAAAGAAGGGTTGTTGTAGGTGATGGTGTGCCTCTCGCTTTTCACATGCGCGATTACAAGAGAGACTTCCGTCGGTCTGGTGAGTAAGTGCGAGACTTGGTAGGAGTTGTCTGGCCTTGGAAAGGCGACGTGAACTGCTGGATCCTGGAACTTTCATTGCATTTGCTAAGTGTCTACCTAAAGTGTTCATGGGATGTAGAATCTTCACGGATTTGCTCTCGAGATTTCCCACCAGCCAAGCCAGCAAAAGCGATCATTTACCCATCTGTACTGCCTATTGCCATTTTTCAGATAACTTATGTACATACTGTTGCAGGTGCCTCAGGCACCATAGGCTCCACTAGAGCCATATAGCCCATATGGCCGTATGTTGGCACTCCGCCACCGTAGTTAGGAATCAAGTAAGCTTCCTTCCTTTCCTCTTCTTTCTTCTTGGTTGCAGTTATGCTGCAACACATACAAACCAAGGTTTCCCTCTCTCATACCCTTTTCATCGCGTATGGAATTCATAGGACTATCATAAGCCGTTCACTCCTAAGAGCGAGTGTCTAGCTCAAAACCCGACGTCAGTTCAATGATACCGCTACCCCTAAATTAGTAGCGATTAACTACCTACGTCAGGTCAGCGAAACAAAAGGTCAAATGATTCTCTATAAGAAATTTTCACATAGGCCTCGGCTGTCTGCATTGTCCCTGAGAGTGATTCAGGTTATTGGTACTTTACTTGGAGTAAGTCGTGTATTAGCCCAGCGCTATAGCAATACTAGATGACCTTTACGGAAATGAGAGACTTCCAGGCTACTACTGAACTATACTCATACCTAGGTAGGTACGCATCTACCCGTTTCTCGTTGATCCATTTCATTTAGTATACAACTTTCCCTGATTTTGTAGGCAGCACTGCCACTAGGTGTGTAGATAGGAAGGCTGGTGCCACGTGGGTAGGTATGCAGATTGAACAATGCTATGTCGCTGCAAACTTGAATAAGATATCGATCCCCCGCCACGGGACTCAAAATCTTGGATACTAGTTTCGGTTAGTTAGATTTCAACGCCGTGGGAGCCTGGGAGGAGGTTGAAGGTCGATCGGATATAAGGCAGGATGGAGATCAGCGTTTGATTGTTCTTGCTGCGAGTACCTATGGTAAATCTTAGATTATTAGCCATCGCCTAGAGAAGAATATCGCATACACCTACCCGTCTCTGTACTAGCCTAGTAAACTTGGTCTGGAGATAGTGTGCCCATTGCCCAATCTACCCCTGACTTGTTCCCCCATCCCAAGACCCGTCCCCGAAGCTTATATGCACTCCGCCATGCTAGGAATTTTAGGCTCCCGTACTAACAAGTTGATATTTCACTTAGAAATCTAGTGTGTATTTTAGTGCTTGATAGCCGCTTTTGGCTAAGGTCTCCCTCATTTGGAATGCGGAGTTCTAGAGGCCTCTTATAGGATAGGCTCCGACTACGTACCTATACTGACCAATCAACTCTAAGGTGAATGTCAAAGGGGGAAATAGTGGGAGAAGAAAAGAGAATGAAAAAAGGGGGGAAGAATAGATGAATTATTAGGTACCTAGCACTCAACGGTTCTGGATGCGTGGGGTGAGAGTATGAGAATGATTTGTAGAGCATAGGTAATTTAGCAGCAGATACTTACCTACTAGGTACCTACTCAGACTGTTAAACAACTATACACCGTAGACACTTTGGATATGTTCTTCACTTAGTTACTTTAGAGGTGCAAAATAATTTTGAACCATTACATTGACATTATTTGTATACGTGAGTTAACTCGTTAATATATCTGATTTGCATGAAACCATCACATACCAAACCAGGTAGGTATCATATCATCATTAGAACTTGCCCATGCCCATCTTCATCCCCAGCTTAAGTAAGCTCAGCCCCGGCCCCAACACCCCTTTCCTTAACGACGGCTGTGACCTCTTCCCCTTCGCCGCCGTGCTATCACCCGCCGTAGTCGTAGTGTTCCAGTGTGTCAGGATATCCTGTATGAGCGTCGAATTACCAAAGACATCATCCAGGAGATTTGGTATGGAGACCTGGCTGCCGTTGGTAAAACTACTAATAAGGTCGCCCACCAGCTTAACAACGGGGATCATGGACGTGACGCGGCGGTTGTTCAGGATCGCCTCGATGAAGTGGATGTGCTCTCCATTCACGACCGTCGAGTTCCCCGTCGCGTCGATCTGGATGTTGCCCTCGCTCAGCGCGTCCCCCTGGCTGCTCAGGATCGTGCCGAGGTTCTGGAATACCACGTCCAGGTACAGCTCCCCGTTGAAGTACCGCGTGTTGTTGCCCGGCGGGATCAGCACGTCGTACACCGTGATCAGCCCGATCCGCAGGTCCCCCGACATCAGGTTCAGCGAGAGGTTGCCGATGCCCAGGGTCAGCGCCCCCCAGTTCGGTAGGTTCAGCGTCCCCTGGATGTTGGTGCCGTTTGCTTCCGCCGGCATCATCAGCTGCATGTGCTGGATTCCGAAGCCGCTTAGCTTGTTCAGCGAACTGACTTCTACCGTCTTCTGGATGTGCGCATTCGAGTGCAGCGCTCCTAGACGGACGACGGAGTCGCCCCGGGTAGATAGTTGGACTTTGGGGTTGTCGAAGACGTTGCTGAACCAGTAGATGAGCTCCGTCTCGTTGGTTATGGCCACTGTCTGTCCGGGGATGTTGATTTCTGTCTCGCCGTCCACGTGCATTTGTGGTAGAGTAATGTTGACGAAAGGTGAGAATTCAGGCGTCTCTGCATTATACATGAAGAGTGTCACGGGGTCGATGTTCGCTGGCAGTGGTGTATCCAGAGACGTCGTGATAGATACGTTGAGTTCCTTGGATGATACAGCTATGAATGCACCGCCGTATACAGGCATAGCCTGATTATCGAGAATGCGCTGCACAATAGCCGGCACAATTACCAAGAATCTATGCCATCAATTAGCACCCCTATCAATTAGATTTCTGGTTAAATACTTACAAGATTGGTAAAAGAATTGCCAAAAGAATGATAGACCCTATCAAGTACCACCACCAGAACTTTCCACAGTGACGCTTTACCTTCTGCTTCTTCGTGAGAGGAGCTGCTGCTGCCGTCTTCTCCTGAACGTGGTCAGCCGAGGAGGCATCGTTACTAGGCCTTTCCGCTGCATTCGCGGTCTCTTCACCATCACCACCCCTCGCGCCGTGCACGGAGGTTCTAGGGCTTGTAGGCTCATAGTGGGAGTTGTCTTCTCGAAATGCCGATGCCATGATGAACTTGTCTTAGGCAACATCAAAGTGCCAGATGGCGAGATACGGCAGAATACACATCTAAGAACAAGTTGACAGAAACGTGGGGGAGGACTGAGAAGTCATACATAGTACATATCCCGGCGTCATGACATGTGAACCAACTACTTCTTCTACCATGTAGAGCTAGCTACCTGGGGCTCACGATCTATCGGCCTCGGAAGTGCCCTCCCCCTCAGATCTCCATGTTGCATTTTCCGTACACCCACCCCCGTTGTTTGTTTTTTTCTTTTTTAACCCCGATTCGCAACATCCCGCCCTGCAGGGGTAATATGGTCAGCTCTGGTCTTTTCAGGGGTGTTTACTGGTTTGTTGTGAGTCACGCACATATCAACAAAGGGACTAACACGATGAGGTTGCGGGGTTTAGTACAACAGAAGAGCAACATTAATTTACTCTAGCAGATCTTCATCTTCACCCGATGCAAAAGCTCATCGTGGGCTGATGTCATGGTGCTACTCGCCTGCGACCCGCCTGCCTGTTAAGGGAAAAGGATGGCCCTGTAATTATTCCCCTTTTGGTCATGTCGTCCGAAGGCATCCAATAGTCTGTGGTTTGCGGGGTAGCTAGCGAATAGTTGGGCATCTAAATCGTGAATAATACAATGGCACTATACTACTATGTAGCACGGGAAGGACTTCAATCCTAACATCTATTGATGTTGGGTGAACCTCAGCGGCGGGACTGAATTTTGGGGTTTGTATTTCAAGAATTGGGAAACAAGGGAGTGTCTAGACCTCGGGAGTTTCTATCTAGTCTTTTCAAACTTGTGATGTTAAGGTCAAGTACGGAATGGTATAGTTGTGCCGTAAATAAAAGACAAGGACAAAAAAAAAGAAAAAAGTATTATACTTAGCATTCACTTCTTGATACTGATTAATGGCGCGATTCTGAGACTCAGTAATACCAGTGCCGGGGCACGTGAGAATGCGGTGAGCACGCACATATAGGTAGTAACCGTAACCCTACACTCCTACACAAGTACATACCTACATGGCAGATTCCATGCCAAGCTGTCGAATAAGCGTTCAGATAATCGAAAAAGCTTGACATCTCGGCTCCACTCAGTCAGGGGGGTCCTAGTCTTTGCATACTAACCTGTCTAGGCACTTGCGCGGGTGATGGCATCGTGGACAGCCGTGGAGAAAGTTGGGGAAGCTGGGGATAGCTAGCTTGGCCATCGTTCTTCTAAGGACTAGGAAGCTAAGCTAAAAATTAGCTACCCATGTGGGTGGGTTGGTGGGAGATCCCAAGAAGGCATAATGTCCGGAACACTCTCCTCATGCCGCACGGGGAGCAAATTCCATGTGATATCAAGTGGACGTGAGATCGAGGTTGGAGACTTGGTTGTCCATATCATCGACCGTCCCACCTCGCTCGATCCGTCTTATACTCCCATGGTCAAGCTGCACCGAAGCTTCAACCCCGAGAGAAAGAGAACGACACCGCGGGAGCACCTTCAACAACTACCTCCTCCTCAATCTTCGCCATGTTTTTCTTTAAATTCCTCATAGTTGCTTTGGCGCCGGCAACTCTCATTGCTGAGAGCGCGCCAAGGACGGCATCGTCACCGGAACTAGACCTTGATGCATTGCTTGCAAGACACAACTTAGCATTGGTTCCTCGATCAGACCTTACAGATGCCTTGACTGAGCTCAATGGTCTCCTCAGAAAAAACAAAGCCCAGCAGCAAAAGGTTCCTCTGTATCCACGGCAAAGCAACAATGACACCAACTCTGGCTCAAGCTCGAGTTCAGGCTCTAGCTCAAGCGGCGGCCTTGATCTTGGCGAAATTTCGGGACTTGGTGATCTAGGTTCGATTCTTGAAAGTTTGACGAAGCTCGTCACACAACTAGGTGACATCGGAGGTTATCTCTCGGCCCTTCAGCAGTTGTTGAGCGATGAGTTCTTGCAGGCCCTGCACGACGCCATGGTGTATCTGGCTGACACACTTCGTCCTCCCATCCCATCCATCACCAGAAACATTCTCACCAAGACGGAGCCTTTGCTCGACTTGATCGGGTCTTTGGACCTGGAGGGTATCATAGATGAGATCAAGGGCATTGACTTGAAAGGCATTCTTAATGCTCTATCTCCTCTACTGCAGCCTGATGCCATCAAGAGCGTCGTGAACCTGCTGAACAATGCTGGGGAACTTCTGACAGCAGACACCGTCAAGGCGCTGAAGTCATTGCTTGCCAGCGCACAGCCCCTCATCGACAGCCTGGGAGACCTTGACCTTAAGGGAATTCTCGATGCTTTTGCGCCATTACTCACGGCGGACTCCGTACAGGGAATAGTTGGTCTGCTAGGGAATGCCGAAAAGCTCCTCACGTCAGATTTCGTCGACCAGACCAAATCTCTAATTTCTGGAGCCGGTCCTCTCCTAGCTAGCCTCGGCAAGATTGATCTGGAAGGATTAATCGATCAGATATCCCCTATTCTGAACGAGCTCGGCCAACTTGACCTCAAGGGTCTGTTTGACTCCCTCAGCCCATTGCTCACGTCAGATTCTATTAAGGGGATCATTGGGCTTCTCGGAAACGCAGAAAATCTCCTTACTGGCGACTTTGTGGATCAAACCAAGTCCCTAATCTCAGGGGCAGGGCCTCTCCTGGATAGTCTCAAGGACATTGATCTAAAAGGCCTTCTAGACAAGGTCGCGCCGCTCCTTGACAGCCTCAGCAAGATCGACCTTCAAGGGCTCCTCGCGGCTGTTGAGCCATTACTGACGCCTGATTCGGTTAAGGGAATCGTTGGACTCTTGGGCAACGCCGAAGACCTGCTGACAGCTGATTTCGTTGACGAAACTAAGACGTTGATATCCGGTGCCGTCCCCTTACTATCCGCCCTAGGTCAGATCGACTTGGACAGCCTTATCAAACAGATAAAGCCCCTGCTGGATACTTTGAGCCAGATTGATATTGCCGGCCTCATCAAGAAGGTAGAGCCTATCTTAGACGCGGTTAGCCAGATCGACATCGCCGGTCTAGTCAAGCAACTCACGCCGATCTTGAATGCGGTGGGCAAGATTGATCTAAGTGCCCTTGTCGACCAAATAGAGCCCATCCTGAACGCTGTTAGCCAAATCGACATTGCAGGCTTGGTCAAACAAATCACGCCAATTCTAAACGCCTTAGGGAAGATTGATTTGACTGGTCTTGTGGATCAAATAGAGCCGATCTTGAATGCCGTTAGCCAGGTTGACATTGCAGGTTTGGTCAAGCAGATCACTCCAATCTTGAACTCCCTAAGTGAGATCGACATCGAAGGGTTGGTCAAACAACTTACCCCTATTTTGAACGCCGTGGGAAGCATCGATCTAAAGGGTATCTTCGATGCCCTCTCACCACTGCTCACGCCAGACTCGGTAACTGGCCTGACGGGTCTGGTTGGTAACGCCGAGAAGCTCCTCACCAGCGACTTCGTCAATGAAACCCATACTATCATTGACGGCGCAGCGCCGTTGGTAGGAGTCCTAGGAGAAATTGACATCAAGGGCCTTCTGGACCAGGTCAAGCCGCTTCTCAGCATGTTAGGCGACATCGACTTTGCTGGTCTCATCAAGGCTGTCAAGCCCCTTCTCAATTCCTTGGACAAGATTGATGTCCAAGGAATCGTCGAACAAATCACACCTCTAATCACGCCCACTTCGGTGAAGGGCATAATGGATCTGCTGGGTAATGCAGAGAGCCTTCTGACGGCTGCGTTCGTCTCGCAAACCACGGAGTTGATAGGCGATGCCACACCTGTAAGTTTATCTATCCTGCCCTATCTTGAACGAGTATAAAGGCATCTCCGTTGAATGACCATATGCTAACCAATACTCCTGCACAGATCGTTGCAACGCTGTCAGACTTTGTTAATGCAATCCTTCAAGCAATGCTTGGGAATAATGACGGATGAGGTCATGGTTGACCTCAAAATCATATTAATGAAGGGAAAGAGACACGGACAACCTACGATGAATGGTATGCATAGTTAATGAGTAATAATGAATCCTAATGAATACCCGTGGCCAATGAGCCATATAGTATTGCAGCTGAATACTGTCGGTGACCTGCAGCAAGCTAGCACATAGGTACCTAATGAATAGAGACACCCGATAGGTGGCCAAGGCTCGATCAGCTCGGACTTAGGACGGCGGATAGGTATGGATATTCCCCCTGATCCACTAGCTACCGGGATGGATGTTGTGCATCCAAGGTTTGTAATCCATGAGGAGATACCTTAGGCACCTACATAAACTTGGTAGTCCTGGAGGTATGCATCCTTCTAACAACTAGGCATGACACCCTTCCGAGGTTCGGAACGAATATTCGAAGCGAATGCCGACCAATTTTACCGACGGCGTATATCCGCTCTCAAATTGCGAAATCCAAAACCAGTGGGCCTGGAGTCTTACTAATAAATCATGAAGTAAAGCTAGAAATAAAGCTAGTATCTAGTATAAAAGCACAAGTAGGTATTTGGTAGGCGATATCCTTCATCTTGTGTTGTATTGCTCCCACCCCATCACTAGACTCGTATACCAAGCGGCAACAAGATGTCTCTCTCCTCGTGCTGCCTCAAGGGCTTCGAATGGAGCGGCACGCCAACCGGCAAGGTTAGCAAACTCGGCGCCAACGACGTCTACATCGCGGGCACCAACCCCGACGCCGCCATCCTGATCGTCCACGACATCTTCGGCTGGACCTTCAACAACGCGCGCCTGCTGGCAGACCACTACGCGCGCGAGGCCAACGCGACGGTCTACCTCCCCGACTTCTTCGGCGGCTGGGTCGTCGACCCGGCGCCCTTCATCGACGGGGACTTCAGCAAGTTCGACGCCGAGCGCTTCCGCGCGCTGAACGGCCGCGACGTCCGCGAGCCCGAGATCTTCGCCGCGGCGCGCGAGCTGCGCGGCACCCACAAGAAGCTCGGCGCCATCGGCTTCTGCTACGGCGGGTGGGCGGTGCTCCGGCTCGCGGCGAAGGAGCACACCCCGCCGCTCGTCGACTGCGTCGCGACGGCGCACCCGTCGCTGCTGACGCACAAGGATATTGACGATGTCGCGGTGCCGGTGCAGCTGCTGGCGCCCGAGAACGACTTCACGTTCACGGCGGAGCTGAAGAGCTATGCGTTTGACACGCTGCAGAAGAATAATGTACAGTTTGACTATCGCTATTTTCCGGGCATCGAGCATGGGGCGCTGGTTCGCGGGGACGATAGGAAGCCGGGCGAGCGGATTGCTATGGCGAGGGCGAAGGATGAAGCTGTGAGCTGGTTTAACCAGTTTCTGCACTAGGTGTGGTGTGCCTATGCTGGTGTAAGTTATACCCATATGATGGGGTTCAGAAAAGGGGCATGAGCCAGCTTTGGAATGTTATATCCCGGGTTCAAGAGGACTAAACATCGCCGATGAGAAAAGCAAATAAATAGTAGGTGCAATACCTATTTTACCCCTGAAATACAGAGTGATGCTTCAATCTTGTTATCGTTCAACTACCTATATAGCAACGCTACCTAAGTGCCACGCAGGAAATTGCCCAAATCATGTCGTTATAAAAGCTCATAAATCCATCTTTGATCAAACACCATTACCCTCCCCTATAAAAGCAATCACTCAAACTTATTCTCCTCGTAAAACGTGCTCCTCAGCGGCAAATCCGCATCGAACCCCTTCGAGTCCTTCATATGGCGATCGAAGCTCTGCGTCGACATCTGCACCTTATCAAACAGACCACGGTCGAGCAGCGGCGCCGCGGGGGGCTGGCGACCATGCGCGCGCGCCTCCTCGACAGCGTGCGCGTAGTTGTGGTGCGCGAGGCTCGACGCGATCTGGAACGCGTTGCGGATCTGGCGGCCGTTCCAGCAGCCCGTCGAGCGCGCGTTCTCCTCGAAGTGCTTGCCGGCGAAGTCGATGATCTCGCTGTCCTTGACCACCAGCGTCGGCTCCCCCGTGATCGCGTGCCGCTGCGCCTCGATCTCCCGCAGCTTCGCGATGTTGAGGCGGAAGATCTCGCGCGTCTGCGTCTTGTCGAGGGGCGGGTAGTACAGCGACATGTGGATGCGCGACTTGAAGGCCTCGTCGATCGTGCCGACGCGGTTCGTGGTCAGGAAGAGCAGCCCGTTGTAGTACTCCAGCACCCGCAGGAAGACGGAGACGAGCGCGTTGCGCTTCATGTCGACCTTGGACCGCTGCGACAGGAACACGTCGGCTTCGTCGAGCAGCAGCACGCAGTCCCAGAGGTGCGCGAGCCGGAACACGTTGTTCAGCGACCACTCCACCTCGCTGGGCGACAGACCGAGGTCGCCGCAGGTGATCACAAACAGCGGCTTTTGGTACTCCATGGCGACTGCCTCCGCCGTCGCCGTCTTGCCTACACCGGGCACGCCGTGCAGGAGGACGACGAGACCGCGGCCCTTGTTCTGGATCAGATCCTGCGAGGGGCCCTCGCGCGACATGTCCACGTAGCGCCTCTCCAGCGACTTCTTCTGGAAGTGGGAGGCGACGAGGCCGCGCACGATGTCCTTGTAGTCCTTCAGGATCTTCAGGTTCTCGAAGACGCCCTGCTCGCGGCGGATGGGCCGCAGGAAGTGCGTGTTCACGGGCACGAAGCGGCGCTCGCGCAGGGCGTACGCGAACATGCGCTTGGGGAGCAGCACGAAGTCTTCGTCGCGGAGCTCGGGGACCTTCGACGCCGGGTCGTAGGTGCGTGTTTCCTTGGTGCGCTGGCGCAGGAACACGTCGACGTTGAGGTTCTCCCGGCGCTGCCACATCTCCACGCCGTCTTCCTTCTGCACGATCTCTCGCTGCGCGTACACGAGGTTTTGTCGCGATCCGTCCTGCCACTGCTGGATGTTCATGTCGTCGTCTTCGGCCTCGCATCGGATGTTCTTGGTCACTGTCAGCTTGTGGAACCTGGGCCGCCAGTCTGGGTTCTTCTGGTACGCTTCCGCCAGGTCGACGATCACGTCACTTTCCACAAACTCGGGGTGCCGCATCTTGTCCCTGTTTTCGTTGTGCAAAATCTCCTCATCAACTTCCGTAGTGTCGAAGGGCGGGTTTCTCGTCAGGGTCCAGGCGTTGTATGACTTGTGACGGTCTGAGAGGAGCTTCTGGAAATACTGGCCTTGCTTCTTGAGCGATTCCAAGAATTGTTCGTGCTCCTGTCGATAGCGAATGGGGAAAACTTCGAGAGACTCGATAAGCCGTTCGCCGGGGAAGGAGTCGAGCTCGAACTTGTGTCGCACGGCCCCAAATGAGTTGCCATCGTGATCAATGTAGTAGGCGAAAATTGTAAACTTAGCCTTCTTGTCTTGCTGCAACTCATCCGCGAAAAATTCCCAACCCAATTTCGAGGGGAATGACACCTCCGGCTCTGGAACCTCGACTCGGTAAATGCGCCAAACCTCGTGGTAACGGCCTGCGGTTTCCCCAGCAGCCGGCATGTGAATGAGATCTCCGACTCGGAAGAGAGACCACAAGTCGTCAAACTTCACTTTGTTCGTATCGTTTCCTTGGAAACGCGAATACAAAGGCATGACTTCCTTGTCGATGAAGTTGACGTAGCATCGCATGTCCTTGAGAGCTTCAGGGCTATCCATGATGCCATCTAAGTCCTCGGCATTGGAGTCAACCGATAGGAGCGACTCGGTGTCGCTCTCATCATCGTCGTCCTGGGAGTCAGCATCTTTGTCTTTGGTGTCTGCTCTCTCGATGATTTCCACTTCTTCAGGGGTATCTGTCACTTTCTCCGATCCAAACTCGTCAATCTCCTCGTAGTCAGCCCACTTCTCCTCTAGAGTGGCGAGAATCTCCTTCATCTTGGGCTGGAAGTAGACGAGAGCCTTGAAAGGCCTCACAAAGGTACGAGGAGTCGAGCGCTGCTCGGTGTCCTTGAGAAGAGTTGTGAGATGCCCCAGGATAGGCTGAGACTGGATGCGAATGCGTTGAATGTCAGTGTCGGTTCCCTGGGAGGTCTCAGCTCGCTTGTCCCTCTTGACCTTCTCCTGGGTTTCCTTCTTATACGGAGGGGCATAGACTTGCTCCCTCGCAACCCCGGAAGCAATCAGGTATCTCTGTCGGATACGAGCAATCTCGGCTTTGCGTCGAGCGGCCTGTTCACGTCGAATCTGGGCTTGCAAGTTGGCGCCATCTATGAGAACATCGATTGCATACTCAGGCTCGGACGGGTCATGGAAACGATTCTTGAAGTTCTCGAAGTTGACCTTGCGAACTTCGGGAATCTTGGGCCGCCATTTGGCTTCCGTACGATAACGGTCAGCCAAGATTCTCTCACGTCTTTCTGCTTCTTTTTGAGCTGCGAGCATGGCTGGGTCATTCTCTCGGTAAGTATGGCGTTGGTTTTGCGCAGCCCGTTTGCCGCCGCGACCTCTTGGTTTAGCCATGATGAGTTAGGTAGGGGATAAAGAAACTAACTGGGGAAGTGTAAGTAAATGAAAATCTGAAGTAAGTAGATGGGAATAAGACCGGCCTTAGGGTGAAGAGGTAAGTAACAAGGACGAGGTGGTTAGCAAGAACATACCGGATGTCTGAAGAGACTTGAAGCAATATATAGAGACCTAGTTAGTAGGTATGACATATGACAACGTCGGCAAGGCAGGCAGTGTAACCAATCTAGATCCGCCCTCCTATCTAAATCTACATGTTGGACTTTGATGCGGAGGTGGCATTGTCTGATAGGTATGCAGATGAGCCACAACCAACACTGCATGTAGATAGGTACTAGGTAGATGGAGAGAGGGCGGCTGAGTCACCGGCATACCTGCATATCCAGATACCTGCCTAGTATCTAATAGTAGTTAGATGCATAGAGCTGAATACAACGGGGAGGTTCCAACCCAATAGAAAGGTAGGTAGGTATGCACATGAAGTAAGGGATGAAACAGGCAGCTTTAGTCTTTCACATAGACTGTCCGTGCTAGCCCTGCGGGCTGTAAGCGCTAGCGTGAGAGATTCGAGATGTGAGATGTTCATTCTGTGGAGTTGATCTAGGCAGCATTGCACTGCCTGCCTGCATTTCTCAAACATCATCATACTAACTATCTCTAGAACTCTTTTGGTTGCCTCTGTAGATGTATTATCACCATTCCATTGAGATGCCCTCAAAACTAAACAGCAATGCCCTACTTACCTACCTAGTACCGGTAGGAGTTACGGTAACTGAGTGGGCGCCCTCCACTCTACATGTACATACTACTAAGGTACCTACTCCACTGCGATATGTCGATTTCCGTACATTGAGGGAAACCAGTCATAGCGGGGCCCTCAGATTCTCCAGTCAGTTTTCAACAACAGGACCCGAAAGTATCATCGCCTGGCAGTCTCCCATGAAGCGAAAGCTACCCAGCAGTCCCCAATTCATCCCTTCGTTCTTCACTCAAAGACGGTGCGGCCTCTCATGTACTCGCAGATAAACTTGCATAACTCGGTGCTCAATGTCTTCGTCTGGCTCTGCTGTCCCAAAATATCGCAGATATCCCGTAGGGTTTTTTTTTTTTGGTTTTTTTTTTTTTTTTTTTGTTGCAGGTGCCTTAGGCACCCTTAGCCATATGGCCCTTATGGCCATATATTGGCACTCCGCCATCCGTAGTTGGGAATAAAGCAAGCTTTCTTCCTTTCCTCTTTCTTCTTCTTGGTTGCAGATGTACTGCAACATTTTTTCGTATTTTTCCCAGTACTTCCAAAAGCTTCGTTGCTGTCCTTGATTGACCTTTCCAGGCGCGGGTCCAGTCGCGTGTCCGGACCTCAAAGGCGTCCTCTCAGATAGAACTGTGTTTACCAAACGAGCTAGGAGCTGTTCCTTTCTAACGTGACTTTGGCCTGGTTTACTCGCGGTGCGCTTCTGTAGTTCTACCATTGCCGTCCACGTATCCAAGAACCCTTTGGTGATCTCGACCTCATCATATGCCCCCGGGAAGAGAATGTTTAGATTGTTAGTGACTCGACCTAGCAAACCGATATTAGAGCACACATGATCCTCAATTTAGATCAATCATTGTGATTTACATGGGCTCTAACGTCCTCGTGGAACCACAACGGTTCTCGCACTAGGGGTTTTCTCTAGTCGGGGACCCACGAAGGCATCCCGTCTAACTCATTTTCTATGTGCCTGATAGCACATTGGACAAAGAGATCAACAGGCTTGAGGGCGGCCTTTCGGGTGATCAACTCAATCGTCACTTTATGATAAAGCGACTCTGCTGATACCGTGTAGTCGGCGGGTATGATAGCCTTATCAGGCGATATTGTGGTGCGGCCACTACCATCTTGCACTTCCATATCACTTGCCAGCGCCCCCAAAGCGTATACTCTGTCTCTATCATCCGCGCATCCCGCCTCGTGGATTTCCGTGAGAAGTTCAAACATGCGAAATCCCGTTCCCGTGTCGTCCTTAAGAATCGAAGACCTCCACATGTCCAACAGTAGCACTATCGAATCAATGACCCCCTCCCGGCTTTCTTGGAGGAGATGTTGAAAAAATCGCGTCCAAGGCACGCTGACTCGACCGCAAGTGATGACGACATGCGGGCTCAGAACAACTTCCTGGATAACCCATCGTCGGTGGAACCACGGTAGCTGTGTGATATAACCCAGTTCCTTCACAATTTCCGCTGTAACTTCACTAGACTTGGGCTGCTTCGCAAGAAGGTGTAGGCGACGTAAACAGTCCTCGGCTTCTTTATCAGCGCCTAGCCAAGCTATAACCGACAAAGCACTACGATATATTTGCTTCATGAAAGGGACCTGCTTCTACTTTTCATCGTTGTCGTCATGATTGCTGCAGAGGGCGTCTACCCAAAGAAGACGAGTCCCAGCAGGCAGTCTAAACCGAATCAAGGCATGGTAGAGGTTTTCGGTGACCCTCTTTGAGTAATAATGATCAAGGATTATTTCCTCGGTGAATTCAGGGCTCCCCCATGTGTAGGATAAAGCATCATACTCGGACATCTCTGCATCGTCAAGGCTGATCTCTTCCTAAGAACAACGAACCGGCGCAGATGGATCTATGGGAGGCTCTAACTTCAGAGCTCGTGTATGAGCTTCGGGAGAAAGTGGACTGATAGCAAATAGAATGTTAGCTCGTTGTAGCTCATGCTTATCAGCAAGCCCGTACGCTAGACACCTGGCGAGTTGATGCCATCTTAGTCTTAATACTCACTTACCAATACTCATACGGGACAAGATCAGGAAATAAAGTCTTGGACTTAGCCATGATAGCTCTAGACTATCCAGAGGGGCAAGGAAGATATGCAGACCTCGGGACCTACAGGAAGCTATTCATCGACTGATTAAGGTGCCTACATAATATGTTGGGAAGTATGGGAGGGGAACAAAAATTACCTAGGTAGGTAGATATCCAATTAGACAGCAGAAAAGCAGTACCATGTCACTATACTCCAATATCACCCAGGATCTCAAACCGGTTAGTAGGACTGAGTAATCCTTTCCATTATATAGCCCAGGGAACGAACACGTACATATCGTTCGGCCGACGTAAATACCCCGAGAAACAATGATTGGGGCAGGCTTCAGCGAAAAGTGGAGGGTCGGATGGTCAAGAGGGTACTAAGTCATAGGTGTGCGACTGTTGCAGGATAACTGCAACCAAGAAGAAGGAAGATGACAGGAAGAAAGCTTGCTTTACTCCTGACTACATTGACGGAGTGCAAATATATGGCCTAGTGGAGCCTATGGTGCCTCAGGCATCTGCAACAGCAACTAAGGTGAGCGCCAAAACGAATGATGGTGTCCAAAAATTTAGAATTTATTGAATTGATGAAAGGGGGAGGAGAGTGGGGAAGAAAACCAAAGAGAAAAAAGGGGGAAAGGAGGACAACGACAATAAAATATCACACTTGGTCAAAAAACATGAAAAGAATGATTATTTTAAATTAAGTTGATATGCTTCCAAAATCTCTACTGTCTACATATCTACCTAGGCATCTATATGATCGAGAAAGGTCGGCCGCTCGCATGGTATTGTCCAACGTCATTCTACTGCCAAACCATACAATGTCTTGTAACCTAGCAGGAAGTACCTAATGTATGCTTTCAAGCTTGCACCTTTGGTTGCCTCACCCAAGGAATCTTCCCGGTCCTGCCCTTGAACGGGACGAAGTCGAGGATATGCGCCTTGGAAACCGGTTCCGTGAGCTCGTTTATCGTGATCTTCTCCATGTTCAGCCACGGGACGACCAGGTGATCCAGCAACCAGTACGACCAGCCGTGCCAGCTGAACAGCCGCGTGATGACCCTCCCGCGCTTCTCGATCTTCCGCGCATCCTCTATCTGGCTGTCCTGGAAGCGCTGGAACGCCTTCTCGATGGACGCCGTCGTGATCTCGGCGCCGCTGTTGAAGAGGTCGTACAGCTCGTTGACGAGGGTGGCGCCGCACTCGATGCCCTTGTTGGCCGCCATCCCGAAGATCGGCGTCATCTTGCACACGGAGTCGCCCAGCATCACGATGCGCCCGTGGTACCACTTGTCGATGAACCCCTCCTCCGCGTTGGCGAGGTGCACGGAGCTGCGGTCGCACTTCTCCCAGATCTCCTTGAACTTGATGCCGGGAAAGACCTGGACGTCGAACCAGCGCCTCGCCGTCGCCTCGAGCTCCTCCTCCGTGTACTTGTGGCGCAGCGTCGTCGGCTTCGGCAGCGCCGCGTACAGCCCGAAGATCATCTCGTCCTCGCCCGCGCAGAACTGCGAGACCATTCCCGGCCCGTGCGTCTCGTTGAACACCGTCCGCTCCGCGCCCTTGACGTACGGCGCGATCCCGTAGATCCCGAAGAAGCTCGCCACCATCGGCGACGTGTCCGACGGGTCCTTCTCCTTCGCCTTCTCCGTCGCCGACGCCGGCTGCGCGTGCCGGTTCACGGCGTCGCGCACCCGGCTGTAAACGCCGTCGGCGCCGATCACGAGCGTCCCCTCCTCGACGCTGCCGTCCTCGAGGTGCACGCGCACGCCGTCGTCGCTCATCTCAATGTCGGAGACTCGGGCGCTCGTCCGGATCCGAGTCTCTCGCTCGGGGAGGTGGTCGTACAGCAGCCGAATGAACTTCCATCTCGGAAATCCCAGGGCTGGGTATCCGTGTCTAGTTGAAACCCCCCATGTTAGCTGAAACTTTTTCTAGTGATGGGGGTGTGGCGGGGTGGTGAGTAAGGCATGAATGACTAACTGTGCTTCTATCGATTGGGCCATGCGGTGTCGAAGTACGACCCGCCCATTCTGCCGCAACATTTGCTTGTCCGTAATGGTTATGGTCTCTTTCAGGGCCAGCTCGTACAGCCCTAGCTGGTCTAGCAGCCGAGCCACGTGTGGGAACAGGACAAGCCCGGCGCCCTTGGGAGCCGTGACCTCGGACTGCTGCTCGAGAACCACGAAATCTATGTTGGCTCGGGACAGGGCATGTGCGGTGTATAGGCCCACCAGGCCACCGCCACAGACGATGACTCGGGGTTTCTGGGTTGTTGTGCTTGTGCTGACCATGTTGATAGTAGTGATGTGGGATGTCTTAATGATCTGAACCTGAGATGTAAACGTAGATGAACCGAGGCCATAGCGTAGTTAAATACACATCGGATAGGCCACTGCTCGTCCTTGGACGGGATGCAGATCGGAGACTAATACGAATACGTTGGGATGAAGGGATGAACGAACGAAGCTTATCACGCCACGATTTTCAAAAGATTCGGAACAGAGTTCGACTGATCATGGGGACCAGCTAAGGGTAGGGGTTTGTTGGAACATGCGGGACGGCGCGAAACATCCACAGCTATGCCTCTCACATACATGTAGTACATGCATAGTGTAGAAAACCTACAACGGTAGATTGATAATGCGGCGTAGTGCCCATGTACGAAAGACTCTAGACTACAAAATTGCACATCCACCAGGGCGGTAAGGGTCAGTATATCTGGTACACTAAGATAGGACCCCCTGGTTCGTTAGTCTTTACCGTCCTGCCGGCGAAGTACCCCGGAAATGTTCCGCGAGGCACATAACTACTAGTTATGTAGGAATATACTATGTAGTATGGTATAAATAGGTGGTATAAAAAACCTGATTGCCTTGGCATCAGGGAAGTTGAGTGGGTCGGCGTGTTTGCTTTACCCAGGAGGGTCTAGGAGACTTGAACTACTTAAACGTTAGCACATCAACCCTTCACCCAGTTCGCGAGTCTAGCTCTTTCTCGTACAAATCATACCTACCAACCGCATAACCTGTTGTTGGAGTATGCTCTTGGAAGAATGCCCACCCACTACTATAGCCTAACCTTGTCAGTACTTGCAGACCTTGGTTAGCTGTTTGTCTTGCAACAAACGTCCACTACTGAGGTAGGCGCATAACTACCAGGTAACCATATAGACTGCATTGTCCGCCTACCTAGTATCTAAGCTCCATGGCTTGAAAATCTCAAATCAAAGCCCAGAGTTCACAACGACGAAGAGATAACGGTTGAAGCTAGGGAAGGTTAGGAATTCCGCACAAGACGGAAAACAAGAGCGGGAGCGCAAGACGAACGCAAGGGCAAAGCCCCAACAAAAAAAACGATGTCGGTTCGAGTCTATAACGGGTGTCGCCGAGTATGGAGTCTGGGAGATCAGATGACATTTTGTCTCGTTGATATGACAGCACACTTTGGCCAATGCTAGGTATAGGCAGAATACCCAGTAGATAGAAGATGAAGCTGGAATGGATGTGATTTACATCGAGTGCATGAGAAGTGGGGATGTAGCTATATGAGCAAACAGACGGTGTAAAGTGTTTACATACAGACCTAGGTAACTAACAGCTACCGGGTCTATGGGAACGGCGTGATAAGGTTAGTGATAGGATACCAAGAGTAGACGTGTATAGGTAGTAAATGTGGATCGTATGTATAATATGTATGATATGTATGATGCTATGAAAAACAGGTACTACTTAGGGCATTAAAGTGAATGCTCAATAAGTCAGCATATGATAGTGTGTAATGTGGTGTATAATATGTGTATGTTATAAGCGAGTGTTATATGGAATATACATGTGTAGCTTTCCACATCTATACATAAACTGGTACCCTAACTACTAGGTAACTTTTAGCGGAGGTGTACATAGTAATTAGTAAGTGGTGCCATCCACACCTTTCCACTACATTGGGTATGGTTGATCATTGTCTGTCTATCAGATGTCTGTCTCAGCACGGCGGAATCTGTATCAAATTGCCAAGAAAAACCAGCTACTAGTGTAGTGTATTATGTATGGATACTGCATATGTACATGTAGGTAAGGAAGGGGAAAACTGTTGTTGGAGCACGTGGATTTATGTGTAGAATTCCGAACTCCCAAAGTTCCAATAGCATGAAAAATATCCACATCTAAATGTGACTTGTCAGAGACTCGGGATGAGTTTATAAACCATCACGTGCAAATGTATGCCAAAGTACCACGTGATACACAGTAAGTGTACCTATGTACGTAGGTACAATTTATCCATTGAACATGTACAATACATACTGTCATGTACAAGTTACAACATGGATCGATCATGGATGGATATCTATGTTCGTACAATTTTCTTTGAGCAAAACTTCGTAGTAAGTTCGTACTCACCAAAACACTTTCGGAGAATATTTAAATTTCGTCAAGATAATAGGTATTTCGGTAATTTGAATAGTTCCTAAGGCATACCAAGATAACTACCTAATACCTCCTTTATCATACATCCATGGATAGGTATGTATGAGTAAAATTACTCTACGACATAGTATTGACCAGTGCTGAAGAACCAAGCCAAGACCCCCAGCATCCATCTAACGATCATCCTCGGGGTCTGGGTCTACACCCACTAACTTGGGACTGGAGTGCACACGTAGAGTGGCACGGAAGTCTTCTCGCTTCGGACTTTTCGAAAAAGAAAAAAAAATGTTAGCAACGATACAGTGCCATCATCATCTTGTTCTAGTTAAAGGCCAACTTACAGAAGATACTTCATGTCGATATACCGGAGAACACAAGTCATGATAACGACCAGGATCCAAAGAGCAATTGACGATTGCCAGCCGTATTTGTCTTGTAAACCAAATGTCAGCATTGGAAAGTCCTAGGATCATGCGGGGCAGGCAGTGCGTGATAGGGAACATACAGTACGGCGCCTCTACCGCAGGCCAGACGAGTACTTGACTCCACGATGATACTGCGTAGTACGTCGCGACGGCGACTCCGATAATGAGGGTCCTAGCTTCCGGGTCTTGGGGCAATCTTTTGGGGGGTTAGCCATCTTCATTGAAGACACTCAAGAGATCGACTTACAAGTCAGATAGCCAAGCAAAGATCAATGGCGCAGTGCCCAGACTGAGGTAAGAGATAAAGTAACTAGCGTATGCTGTAGCTAATGGCGTCGTGTCAGGATGCGAGGTCCAGATGCTCATCGCAATGCACGGAACAAGACCGATGGCAGCTAGTTACAGCAGGGTTAGTATTCTAGAACCGGTACTCCCGTTCCTCTTCTTTCTTTAGAATCACAATCGCAAATATCTTACCTTGCGCAACGATCAAAGTCCATCGCGTTCTCAAAAGATCAGACAAAATCGCCCAAATCCAAACTAGAATTGGAGTTAGCCTAGGTCTAAGTAGATCAATTCAATGAATGGAGGGCCAGTGCATGAGTGACTCTCTCTCTCGGACTTACCAAAAACAACATTAATAGCACCGCCGCCAATCGGAATAGCGTTAACTTCGGAAGTGGACCAAACAGGAGTGCCGTCAGGATTCTTGAGGCTTTTGAGGAACAGGTTGAAGTAGGCGTATCCCCAAGGCGCCAGAACAGTCGCGATGTACAGAACCGGGACGAAATAAGCTACCCAGTTGGCAAAAGTGCGTCTAGATATTGGTAAGCATCGACTACACGACGCCTAAAGAATCACGAAAGGGGGGACGACATACCTAGCACCAGCCCAGGTCATCTTCTTCGGCTCAGCCCGCCCGTGGCGCTCGAGGCGCTCCATCGCAAGTTTCGCATGGCCCTCCTTGAACCAGAACGCGCGCGGGTTGACGCGATTGGGAAGGTCCGGCAGCAAGAAGAAGCCGAGGGCACCAACTACCACAGTCATGACCCCGTTGATGACGAACAGCCAACGCCACCCGGCTAACCCCTTGGCGTTGTGAAGAGTGTTCACAATGGCGACCTGCAATGCGCCCGAGACCATGGATCCCATTGCCTGGCAAGAGTGGTAGAAGCCCATTCGCTTCGCAAGTTCTGAGGGCGTGTACCAATGCACTGTAGGCGGGTATGTAAGCATCCTGGTATTCATCTCACCTAGACAGGTTGGGGGCAGGTGTCAAAAAAGCAAATGGAAACTCACTGAACAGCGTCATCATCCCTGGCCAAGCCGAACTCTCGCATAGGCCGAGGAAGACGCGGAGGATGTATACTTGATTCGCATTATGGGCGATGGCGATCAGCCCCGTGATCACGCCCCAGCATATCTCCAGCCCGGATAGCCAGTAGCTCGGCCGTACGTAGGTCAGAATGATTTGAGACGGGATCAGCATAATGCAGTACGCGATGCTGAAGTACGTTGTGAAGCTAGTAATCGAAGTTAGCCTGCAGGTTACACGTCGGTACTGGGTCCCTAGTAGTTGGTTGGGTCTTACTAGTTGAGCTCATTTCCGTATAAGCCAAGGTCTTCCTTCATCCCTGAGACGTATGCATTGTTGATGTTTTGCTGGTCAAGATCTAGGATGATGTTAGACGCCGTACCTATCCTAGCATTCTGCCTATTAGATTAAATAAAGACTTGCATTTGATAACTAGAGTGAAGCTCGAGGTTAGCTGTCAAGATATTCAATATTCTACCTCGATATTCGTAAGAGGGGGTTTAAATATACGTAAGCCAGTAACTTACTCTGTGATAAGCAGCCAAAAGACATCAAGAAGATATCCAGTCTCCGGACGAGATCGCGCTCTTCCGGTGATCGCTCATGTCGCTGCGTAAAGGCCAATCGACCGGACAATCCACCAGGACTCATGTTGAACGATACTTACAACACAATGGCCAAGGCAACAATTAGAGGAATACAATCAAGAACATCGATCCATAGGTAGATAATTTGTCCTACATGCCATCTCTAATATTAAATATATTCCTCCCTCTTACAAACTTACCTGGTTAGCCTTATCTACGCCCGACAACCAACCCCGCTTGTGAATAGATTCTGACAAGGGGCCAATTCCTGATCCCCAATCTATAGGTAGTAGTAGATGGATAGCGCTTAGTCCGAGTTTGTAGATAGATAATACCCCAAATCCAGGAACAAAAAAGATAGCAAAGCTCCTATTTTACTCTAGGTACGGATGTATGAATGCGGTCTTGGCAAGATAAACCGGAGGAGGTTTCGGTGTTGCTCAACTACAATACCTACCAAGGTAGGTATAGTTAGCTAGAAACGCCGGAAATACATAAATTGATAACCTCACCAAGATGCGTGTTTGCTTATTTAACGACTCTTCAGAGTAACTATACATCAATTGATATTTCCAAATACCTACCCATCACCCACCGCAATGCTCACCCACAAGCAAACTTACACTCCGCCAACACCGGCTGCGCCAGCAGCGGCACACTCCCATTCCCATTCCCATTCCCCCCCACCATCCCATACCTACAAACCAACCCCATCATCCCCCGCACACCCGCCCTCAATATTCCGCCCCACCTGCGCCGTGAAGCTCCCGCCGAGCAGCTTGTACATGTCCTCCTGCCCGTAGACGCGCATGCGGCACGCGAGCGTGAACGACAGCGCCACCAGGCATCCCTGCTCGCCATCCATCGTACACCTCCAGCAGCGTGACATTCCACCCCGCCCTCGTCGCACTCCCCTCTACCGCCACTTCACAAGCGCCTTTGGCGCACCCCCTGCGGCGTCTCGGGGTCCCGCTTCCAGTGCACCGCGCACGTCGCCACGCTGCTGTCGAAGGCGACGTACCCGCCGCCCGAGGCGTGCGGCGCGGGCCTTGGGCTTGCGATGGTGAGGGCGATGGAGGTGGTGTTGGTTCCGTAGGGGGTGGAGCGCGGGTTGTGTGCGCTGAAGGAGGTGATGCGCCAGGGCTGGAGGGGGTACCAGGGGGGTAATGGGGGGTCTGCGGCTGCGATTGTGGTGGTGGTGGTAGTGGCGCGGGGGAGGAGGAAGAGGTCGCGAGATTTCATTTTTAGAGGGCCTTATTCGTAGGTACCCAGTAGCTTGGGATCTGTAGTTTGATCCAGGTCAAGGGGAGAGAGGGATGAAAAAAAAATCAATTCGACTTTTACTCAGGTTTGTTTTCTCTTCAAAGTCACCTACCTACTTATATATTGGCCTGGTAGCGGTTATTAATATACAGTTTATCTTAGCAAGGCCAAAAGCTGCAAGATCGATCTGAGTGAGGTATGCTGCAGGATGGCGGCGGGGAGCTACTATGTAAGTTACAGGTACGCATCTGGCAGGTAACGTTATAGTAGGAGCATGTTCGAGACTCTTCTTGCTGGCCTACAAGAGCAAAAATCTGCATACTCATATGTTTTGTGGCTGAGACCGGCTAAATATAACGGAGTCGAGATGCGTATGTGCTGCGTAGCAAACACGGTTGATAATAGACCTGAGTGCTTTTCAGGGTCAATGTTAATGTTAGGGTTAGGGTTATGCATCATCAACTTTCAGTTGTTCCCCGTAGGGCTTCAACATCGCCAAAGTTCAGGACCCCACTTGCTATTTACCCATCAATTGAGCATTTCAATGAATAAACTCTTTCATCTCCTTCTCTTCCGATTGAGTCAGTATTTCTATACATAATGTAAGCGGCAAATTCAGCTCGTGAAAGGGACATAAATGACAAGATGTCTCTCCGAATTATATACCCCAACTCTTGGAAGCTGTCTCCCCATCCCCCATTATGTAACCGCTGTTATACTACTCGCGCGGCTCGAATAGCTTGCTTGCCAATCCAGAGCTTACCTACCTAGGTAGGTAAAGAGGTAAACATGTCATCATCGACCCCTGTTTATAGGGCGTGGTAAGTAGGTACTAACTGCTACATAACTGCTAATTATCACGATACCTAATGTATTCGCACCAATCAAAACATCACGCCTACAGGCTTCCCCAAGTTCCTAACCATGGTAGATCCTCCCGCCGGGACCCCCCAAGCTTCTGCCCTTCCGGCTATTCGATCGCAAATAACCCGTACCCCGAGAAATTCATGACCCCAATCCGGCTTGCTATACGCGGGGAGGGGAAGCTAGACCACGGTTCTCGCAAGGATTGGATGCTTGTTGCTCGGCGTGCCACGGTGTGATGTAGTTTCTCTCCGATCGTTCCATTGCACCTACCTACCTGACCTACATAGGATGGTTGGTACATTGGGTTAGGTAGTAGCGGAGTTTATGTTTATGTTTATGTATATGTAGGTATGTAGGTATATAAATATTTAATAAACCACCATGCTCACCCGCCCTCGTTCCTGTCGATCACGCACGTATGCACATTGACATGCAAACATGGCGCGCACGGTGCACAACGCCTACAAGCTCCTGCTATCGGGGCTCGCGATACTAGGCCACCTCCAAGCGACAGAAGCCGGCATCGCCAGGACACTCCCAGATGAATACTCAACCACCGCTGCCGCCGCGACGGGCCGCGAGCGCGTGAGCCTCGGCACGGGCTGGCGCTTCTCCCGCTTCACGTCGAACCCGGACTCGCTTTCGTACAACACGTTGAAGGGGTGGATTCTGCCTTCCAGCAACGACTTCATCGTGAACGGCGACAAGCACGAGCGCCCAGCCGGATCTGCGCCGGGGGCCAACATCACATATGTGCAGGCGTCGTTCGACGACAGCGAGTGGGAGGCCGTGAATGTTCCGCACGACTGGGCGATCAAGGGCCCTTTCCACGCAGATGGGATCCCAAATAGCATGGGCGCCCTGCCTATCAACGGAGTAGGCTGGTACCGTCGCAACGTGACCATAGCGTCGAGCGACGCCGGCAAGTCTATCTACTTGGATATCGACGGCGCCATGTCCAACTCAGCAGTATGGATCAATGGGCAGATTGTGGGTGGGTGGCCATACGGCTACAACTCCTTCCGCCTGGATCTTACTCCTTACGTAAAGACGGGAGAGAATATCTTGGCGATCCGAATTGACAACCCGTTGAACTTCTCACGTTGGTATCCCGGCGCTGGTCTCTACCGGCATATCTGGCTCGTCAAGGTCGACCAGACTCATATTGGCCAATATGGCACGTACATTACGACCCCATCTGTGACTGCCGAGTCGGCGGATGTAGCCTTGACAGTGCAGGTGGAAAACAAGAGAAATTCCAGCCGGGCAGTGGAGGTAAGGACCAACGTGTTCGTCTTCGATAACGAGAGCGGCCAGGCCAGAGCAGAGATCGTGGCCTCCTTTAAACCCGCAACCGCCAACATAGCGGCAGGCAGCAAGCAGTCTTTAAACACCTCAGTAACAGTCACAAACCCACGACTCTGGGGACCGAAGCCAGAACAGGAGCCAAACATGTATGTCGCCGTGACAGAGCTTGTTGCCGACGGCGCCGTTATCGACAGCTACGAGACACGCTTCGGGATCCGCACCATTACCTACGACGGCAACACAGGCATTTCTGTCAATGGAAAGAAGGTCTATATCCAGGGCACCAACAACCACCACGACCACGGCGCCATCGGCGCTGCTTTCAATCTCCGCGCAGCCGAGCGGCAGCTGGATTTACTACAAGAAATGGGCTGCAACGCATTGAGAATGTCTCACAACCCCCCTGCCCCCGAGGTGCTCGACCTGGCGGACCGGCGCGGGTTCCTGGTTCTCGACGAGATCTTCGACGTCTGGAAGCAGCAGAAGATTGAGGATGACTACCACGTGTACTTTGCAGAATGGCACGAGGCGGATCTGCGAAACTTCCTCCGACGAGACCGTAACCGTAAGTACCCCCCCCCCAACCCACCCACAAACACTGAGGTGAACCCCTACTAAACAAACCCCCATCGCGGCGCAGACCCGTCCATCATGGCATTCAGCTACGGCAACGAGATCGTCGAGCAAACAACAGCGGACGGCGGGGCCACCGCCCGCGAGCTCCAGGCCATCGTGCGGGAAGAAGACCCCACCCGGCACACCAGCATCGGCATTAACAACGCCAAAGCCGGCAGCGAGCTCGCCAACGCCGTCGACATCCCGGGGCTGAACTACCAGGGCGAGGGCCGCGGCACCTCCTTCGACTCGGCGTACCCGAGCTACCACGCCGCGTACCCGGAGAAAGTGCTGTGGAGCACCGAGAGCTCGTCGGGCGTCAGCTCGCGCGGGACGTTCATCTTCCCCGTCACGAGCGCCAATAGTTCCGACGCGAAGGAGGGGTCGGGGATCGACTCGGCGAACTTGCTCGTCAGCGCGTACGAGCTGTACGCCGTGTCGTGGGGCTCGTCGCCCGACAAGGTGTTCGGGATGCAGGATAAGTTCCCGTACGTGGCGGGCGAGTTCGTCTGGACGGGCTGGGATTACCTGGGCGAGCCGTCGCCGTTCGACACCAAGGCGCGCAGCTCGTACTTTGGGATCATTGATCTCGCGGGCTTCAAGAAGGATCGCTTCTTTTTGTACCAGGCGCGCTGGCGTTCTGATCTGGTGAGTAGTGCGATCGTTTCCCCTTAACAAATTCTGCGCGACTCTTATTCTCTACTTGTCTTATGGAACTTTGGCTAACCGCTTCATAGTACGTTTTTTTTTTTTTTTACACATATGCATTTCCAACCGTATCTTCCTGATCGCCTACCCCAGTGGTTATACGGGCATTTACCTACCCGCCCCCTAACGGCGCACGGAAATGCGACAAAATACCTATCCAACCCCTACTTCTCTTCTTTGCCAAAGCAATCACTAACATCTACCTAGGCCCATGGCCCACATCCTCCCCCACTGGACATGGCCCTCCCGCGTCGGCGAAGTAACCCCCGTGCACGTCTTCTCCGCCGCCGACGAAGCCGAGCTCTTCGTCAACGGCAAGTCCGCCGGCAAGCTCGCCCGCGAGCCCTCCAACTACCGCTTCCGCTGGGACAACGTGACGTACGCGCCGGGCGAGCTGCACGTCGTCACGTACAGAGACGGCGCGCCGTGGGCCGAGGAGACGGTGAAGACGGCGGGCGCGGCGGCCAAGCTCGGCGTCGCTGCCGACCGCACCGAAATAGCTAGCGATGGCCAGGATTTGTCGTTCGTTACGGTCGCTGTCGTCGACAAGGACGGGACCACGGTCCCGGAGGCGAGCACCGCGATCACGTTCTCGGTTTCGGGGCCGGCGGAGATAGTGGCTACGGACAACGGGAATCCGGCCGACTTCACGGCGTTCCCGAGCTTGACAAGGGATGCGTTCAGTGGTCTTGCCCTGGCGGTTGTCCGCTCGAAGGCTGGGGAGGCCGGGGAGATTACGGTTAGTGCTAAGGCGGAGGGGCTTGAGGGGGGTGATGTTGTGTTGAGGGCTGTGTAAGTGAGATACCTAATCTAGGTAGGCATATAATGTGACAACTCCCTAGCATAGTGTTAATGAATAAGAGAATAATTCAGTCGTCTTGTATCTTAATTATACCAAAATCATCGAATCAGTGAGGCACCTACCTATCTAATGCTGTGGAGTGTAATAAGCTCCCTGTGAAGCCAATGCTAGCTAGCATGGATACCTGCAGCAAAAGAGTCACTATTCTGAATTTTAACCTCCAGTTTCTTACCGTGCGATTAATCGGTAAAATCGGTAACTAGACAACGGGAAAAAAAAAAAAAAGTGGTTGGGAATCTTGGGACAAGTGACGGAATACCCGATGAAGTAATACCTCACACCGTTTTCGGTTTAATGCCCAGATACCAAGACCTGCGACGTCACCATCACCAATTATATGAACTCAATTCAATGCTACCTGTCAACTTGCCAACATATGACTAGGTATCAGTATAACTAATTATATTATTTACTTCTTCAATACACCAAAAAGAAAACCCCCCCAAAAAAAGGCATTGAATACAAATCCCATTAGTAGTAGCACTACCTACCTCAAGGGTTACTTACCTATGTACCTACAGCCTCACCTAGCGTATTGTACAATTTATATTAACAGCCTTTGACACATCAAACCGCCAAAATGAGCGACTGCGGACTCCCCATGCCCGTTTGCATCCAATGCGGCCGGGGCGTCGGCCTCTGCGGCGTCAAGATCATCGGTATGTCACCTACCTACCTACCTACCTACCTCACATCCACCATCCATCCATCTACCTAGGTACTAGGCACATATACCTCTGTAGTATATTTCATCCATCAGTAGCTCACGGAGTACTAACTATACACATCTACACCCATCCAGGCCCAACGATCGGGTTCTGCGTCGCCGTGTGCGCGGCCCTCATCTGCTGGCCCATCGCGCTGCTGTTCTGCTGCTTCACGGAGACGGGGAAGAAGTAAGTGACCCTGCTTGCCTTGCCTACCCTGTCCCGCCTATTTTCCTGCAAGTATAAGCGAAAGAAGAAAAGAAAAAATGAATGAATGAGAAAAGGAAGATGAGAACCTTGAAAGAAGGATCTGCTAATACCTACCTCGTTTGCAATAGATGGTTCTGGAAACCGTGCGATATTAACGCTCAGGTGTCGGATGTGTTTCCTATCTGACATGTTGCAGTACAACTGCAACCAAGAAGAAGAAAGAGGAAAGGAAGAAAGCTTGCTTTATTCCCAAACTACGGATGGCGGAGTGCCAATATATATGGCCATAAGGGCCATATGGCTAAGGATGCCTAAGGCACCTGCAACATGACACTTTAACAAAAAAAAGGAGACGAGTAAAAGGGTTAGCGAAGATGCATGAGCATATAACTACCTACTGGGTGGTAGGTTAATTGGGAACCACCCAAATAATGAGGCGGAAGGGTTTTTGATAAGGATGGGAGGACGACGGGAAGACAGGATGGCTATCGGGATAATGAATAGGTGCTAGGTATTGGTAATGTCAAGGGGTTTGTGACGAAGCAGATATTTTAAACCGAAGATGAAGAATATCTACGTTTTGATTGATTGATTGAAAACAGTTATATACACGTACTTTTTTCTCAGACCCCTATATACTAATCTCTCAATTCCTCACTCTACATCCCTACCTACCCAAGAACCTAGGCATTCTACTCAACCCACACAACAGCACTCAGCCCATCCTCCTGCTGCGGCGTCCCCGGCGTCGCAACCTTCAGATCAGCCAGCAGCTCCCCCAACTTCCCCGTCTCGGGATCGCGCGCAATAATCGCCACATTGCTGCTCGTCTGCCCGCCGACCGCGACCAGGGTCCCCGCCTTATTGATGGAGAAAGTGCGCGGGAACCAGGCGTGCGCGGGTGTGGCCTCGACGAACTTGATGTCGCCGGAGCTGGCGTCGATGCTGTACGTGACGAGGGAGTCATTCTGCGGGCCGAAGGTCTCGTCCGCGCGGTTAGCGGCGTACAGGAAGTTGCCCGATACGTGGACCTCGGCCGCCTTGGACCCGTTGGGGGCTGCGGCGCTGCCCTCCGCGTATGTTGCGAGTGTCTGGGTTTTCTTCAGCGCCAGGCACCCTCCTTCTTCTTCGGGGTACGAGACCGTCCACGCCGACACCGAGTTTCCGAGCTCGTTCACTGTGTACAGTCTCTGGCCGTCCGTGGACTCCGGGTCTGGCGACCACCAGGTGCCGTGGCGCGGTCCGTCGCCTGGGTCGGCAACGCCGGCTTCACACGCTGTCAGACTACCGGTTTCGGCATCAATGCTAAAGATGCGGATTAAATCAGCTCCCAGGTCCGGAATGATGATGTAGCGGCCGGTCGGGTCGAGCTGAGCGGCGTGCGGGTGAGGCGCGTTCTGTCGCGCGTTGGGGCCGGGCTCCGACATGTTGAATTTTGTGGTGTGCAGAATGGCTGAGCCGTTGCTGAGAGGAAGCTTGTACGTCGTTACAGTTGAAGGGTCACTAAGACGACAATCAGTCAACTATTACCCAATATAAAAAGGATACCAACAGTCTCTCACTATTCAACTGTAGCTATGAATGCAGGGTTGTCTCCCGTGCCGCCATACGGCGTACCGTGAACGCTAGCACCCGGAGTGACAGCTCGTCCGCTCTGCTTCAAGCTGCCGTCGGACTCGATCGAGTAGGACGCCAAGACACCACTTCCATTCCAGTCCTCATCGATGCTGTACACGGTCGGCGAGCCTGGGCTCACGTGCAGCCACGCCGGCAAAGTTCCGCATCCTGACGCCGATGACTTGTTGACTAAAGTGGCATTACTACCACCGCCCGTATAAGAAAGCGAGAAGATCTTGCCAGTGTAGTGGGATGCAAGAAGGGTTGCTCCCAGCGCCTGCGGTACCAAGCCTAGCGTTCCGAGGATCAACGCCTTAGAGAATGCCATCGCGAACTCTACCCTACACCGCAAGGAGGCGACAGCACAAAACGAGGGAGAATAAGATTGAACGAAAGTGAGAAATGTGGACTAAAGGTAGAAGGAAGATCCCATGGAAAATGGCGAAGATGCACACCTTTGAGGTGGCTTGGGTTGTATCGCAACTCGTGAGAGTGAATTGCGCCATGTTGCAACAGATACAGCGAGAAAGTGTAGCGAGATGGGCGATACTAGGTTACAGCCTCAATGGCCATCGTAGTTCTGCAAGCCTGGGGGGGAAAGTTGTCGCCAACATATTGCCAACTAGGCGAATCTGGACAATGACTCTGGCTCCGCGAGCGTAAAAGGCAACGTCTCGGAATATCATCCCGATCATGCCACCTTCCGGATGGGAGGAATTACGTCTCGGCAGGGGGCTTTGAGCCTAATTGGCCTGGTTGCCCGATCTGTACAGTCAACCCTACATTAATTAAGTACGTCAATAAGGAGAAGTATGATGGCTGGTAAGGTAGATAGCCTTTTCGTCTAATTCCAAGTGACATCTACCTGACGATACTCCACGATGCCCCAGACTTGGAAAAGCAACCCCCCACATTCCCCGCGACGATCCCGGAGGCGCGGTCCTGCGTCCTGATGGACATACAGCACATGGGAATTGGGCTATCTCCGACCTCAACCAATCACTCTTGAAAGTAGGCTCGCGAAATCTGGCTGGTTGGTTAGGCTCTTGTGTTCTTGGCGGGAGATTATGCACCCCAACTTATACGTCGTGGACTCGTGACCTGGTAGTTTTTCCAGGTATTCTCTGATAACTATCTATGCTGCATATCGAAATGCAGATGACTCGATCGCGAATTCACCCCCAATAGCCTTGAAGGTATCCCCCTAACTAGGGGACCCGGCAAGTGACACCGTCTAAGACGCCCCTCAACTATTCACAGACATGCCAATATGGCATATCATGCTCCGTAGGATCATATAAGTGAGTCGACGTTTTAGGATACCAATATAGTAGATCCCCTCAAACAAGTCTACCCTTCCCCGAGTTCCCGAGCTTGAAACATATTTCTGGCATACGAACTTGTTTGTAACGCGCACTAGGAACAGGTTACCCAAGATGCCGAGCTGTCTCTGGGTAACAGACCCGCGATGCATACATAGTAGCCTCTAGCTCTGAGGCTACCCTTGTTTGCCCAGGTGATGATGTAGAGTGATTTAAATCTAGACGCAGACGATAGCCGCGGCGCTTCCCTAGGCGCGATATACGATGCTATACGCGGTGTTGTTTTCATATAGGCTGTGTATCATTACCTACTACCGACAAGTTATATTGTGAGTTGCCGAAAAGATCGGCTGCTAGCCGCTGACCTAGACGAAGCGCGTCTCTTCTCGGGCCAATATTCCTACGCTTCTGTTCTTTAGTTAGACACGTGGTGTTTTATCGGCCACTCCCCGGTAGTACACATGTTAGGGATCCTGCCAACTCTGGCAATGAAGGCCAAGGATGTTGGATATTAAGCATCGGACCATTTTACCCTACATCGTCCTCAACTGAGGATACGCTATATGTTAAGTATGGATGACCCTCCGTGATAAAGTCGAGTAGTCGTTCCACCGGTCATTCGAGCATCTTAGGTCTCCCCAAACGGAATTGACCGAGGAGAGGGTATAATAATCTCAGGATTGGAACCTGAAACTTCATGGGATATCTCCGTGGCATCTAAGTTCTTAACATCGTACGTCTTCAGGGCTGCTAACAAGATGCAATCGACAGCGACTTTATTCCTTGGGCTCCTGGCCACTCTGGTTTCAGGGGCAGCCTTCAACAAGCATGCCGCGCTAGAAGATTGCCTTCTAGGGAGTTCCACCGTTGTGGACGAAGTCGGTTCCGAAGATTATAACCGTGATGTTACGCCTTTCAATAATCGGCTGCGTTTCTTGCCCGCCGCTATCGCTGTGCCAACCACGGTAGAGCAGATTCAGAGCTCCGTGGCATGCGGTGCAAAGCTAGGGTATAAGGTAACTGCGAAATGTGGAGGGCACAGCTATGCATCTTTAGGTCTTGGTGGAGAGGACGGTCACCTTATCATCGAACTAGACCGCATGAACTCTGTTAAACTAGATAAGGAGACAAACATCGCGGTTGTAGACTCGGGTACGAGGCTAGGCCATCTAGCAGCAGAGCTATATGAGCAAGGAACCCGAGCTATATCCCACGGAACTTGCCCTGGGTAAGTCAAACAAAAAATCATGATTAGTATTCAAAGCTAACCAGTCAGTGTTGGTATTTCCGGCCACGTCCTGCACGGCGGGTACGGTATGAGCTCTCACACGCGTGGGCTAGCGCTAGATTGGGTGATTGGAATGAACGTTCTCCTCGCAAATGGAAGTCTCATTCACACCTCGGCAACAGAGAATAAGGAGGTTTACTGGGGTTTGCTTGGTGCCGGTTCGAACTTCGGCATTGTGACGAGCTACGAACTTAAGACGTTCGAGCCTCCTGCGAATGTTACTTGGTTTGTTGCCAACTTGCCGTTGAAGCAGAACACGTCTGTTGCTGCCTTGGAAGCCTTAGAAGATTATGTTTTGAACACTATGCCGGCAGAATTAAACATGCGTCTCTTTGCCACGCGCCAGTTTACCCAACTGGAGGGTGTCTACCAGGGTAACAAGACAGAGCTTGAAGCGGCGCTCGAACCGCTTTTGGATAAGATGGGAGGGAAATTGGCGACGGCCCAGACGACTACCTGGCTCAAGGGTCTTGAGCATTTCGCTACGATGAAACTTAACCAGACGTACCCCTATAATCAAGTGGTAAGTAACGGCGCATTTGGTGCGATGATTTTCAACTAACCTCGTTGCAGCAGGAGAACTTCTACGGCAAGAGCCTAGAATTAAAAGGCTTGCATGGGACCGCTGCGAAGAAGTTTACGGATTATTGGTTTAATGTCGCCAAGAATGAAACCGCTCGTTGGTATATCCAGTTGGATCTTCAAGGAGGCAAGAACTCGGCGGTGTGGAAAGCTGACCCAGAGTTGACGTCTTATGCGCATCGCGATAAGCTCTATATTCTCCAGTTCTACATGACGACGGATGATACCCCTGAGACAGGCTTTGATTTTGTGAATGGCTGGGCATCGGCAACGACGGAAGATCTGACGGCATCTGACTGGGGAATGTACTTCAACTACCCAGATACAAACCTCAACCGGACCAAGGCCCAGGAGATGTACTGGGGTGAGAACCTTGCCAGGTTGCAGCATCTCAAGGCAGAGCTGGACCCTGATGAGCTATTTTATTACCCGGTGTCGCTTAGTCCGGCGAGGCAGCCCGAGCTCATGTAGTGCGGGATTGCTCATTTCATGGATGTTGTTGTTCGCGTATATATAGATGATAATACCACTTGGGGCTATGGTCCCAACTAAGACGAAACACCTTTGGAGACCTTTTCGAATTTACTAATAAAGACGAATTTTACCATTGAGCAGTTCCTTTGCTCTCCCCTCCTGTAGGATGATGAAAGCACAAGACTCGGGGCGGAGGTTATAGGGGCTGTGCCGTGAGCTGTTGAGTATGCTCAAAATAGCGCGAGAGGGCTTGACGTAAGAAAAATTATAAATTCAAGGTTAGATGTGGGTAGATAGATAAGGTACCTAGCAAGTAGGTATGTTGGTGTATCCCTCCAAGAGAAAAAAAAACACAAAAGCCATTATATCAAGCGGTCCACACTGGTGACCTGTGATCATGGATGCTGAGTGGTTTGGTGGCAACGCTCCTCCGTCCATACACTTATCAAGACACAAAATCTAATCCTTCAACGTGATCAGCCGTCTCGGTGAATGCTGAAGGACGCCACGTGTCACTGCTTTCGCCAGAGCCAATGCGGATGATTGTTACCGTAGGTCTTGAACTAGACGATTCGGAGGATATCGCATTTTCTTGGTCCACCCAGGCAAGTGTGGCCAATCTATGAAGCACATGAAATCGCTCGGTACGAACTTTTTCAGCTGCCAGTGGTTTTCCGGCGTGTAGGAAGAACGTTTCGAGCTGAAATAAAGCTTCAAGCACACAGTCTCGTGAGCCTGTTTGCCTCGCAGCCAGTACGGAGTTTTTATATGATTGTTCAGCTGCCGAAAAATCCCCCTTAATACATTGAACGTAGCCAAGCCAAACGTAACGGAAAGATTCTTCCCTAGCTGTGATCAAGCTCGACTCGAAACGAGATAGTACCTCTTCGGCCTCATCCAAAAGTTGCTGTCCCAATTTCACCTTGCAAGTTGCTAATGTATGTTCCAATTTAAGCAAACCGAGCAGGGGCCCATCGGTGACGCGACTATCGACTTTTTCCAATTGATGTTGTAGGCTCTGTAGTTGTTCCTCTGGGTCCTTCTCCCTTACTATGGCATCAAAATACTGTAGATAAGCTTCCATAGTTAAAGGGTGAGTTGGCCCCAATCGCTTATCGTACTCGGAGGTACATAAAACCAAGATACGCTCTATTGCATCTTGTTGTTCGGGATGGGGGATAGCCACAAGGCTTTCCCAGAACTTTGCAAGGGGATGATGGGGGCCGAATATTGCCCTCGCAATATCTCGACAAAATTGTAAGAGCAAAATCTGTATTTCTCTTCTTCCAATCCGGGCCAGGTGGAGAGCAGCTGAAAGTAGTTTTGGTATGAGGAGGGGCGGAGGATTCCTAAATACTCTAATTAGCATCGCAAAGGGGGGATCAAGCGCGCGCCGAACCGCGACAGGCTCCACCTGGCGAGAGATGGAAAGCCCTGCGGTTATACATCTGTCGATCACCGAACTCAGAAGTGCTGAAGGTCCATATTGACCACGGGTGTTCCAACAACTGCTATCCGACCAAGACCAAAGGCCAGTGTTAAAACAGAGGTCTAGGTGGATCCGAATTGCTCGAAATAAATCCTCGGATACAGGAAGAAGTCTATTGCAAAGGACCAGTGGCGCCGGGCATACAGGTAATGGCGAAAACCGTCCGGAAATTAAAGTAACTGGCGATGTAGGAGGGGTCCGACAGGTTACATCTCGGATTGCTTCTGGGCTGGGTGTTGCCCCAGCTTCCAGCCTTGCAAAAACAGAGGGGTTCCGAGACAGGTATACTTGTAGATTGCTATAGTCTACTTCTCGATTCCGAATAAAAAACACAGAGGCTTTCTGAGCCGCGTCGCGATGTTTTTTCAGGTAAAGAATCTGAAGGACTTCGTCGAGGCGGAGGTTTTTGAATGCGTTCCACGAAGAGAGTTTCTTCTTGTACATCGAAATGCTGCGGCAATAGTCAGCTTATGACCTCACAATCGTGGCTGGTGATGTGAACTCATACGTAGCAAAGAAGTCATATTGTTCCTCCATGTACGACTTGACTTCTTCGACCGTCTTGTCCTCATTGAGATACAGCCTTAGGATAACTGCTCGCCGTCTAGACCAATCTTGGGGGGTGACGTAACGTTTCGCTGGTACAAGCATATTTCATGGCGATGGTTCGAATATGCACTAGTCCCTAACGACGGTGTCGAAGTCGAGAGGCCTCCTATAGAAGGCCATATATAGTTTTTCAACCCATCGTATATGGCTTACATACCTAGGTATATACAGAGTTATTATGATGCTTCTAGACAGCTAGAAAGCTAGCCCCATTAATGAGGTGCTGTATGTGACTGTCTATAAGGCGGAACAAGATCAGATCAGGTTTAATACTGATTGGCCAGGGGGAAAAGGGGCTAGGCCAATGAGGGTAACTGTTCCCTGCAGTAGCTTTTTTGGAGGGAAGATGCGGGCTGAAAGATCGTGTGCGGAAATTCCAAGTGAGCTGAAAATGCAGCCCAAGACGCAGGGCACTAATATCTCCATTGGGTACCTGGAAGCATGTGAGTTACCACGTCTCTCTTTTGGGAATAGTGACGCACTTGACCCTCTGACACACCGATTAAAGGCTAGTGAAGCTGACATAGGGGATGAAGTATAAGATCGTAAATCGTCACATGCCTCAGAGAGATCTACACTTTTATGCTGACCAGTGGAGGCTTCCCGCTAGTTCAATAATAGGATATTTCCTTCAGCAGTGTTGAACTAAACGTGGATCCTTGGCTTAGTTAGTGTCTTTTTTGCTTCTTTTTAAAAAAGGAAAAACAATAGAGACTAGTTGCATTTAACATAGTGTTGAAGGTTTCAATGTTGAGATCGCGTGGTAACGTATCGAGGTTAGGTAGGGTTGTATGTGTCTAGGGTGTCTAGGGTAGTATGTCGGCATGTAGGCACGAGGATGCGAAGCCAGTGCTACCTACTTGTACCTACATATGTACCTACATATGTACCTACATGATACTCTGCATCCTACATCATTGATGTGATGTGATGTAGGTACATGTAGTAGCTGCTTCAGAGTTCAAGAGGTTAAGTGGAGAACGAGGGGGGAGAACATTTAAGACGCTACTGATTGGCTGGTTTTTAATTGATACTAGTAACTAGTAGTCGCGTTCTAGTTTAATTTTGCAAGACGCGCTTTCTTTCACAAAGGCGCGTCTTCTTTTAATTGAATTAGTGACGAAATCAACGAAATCAACGAAATCAACGAAATTAACGAAATCAATAAAAATATCACAAACACAACAAATCTTCGCGATTGGCAAGGAATACTAACATTTCGACCCATACATATTCCGGTAAACCTTCACAATGCTCAGGCAAGATTTCAATCGAGTCAACCCTAAGAGGCGTAATGTCGACTACCGCAAGAGGCAGTTCGCCGATCCAGCTTACAAGGAAATCGAATACCCTCATCGTCTAAACTTCTACGAGATCCCCCCAACTGCAGACATAACCTTAGAGCAGTTCGAGCAATGGGCCATTGATAGATTGAGGAGTATGTTCCTTAAGATAATTGAATATTTATTGTAGCTGACAACGAACACTCTCGTAGTTCTAGCAGAGCTGGAAGCATGCTCATACCGCATTAAATCCGCTGCCGAAATGGCAACACACATGAAGCCGATCCTTGAGAAATACATGCCTCTCGATTCGAACACATCTTCTTCGACAACTCTCTCCGCACAAAGGCAAAAGGATCATTATAGTCACTTCATACTGCGACTTGCATTTTCCTCCACCGAAGACCTAAGACGGAGGTTTAATCGTTTCGAAACCTTGCTCTTCCGCCTACGCCTCAATGACGATACCGCCCGTGACAGGAATGCCTTTATTCACAGTTTGAATATAGACTGGGAACTCGTATCTGAAGAGGAACGCAATAAGTATTCGTCTGAGTTAACAGCCATGAGCGGGTTCAGAAAAGGGACCGAGGAAGAGTCTTGGTATAAGGTCAACTGGGAGCGCGTGCCAGACCTGATCGAGAGCAGGAGGGTATTCCTGAGAGCTGGCACAGCCTATGTCCCCTCCAAAGAGCTGCCAAGTATGGTCGTTGCCGAATTTACAAAGAGATTAGACCGCGCCTTGGAGGTGAGTTCTATCCTCATATTAACCAAGCAGGAATATCACAGACTAATTCATCCATCATAGCTCACAGCGCGCGCACTACCCCGACTTGATGAGGATGACCGACTAACTCCAATCCTTGATCATTTGTCCAAGAATTTTGCCACTCCCGATGCTTCATACAGTAATACAAATTCTATGGCCATTGGAGCTGAGATTTCAGCCCGAAACATTGATAACCTGTCCTCGCATTTCCCACTATGTATGCAGCATCTGCACCGATCGCTGCGCCGAGATGCGCACCTGAAACACTACGGTCGCCTGCAATACACATTCTTCTTGAAGGGTATCGGCCTGAATCTAGAAGAATGTCTGATTTTCTGGCGTAGTTCTTTCCACAAGATTACAGATGATACCTTCAACAAGGAGTATAGATACAATGTGCGTCACGCATATGGTGAAGTTGGTGGAGACTCTAACCGTCGCGGAGGCGGTTATTCACCATTTTCATGCCAGAAGATCTTAACAGAACATCCCCCTGGCCCGGGCGAAGCTCATGGATGTCCCTACCGGCATTTCAACCTCGAGAATCTAACTGCTCTATTACAAGGAGTGGGCATTTCAGATCGTTCAGTCCTACAGGGCGTCAGGGAAGACAAGGACCAGCAAAAATTCCACATGGCTTGTAACAGGTAGGCTACTCCCCACGACCAACTTACCATCCAATCCAATGTGTAAGGTCAGACTAACATACTATTGTAGGGTTTTCGAATTCGTTCACAAGAACGAAATTAAGAAGGCCAAGGATGAAAACTTGCTTCCGTCATCCCAGCTTGAGACTATCGTCCACCCTAACGAATACTTCAACAGAAGTTACAAGCTGAAACATCTGGATAAACAAACAGGCAACGAGGACGTGAAAATGGAAGGTTTCTAATGATATGTGGATCTTAATCAACCAGGCATGAATGGGAAACTGGATAGGATGGCTCTGTTGTTGGTTGACTGGCGTTGCGGCGTTTTCCGATAAGCAGGACAATACAATATGAATTTTTTTTTCTCTCCCCGAGCTCGTTACACTATTCAGGATCACCTATGTATGTAGGTAAACAATATGGCATATGCTACCTGCAAGAAAGTGGTGACGGCAGTTTGACGAATTTAAAAACGCCAGCACGTCACACGACAGTCAATAAGCGCCTACCCGGCCTATCGGTTTCTACACAATAAACAACATGGCTTGCGATGGCAGAAATATCAAGTCAAACATACCTACAGCCATCGTGCCACAGCGTTGGGCGAGACATGCCACTTAGCAATAACGTGGCGTCGACAGCGCTGAGTTGGCTTGGCTTGGCTACCTAGGATCTAGGATCTAGGATTGGCATTGGGTATCCATCTCCTTGGTTTAGACTTATGCCTACCTGGGTATTCGGGTGATGGATGAGGCTCTGCATAAGGTTGTCTGCAATACTAGGCATGTACTGTAGGTAGCGTACTAGGTAGATAGCGACCCTACCTACATACATGCCTACCTAACACCCCTAGGAATACGAACACGATGCGCTGCGGTGCGAATACCAGCATGCTTAATATCCGGGCCCATCCCGAGAGGCCCAGCTGACCTAATCCTATATCGGCGGGTTGTTTCGCGCTGGAATCCTTCCTGTTAATCCTGCAACAAGAGGGCAACGGCGCAAGTGCAATTCGAGAGGCTGCCCCAACATACATATGTATGTATGTATGTATCCCAACCTTAGGTATGTACCTGGAATAGCGGTCAGATAAACGGAACGCCTGATAGTTGGTAGAACGCCTCCCGTGTTTCATACCCTCGTACCCGGAACAGCCTGCATAACTATAGCAATACATGTGTATATGTGTTCATGGCGGACGCGGGAACGAAAAGCCGGGTTGGCCTCGTCGCCGACCTGATGGACCCGATGGCGCGGGCCTCGTCCCACCAAGACCACACCCAACGTTCCCACTCCTTGAAGAATGAATATCCCGGATTTGAGCCTCCGGGAGAGCGGCGGCGGCGGGATGGCTCACCGGTTCCAAATTCCACGAATCCGGGAGCAGCAGAGCTGCCCGTGTCTTCGCGATGCCGGATGTCGCACATTAGGTGTATGCTAGTGAGGTGAGGGAGCAGGCACCTAGATCAGATACTAGAGGTGCCTGCCTAGTTCCTAGGTAGACAGACATACATACGATCGCCTGGCTTAGCTCACTTGAACATGTCGCGCCATCGAAGATATCTGGGTATGCTACATATGTAGGTAACGGGACCCGCCTCCACGAACGCATGGAGATGGATATTCTCCGGCGGGTAGGCAACTACCTATACACTATCAACTCTAGCCTCCAGGCTATGTAGTAGTAGTCGTTGGCTATGCATTATGCCTAGCTGTACGCGTATAAGCGTCGTGGATATTCAAATTTCATTGACCTACATATTTAGGTACTTGTCTATAGTGTTTATAGAGCGTTCCTCTGTCGACGACTCGTTACGCGTTCACACGCGGCCTGCGTTTGACGTTGTGGGAATCCGGGATACCCGGGTCTGCCATAACTCCAACTCCGGCCGCGCGGCCATCAATTGCAAGTAGTTATATAGAGAAATAAATAAAAAAAGAAAACGCGGAACAAACCCCGGGTTTAGAGGATGCGATTATGACTACCTACTCTCCGGGGCTATGTAAGTATTATGTTGGTAGATAACGTTGTAGGTACCTAGGCAGCAAAATAAAAAGGGCCCGGCTGGACTCTCCCAAGAAAAGCCTGCGCAAATCCGAATTGTTTCCATGGACGTCTCCTCGATAGTGCCAAGCTGGATGACTCGGAACCGAAGTTCGGTTTTTTGGTTTACGTGTATAACTTACATACTTTCGTCAGCCGAGCGCTCGGTGTTCAGATTTGTGAATCAAATCAGCAACGGTGTAACTACGTGTAGAGTAATAAATTCCTCAGTTGAAACCCGCGTCTCCGGCGTCGCAGATAGCGAGGAGCGGGCCAGTCAGTTTCCTTTGTGTAAGGTCGGTATGGGAAAACATTTCCCGTCGGTGAGATCAACTAGGTAGGTAGGTAGGTAGGTAGGTAGGTAACCTGGAGCCAACAGGGGGATAATTTAAAAAAAAAACATTGAAAAATAATGAAAAATAACTGGGTTTTGCTTTGTTGCTGACTACGAGGTTAACCTAGGTGGGCATGTACTGTAGATGTGTGGTTTTTGTTTATCCTCGGACAAGAAAAACAATAAAAGATACAATAGAGCGGTAGAGATCAAGATGATATGATGATAGAATAGAAAACCAACAGTTGGTTGAAACACACCAAAATAAGTCGTTTGCGTTATTTGCCCCCCCTTCCCCTCTCCCGAATCGGAGATATAGAGATCGTCAGGGACTTCTCAGGGACTCTCAGGGACTAAGGGACAGAAGAAGCTTTCAACGGTTTGTGCCATGTAGATTAGGTTTTGCCCTGCACCCAACGCAAAATATTATTAAAAAAATTTAAAATAAATACCCAAGTACTCCAGATGTGACATGTCAAGTAGATTGCAATTGTACAAAGAGGGAAAAAAAAAAGGGCCCCTAAAGAAAAAGGTTGGTTTTAAGGCGACCCTCCCGTAATGTTGTAGTAGTGTACCACACGGGCGGGTGGCTGGCTGATTAGAGATTGGATGGTAGGTGGGAAATCCGATGTCGAAACAATGGGAAATTGTGGATGGCCATGGATGGAATTTCTCTCAATCGCGATGGGGAACCTTTCGGCTTGACCGGTGAAAGCTCGAACGGAACTGGTGCTGGTCGCTCGTAACGCAATGTGTAAGTACTCCCCTTTTTTTTTCCTTCCTTTTCTTCTTTTTTGCGACTGATCACATTCCCTTTCGGCGAGTTACATACACATGGAGATATGTAGGTAGGTACATTCTATCTCAGCTATCTATCTATGCGGTGCACTGGTGCTAGGTATTGTACCCAACTAGGTATTACACATGTCGATATTAAGTGCCTAGTAGTTTTATGTACCACTAGTAGGAATAATTTGGGCAGATCATTTATGGAAATAATAATACAGTGAAATAGGATAAGCTTAGAATGAGGAATTCGAGCTCGTGACTATCGATTTGGCAGCCCTGCCCAGCTCAGTCCTGTCACCTGCTGAATGAGTGAGTGAGCTACCAGATGCTCTTACAAACAAATCCTTAGCTCAATGGCTATGGTCGGCTGTTACGGCGGAGCTGAATAGGAAAGCCAAGATTCAAAGAAATAATTAATCTGAGGCGCGTTTGAATTGTGCTGCCTGTGGATATAGCTTGTTTGCACCGAGGTAAGCAGAAGGTATGGATATGGATCTGGATATGGATAGCAAAACATATCGAAGTTTTTCAAGCTTCGTGGTACAAAGTACGTAAAAGCCATCGATCACTTCACGTTACCCAGTTTATCATAAAACGTGTTGACATGCTAATGAACGCGGGATCTGGAACGTCCCCCAGGCCCACAGTTCTATCTATGTGCCGCACTCTTGGGCAAGTCTGGGCAGCGGGAATCTTCGATCCCCTTTTGTCGATCATTCGTTCTGTATAGGTCGAGATCCTACCTTGGTATCACATAATACAACAACCTTTGCCTGCCCATCGACCTTGGCCGTAGAATTTATCTATTACGTTAGTTAACTTAGCAACTTACCTAGCTAAGTAAACTGAGAGCGAGATCATTCTTTACCTACCTATAGAAATTGGATAATTAGCATGGATGCTAATAGGAGGCTCTAGCTAATGCTTTTCTGCCCGCCTCCCCTTTCGACACGCGTAGTGGATCTGTGGATCCATTCGCAGAAGTTTCAAGAAGAGCAAACTTGAATTCATCCTGGCTTGTCCATTGTTCGAGAACTATCTCTCGTCTCCTGACAATTACAGCCTCATTCAGACGATTTCCAAGATAAGAGACGTTGACGGATACGGTACGCTATGCGCCATGCTAGAATTGAACGGGTAAGATCCTGAAGATCCGGCTGGATACATACATACCTACATATCCTGCACATAAGCTTGCCATTTCAATGGACAGGTAGTCAGACAAATTCACAGTCAGACAAGTTAGACCGCATGATGGTGTTCTGTTGAGTATCCGTGCTCACATCACATACATATACCTTTCCTTCGGTGTTGGTAACACACATGAGGTTCATACAGCCTCAGTTATATTAAAGTTCGCAGGGTGAGATGTTGCAATGACAGCGACTCCAATAGTTCATGGCCGTAAGGCGTACCAATATAAGGCGTCTGTAACCTGCTATACCCTCCTTAATGGAGCTTTCACCAAACTACTGTGTACATACATTTCCACCCCGGCCCCGTTTGGGTGGATCTTCAAGATCAAGCAGATCGTAGAACCGCCGTGAGGGTAAAACTGGAGTCGACGGTGCATTGGGGTCGGGACCGCGCAAAGGAGGATAATGCTCCGAAGTATAGGGATTGGTCTTGTCTAGCAAGCCTCAAAAGTTCTTGTCGATGTTCATTGGCTGCAAAAGAGAAAAAAAAAGATAGAAGAGAAAAACTCTGTCGTGCGAGTGGTTGTGAAACCAAAATGCTAATGCTTTGCTGTTATTCTTGCTGTTTCTTGTGCAGGTGGCAAAATCCTTAAGGCTGCGTCCCTCCACTGCTAACGATCGCCCACCATGTCTAGCCGGTAGAATGGCTTGGATCGAGAGTTTTGCTACTCATCGAAATATGGGCACTGACAGTATGTAGAGGGTTAAAGCGGACAGCTAGGCCCGGCAGAACGTGATGGGTAGATTGGAGAAATTCGCCAATTAGGTATCCATCCCTTCGGTGCTTTTCTACTATTAACCTAGGTTACGCTGTTCTTCGATGCTGTCAGGCTGGTAATAGAGGGGGAAGTTGTATCCATATACATGTCTCTCTCCTCCCTGAATAGTGCCTAACATTGGAGTAGCGCGACATGTAGGTGAGGTAGCTTTGGAGGTTTCCGAGACTAATGCTGTTGCGTACATAGTTCGAAGTAAATAATAGTAAATAATAATAAACAGAATATATATAAAGTACATCTCATATAAAATCACCGCCTACATGACAGTACATATGTAGGTATGTATGTACCTACCCTGATACGCATGCAGAACATTTGCTATGTACGCCAAGGAGTGATGCAAGCCTAAGATGCAAGCCAGATATCAGCAAGTCTCAGCCATCGCAGTTCTTTGTGAACATCGCACGCGCGCCATCATGCGCTAGATATTAAGAGGCTTTTACATACACCATCCGACAGCCGAAACCGTGCAGAACCACCAGCTCCGCGATTTCCTTATGGAAAAACGTGATTCGTGTACGTTTTTAAGCAAATCGCAGTAATTTTTAAAGGAGTAGTTTAAAGTTGATCGAGAGATCGCGAGATGTTCTGATCGTTAGTTTAATTATTTGGATCAATAGAAGAACGTGCTGATAGTCCACTGACTCTTAAATGACGTTGGCGTCGCAACACGCAATGGATGATAACATTGCGAAGCCGATCATGGAGCTTTTCAACTCCACCGAGGAGTATGTCGAAACTTGTCAAAACTTGTCAAAACTTGTCAAGTTCTAACCTACTATCTCCCGGTCTCCCTACTGGATATCTCCCTAAAGTGATGTATTGCACAAGACCACATCCTCAAAGGATTGAACGGCAAAGTTGATGATTTAGTATGGATCTCGATGGGTACTGTATCAACCAGTCTGTAATGCATAAGCCTATTTTGCAGAATGAAATTACATATTGGATTCTATTACAAGTTGTACTGCGCCTTGTTGGAATCATTTGAATTAGGATGTAATAAAAACCGATAGTCTAACTCCTTTACGACGCTCCTATATTTTACTTTGAATTGTATTGTATTGTAATTATTTCAACTCCAAAGTGAACTCATATTGTTATATTTGTTGATATTTTCAATCTCTCTTCAATCTCTCCTCAACCCCCCCTCCTTTCCCCTCAGCCCCCTTTCGAAAGCGTTGTCTAGATTGTCTAGACTCTCCAAACTCTCCATTTTATTTTATTCGAATTGCTCTCTCATGATCTTAGAAAAGCATCTGAAACGACTCATTTAAAGATCCACATTACATTAATCAGTTAAATTCTTTTCTTCTTCTTTTTTACTGGGAACATCTTTGACAAGCATATCCCATCATCCCATCACCCCATGGAGGAGTAGCTGTCGATTTGGTATTGAGCCAATCCCAAAATCACATTACATACTACATTACCTACATTACATACATTAAGTACCTACCAGGTACATACATACAACCCATACTGGACCATACATACATCCATACATACATCCATACATCGAATAAGCACGTTGCCCAGAAGAGTTTGCCCAGAACCCGAAGGACCAAAGGAACTTCAAGCTTATCACGCCCTGACATTTGGTTGGTACTTGCTGGTACTACTGGCAGTCTGGTACGACTATGTATGTACATGGATGCCATCACAAGCCACACCCAAAATAATCAACGCATCAACACTTGACTTTCAACCGGCTTGAATGAAAGTAACTAGGTACCGTACCTAGTACCTATCCAAATTCCAAGGTCTGGTCTAGAAGTTGGGAAGTTTTCTTGTTCGAGCCCGACGGATCCGCAAGAGAAAACTAGAGAAAGAGTATTAAAGAAAATAAAAGAAAAGTAGAGAAAAAAGAAGAGACAGATAGTTAACTAAAGAGAGAGAGAGAGAAGTGAAAGCGAAACACCGAGGTTCGTTCGGGATTTTAGGCATTACGCTATCCCGTTCTATCCTAACGTTAGTACGGACGGAGTACAAGCTTGAACATTATTGAAGTTGGACTGTTGAAGATACAGCACATTATTTCCCTCCTTCTCCTTTTTCCAATTGCCCTATCCTGCCGAGCCGAGCCTACCTGCGTACCCTGCGGTGCCCTGCCTTGCCTTGCCCTGCCTACCTGCCTTACGTTGCACCCCTGTCCAAGCATTCGTGACCAGACGGACGCATCAGACATCAGACACCAGACACCAGACACATCCATACATCCATACAACCCGACGTGCACCCATCATCCATACTAACACCCAAGACAAGCTGGAGCAAGAATACACAAATCTGGGCGCCTAGTCGTTAAAGTCTCCACTTTGGACACTTGTGCCGTATTACCACTTAACTACTTCGTACATTTTATATATATACCTGGCTTTTATACCAACTAGCGACCTAAACTACCTGAACTAAGGAAATATAGGAAATATAGGAACTAGGAGCTCGGACCTTACTAGGACGGACCTTACTGGAACCTGACTAGGTTACTTGCTTTGCCCACAGTCCACAGTCTTGCTGGCCCTAAAAAGAAAGGGACCCCCCTGCGGAGCTCATCACCCCCTGGTGTACTGGATCTCCTCTCCCAGAAAACCGTTCCGATAGAAAAGACAGACTCCACATGTTACATTCCATCCCAAGTCTGAAAGGCTTCCATTTATAATCTGCCAATATCCCCCCCGCCCTCCATTGCCTCCACGATTATTGTTAGACTACGCCACTTAACCTACTTACCAATATGTCAAGTCGACCATCCAAGACACACTACGCTAGTTCCTCATCAACAGACAGCAGTTCACCTTCATCCTCCGAGACCGATCTCCCCATTCGAAACAGTATGGACGTCCAACCCGTTGCTTCGGTTGAGGTCATGCGCTGCCTGCGCTGTCATCGCCATGTCGAGGCCACCTCCACCGATGACCCAGCGTCGACGGGCATGATCCGAGTAGGATTTAATCTTTACTACTGCCAGAAGTGTGCGGCGGCGGTCGGATATAAATGAGTAACACGATATGCCTGACATACTGCCTTTGATGGAAGGCAAGGGTCGAACACAAAATATCGACAATCGACAGCCGACAGTCAACAACCGACAGCTACTCGATATCTGGGCTATATCTTTTTACAAAAGAAACATGGATCCGAACCCATACATCCTCAGACTTTGGCGACACGGAAGTCAACAACCACAGCTGGCAACTTCGGGAAACCCTATCTGCGCGACCTTTCCTTGTGCGCGCGCGCGCGCTATAGAACGAACAGCTCAAACCCAAATACCATTACTATATGGAAGGTCTCAGTTCTAAAGATCTAGTCCCAAACGGCTAAGATTACTTTTTCCTTTACTATTCTCAGCGAAGGCGGGTTTCAAACTGTTTTTTTGCCACCGAACAGTTGCACCAGTCGACCCATCTACAGCACGTTTGACAGGGAACCTGACTCTAACAAGGTACACCTCAAAATATATCTTGCATGGGAGACACAAAGGCCCTGTACCGGAAACCCGACCGGTTATCTCGCATATTCGCCACTACCAGCAGATCTAAAGCCCATATCATCCGTGGTTTACTTACTTTTCAGATGCAATTCCTCTATTGCATATGGGCATTACGAATCTACAATCTATATCTTACGTATCAGTCATACCTCCATCTGTAGGATATAGCACACGCACACACACCAACACCAACACAAACACAACAACACACACCTCTCCATCTCATGGTAGGGCTTCGACAAGGCTGAGTTGCAGGACACGCAGTCGATTGCTTAGCCATTACCATGATCGGTGTCGCCGCGCAATAATATGCAAGGCGCAGATTTCAGCACAATACAATACCACATCAGCCAACATCCATGATAAGACAACGCAGCAAGCAAATCACACACTACCACAGTACGAGAACACAATATCCAATATACAGCGCAACACAACACAACGCACAGCACAGAGCGCAGTGCAGCTCAGTGCAGCTCAGTGCAGCGCAGCGTCGCAATGTATTCCACCAATCACGCATCACTTTAAATTACAAACCAATTTGGACAATTTGGTCGAGTATTCAAGGGTTGATGGATGTCTATCACTATGGAGTTTTTCGGTTTCACCGCCATAAAAATCGTCGGATAGTTTGGAATGGATAGTCAGACGGTCAAGGAGAATTAGAGGGATGGGTTCAGGCATTGATGAAAGGGGGGAGAATGTGGAGGGGAGGGAGGTGGGGGATTGGTTAGGTCAAATCGAGCATTTTTCAACACCACGCAAGATCACGACGTTCCTCTTCCTTCTTTCGGTTGATCGGTTGATCATGGATCAATCAATCATGAGCTTTTTTACTTTCTCCATCTTTTTAGCTCCAACCAATCCATTCAAACGCTAGTAGTAAAAGCAGCGTAAAAGATGTCAAAAAAAGGTCCCAGCCCAGCCCAGTCCAGCCCAGAAAGAAAGAAAGAAAGAAAGAAAAGAAAAAAAAAGACTCAAACCCAAACAAAAAAAAAAAAAAAGACGAAGAAAGCACATTACCGGTCACGGCGCTTGAACGAACCATTGGTTTCAAATGTTTTGCCCAATGGGTCTTCCCACGTCATATGCCTTCCCGACCTAGATAGTCTGGACCAATCTCGACTGCCCAATCCTCTACCTTGTGGGTTACTACCCCATTCTATACCCAATCATCACCAAATTTACGCATTTTACGCATTTTACGACTCGGCCCTAGCCCCGGCAAATACACCTAAACCCCAGTTCTCAAGTCCGCATCGTTCCCTGTGACGTTAACCTACTTTCCCCTCCACCAATCAAAATGGAGTGACTTGAGCAACTTGCCTTCATTTGGGAATAGTTCTTTTGGAAGGGCACTGGACCACTGGTACAAGCAACCGAAAAGCCAATCTACACTAGTATAGTGGTAACCTAAACCTACCTACCAGGTCCTACCATAGCAGGTTAGGTACTACTTTTTACTAGGTTGATAGGTACCTACCCAAGCTACTCTAGGGTAGTTTGTGCTAGTGTCTACTGCACAAGCGTTTCCCCCCCCTCTATTTTCACTTCTCGCCCGCCCATTCAACTCACACACACACAACATTCACACATCCAGTCTCTCCTCTATGGCCACATTTTTCTTTTGAAAAAAATATCCCCCCGCCATTTGCACATGCAGTACAACTTACAATTACAAATTCCACCCACGGGGATAATGACCACCACTTGGCTGCATGGTGCGGTCCGCTGGAATTGCAAACTGAAACGTAGTTCAGTACCGATCAATGCTTCTCACCATCTAACTTCCCGATCCTTCCCCCCTCTTTCTTTCTTATCCTTCTGATCTTCAAATATCATTATATTTTATCTCGACTTTGCTTTAGGGAGGGGGGCGATGTGTCGAGCACGCCTTTTTTTTCCGTGTTATATTATCTGCTGTTTCAAATAAATGGGATGTGTTGGAGTTGGATACCCATTTCGTCTTGGCGCATCGTGGGATTTTGGCTGGGTCAGGTTGCATTGTGTTGTTGTTTTATTGATATTGCTGTTGTTGTTGTCTTTTTTTCTTCTTGACTTTCAATATCGGCGTCCAATCGGGGAACTTAGGGAACTAGGGAATCTCGGGTACTACATATTAGAACCTCAAAGCATATGATTAACGGAGGTTTTTATTATTATTATTATTATCTGGGGTTAATCGGTGGTTCACAGGAGGGGAGGGCTGGGGAGAGAATATACAATACAAATGAAGGGGCATACGATTTTTCACATATCATTGATACTTTCTTAGAACTGGAACAACATAAAAGTCTACGCAGAGAGAAAGAAGAACGCCGGGCGTTCAGACATTGGGGAATATACGCAGGGCATTTTTTTTTTCACGTTCTAGACACACTTGGGAATACTGGGCAATCCACAAAAGGAGTCACATGAGATTATTCATTAGATAGTATTTTGTCACGACACTTAATTAATCAGAATCCTGACGAGAAATTTGATCTACTGTATGTAAGAAACATCGTCTTTTGTGCTGATGTGATGTGATGTCTTTGACGACGATGGTGATACATGATATTCAGTACATCTATGTACGTGCTCTATATGATGAACGTGCTGCCACATGGAATGCCATGTATGTATGTATGTACGTACCAGCAACAGGCATTTTGATTGACGTCTATCATCTATGTACCTACCCTTATCCATCGAGTTACCTATCACTGGCATCCAGATGTTTCAATGTCTTTGATCTACCTACTTAGGAAGACCCCTGGATCAACTCATTAAAATCGGATATGTGTGTGTTGTGTGCTAATTAGCTTGCTAGGCAGGTAAGCTACCCCTCTCCAAAACCACGTTCCTGCTCTGGGGGGGGGGGGGCCACGGCCAACGACATACATAAGATCTGAACTTGGCCAATCCTGCAGATCTAAGGAAGATTAGGTATGTATGTATGTATGTATGGTATGTACGTTGTAGGGTTGGCCTACCAAGGTAGGCATGTTCTTCCTGCCTGGCTCGTTTTAAGTGGTCCCAAGTTTATCTCTTTCTAGTTATCCCTCCCTCTTTACTATGAAGGTAGTTATTGGATGTAGGTAACCTAGTAGTTAGTGATAGGTAGGTATTTGATCCGATGAAAATCACAAAAAAACAAAAAACAAATCCCGCCTCAACGGCCGGCCGGACCTTACGCGTACACACGGACATGGGTTTGCTAACCTTACCTACATATACATATACCACATGCCTACCAACATCTACCTACCTACATAGAATGCCTACATATGGGTAATATACCTACCCAAGTGAGCATGCTACATGAAGCTAAGAGTGGTCGACAGGTCCGGGACGCTACCTTATGCTAGGTATAATATGTAGGCATATGTAGGTATGGATGTTGGTATGGATATAATATAGAAAAACCGCAATTTGTGCGTGTGAAGCAGGAAAGGACCGGCCGGGGAAGCAGAGCCTAGCGTGGGGAGCGGACGGGCAAGCGACGGGTTGGGGAGGGGGGGGGGTTCTTTTTTGCTGCGCGACGGCGCGCGCGGACGATGGCCACTCTTAGCCGTGGGGATATTAGATGTTGATTTGGGTAAGGTACCTACCTACCTAGTGGTGTTGTATTTTAGATTTGGAAGGATTCTAGCTTCTTTTCCTTTAAAAAGTTCCCTTTCTTTTTCGTCATTTAGGTGCCTACTGCGCCGCGAGAGGTGGTCATTAAAACGAGGCTATTGCGGGTTCGTGTGAACAGCGAAATGCAAAAAAATCAAGGTCGAGTTCGGTGATCGTTTCGTATTCAGAGGTATGTAGGTATGATTTATGGTATTGTATGTATGTAGGTAAGATTTCATTCCTCCCCCTCCCCCCCCTTTTCCGCTCTATAGGTAACCATTACTAACTCCTTACTCAGGGAAGGGGAGGAGGGTAGGGATAACAATATCACTCATTCCCGTCCGACTTACCAAGGCTAATACATTATATAATACTTCCTTGCACACATATATGTCAACCAACTCTGGTATGTGTGTAACCTACCTAAGGTTGGTAGATGCTTATGCAGTAGGATCGCGGTGGGTAGGGTAACTTGGGGAGGGAGGACTCCAAAACTTTCCCAGGCAATATCACTAAATCCACGTCCTAAACCAATCGCGCCAAGCTTGAAATGCGGACGCTTGTCCGCTAGGTTGGTACTAAAAGGTACCTCACAATATCTACATGTAGGCACTGGGCAGGTAGGTATGTAATAAGAGAGAGAGCTTCAATCCTAGCCTATGCTAGCCCAGCCAGCCAGCCCCGCCAACGACAGCTTCACACGAGTCAAAGCTAGCCTTGGAGGTTTCGCGTGTAGGTAGGTACTGTACCTGGTAAATTGGAAACCGAACCGCCGCCGCCTATCTACACCCGCGAATGCTGCAGTACAACCTCAATCATGATGATAGGCAAGCAAGCTGCAAAAAAGCCAAGCTCATGAGCAGCATATGAATACAACGTAGCAGCAGCAGCTTACAGCTTTTTCCTTGCTCCCACCTACATAGCTACAAGCTAGCTGCTAGTTAGCTCTCGTATAAAACATACACACGCACAAAATGACCTGGAAGATAAACAGACAGGCACCGAAAAGATTCGGCACGCTTTCCGTATTGATATTATGAAGGGGTGAGATCGACTTTTTTTTCTTTTGGCGTCACCCACCCGCTTGTCAAAAGTCAAGAAACCAAAAAAAAATGCGAATCCACTCACATACCGTCCGTCAAAACATTCCCTGTCCGCCCATGCGCCGTGAAAGTCGATCCTCCTCCACTTTGTTTTTCTTAACACAGGTAGTTATATGTCATAGAAGGCTGGCATCAGCTCATTGGCCAGAAGAGGAAAGAATGTGCAAGGAGGGAGGACCCCGAATTATCCAGTTCTGCCAGAATGTGTCGATCAGGGTCCCTTTTTCTTTTAGGGTCTGCCTCTCTTTGTACATGTTAGGTAGGTAGGTACTCACTCACCACTCTCTTGCTTGTCTGTGTGTGTGGTGTCTGTGCTGGTGCTTGTTGCTGCTGCCGCTCTTCCTTCTATGTCCCTCTCCCCCCCCACTTTCTTCGTGATCGGCATCGTCATCGTCATCATGCAGCGTCCTGTACGATGATGTCGGCGTGCAGGAACGAAGTTAGCAAAAAAGAGGGCTTTTTTTGGTGATTTGGGAAATTTCCCTGGTTGCTTTTTTTTTTTCGGCCCCGATTCTTTTTTTCTTTGCTCGCCTAACTAGGTATGTACACTTGAATCTACACTATGCTACAGATCCTGATGCCTACCAACTTACTATGTAGGTACACTATTTACCCCGGAATCATATTCGCGGCTGCTACTTAAATACCACCTACATACATACTACATACATACACAGCCTACCTACATGTACCTATTACCGTGCATGCCTATGTCTGAGATACGGGCGGTAAGTAAGCCAGGAAACCTGACTTTCATCCCACGATTCGCGGCACCGCATCGTATCGCATTCCCCCATCCCCATCGCGTCTATACTATACCACCTACATACAGATGATCTTGGTACATTTGTAGGTAGGTATGTAGGTCTGGTACCTTGCCGATGTATTGTACCTACATCAACAACACCTGCAGATCCCAGTATCAAATGTAGCTCCATCACGAAATCCTATAACTATGTAAAAGAAGCGGAAATAACGGGAGCGTGGATGTATCCATCCATCCCCATCCCCTTCCCCTTCCCCATATCCATATCCATTTCCCATCCCATCGCATTTCATCCCGCGCAGCTTAGCTAGCTACTGTACTTAGGTTAGGTACCTACTGTAGGTAGCTCTACTCGACGGATTAATTACCCAGCCAATACGAAAATCGCCTAGCCTACATACATCTCCTAATCTAGCAGCCTGCCTGCCTGCCTGCCAGGTAGCTCAACACAGCTTAGACAACCGCAGCGGTTGGCGCGGCGCCGCACTCGGGGATATTTTTTCCGCTGCTTTTTTTTTTCTTTCCCCTTTTATATCTCCCCCCCCCTAACTTGCCTTAGATGAGGGTATTCCCAAGCCGCGAACGCGTAAGCGAAATGAAGAAAAAGAAAAAGAAAAAGGGAAATTGCGCCGCCGGCGAGCTTGCTGCGTGCGGTTAGTTGGAAGCCAAGCTCGGCTGGTTGGCGCTAGTAGCGTGTCTGTCTGTCTGTCCCATTGGCACGCTCGTTAGGTAGGTAGGTAACTGATGCTTAGGTGCATACTTACAATGTATGATATCTATATCGTCGCGATGCTATAGTCGGTTGGTGTGCATGTACTATGTAGGTATGGAGAGCTCCGTGGAGGTGTTCCATCTACATACCTGTCTAGCCTAGGTACATACCAATCTATCCACCCATCACCATCATCATCACCATCATCATCAACCTTATAGCGTCAGGAACGCGTCCGTTTTAGGTTTGAGCTACCCATGTGTAGCCGTCAGTATCAGTTCGGTTCTTGGCTGGGGGGGGGGGAGGGCCACCGGCCGGCCCCCTCCTTTCCCAATGAGAGTAATGCGTCAAGTTTGTCTTGCTGATGAACGGCTAGGGGCTATGACGTTTATCTCGGTAGTTGGCGGTCCAATGATGGACGGGCGTGATGTATCACTGTCGATGCAGGTAGGGTTATGTGCTATGTAGGACCAGGCAGGTTGGCCGGTAGGCTGTGGCCATCGGAGCCGGTGTGCTGGTACCTACGCGCGATATCCGCTCCGATTATTTCGTGGCTTTTGGTTGGGTGGCTGGATAGGTAGGTATGTAAGGGAGACGCAAGATTGACGGAGGAGATGGAGATATGTATCCAAATATAGCTCGAGATGATGTAGGTACCTACCTTCATGTGTAGTAGTAGATATTTAACGTATGCACGTACTTACTCCTAAGTTCTAACCTAGGTACCTATGAGCTACTTTACTACGTACTTCCTAGCAAGCGACTCGGTACTGCAGAATTTATGACGCAGATTTCTGAGATCCTCGGATCTTAGCCGTTAGCTTTGGGCTATCGTTCGAGCTTGACTTGTATGGGTCTCACTGATTCATCATAGTACATGTATGTATAAGTAAGCAGTTAGGTACTGCATAATCGTATCACGACCCTGAGCGTTGCACGTCTGTCGTGTCCACAAGAGTGAGGCGTACCTATCAGGTAAGGGTCCGATGCAAGTCGGTAGGTAAGCAGCGGTTTGAGACGGCTGTGATCTAATCTGCCTATGTTAGCCCTGGAGGTGTTGTTTGCTTGCTATTTCGGGATTATGTGAGAAAGGGAGGGCTTGGAAAGTTAGGCTTCGGAGTTATTAAAAAGTCCAAGCCAGTGGACATATTAAGTTGAATATTGAGATATTTAGGGCTGGGTAGGTAGGTAAGGTATATGCAATGCATAGCAAACGTGATGGCACACCGTCGGACAATTCGAATTAGAGATAAGTAACTAGAATTTGATCATAATAGAAACATACGATATCAGATCTCAAACTGACGAGGCGAGGCGGTTGAGGGTTGCATCTTGATCTATCACCTCGGGACCTACTCTTCACAGGGCTGATAAAGCAGCGATCGCTTGAGTCACTTCATTCGAATTTATGACTGTTTATTCTATGTACCTAACTAAGATAATACTTTTGCCTTTTTATTTCCTCCATCTCATACTCATGCTCATGTCCATGCTCATATATCAAGCCGCCATTAAAGTCTCAGTTTCGCGCACTGGACTTGCGGGACATCCATCTGTCCACGTAACCATACCCCCTAATGTGCAACTAACAGCACACCCATACCTACTCATTATATTCCATCATTAGTTCATTATTATCCCGCTCAATCATATGGCCTTTGTACTCCTAAGTAATCGTAAATGTTCAGATCTGCCGTAATTGCGTGTCTCCTGAGATCCCTCCTTTAGTGTGTGTGTGTTTGTGTTGTCGACATAACCGACGTAAATTTAAATAGCCTTCGTAAAATAATATCGCGGCGTTGATTATCTAGTCCTGGTCCTTCTTGGGTGACCTCTTGAACGGCTTCTTCGCCGCGCTGACAAGCTTGCCGGCAGCACTGCCTACGGAGTTGAATCCGAATGACCAGCCGCGGACGCGCACCGTGTAGATGAAGAAGTACACGAGCGCCCAGTTAGAGATGCAGAAGGCCGCGAAAATGCCAAGGTCTGGTAGTAACTCTGGTTAGCACACATGTACCCACGGGAAGAAAAGAGGAGGGGCGGGATAATAACGTACCTCTCCATTTCTCGCTAGCTTCAATGTTAAGAGTGGCGAGATACTGGTTAGCGACGCTGTACTGGCAGTACTGGCAGCCGCTGGTGGCATCGGGGTTAAGCAAGTAGCCGCCGGCAGCCTGGGCGAACTCGCCCGCGTACGATTGGCAGGTCTGGTTCGGGGGCACGTCGAACTGCGCGGTCTCCGAGGGGTCGCACTGGATTGGGACGCCGTCCATTGTGGCGGCCAGCATCCCGCCGATCCAGTACGTCGCCGGGTTGACCCAGTACATCCAGGAGCTCCAGAAGACGGGCAGCATGGAGTAGGACTGGACGACGCCGTTGAACAGACCGAACATGACGAAGAAGAAGGGGAGCACCTAGAAGCATTCATGTATTAGTATCTCATGCATTTCTTGTTTTAATGGAGAGAGTAAAGCACTTACATTTGCGGTGACGGTGGAGCTAGGGGTGAACGCGCATATCCACTGCCCCCAGCTGTTCATGAACAGGAAGACCAGCACAGTCATCAAGAACGTGTATCCCGCCGCCTCGCTCGTTGCCGCAATGCCCGCCGGCCAAATCCACAGCGCCCAGTACAGGGCGCCCGAAATGACGGCCGCGGGCAACTCTGCGACCACGTTCGCCGTGCAGAAGGCGAGCCAGCCATATATACGTGAAGGGTACTCGCGGGCCTGCCAGAGGGCCATGTTGTCGTCGAACTGGGGGACGACGCCGTTGACGACGGTGGCGGGGATGGTGACGATCATGAAGATGGTGAACATGCGGTTCTGCATGTCCTGGATCGAGTGCCCGCACTGCCAGAACGTGAACCCGTTGAAGATGCCGATCACCACCGCCGTGAAGAACTTGCCGTACACGTACGACGGGTCCCGCCAGTACTGCCGGAAGATCCGCTTCGTCAGCTCCGAGATCTGCAGAAACACCGGCGCCGAGTATTCCTTTTGCTCATGCGACGAAGAGGAGGAGGAGAGTTGCTTGTTGTTGTTGTTGTTGTTGTTGTTAGGTTGGGTGGCTGTGCTGCGCACGCGCTTGAGGCCGTCGATTTCTTCGATGACGTGCTGTGCCTGCTCGCTGGTCCGCCACTCTTCGTTCCAGTCTACCTTGGTGCCGTCGGGACGCTTATGTGGGCGTGCCGCCGTCTCGAGGATGAACTCGGCGACGTTCTTCCCGGTAGGGCAAGTGGCGCCGCGGTCAGCGAAGTACTTGATAACGTCTTTGCCGTTCTCGCCAATGGGGCCGAAGTAGAATGTGTTTCCGCCGGGGTTGAGAGCTAGCACCATATCGAATTGCTGGATCAGAGCTGAGCTGGGCTGGTGGATGGTGCACACGATAGCTTGGCCGGCAGCGCAGAGCTTCTTGAGGAAGGTGACGATGGAGTAGGCGGATTGGGAATCTAGACCGGATGTTGGCTCGTCGAGGAAGAGGAGCAGAGAGGGCTTTGCGGCGAGCTCGACGCCGATGGTAAGGCGCTTGCGCACCTCAACGCCGAGAGAGCTTATGATGGCATCTTCCAGATCGTTTAGCTCAAGCAGGTCGATAATCTTGTCTACGTAGGCGATCTTCTCGTCTCGGGGGATGGAGGCTTCCTGTCGCAAAAGCGCAGAGAACTCAATAGCTTCGCGGATGGTTTGAGTGCCGTCGTGGATATCTCCTTGAAGACAGAAGCCCGTGTTCCGCTGGAACTCGAGGCCAAGGGGCTTCCCGTCGACGAACATTTCACCGGTGACAACGCCAACACGCTGGCGCTGGGCTAGGACATTCAGGAGTGTGGATTTGCCAGCACCAGAAGCGCCCATCAGAGCAACCATGATACCGGGCTTCGCGTAGCCGTTGACCTTGTTTAGTAACTTGCGCTCGCCTCCGAGATACGGTACGCTGTACTCCACATCTCGCCATGTGAAGATAGAGTCGCTCTTGGTCAGCTGCTCCAGCGTCTCATTTTGCTCCTCAGAAGTAGTGTTCCCAGACTCGCCAACTCTCGTTGCCGAAGACTTGCTGCTGCTATTGCCTCCATTCTCGATGTCCGACGGGGCAGTGGCTTTCTGCACTTCCTTCTTGGCCTTTTTGTTGTTCTTGAAGACCAGCGCACCGCCGCCCTCCGATGAGAAGTCGAACATCTCCGTAGCGACGACCGTGATGGCGACGTACAAAACCAGGAAAGCAATCACGACGCCAAAGTTGCGCCACAGGTTCGAGCGGCTGTAGCTCAAGGCGGCTTCCAGGTAATCGCTTCCCGGGACCTCATGAGAATTGGGTTTGGAACCGGTGAGAGCGCAGCCCTGGTATTCAGGGAGAACATTCGGGCCTTGGGGTACGAGCTGTGCAGGCGCGCAGTCCATGACTCTGTTCGAGAGCTCGTTCGTCAAGACCGCCTCAAAACTGTACGATATCGGGTTCACCCAGTACAGCCAGCCGAACCAGATAGAGTCGTTCAGGAGCTTGGTCTTGGGAAGGACGTAGCCAGTGTAGATAACAAGTAAGTTGAGGGCGGTACTGGAGAAGCGCACGGCAGTGTTGATCTCGGGCGACAAGCTCGCGAACATGCGGTACAGGGCCGTGATCATGATGGTCGTGGCATAAACAAACAACATATAGATCCAGAATTTGCTAACATCGACATCGAGGTTGGTCATGAAGTACATGGTCAAGCCAAAGATGCAGACCTGCACGAAGACGACAGGAATATCGTGGATGACGCGGGCGATCGAGACAGCAGAGGGGCGGTAGAAGGCATAGTCCCGATGGCGAGCGGCGATATCCCGCCCCGCAACCGCCTTGCTGAGCTCCGACAGCTGAAGCCAGCCAAGGAAGATGATGGAGAAGAACAGCGCACCGCCACGAGTAAAGGCTCCGGCGGTTGAGAAGGGCTGCTTGTAGTAAAGCGAGCCGACGATGAACCCGTTGGAGATAATGATGAACAGCTTGGTCCAAAGAGCCGCCTTGTCGCCAAATAGCAGCCAGAACTCTCGCTTGGTGCTGGCCAACACCTGGCGGGTGAAGGAGATGGTGTACGGTGACTTCTCGCCGACGTGCTTTGACTTGGCTGCCTGCACCGCGTTGTCGAACCTCTTCGCATCGACATACTCGGTCTTGCGGAGGTGCTCTTCGTAATCCTGCACATCTTCGAGCAACTTTTGGTAGTTCGGCGACTTGCGGAAAGCCTCCTCCAGCTCCTCGGGGGTCTTGGGCGCCCTGTCTTCAAAGCCGGGCCTGAATCGTCGCTCCCTGGGATCGGTGACGGCTGTCAAGAAATCCGCCGTCGTTTGCCGCTCCGGACATTCGAACCCGAGGTCGATGAAGTATTGCTTCGCGTCCTTGGCTGGCCCGGAGAATATTTGCCGCCCTTGGTCGATGACTAGTACCTTGTCCATGAGCTCGTAGATACCCTCACCAGCTTGGTAGAGTGTGACGAGGGTTGTGCGATTGGTGATGTCGGTCATGATGCGGAGCGACTTTGCGTAATCGAGAGCCGTTGAGGCGTCTAATCCACGGGTGGAATTATCCCAAGCCATGACAGTGGACTTGGAGGCCAGCGTCTCCGCGATAGACACACGCTTGCGCTCACCACCCGACACGCCCCGGATATTCTCGTCGCCAATGAGTGTGTACTTGGTATGGCTGATACCAAACATCTTCATCAGCGCATTGGCAATGACTGGGATTTCCTCCTTGGCCGCCCTCTTCGTCTTGTTCATGAGCGCGAAAGTGAGGGTTTGCCAAACATTGAGCGAGGCAAAATGGATGTCGTCTTCGGGATTATAGTTGACTTCACCTCGATAGATCTGCTTCTGCTGCTTGGCTGGGATTCCACCGTAGGAAACCTCTCCCTCGACACCAGCGAAGGACTCGGTGTCGTTGCTGACGGCTTTGAGAAAGGTGCTGCATCCGGATCCGGGGCGACCCAGGACCAGCATCATCTGGCCATCTCGCACACAGCCGACAAAGTCGTTGATCAGCGTGCGTGTCTGCGGCTTTCTACCGAATCGGAGGAAAGGTATGTAGCGTGAGACGATGTGATACAAATCAGGCCCAAAGGTTCCAATGATGGCATCTGGGACCGTTCGGACGATGGAAGACGAGGATCCAACGCCTTTCACGGTGAGGTGCTTGTAAACAACACCGACTCGCTTTTCAGAAGACTCAGTCCGCTTCTCGAAGTGGCCATCCCGCATAAACTTGCCTAGTTCGAATTCCTCTTCGGCCACGGTAACCTGCTCGTCGCCCTTGGGCTCAGTCTGCTTGGTGTGTGGTCTTGACAGGTTGTTGGGTGCTTCGCTTAGACGACTGCGAACTTGGGTCAAGTCAAAGTGCTTGCTCGCCTGTGTGTCGCGCGTTCTCGTTCTATGCATTTGTGAGAGGTTGTGCCTTAACACCTCCAATTCTTCCATAGCTTCATGCTCACCAAATCCTCCAACGTCCCGCTCGCCCCAAGTCCCCTCCCCGTTTCCAGCCGCATCAGACTCGGATGATCCATCACCTTCCCCATGGTTTCCTGTAGGGTCAGTCGCATTCGATCTGCCAGCATCGGGGGGCGGGTCGTCGCGATGCCATTGGTTTGGAGCCATGCCATATTCTCTACGGCGATGACCTTCGCCATTAATCTGAGTAGCCCACATGGCGGTCGGATGGACTATTTGAATAGCCCGGCCTTGAAAGCTTGCTGCGAGCTAAGTGAGACAAAGAGATGCGCCGTTGCTGCCTTGCCAGCAGACGGGTAGCACAAGTCAAGCCGAAGAGGCCCGACGGGATCGTTTAGATGGGGATGAAAGAGACCATGTAAGATAAGAGTTTAAACACACTCATGAACATGAAAGTCTAAGTTTACGACGGAAGGGGTATTAGCCGATGGGGGTTGGCCTTGATACAGAAGTCTACAAGGGGCAACGTTTATAAGCAGAATATTATTGAGCAATAGGCAGGCTCCCAAGGTCAGTTTCCAAGGTAAAGCACCTCTCATATGTATAATGTTAAAAGTGAGTACTAAGGGGATGTTTAATGGGGAATCGTGAACCCGGCCGCCCACACCTGATTGTTAATCAGTCCCTTCGCCTTAGGTCGTTGGAACCCAAATACGACATCCGCCCCTACGAGAGCGGTATTACCTACAAAGGTAATTTGTAAGAAGCCTCAAGTTCCACAACTGATTGTATCAGGCCCCAGAACTATCATCTCATGCTGGGTTGCATATTGTTATCACGCAGCGGCTCACGATGCGCCCGCCACTGATAGGCTAGTCAGTTGTTCACTAACCTTGCAATAGACCTGATTCGATTGATAGCAATGGGACATTGGCACAACATGTCGGTGAACAAGGGTCAGACCGCTCAACAAATAATAAACGGCAATAAGATAAAAAGTGTGAAAAAAGAAAAGGAGCACTAACAAAAAAAAGTGACAGCGATATCGCGGCTGGCAACAGGGTCCTCCCTTTCTTGTTGGTACTGTACCTACTTACCTACTAGGTAGGTAGGAGTTAGGTAGGGTAGGGTAGGGCACCTTGCCTCCAGGGCTACCATGATGAAGTCATCATGAAATTTCCCAGGTTACCTAGTACGGTACCGTTAAAAAAGAGAAAAGCTTTTCAACTCTTCCCAGAGACGCGGGGCCGGTACGCGGGGCCCTTGGTCGGTTTTAAGTATGGAGTTTACGGTGCTAAGGCCGTAGATAGATATATATATCAGATCTTTTTGTTTCGTTTGGAAATATCTTCACAAAACTTTGGATCATAAATGGGGTCCCTCGTGCCGATCCTTTTCGGCTTTCGGTTCCGGGCCTTTTTTATACAGATGATGAACCAATAATAGTTCTTGAAAAGAGGCTGATAACCACAGAATCCTTTTACTATGTATGTACATACCAAGAACCTTCTAGGCCAACCTCCAGGTCATCATAGATGTCTTCGGAGGACAAGAACCCGGAGGCGTAGCAAAAATTATTAATGTGGCTCTCCGTGCTAAGAGATTTACTGACGTTGGACCCAATATTTGGAGGAGATACCCTTATAGGAAGTGTCTCCGATTCACATGCTTACTCCAAGCAAGACAAAGACATCTATTATAAGATTTATCACGATGTTAGTTGCGAAACTAGTTAATGGATATCAATCTATTGAGTTTACTTACCTAGTAGGTACTATGGAGCATCACAGGGGACATTTGGGCTATTTGCAACCAAATCACGGCCTAATACCTACCGGTAGGTATATTAGTAAGAGACTCATTACTAAGTGCTGGCTATAGTACAGGGCAAGGCTTTGAGCATGCAATTTTATCAGCTTGGGTAGGTATTATGAGTCAATCTTTCAAAATTACATGAAAAGGCCCTTTGTGCCCAATCTGGTATTTGTCAGAACGATATATCTCGTGAAAACATTGTCCCAACTGCCTGCTAGGCACGCAGTACTTCCTATTTACACCTCCACACCATCCCCCCATAGGATGTCGATTAGACCTCATGGACTTGCAGGATTTTCGATATATATTCCTATAACGCTAGCGGAAATTGTTATATGTTGTTGCCATGTCGTTGCCATGTTCGTCCATCACTACGGAGCCATGCCTGGGTATAACACCAGCACAGGGGTTCTGAGGATTTCCGCATATCCACCATATCTATCATCGTTGCTGTATTACTAAGAGCCATCGTAACGGATCTCTTTCCATAAACTAGCGGGAACGACAAAGAAGCAAGCAAGCTAACCTAGTTATTTCATTGAGGACTCATGATCATTGCGATGCCTTAGCAACATGCATATCATGTAAGCACGCCTCCGTGCCTGCCTGCCTAAGTTTATACACTAGTCCTTCAAACAAGATCTTCAGTGCTATCACATTTGTGAGAGGATTCCTCGAGGACCCTGCGAACTTAGGTACTCCACGCATTCACATGCATTCGAAACAACCTACCTAGCATCTACACTATTGGCATAGGCATCCATTGATCCATTGGCACATATATATGCAGTGGGACGAGGAGAAAGTGGCGAACTTATCACGTCCCGCCCACTAGCCAGGCGCGGGAAGTCTGAGCTGCTTTCCTAAAGGCTTGTGTTGCTGCATATCATTACACAAGGCGGAGCTGAAGCCGTGGTATGCCTATTAGGTAGGGCCTGTCCTGGCAACACCTCCATAGATTTGCTTATACATATGTAGACTAGAGATGCATCTCCTACGCGACTCTGTCATTGAACCGGATCAACTGTAGTTATCTGTAGATCGTTGACTCCACAATGCCCGTAGCCTATTACCACGCCGTAGGGGAGGATCGCGGAAGTTCCCTTTAAAGGACATACTGAAAGTTAGTATGGGTTCAACACATACAAAGGGTCTTCAACTTGATAACGATGCAAGACAATAAAAGGGCGACGTAATAATTAAGAAGGTTATTGATAATTATTATTTCATCTCCCTCAATATCTCATCTACCTATGTACATATATACCTAGGTAGTGACAAGTAGTAACTGCGCCCTAAGGAGACATGTCACACGAGGTATACACCAGTGGCCAATCCCTTACTTAGAAAGACATACACCTAGGTTAGATAGGTATTGTACAATACATAGAATGAACATGAAATACCCAAACTAGCCCGAACCCAGCACGACAAGCAAACACCACAGATGCCAATACCTCCTAATACCATAGCGACCTCGACAAGAAACCACCTAACTAACCACAACCCGTCGCAATCCTTGCTCTTTCCCCGCAAACATGGCTTATCCTTGTCGCAGCTACATATTATATCTATATTATGTATGTTCTGGCACAGCTCACCAATCACGTTGACGCGACTCGCCTATTTAGGCAGTTGAGGGAAAAAAAAAGGCGGCTGAGAAACGCGAGGCGCAAATCGGAGGACTTGAATGGACGGACGTGTAGTGATGTAGTGATCCGGCCCCCCCCTGTCAACGTTGTGCGTCATCAAGCCACGTCGGGATCGGTGTTTGTAGCTGTTATTGAGCTTTGTGAGTTGGGGGTGGACTCGTAAACATTGACACTGCGGTTCACCAGCGCAGAATGGCTCATTAAAAGCATGGGCTTGCCGTATTAAAAAAAAAACTCAAGGTCTGTGTAAGAGCACTTGAAATTTAATATGTACCTAGGTTAGGGGGTGAAATATATACCGCAGGGCAAGGTTAATAATACGCAGGCTAGCTAACTAGGTACTAATGAGAAAACGGCCGCAACTTGAACTCCTCCGCATCCTCCGGGCGGCCCGGAAGCGGGATGTCCATGAAGCACGGCTCCATGTACCACGCCGGATCACCACCCCACCCCTTGCCATCTTCGCTCGGCATGTGCGTCACGCTCCATCCGTCGCCGAGCCACTTCATCCGATTCCCGCCCTCGCCCTCGAGGCCCTCATAGTCGAAGTCCTCCCACCTCGGCGCGCGCAACGCCTCGAGCGCATGCAGCGCGCTGCCGGGCCACAGCCCCGTGATCCGATCACCGAAGCCGCCGTCGCTCTTGTACCAGCTGTGGCACTGGTCGGTGTAGACGGTCTTCTTGAAGTACTCGTGGCAGTAGTCTGCCCAGTCGCGGACGCGCTCGGGCTTGACGCTGATGGTCGCGTAGTCCTCCTTCTGCAGCTTGCGGATCGCCTTGACGATGTAGTCCCCTTCGTTCTCGAGGATCACCGTCAGCGACCCGGACCCGATCGCCGAGTTGGGGCCCAGCATCATGAAGAAGTTGGGAAAGCCGTCCACGGCAAGTGAGAGGTACGCTGTCGGGTACGGCGTGAAGCGCGACTGCAGCGAGAGCTCGCCTTTGCCGTAGACGGGGAAGGGGGGCGCCGAGCCGGTGTTGAATCCCGTAGCGCAGACAAGGGCGTCGAGTGGGACCTCGCGGCCTGACTTCAGTGCTACCCCCGTGGCGGTTACGGTGTCGATGGGGTCAGTGATGAAGTCGACGTTGCTCTCGGCAAGCGCCTCGAGGTAGCCCGGGCCCGGCGTGGCGCGTCGGCAGCCGATGCCGAAGGACGGGATGAGGAACTCGGCGATCTCGGGCTTTTTCGCTAGTCTCTCTCTCATCGCGGTGCCGAAGAGCCCGATGGCCCCTTGTTGCATCGCCGAGCCCCGAAGTGAAACATCGTGTATGGTGTTACCGTCTAGCTCGATGATTTTGCGGAAGTTGTACAGCTTTTCTGGGTTGTTGGCAAACTCTTGGCGTTGCTCGGGGGAGACTGTTTTTGGTTATTGTTAGTTGCGTGTTCAGTTCCACCAGTTTACGGGGGTTTGGCAATAACTTACAGTCTAGTTTTTTGGGGTCTAATCCAAGTTTGTTCATCACACCTGTAGTTGTAAATATAACAACCCTTGAGGGAAATAGGGGTAAATGAGGGGGGAGGGGGCTTACTATCTCCGAAAGGATTGGTGATCCAAGTCTTGCTTCTGACAAAACATGATAGCTGTGCTCCCTCGATCTTTTGTAACTTTGGTACAATTTGTATAGCACTAGATCCGTTGCCGATAACACCAATTCGCTTGTTCTTAAAATCGTAGCTTTTCACAAATTAGTATACGAGAATAGTGTCTTCCGTAGCTGAATAAAGCTATACTTACTCTTCATTCCATCTTGCCGAATGCATAGTTTCCCCCTGAAAAGACTGCAAGCCTGGTATATTTGGCCAGGCAGGGTCGCTCAGATTGCCTCGGGCTGCGATCAATACGTCTGCGTCGTCCTCAAATATCTCCCCAGTATCCGTTCGTTTAACATTTAAAATCCTACGTTCTGTTAGTATTTGGCACTCTGCCATCTCCCCGCCATTACATACCACTTCTTCCTGCTGTCGTCCCACCGACAAGACTCTACATTGTGCGACAGTTTCACATATCTCATGACCCCGTATTTCTCGGCTGAGCCTTGAAGATACGCACAAATCTCTTTTTGGGGTGCGTAGAAGGCGGACCAGTCAGGATTGGGGTTGAATGAATATTGGTATGAGTGTGCTGGAATGTCACATGCGCAACCTGGTAGACGTAAGTTTAACCAGCCCAGTGAAGTTAACACGAACGGGGCTTGATTTACCGGGATACCTGTTAACCCACCATGTCCCCCCAACGGCCTCGTTCTTCTCGTATATTTGCAGGTCTACATTGCGTAGACGTTGTGGTATGCGAATTCCTAGGTAGATTCCCGAATAGCCAGCCCCTATAACTCGAACTTTCATCGGCCGATGGCCATCTATCGGAGCTTCCTTGAGCTGGGGTGGCGTTGGCATCTCGACTGAACCCATACTAATAATTTGTTTAAACGTTCGTATGTAAGAGAAAGGAAATCCAAGGAGTCCGAGTCTGTATCTTCTTTTACATAGTATCTTATCACCTAGATACTGCTTACCACGCCGTACATCGTGGTACTATTATCGACACCTTCTTCTCCGCTTCCCCGCATTCCCCGGCCCCAGATCTAGACTGAATACCCGGCATTTGCGCTACTTTGGGGAAGAGGAGGCGATTTACAACCTCGCTCAATGTAACTAACGTGGGGTATAAGCGTACTAGTACGTATCTAGCAACAAAACGACTGTTCGGTTAATCTACTCGGAACAGGAAGGACTTCTGTGATAATCCTGGGAAATAGGTCATCTTCTTTATAGGGTCTTCCTTATAGGTTCATATGAGCCTACCATTTGTTTCGCCGTGCATGAACCCCCTATAGATGAGGCTCAGCCATGTACCTAATCTTGACTGCCGAGGTGGAAATATAATCCGCCACCATTGCACATTACCGAGTAGGTAATCCAGCATGGTGGCTCTAACTGGAAATAAGTGATAGAAACCCACTTCTAGGTATCATAAAGCAATCTTTGAAAAACATTGATATAGGAGTCGGCGAACGGGTAACGTTCGTAAAACCTGTTAAGTAGGAATGCTCTAGAGTAAGGCATATCTCAAGTAGGGGGGAACGTCAGTTCACATTTCGTAACCAGCCCTACGTACAGAATAAGTAACCCTTCTTCATGACAACCCACCGTGTCCTGATTATAATATATTCCGTAGGAAAAGACACCATCAAGGGGAGGACGAATTTGAAAACCTAAGTCCACAGCGAGAAAGAAAGCGCCCGCCCGATGCTGCTTGGTAGGTAGGTAGATGATAGATTTGTTAAGTTGGTAGGTATTAACCAATCATGTCAAGGATTTATAGCTAGCCAGTAACTACCTGAGAATCGTAAATTAGTTCCCATTCAATTGAATGACTGGTGATTCAACGCAATAAGGGTACATTACCTATCATAACCTTTCTCTTGTCTCGTTACCCCTTCCGTATGATTGTAATTTCAACGTTCGAAAGTGACTTCAGAGGAGTTAATTACCTACCTACTGGGTAAGCCATCTAGGTTAGTATATTAGGCACTGATCTGAACACGCCATTCCTGGTGCTAGTTTCTCTAGGTATTTTAGTAATGCCTAGAGGTAGCTCAACGATAAAAACGTTAGAAAGGGGGATACGATACCTTTTCATTCTAAAAGTCTCCTTTCAACGCCGCCGCCAACACTAGCGCGAGTATGATAGAGAATTCTCTACAAGTTGGACAGGTTTCTTGCTGGGAAGGCTAGGTAGGCCGGTCGGCGATAGATATACCTGATATACTTATCGGGCTAGAGTATCGTCCATCGTATCCCGTGCGAAATATTCGAACTGCTGCTAATTTAGATGCGAGGCCCTTACTAAGAAAAGCCAGACCTGACCAGATCGTATAAGATCTACCTAGTAAGTAGACTAAATTTTGAGAGCCAATTGGATACAATTAGAAAATAACTATCTGACCAAATGTTAGTTTTCCCTGGTCCCAAACCGGGATGCTCCGTCACTGGAGCCCACCAAACGGTTGGAACCCCCAGGGGAACAAAATTGACCAATCGACTTCCAGAAAGTTGAATCGTGCTCTGTGGCTTCAGTTTAATGGTGAAAGAGGCCGAATCTATGAGACGAGTGAGGCAAAATGTGTAAAGATCTCAAAGATACATACGTCTGTATGCAGTAGGAGGCCGTACATGTAGAGGATCACCATCGCATGGGATCATGGCGATACTTTCGAACCAGCTACTTCAAATACATACACGTGGGCAGACCTCCTGTACATATGTACACAGACAAATACACAGACAAATATTCTATGTAGTATATCTAGCAAGAGGACATCAGCACTGCTCCTTGAGAATAGAAACCAGGGGTTGGTCATTGACGAATCTCAGGCCGTGTCGTGGAAAAAGAAATACGTAAAAAGAATTATGGTCGATCTAACGAACTGTACCATAGTATCTAGAAGTAATACCTAGGTACGGCGTAATAATGGTAATGGATGGCTTGAGAGGGGCACTCCGCTTAGGAGCTGAGATAGCAAGATTCGGATGACGTGCATTATCATTAAATACCAGGTATGTAGGTAGGTACTTATCTAGGTACTAGGTAGTGTTCGGGAACCGAATTGTCTTATCAAAATTTGACTGAAAGGATGAGTCTGGAGATTGAAAAGGTGAGAAATGATACATAATATGATACCAAGCCAGAGGAACATTGAAGATTTAAAAAGATAACGGCATCGCGCAATTAATGCCGGCTTTTAGAGGGGAACTAACCCATGTAGTACTTAGATACTTGGGTACATGTGAGCGACGTCAAGCTTGCAGATAGAATCACTGCAATGATTCTTCCCCACTTGCATTTACAACTTGTACTTGCCCATCTCAAGTCCGTCCTCTTATGGCCAGCGCGGCCACGCAAAGTGGCATGCTAACCTAGTGCACTCTACACTAAAAGTTAGTGTAGTGCTAACCTTGTAACTTAATAGCCCGTGGTGCCTGCCCGTCATTTCTGTTACTCCAGGTTCCAAGACTCCAAGGTGTCACGCTTGTCACTTTCAAGTTTCCACCAGGGGTCACTTTAAGTGAATTTAGTGAGGTACAAACAGTTATGGCAAGAACTTCCAAGTTGTCAGGCCATACTACCTAACCTTAGTATGTATGTACGACTTGGGGGAAGTTGTTCTCTGGCTTACAGCCCTGGAGACCTACAGTATGTATTGCACCTAACACGTAAGTACATGTAGCACATACTGTACTTAAGGTCGCGATGAACAAACATTCAAAAATGCACATGTGTATGAACTCACAGTATACTCTTTTTCTCTGGCATGAAAAAAAAGGGACATGAACCCCGAAAAAGGTTGTTTATTTTAATCTACATTGAATCTATGGTGAACACACAGAACCTGTCCGTCCTTTATGCTTCATTTCATACAACTATGTACCTATGCCACAAGACCTTCATTTATCACTCTTTGTAAACGGTTGATATCCCTTCCTTTCCTATCCAATTCAGATCTGTGGTCCCTTTCTTCATTCATTTGTCCTGCTGTGTTACAGCTACATTCTTATCATCGTTAATATACTACTATCGTATATACCTACCCAGGCATAGGTATTTTTTTTTCAGCAACCTATGTACATATCAAGATACCTACCAAATCCCCCCACGCCTTGATACTAGCCAAAAACTGAGCACTTCCCCTCCTCATTCCCTAAACCTCCAGGGCTCTTATCATAGGTGAACGAACGAGCAAAGGAAGCAGTCAAATCGCCAACCCTACAACTACATTCACAATTACAACACTCAAAGACTGATATCACAACAGCAACACATATTGGGTACCTACCTGATCTAAGTAAATGATCCTTAAAGTGTGGTATCGTACATAAAAAGCGAATCGCAGCACCATCTCGAAAAAGACTTCTAATTCGACCACGAGGCGACGTGCATTAAGATCCCTGTCACAGCCAATCCTTGCCGTACTACACTGTACCTCGCCCACGACTGAGACTAATGCAGTCTGAGGTCAACGTTACAATTCAGTGAATTCACGGCTTCTCGGAGTGTACCTAGAGTTGTACCGCCGCCGCCGAGTTCAATCTGGAGTTCTCTTCTTGTCCTGTCCTGTCTGCCTAACGCCTTTGCGTCTTACTCCGGCAACACCCTCCGCTACTCACTTCCATCCCCTCCCGGGCACATTCATTAGGTACTCATTTTCTTGCGGCCTCTAACATCGGAAAGGATAAAAAAGCTAGTCTCATCAAAGTACTAAATACAAGGGCTGCTTGTCATATACACCCTTACGGCTAGTTATTTGCCGCGTATACCATACACTACGCCACCCTCAGTTGATAAGCCGCGACAATTACGTTTACAGCTAAGCCCTCTCTCACCGGAGCCCCGTCTCTAACAACAAGGTGTATATCGAACTGCAAAGCACAGGATACCGGGGCACCGTGCCGAATCGAGGACTAGGATCCCACTTACTGGGTAAAGATTTCCTCTTAATAGTGGAGTCTGCACCCGTTGTTTGTACCGTCCTCTGTACCGTCCGACGGCCGAGTGACAAAGTAACAAAAAAAGTACCCGCTACGCTGCGCTTGTTTTACTACTGTAGGTACAGTGCTCACTTCCATTCTTACTTTGCCCTTCTTTTAGATCTGGTATACTGTACCTCCCTGTAAAAAAAAGGGAAAGAAAAAAAAGGATCCCCTCCCCTTCCCTCGACACAAACGCTTCCCTAATCCTTGCTAGTTGGTTCCTGCTACATTTCACTCCCAAGCCGAGTCATTAAACACAAGATCCCGTCTTATCGTTTCACACCGTCTCTACCTATTAAGCCATCCCACTGACAGCCCGTCTTCCTGTCAATTCAGCAATCAAACATGACCAGCGGACAGGCCCAGCCCCCGTCCCAGTTCCTGCCGGAAGGAATTCTTGTTGACCACAACCGCCGACCTGTGTCGCAGTCTCAGACCAATATACATCCCATTGATGAATTACATAGCTCAGAATCGCATCCCTTTTTAACCGCAGCCGACGCACTGAATCGACACCATGTACACGCGAACCGTTTAGCACAACTTTATGACGGCGATTCCAACAACTCAAACCCTAAATACTTATGCGAAGAACCAACGAACTTGACGCTACCGAACTCCGAAGGTCAGATTCAATTTCAATCACATACCACCGCACCGTCTCCGCCCTTACCTCAACACCCGCCCTCCGATCCCCTTTCCTCTTCTGACGAGCCTTCCGATTCCCCCTCTCCACTGAGCAGGGGTAGCAATCCTCTACAAATCGCGACGGATGTCCCGCCTGCTCTACCGTCGCGATCCGACAGCCTCAATAGCAACACTAGTAGTTTTCCGACCTATCGCTCGAGCGTGAACTTGTCGCGCAAAACATCATCTCCAAGCCTCAGACCTGTCTCGAGGACCCCTAGCTTCAAGCAGCATTACTCTAGAAGCATCGGGTCCGCGACCAGCTCGAACTACCCAAGTCCCGTCATATCTGCTATGGGCGATGTGACGCCGCTACCATCACCATTATTAGGTGGCGAATCTCCAGGCCCTTGGAAGCGACTCGGTTCCCGCCGCCCATCGCAGGCGCGTGAAATAATACCTCCGGCCATGCCAGATTCAGTTATCATTGCTGCATCTGGTGAATCCGTGGCGTCGGCGCTAGCGCACCAATCCAAAAGAAGAGTGTATGCGGGTCTCAATATTGGTCACGCAGCTGAAGTTAGTAGTGGCAAGGTCGAACATACTCGCAATAGGAGTATTAGCGAATACATTCCAGATCCTAAAGGGATACCTAAGAGACAGAATACGGTAGCTGGAAAGGTTAATAAGAAGGAAGTGGATAGTGCCTCTGATCCTCACCTACGCCGGGAACCACACCTGTCAGAAGCCCGAGGAATAACACCCGTCGCAAAACCACCGACGCCCCCACCTAGCGAGTCCTCCCAGAGTAGTGATAGTCTTGCCTCCAAGAGATCACGTTACGAATATTTCGAGGCTCGTGGCCGATATGATCAAAGGCTTCGCCGATGGCGTGCTGTCAAAGAGCTGGGCCAGGGAACATTCAGCCGCGTGATGTTGGCGACGAGTCAAATTGAGGCCGACGATGAATCTAATGGGCCGAAAACTAACGGATCAAATGGGTTATTATCGCCAAGCGCAGGTGCCCAGCCCGATCGCAAGACTTTGGTGGCTGTCAAAGTATGCGAACATGGGCCCCGTGGTGGGGCATCGGAAGAACGTATCGAGATGAGCCTCAAGCGAGAATTGGATATCATGCGGTCAATAAGTCATCCATCCCTGGTCCACCTGAAAGCTTGGAATATAGAACCCACGAGAGCACTATTGGTTTTAAGCTATTGCCCAGGCGGTGATCTCTTCGATGTTGCTACAACCCACCGAGAGGCCTTAACGCCGCTACTTTTGAGGAGGATTTTTGCCGAGTTAGTTGGTGCAGTCAAATATCTCCATGAACGCCGAATCGTTCATCGGGATATCAAGCTCGAGAGTATGTTTTCTACCCCTTAGATTTACCAATTGGAGGGTGTCAAACACCGAACGCTGAATGATCATGCGCTAACGCGACGATAGATGTGCTGGTTAATATCCCACCATCTGAGCTTACCAATCCCGATCAGGACTGGGCTACGTACCCATATTCTGTGATCACGCTCACCGACCTAGGCCTCTCACGACGCGTAGCTGACGACGAGAAGTTGGAGACTCGTTGTGGTTCGGATGATTACGCTGCACCCGAAGTCATATTAGGACAGCCGTACGATGGACGCGCTATCGATGCATGGTCCCTTGGGGTCCTCCTGTACGCACTCCTCGAATCGCGACTTCCCTTTGACCCTCCCCCCGGCGCCAGTGACGCGCAGAGAATGCGGAGTAGAACGAGCCACAGAATCGCACGCGTCGAATGGAGATGGATAAAGTATCAAGGCGATGATGGCGATCATGATGCTGATGAAGCGAAGTTCGAGAGTGAGGGCTTGAAAGGGGCGATGGAAATAACGGAGGGTCTTTTGAAGCGAGCTAGAAGCCGTTGGTCTATGGAGAGGGTAGAGCAGCACGAATGGGTCAGTGGTGGAATCAAGGTTGAGGGTGGTCTCAAATTTAGGGAAGAGAAGGAAGGTGAAGAAGTTTTATGACACGGGCGAGATTTTGCTGCTTTTACTTACATCTAGGGATACGCATTCTGTAGCGCACACGGATTTGACGTATCCTTGTACAGGGCCCGAGATCTAGTTCGCTTCGTGGTTAAGAAATGCCTTGCTGAAAAGCAATGGCTTCTGAGATATTACCCAACTGTATTACGGGGATGACTGAAGATGCCGTCCCTTTCTTTTCCGGTGTTTGGTGCCTTTTAGAGAGCGAACGATAGAGCCTCATCGTGTGTCGGGACGTTTAGAGGCACTCCGCCAGTAACAGGTTTTATTCTCTAGAGTCAGTTCTGGTTTGATAGAGCCTTGTATGACAGTAATCTGATCAGGATACTCTGGCCAGGTTAAGGAGAGCGTGTTGCTTGTGTGTGAGTGAGAGAGAAAGGGAGACGTTCCATTTGTACTATCAAACTTCTTTTCTCGAGGCCCTGTTTGTGCTGGGTACCTTGTCTCGCCAGTGCTGCTTCGGCGAGCATATTTACATTACATTACATACACGCGATGTCGGACGGCAAATGGGAATGTATTTGGATTTGGATTTGGATTTGGATTTGGATTTGGATTTGGATTTGGGTGGGAATCGGGAACCGAGGATTGAGAACTGGGAGTTGGGAATTTGGGATTGGGAATCTTTGCTTTACACCGCTGTCGCTGGCTAATTCGTTTCAATAGATAGATAGATAGATATAAGGAGAAAGAAGATGCCTGTTTACATATAGGTAGGTGTGTGGTCTATACAATAACATAATTCTCGATGTTGGGTGGCGGGTGAGAGGGCTTATTTGAAAAGGGAGGAGGAGGAGGAGGAGGAGGAGACCTAACCTCTTGCTTAAAGGGGTTGGGTGTGTTGAGTTATCTTATTCTTTATATGCCATCTTCGGATGGAAGTGTAGTAGTGATGAAAGGCAGATAGATGTAACCTAGAGATCTTCAAGCCAGATAGATGGATAGATAGATAGCTGCATATAGGTGTGTGTAACAATTAGTATTAATAATAGCATCGACGTGTATGAAAAAAGACCGTTGTTGAGGTTGTCGAGTGTTCGTGTGTGTATATAGGCAGGTATAAAGAAACTTATACTAAGAGCTCCTACGAGGTAGACTCTACGTTCTAGGTTCTAAGCTCTTGCAGCCGCGCAGATTTACACTACGTAGGCACACCTACAAGAGCGGATATTTAATACGGGAGGACAAAACAAGACAAGACAAGAAGAAAGGTAGTCTGGCATATGTATGGACCGAGCACAAGCAAGACCCAAATACGAAAAAAAGGGGGTAGGTAGAAATGAAGGAGGGCCAAAAGCCTATGGCAAAGATAAACACCCTTTTTGATTCTTTTAATAACAATGCCGATCTCGGGTATCTTTTTTATTTGTAAAAAAACGCCAACCCAGACGTAACCTACCATCCGTATCACTCTTTTTCGTGTCTCTTTTCTTTTCTTTTCGAGGAACTAGCTCAGCTCATAAGCCCTCCTTTCTCGCCAATCCCTGCCACTGACATTATGTACCGTATCACCATCCCTATCCTCTCAGGAGCCGTTCTTTCGGCCAAATAGCTCGTTCAAGCTAACCTTGCGACCCGTCCTTTGCGTCAAAGTGAGCTCCGCGCCATCACTTGGCGATGTACTCGTCGAAGATGGGTCAGCCGAAGCGCCTTCCCTCTCCTGCCGCGCGGCGCGGGCCTTGGACCACATCTCATGGATAAGCGCGGTGCTAGTGCGTCTGTCCTGCTCGTCCTCGGCATAGATCCACATTCCCAGGACGTTGGGGTTGACGGACTCGCTGTTCTCCATGGGCAGGGCGACGGCGCCGTCCGCGTCGAGCTTGAAGATGAGCAGGCCGTTAGAGAGCTCAAAGTCGCAGACTTTGCTTAGATCGAGGATCAGGTTCTGCAGACCCTTGCGGTTGAGGACGAACAGGCATCCGTTAGCTGCCCCGCTGCCCTTTTCGCTTTCTTGGTAGTCATCGTCGCCGCCTTGTGCGCAGATGAACAGGGTGCCCTCGAGGTTGGACTTGTCCCACTTGGCGGGCGGGGTGAAGACGTAGACAACGGCGTTGGCGGCGATGGAGAGGATGCTGGTTATGCCGGGGCGGTAGCGGCGCAGGACCTTGAGGTTAAGGTCGGTGTTGGTGCGCGTGGCCAGGGAGGCGGGCGGGGGAGGCGGGTGCGAGGCCATGTACCGCACGGTGTCGGACTCGTAGTCGGACGCGGCTGAGTTGTTGGCGAGTTGGAGCTGCTCGGCGGCCTGGGCCCGGAGCTGCTGCGATCGGTTGCGGGAGTGGGTTTGACGCAATTGATGGTACTGATCGGAATGGGATTGCGAGTTGGAGTAGGCGTGTTGCGCATGGGAATGAGGAGAGCGCGAATAAGGCTGCTGCTGCTGGTTTCGGTGCTGTTGTTTGCGGGGTGTTGTCTGAGACATTGTAGTCCGGTTAGTTGGTCTTTTCTTTTCTTTTTTTTCCTCCCTTTTTCTTTGTTTCTTATTGTCGTAACAATTAATCAATAAATCCCTCTATTGTTCTTTGATACGTTGACAATAAGCTACAAGGTGGGAAGGGAGGGAGGGTAAGTTAAAAAAGGAATAGAAGGTTGGGTTTCAAATGATGATGATGTTTTGAATAAGGGAAGCTACATAAGGTCGGTACTTTGCGCCGACAAATTAAAAACATTTTAAACATTCAATGTTCAATGTTGATTCAAACGCAACTGCTGTCAAGCTACTAGGTACATAGGTACTTAGTACATCGGTACCTCTAACTAAATACTAGGTACCCCACCCCCACCTTATAACCTCTAGTTACCCTTGTTAGATTCGGTTAATTACCTAGGGGATGTATACTCCCGTTTATACATACCCTACCTACCTAGTAGGTAGCTAGTACTTTGCACATGATGTATATATGATGCATCTATCCTTTCTGAGGCTGCACGTACATTCATTATTCATTAGGTTGAGTCGCAGCAAATAAATCAGAATATTATAATGCTTATTGTTGTTGAATAGTCGTCTTTGAGCGTCAAGTGCATGAAGCAAGCAATTCCATGTTTGTATGCCAATTGTAGAGCAAATAGCACGCTAGCCTTGAACTTTCCAAGGTTATGCCTAGTTAGTAGTAGCTTATCTAATCGCTTGAAGCTGAGCTGGCTGATCAAGGTTGCATTTCATTTTCTACATCAATCCAATGTTTCAATGTTCCAAGTTTAAAGATTTACATCTATGGATACATTAATTGATACATTAATTGATACCACAAAATCCTTTTTGACTTCATCAGCACACTGCTTAAATAAGAGTCCTTAATGACCACTTTGTATAATTGTGTTTATATAGCAACTGTCCAGAACATTACATCAAAATATATCTCTCGACTGTGTCAGGCATTTCAAGTTAATCGCCGCCCCTCTATAACTATAACGTCACAAGTCACCATGAAAGACTCCAAACCCACTATACGCGATCACGAGTCGACATAGATAATCCACTCATTCATATTCCGAAATAAATACCCATTTCTAGTTTCGTTTTTTCCATTTTCTCACCTTTGGCCACATGATCCACTCCACAATCCGATCTTTTATACCTAATACCCAAGCAACTATGGCGTCTTCCAACCGCGAACCCTCAATCATGTCCGATGCGGAACCTGTCGAACCAAAAACATCGAATATTCATTCACTATCCCGCGCCGTACTTGCTAGAAAATCAGAATATGTCAGGTCACATCGCATACGAATCAAAGTTGGGTCCTGGAATGTTGCTGGTTGTCCGGGCACCGACAAAGATTTAGCGAGCTGGTTCATAGACGGGAAAGGGCTCGAGCCACAACTAGATGCAAAATTGGCCCGGATGAGCTTATCAAATAACGACGAAATTACGGGAGCAAATGAAAACAAAAATGTGTCATCCAAGACAGGTGCGAAACCGGGGACAGGTTTGGGGGAACAGGAAGGGCTGGAACCTTTAGACATGTCTACACAGGGTGGGAAACCTGAGTCACATGTGCGAATGCCAGGCGGTGACAACATAGGACTTTATGTCCTTGGACTTCAGGAAATCGTCAATCTGAACATTGTCACCCAAACATTCTATTCCGATCCCGATGCCATTGCGAAATGGCAGGATGCGCTCGAGGCCGCTTTACCAAAAGGATATACTCTCGTTGCAAGCGAACAACTTGTTGGTCTTTTACTACTGATATATGCATCCCCAGAGGTAGCTGCGACTATTTCCAACCAGTCTACCGTTAGTGTTGGTACTGGCGTGATTGGTCTCACAGGCTACTGGGGAAATAAGGGGGCAATCACTTCTCGACTTCTTTTAGGTGAGACCACTCGCCTCGTCTTCACTAACTCTCATCTCGCTTCCGGCCACGATCAGGCTAGTCTTGATCGACGATGCTGGGACTACAATAGAATTATAACCCAAACTAAATTTCCTCCAATAAATTATGGTGGTGTACTTGAAGACGAAAGCGAAAAGATAGGGGATGAAGATTTCGCCTTTTGGCTCGGTGACCTGAATTTCCGCATTGATGGTCTACCTGGAGAAGATATCCGGCACTTATTGATGTTACATGCCCGGGGCGAGTACGACGTCAGCAAGAAACATACCGGGGAAATGTTCAGCGATGACGGTGTTATAGTATTACGCAACAACGAGGACGATGGTTCAGATGGCACAAATACACCCGGCATGATTTCACGCGAAACTTCCTTTGACAAACACTCAGACGATGAGGATACTGAACTTCCAGATCCCGACGATTTTATACCCGACCCTCACGACGACCCAGCATCACTTCAAGCGACTCTAGATTCTCTACTACCGCACGACCAGCTGAAGCGCATGATGAAAGAGCGCAAAGCATTTCATGAGGGTTGGCGCGAAGGAACCATATCATTTTTGCCGACATACAAGTATGATGTCGGTACTGTGGGCCTTTTCGACTCCTCCGACAAGCAGCGGGCTCCAAGTTGGTGCGATCGCATTCTATATCGCACGCGTACAGACGTCACTCAGTACGAAAAGAAATGTAGAGATGAGGTTGAGGCACGGAAAAAAGATGAAGAAATGAAGCAGAGAGGCATCGATAAGGCTGCGGAAGACGAAAACGTCTTATTTGACTATGATCCCGCAACGGATGCAAGCGCTGACAACCTTGGGCACAACGATTCTTCGTATTACGATTACGACGAGGACGAAGCCGAAGACGATTCGGAGCAAGTAATCACAAAAGAAGGGTTTGTCGATAGGATTCATCTGGATATATATACGAGCCATCAACGGATTATGTCGTCGGATCACAAACCTTTAGTTTCTGTGTTCACGTTGGATTACGATGCTGTCGTTCCCGAATTGAAAGCCAAAGTTCATGCCGAAGTAGCTTGGGAACTCGACCGAGCTGAGAATGAGGGGCGGCCAGGAATCACTGTCCTTGTTGATGGGAAAGACTCGATCGACGAAAAGAAAGTAACGGATGGAAGCGAAGGTATTGATTTCGGAGATATCGGATTTCTTCGAAACAATGTTCGATTTTTAACTATTGCCAACACGGGACGCGTCCCAGCCAAGTTTTCCTTTGTGGATAAGCCAAATGTCGTAGAGGATGCTACGAAGTACCCTCCGTGGCTATTTTTCAAATTTTCTCGTTCGTCAGCTCGTGACGATGAGCAGTCACAGGACCCATTGGGCGACGAAATAACCTTGGAACCAGGGGAAACGGCGGATGCTATCATAGAAGCCAACGTCCATGATTTGGCTCACATACAGGCATTAAATAACGGCATGGCGCAACTGGAAGACGTGTTAATATTACGTGTCATGGATGGGAGAGATCATTTCATCCCAATCAGGGCTACGTGGATTCCGACATGCTTTGGGCGCTCGCTTGAAGAACTCATTCGCGTTCCGCGCAATGGTGGTATCCGAGCACTCGTAGAGAAACGACAAAACGGGGGATCTATACCACTTGCCTTGGAAGTACATAAATCATCGCCAAGTGAACTCTTCAAACTAACCGAAGCCGTGGAATCCTTGGCGGAGCGAACTATAGCGGATGAAAACATGTTAGAAGAGGCAAAGGTACCACGCGATAAACCCGGCTGGCCTTTTGAACAAAGTTCGTGGACTACAACCAATTCCGAAGACCATACCAAACTCAAGGTAGCTATGATCGAGACTTTGGAAGCGGATGGGGATTTGATGGATGCAATTGAAGCCGGAGTGCCGTCGCTAAAACGACTTGAGATCATGAGCGAGGTCTTGCTCCTATTTCTCCGTAGCATGCCAGACGGCATCATCACATCGTCATTATGGGCTCAGATCGAGCAAGCGCTTCCCAGTATAGGAGATGCGAAGAATTCTACGGAGGCCGAACAAGCCAAGAGTACCATCCTCGACATCCTCTCCACGTCACCTTACTATAACATATCTTTTGTTTTTCTCATGGCTATGATATCAAAGGTTGGAAACGAACTAGTTCCGCTCAGCAAAAATGAGACAGAGGCGTTAAACAAACGTAAATCTAGCTCCAGTATAGCACTAGGAAAGCGCATGAGCTTTCGTCGGACCAACACTGGGTCGGTTTCATCGCCAGCAATCGACCAGAGCATAATTCTCCGAAGGATCGCATGGGAGAGAAGAGCTGCTGAGATATTCGGGGTGGCTATTTGCCGCGCGGCAGTACCAGCGAACGCGAAAGAGAAAAAGGCGCTAGAAAATAAGATGAGAGGTGTCGTTGAGGTGTTTTTACGAAGAGACGAGACATGATGATACGCTATAGTAGCAATAGGGGCGGGGAGGGCATTCAGGCATGGGAATGCCACCGATAGAGCGATATATAGACGCAATAGTCACTTAGATCATTTGCTTGTGTATGTCAACCACGCGTGTAGAGGCTATATATGTGTGTTTATGAAGCTGTGCCACTATAAGGACAAAACTGGTCTACACTCTCACAACTCGTTCGTGCAAACCCGTTTTGGCTTCTTTCGTTTGACCATGTCCCAAACGAGGCGATGCTATGATTGCAATTTGATTGGTACCTAGTATAGAATATAAGATTCAACAAAAGTACAAGTGATACGCCGCTGGATCTATTACGAAATAGTCGGTACTACCTAGGTATAACTACCTAATGAGATAGGTATTAGTCTGCTCGGCATAGCATTCACCTTGTCAACCACACGGCAACGGCAGTCCTATATATTTTGTAAGATTACCTACTCTAGGTAGGTAGGTAGGTAGTATCATGAAGATCGAAGATGGCATACCTACCTACTTAAAGTCAAAATAGGATTTTTATTGGCCAAGATAATGACCTACCTACCTAGGTAAACAGGTACCTAGTATTTAAGAAGCCATCATCGTATTAGACCTCATCATGTAGGTTAAAATTCATTGGCCGTCGACATCGCTTTGCCTCAGCCCAAGCCCCACACTATCCCTTCCTACCTGGTACTATTTCCAGATATTTTTAGGTACGATCCTCTTTACCGAAAAGTTCACTGCATTTGTAGGACTAGTCGCGGCGTAGCATGGTGATAATTGTAGAGCAAGACAATCTAGTAGATTGGAAGTGGAATGGGGGAGGAAAAGACACGGTTGGAAAAATCCAAATAAATAACTTCAAGAATCCCATAGAATCAGCATAGCCTTCATCTTCCAATCTGGACAATTTTCATCCAGATCTATACTGGCATTACCAACCATGATGCTTCTCAATGTGCTCGGGCTGCTCTCAGCCGTATCTCTCAGTAGCGGAAGCATTCTTTCGAAGCCGCTCCAGGCTGGGGACCTTGAGGCTAGGGGATCTACCATATATAGAGGAGAGCAAGCCACGGTTAGTTTTGATATTTATCTGATTTCAAAGATTCACCCCTGATATCACGATACCTCCGTGAGACAAAAGGGGTAAAATTGCTAATGCTTCTACATAGCCTGCAACTACCGGTGTCTGGGAAGAAACGATTGAAACGGATATAAGCGATGCCGACGAATCGATCGCGGTCGGTCCACCGGTCGTCAAACGCGCGACGCCCACCAACAGTACGTCTACCCTAATCCCAGCCCCCTCCCCCCCCCTAAACATGAGAAGAAAAAGACACCCCCCCCCCTTATCTACCTACCGCAAGGCCCTTGCTTACCTCCCTACACAGTGCTCCCCCCGCGACCCGACAAGCCAAGCCCGAAAACAACCCCGACACCCTCGCCGCCGAAGGGCACGTGCCGCATGCACATGATCCAGGGGAGCGGCGACGGCAACGGCAAGATGAAGCTGATGCTCGAGCTGTTCGACGAGCGCGGCGAGAGCCTGTTCACCGCGACGAACGACGTGCTGCGCTGGGGCGACGACGCGTCGCTCACGATCCGCTCGGGCAGGCTGCACTTCGCGTTCCCGAAAAAGGGGGGGTGCGCGGGGGGAGGTGATGCTGATGGTGGGTGCGCGGCGGAGGAGGAGGAGGATTTCACGAGGCGGAGGTTCGAGATGGCGTTTAATGGGAAGAGCTGGAGCAGCGATACGAGGAAGGGGGAAGGGAAGGAGCCGTATTGTGCGGTGGGCGGGTGGACGAACCCCGAGACGGGGCTGAGGGTTCGGAATTCGGATTGTTGGTTCGAGTGCTAGGGGGCTGGTGGCCACATGGGTAACCTACTTGCTTGCGTATTTATCTGAGGTATTGAGATATATATGTGTGTGGTGGATATATTGTAAAAATAGGATAGTCTTTATATGGGTGCGTTGAGAAGACATAATCAGAAGACTTTACGGCGACGACGCTGGTCTGGAGTGGGCGATGTGAGCTTTGCTGAATCTCGGGGGTGTAGAAGGCAATATCGGTGTGAACATCTGGCTAAGATATAAAGATGCCGGCTACCTTCTCCCCCAGTAGTCATGCCCATGTGTACCCCCATGATTCTGTTCACGGTACGATGTAGAGGCTGACAAGTTTGAAGATTTCTACCTCTTCTGGGCTGAGAATCTCAACCATCCACCCACCCCCTTTCGTTTCTCTAGTAGGCGCCGTCTTATAGGTACACGAGAAAGCCACGTGCTCCCAGTATTCCCATGCTCCCACCATCCAACCATGTCCTCATTCTCGGCGGAGTATTCAATATCGTATCCTTAACATCGGCTAGAAGCGATTCATTGATTGCCCTTCATGTGTAGAAGGCCTTGATGTCCAAGGTATCGGTTTGTCGGTTGAGAGTCTTGTATTGAAGTCGATTTCATTGCTTAGCTTTGGGGCCCGTGGTGTCTAGGTGATGACGAGAGAACAAATAGAGAGTGAACATGGCAGTGTGTGGCTACGGCCTTGGTGGTACTCCTCGTGGAGGGTTTGAAGGGCTTCGCATGTGTTCACAGTTAGGTACCTAGGCGCCTAGTCAAACGTTAGGATGGGTTGTCTACTAGGTAGGTAGGTACTCAAAAAATCCACGCCAACGCGTCAATGGCTCATTCGAGTCATCGCTGAATTTCCCATCTCATACCCCTCGGATCTGTGATCCAAGTACTGAAAGGTGGCATCGTTTGGTTGGAGGTACCTAGTGAATGGTATGCTTGTCCATGGATAAGAACGACGTCACAGTTCATTCTTTTGAGGTTTAGGTGAGCTTCTACATAATTGGTTGGTATTGGGTATTTGTAGTGACGAAGTATGTAATGTCGATTAAATTTAAAAAAGAATAAAATGACAATAAAAACAAGACAAGAAAAGAAAGAAATGGGAGAGCGTAAAGGTACAGAAGGGTAAAAAGAAAAAAAAAGAAAAAAAAAAAAAGCCAAAAGATTTGTGGTAGGATTGAACCCGCACCCTCGGGCGTCCCACAGTGGTTTTCGTTCTGAACCCGCACTCTTTGGGGAGCCCTGGTGGTTTTCGCACCTTACCACTGAGCCAACCTAGGTTGAAAACCCAGGTACCCGGGTTCTCACCCAGGAAGTGAAAGACATTGTTTTCCGGGCACTTATAAGTTTAACTTCGGGAGGTAGTGAGGTGGGTCACGAGCTGGGAAAGGACAGGAATAATAGTATGGCCGGGTGATGCGGTGGCTGCCTTGGATATAAGGCTTCACTTCACCCTGAGCCTGGTACTTAGCACGGCCCCACTGGGAGGTGTGCTACCTAGGTAGGTACTACTTACATAGTACCTGCTCTCATAATGACTTGTGAGACAAATATTCGACATATAGAAGCCTGGACTAGCAAAGTACTGGAAAGGGAGAACGACACACATAGGCTAGACCAACTGGTTGGTTACTGGGTATGTGAGTACTAGGGAGGTGACCACCTGGGCAGTTATCCACGGGCTCTATGCTTCCTACGCGGTTTCGAGTCAGAATTCTTACAAGCTATAGCATATGAGTACTATAACAATACCTAGACAGAAGCCAAGGAGAAATAGGGGGGTGATTCAGTTTTGCTATCTACCTAGGTACTTAATCTTCCCCTATTTTGCCCAAAGTCTAGGAACTGATCCTGTCAAGGACTGTTATATTCAATTAACTTCGCCCGTTACCATGTGTTGTTCCAATGTCATGTTGAAGCTGCCTCGAGATATATCCGTCAGCCCCTTGGAGACCCATACCAGTTTGTTACTACTAACGTGTTATATGGATAGATTAAGAGATGGAAGGCTTTCAGGGTTAGACTTGTACGAAATTCAAGGTGATGAGAAATATTCTAGGTATGTAAAGGCTATTATTTCTCTACTGACAATCCTCACAATCCTCGAGCTTTAGCCTTCGAGCATGTACTTTACCCAGGGACTCGTCTAGGTAGCTATGTTAATAAGATCTCTATACCTAAGAGTCTGTCTACCTACCTAGGTAACGAGGTAGGCAAGTTCCTAACTCAAACATAATTTCAAACGCGGAGTTACTTCATATATCATCATCGGCTCTAGATTCTCGCCATGTACACGGTATCATTCAAATACGACATAGATTGCAAGACCACTGGTCCCCTGGGATATAAACCGCCAAAGTCTCTCCTCTTACTTCCCTCCAAGATCCGCAGACATGTTCAACACAAGTCGACATCAACTCCCCCCAGGCATACTGCCCGCTCCGCCGGCTCATACAATATCACCTATATCATACCTACCTATAGATGTACGATACCAATGCAACCGGCCGAGAGTTCGCCAAGACTGTGACGGCAGCACGTGCTATGTTATGAACTCTCAAGTAGGCATACCACGGTACGCTACATTATGGGGAGCACGACCGTTTCCTGTACCGTACGCTGTGTGATTTCGGTACCGCCGATATATAGTATATATATATTGGCGCACTATATAGATATCTGCACGAGCTGCGTACCATACGTAGGTACATAGCTGGGAACTTGAGGGTTGGCTCGGCGGTGGCGATGTACGGATTGAGCTGTCCCCTGGGTACCTGTTTACCCCAATACTCTTCTCGAAGAAGATGCTTGGGATGATGGATTGGGCAAGGCTGAGAATAGAGCGATACGCTCCGTATCTATCAAAAGCTTTTCACAAGGCGATTATCACACTCTGCCACGCACACTAGGGCGATATCGCGCTTCCTGTAGAGAGCAACTTGATGAAGCGCTTGGCGCTTCATATTACGCAAGCTGTTTGGATTGCGGCGCTGAATGACTGACGATCATTAAATTGAGATATGCTGGGAGCTTGTTTGGGAAACTTTGGGCGTGGGTGTTGGCGTTGCTCCGAATGTCCTTTGTGGTATCGGCGCGGGTGAGTAGGTAGGGGATATGGTGGATTTCAGGTGAAGGCAGACTGAGAAAAAGATCAGCTCATTACCTAACCTTAGGTGGTTTGCCTACCTACACTAGGTGCCCGACCTAGGCTCGTAGGTGATGTCAACAACTGCTACTATCAAAGGTCCAAGAATATAGTATAGGGACAAGAGGACATGATCAGTTTCTATCGATGTAGATCCGCGTCGAATACGCAAATAGTGCACCTGGGCAGTTTCCGCTTTCGTGCTGTTGCTATCATAACTGACTTGCCAATGTAAGTGAAATGAGCTAGTCAGATGTGTGACTGTCTTGGCCGAATCTGCCATGAGATGCCGAGTGATAGGTAGGCATGAATTGGAATTGAGAGAGAAGATCTTCAATGTTGGTCTCCCATGTATAAGTACCTACGTACCAGACCTACTTACTTACATACTTAACCTCCTTTGATAAGCTTCAGGAGTCTGTATACGCTGAGCGGATGTGTTCTTTCGATATTCGACGAGATTACAAATCAGCCTCAACGACTTCAGCACAATCTACTTGTACATAAACATGAGCTGATTGATAAGAGTAGGCCGGCATGCTATATCCCAAGTTGCATCAATACGCGTGTGTGAGTGATCTAACGATAAGCGCGCCGTTCGCCTCGTACGAGTAGCAGCTGAGCGTAAGCGTTATGACACAACTAAAGCGATGGTGCGATGTTTTATCTGTATACCTACCTATGTACACAACTTAGGGACTTATATAGGCAGTTTTAAAAGTCGTTGCGTTATTGCGTGTTCACCTGCGACTAGACTAGGACCCCACGAGGCCAACGTACATGAGTAGCGTCGAACCAACCCAAAGGGGTGGCGTCTGTACAGAGATACGCGAGATGATCCTTGAAAGCAGCTGAAAATGCTAGCTACCTAGTACTACTCGGCGTACAAGACAGTCAAGACTACAAGTGATGACCAACCTACATAGAACAAAAAGATAACTGGTGGGCGGATAGTTGCACAATGCTCTTATGTTACACGGTAGGATCTCTCGAGTTTGCTCCGTTCCCGCTCCGGTCGCTTATTACCTACCTGGGTATTCCTTTAGTAGTACCGTAGTGACCTTGTTATCTGGTTGTTAGGAATTTGGTATGCAAGCAGCCTGCTTTCCTAAGTCGGGTTTGAAGGGTCAACTACTAAGGGTCAACTACTATATAAGTTACTTGTGTAGTGGCTCAGATGACCTTTGTCTAAGACACCGGCAAGATCTTCATGAGCGGCGTGGGGGATAAATATCTGGACCTCGGAGAAGTGCACAACGAGCCTGCATCAATGATTGCGCCGAACTTGGAAACGGAGGTGATTATGTATGTTGCAGTATTGTTAGAGAGAGAGAGGTTAGAGAGAGAGGTTGAAGAGAGAGTACTAGGAGTCTAGGACCCCTGATCAGCACTGAGACGTAGCACTACCATGTACCTACATCCTAGGTACATCCATGGCCCCCGGCTCTACTGTTAGTCTGTTAGCTCTGGATATGTCCGTTTGAAGGAAAAGAGCTTGATTTCATTGGCCAGTGGTGTTTTCTTATCTCTGGGCGTAGCAAGCTCCACCTCTTGGCAAAGCTTGGCTCGATGCAAAAGCTTCCAAGGTTCATTCAAGTTCCTCCAAGATACCTGATACCTGCCTGCCCTACACTAGCCTACCCTACATACACACCTAAGCTACCTAAGGGTACAGTACCTACGATATTAATCATCATTTTAAAAGACAAAGGGAAATTCAATAATCAGTCCAAAGAGGCCGAAATCATGAAACTTATGTATATCTTACATGTCTGTAATAAACATGGAAGCTGCTAGGTACTATGTAGGTAACTATCAAATATACTGTTGGTACATACCTAAAATAGACACATCCGTCTCGATCTTCAGTCGGGTCGGGTCTTCTTTTACGTCCAGACTTGGAGGCCAAAAAAGCTCAAAGCATCACAGAGCCTCAACAAAACGCGGTGAATGAAATAGATCAATGTTTACCTTACGGATGAACTACCCCCTCAATCAAAATATATAAGTTGTTCTTTGTCCCGACTCGACGCTGTAATCAGCACTACACATCTAGGCTTTGTTTGCTTCAACTTCGATACGAACTTCGGTTAGGGGTTTCATCCGTCGATGCATCCAAGGGGCTAAGCATGGCGAATCGTGGGTAAAGCTGTAGCTCGTTCTTGATCATCATTGGCCAAACCCCCTCCTCGTCGTTGAGATATGCTCAAGAATTGACCAAGATTCACACTGCCTACCACGTGTACATGCCTATATGCTTGCTTCGGCCGCAGCGTTAAATTTTCTATGGTCGTGCAAGTTCTCTGCAGCACTACCGTTACCGTGTTCCCCGGGCAGTGTTCTATGATGATTGTAAGACATGAGTATTTCAGCTTTGGCAAAATCCACGAATGGAAAAAGTTCCCGCGTGGTCCGACTTTAGGAGACGATGAGACACTGCCAGGTGGAAGGTGGAACACACTCACACTTACACACAATGTCACACATCTCTCTCAACATTGAAATGCCCAAGGCATGTGATGTTGCCGTCGGTCTTAATGCCTACCTAGGTACCTACCTAAAATTGCAACACTTCCAGGACCGTCCAGCTGGGAACTTCCAAATATCTACCTACATGCGCTTCTTCCAAGGAACGTTCTCAACTTTTTATATTAAACACCTTACGATGGAGGCAAGTATGTATGTACGGCTGTAGCAAACATATCTAGGCACATATGCACATGCACCATACAGCTGTACGGTTAAGGGGAAATTTTCGTCACTTGTCCTAATGGATCTTAGCTGAGACTCGACTGTAAAGCTGAACATTGAAGAAAGTCATCTGGCCACTAACTACATATGCCAATATGGATATGCTTCGTGGAAGGAATCATGCCCTTCCTTCGACCTTGAAAGTTCGTCTCGCTTGTCGTCTCTTTTGAGTGGTGATCCTCCGCTCGCGCAGCCACAACGTGTGTCGGGCCACCGTATCTATCTCTATGTAGTTATGTATTAGACCTAACTAACTATTACCCAGCGCCCTACATGTAATCTCACCACAATGCCAAGAGCGTCTAAATACCTACCTAGGCAGTCAAGGGTACAATACCTCTAGTGTAGCCAGGGAGATGGAATGGGGAAGTAGGGTAAGGCATGCAGACGAATCGATTCGCCGCACCCGTAAGAATCCACTTAGCCCACCGTCTTCTCGGGTCCTTATCAGGAGCTCCACCAAGCTACCCAGCATGTAAGTCAACGTCAAGGGCCTTTTTTTTTATTTATCTCTTTTAATTGTTGAAGCATCCAGTCAGCCAGTAAGGGGGTTCCAATCTCTCTTATACCTCACTAATACTTTAGGTAGTACTTACTTAGGTAGGTACTACTCGGTCCAAAGATAGCTACTTAGCGAGACCTCGAGCATTGAACCTTGAATACACAGTACCTAGTAACTACTATGTATGTATTAGGTATCTAAAGGTACATTTCATGTGTACATACATATGTAGAACAAAGAAACTTGGTAACCGGGCCGGCTTGAATGCTGTTCTTTCAGGACCTTACGATGTACATGTACAAGCCATGAACGCCTTTTCTCTCTGACAACCTTAATGTAGAGCACACGGATAAGTGACTCAGGCAGACAATCAATGTCCAGGTACATAATCAGTACCTACCAGTGCTACCACAAGAAAAAGGTACATACTAGGTGCATACATACATGTACATGAATTGATCTGATCCAATCGAGGAAACTTCCCGAGCTGCACCACCGCCGCCTGTATTTAGGCACCGTCATCCGCCCCTGGCATCTGTTATATGCACGAACTTCCTACTTCCTTCCCTTCTCCCTTTGTCGTGTCTCTTATTTCCTTCCACCCAAAAAGCAAATCGCGACAAACCCAAAGCTTTTGTGGGACGAGTGTCTCACACCCGAGAAGCATTGCCCTAGGTAACCTACATATTGTAGTGTTTGACGAAAGGTCAACCACCTATACCTTACAGTAGGTTTTGGAATTTGGATCAACATTTGAGGTTTTGTCTTTTAATAAGAGGGCACACCACGAGACAACATTGAAGACAAGACAAGACAAGACAACACTCCCGTCGCCCGAGTCGTGATCGACGTCCAGCAATGTCCTCCAGCTTGTACGTCACGCCTTACAATGGCACCACCGGCGAGGCGGACGCCGGTTACTCCACCGATGTCACGGATCTAAATCAGTTCTACGAGGTATGGAGCCAAAATGAAAAAAGGGAGGAGACAGGACAATGCTAAATTCCGTCATTTTAGGGTGGTGACTTCGCCTGGATCATGACGTGCTCCGCGCTCGTCCTGCTCATGATTCCCGGCGTCGGCTTCTTCTACTCGGGCCTCGCCCGGCGCAAGTCGGCGCTGTCGCTGATCATGCTAGCCATGCTCTCCATCGCCGTCGTCGACTTCCAGTGGTTTTTCTGGGGCTACAGCTTGACCTTCTCCCACACTGGCAGCGCCTTCATCGGCGATCTGTCCAACTTCGGCCTCATGAAGACCCTCGCCCAGCCCTCCGTCGGCAGCACCAAGGTCCCCGATCTGCTCTTCTGCTTGTACCAGGGAATGTTCGCCGCTATTACGTGAGTCTTGCCCGGGTTGTGCGTTGTTGCGCTCTCCCTTTCCTATCTACCTATCCTATCCTGTCTCTTACCCCTACGCTTTATTCTAACCATAATCGCACCTGAATTCAGACCAGCTCTTGCGATCGGCGCCGCGGTTGACCGCGCCCGTCTGCTACCTTGCATCGTCTTTATGTTCGTCTGGGCCACCATAGTGTACGACCCGATCGCGTACTGGACCTGGAACGCCAACGGCTGGTCGTTCAAGATGGGAGGCCTCGACTTCGCCGGTGGCACTCCTGTGCACATCTCGTCCGGTGCCGCCGCGCTCGCCTTCTCCGTCATGATCGGCAAGCGATCCGGCTACGCCAAGTCCGCCGGCCTGCCTTACCGCCCTCACAACGTCACCCACATCGTCCTCGGCACCGTCTTCCTGTGGGTCGGCTGGTTCGGCTTCAACGGCGGCTCTGCGCTCGCCTCCAACATGCGCGCCGTCATGGCTTGCATCGTCACGCACCTCGCTGCTTCCGTCGGCGGCATCACCTGGGTCTTGCTCGACTACCGTCTGGAGAAGAAGTGGTCCGTGGTTGGTTTCTGCTCCGGCGCTATTGCGGGTCTCGTGGCCATCACGCCCGCCGCTGGTTACGTCACCCCCTGGGCTGCCGTCATCTTCGGTATCGTTGGTAGCATCGGTTGCAACTTTGCCACTAAGCTCAAGTTTGTGATGGGTGTTGATGAGGCTTTGGATATCTTCGCTGTCCACGGTATTGGTGGTATTATCGGTAACTTGTTGACCGGCATTTTCGCAGCGTAAGTCTTGCCTTGTATCTTTGGCTGCCCATGACTCAAAGCGAGTCTGGTTGGATTTCGTGAAAAGTGCTAACCGTTTTATAGTGATTACATCGCAGCGCTTGATGGCTTCACCGTCATCCCCGGTGGCTGGATCAACCAGAACTATATCCAACTAGGATACCAGATCGCCGACTGCGTCGCAGGTTTCTCATACTCGTTCGTGATGACATGTGTCATCCTGTTCCTGCTAAACCTGGTCCCGGGCCTGAGCCTACGTGTTTCAGCCGAGAACGAGGAGATCGGCGTCGACGACGACCAACTGGGCGAATTTGCCTACGACTATGTCGAGCTACAGCGCCACACCACCGATGTCCTCACTGGCACCTCCGAGTTGGCAACCCCGGGTACTGGCCGTGCAGGCTCGTCCAAGAGCAGTGAGGGTCCCGAGAAGATGGTATAGATATTGGAAGCATGCATGCATGTGGTGGCGTTGTCTATAAAAAGAAAATGGAGTCGAGTCGAGTCGAGTCAACAACATAACATACCATACCATTCAAGTTCGCCTAGTCGAGCCGTCATTTGAAGAGGAAAACCAGAAAAAATACCACGCCTGTCTTGTCTTTAGGAGATGGCGTCGAAATCAAGACATCGTATAAGATGACACATTACATAATAGTCGTTGTTGCAAAGGTTTCTGTGTCAATACAATTGTTCTTAGATTTGATTGTTGAAGTGGAGTCATTATACCCCTTTTTTTGTATGAACAGCATAAAGAAATCATCGTTTCTAAGTTTACGACCAGACGTAGACTGGGTACCGAGTATCTAGTGCCTAGTTGATAGAAGATGAAGTATGCTATAAACAAGACCTTTTATTCTAGTGATCAAATCTTGGGTCCAAGTAGCTATGGATTCATCGTTTAGGTATGTCAAGTTCGATGGCAGTTAGGTAGATGGACTCGTAATAGCACTCAGTGACTATCTAGGTATCTCTCGATTATGATTAACCCAACATATACAAAGAGTCATATCCTTACCTAGGTCGCAAACTTGAGACCTAGGAAAAAGAGAATAGGTATTGTTGAAGAAGAAATTGATTCGTAGACCGGCCAATTTACGCACGATCTCATTGAACCGAGATGCAGCAACTGGACTAATCCCTTTCAGTTAGTGAACAAGAAGGCAAAGAATGGCGATTTGCAGCCTCAATGACTCCGTCCAAGGTAGATAAGAACCGCCATGGCATATTAAAATGTTGGACACAATCTCTCCTAAAGGTTCGTTTAGACGATCGATCTCCAAGTAGAGGCTACTTATAAAAGTCTTAAAAGTTTTTTGGAAACTTTGTGATGATTACTAGGTAATCAATCATTTGTATTGTCTATACATCGTCATAAGAAATTGTAGCTTCCATCATGAGTGACAACCAAAACAATCCGAATGCGGGAAATGCGAAACAGACGGGATGGGCTGCGATGATGTCCAATATGAGCCTGTCTACTGAAGCAGGGCAAGCACCGGAAGCAGGTAGCGCATCCACGGGAAAAACTCCAGCAAACCAAGCAAACCCAGCACCTAGTGGAACAGGGCAGGCACCGGCAGCAGGCAGCTCATCCACGGGAGAAGCTCCAGCAAACGCATCAAACGCACCACCTTCCGTAGGCCGATACATTCCCCCACAATTGAGGACTGAGCCGTCAGTTGGGGCGGCAAAGCAACCAGCTGAACCGCCTCAACCAGCGCCAGATCCACTGGATCGACCCATGGCTCAGCCACCAAACCAACGAACAACAGATGGCCGACGCGTTTTTCGAGGAATTAGACAACCGTTCCCACGGCCTAGGGTACCCATAGTAAGCACCGCGGATCTCACAGAAGAAGCAGCCTTACAATTAAGGAACAGAATCCAGGCAAAAGGGGTGTGGTATCATCCTTCCCTGTCGCTTAGAAGTCGCTTTTACACCCGCAACCCATGCGACAGAACGCTAGGGTCTAACGGCGACGATAGAGAGCAGCTCGACGCCGTGATAGTGATCAGAGACATAGGGAATAGAAACCGGGAACAGCTGACAGCACATGTCATGGATGAGATCGGGAAGATGGAAGAGTTTGCTTCAGAAGGGCTCCCGTTAGGCGAGCCTGCCAATGTAAAGATCCAGACGAACCCTGAGGGCAGGTTGTTTCTCCAGGACTACGACGATCTCATCCAAGAATTGCAAGAGATGGAGCGCAGGATGAAGATGCATGGGTTGGCCGACGAGGCGATCAAGATCTGGAACGTCATGTGCGAGGCGCAGGGCTGGGACCCCAAAACCATTCAAGACAGGGGCCTCAGCAGGGAGTTCTTCCACGGCCTGACCACCCAGTACAGCTCGCGAATCCGGCACATGAGGGAGCAGCGTCGGGCGACCGATGAGTCGATCCCCGAAGACGATGAGCAGATCCGGCTGTTCATCCAGCGGTTCAACGTCATCCTTCATTCGCCATGCTTCACCCTGGATCTGCGCGCGGCAGAGTATTTCGCCAACTGGGCGGAGAGCCTGGTCGGTGACGACAACTTCTTTGGATGGGGCACCAATCCCCGGCTCAGGCCACGAACTGTGATATTAATGTTTGAAGGCACTTATATGATGCCGTTTGACAAGGCACAGATATTGAGTAGGTTTATGATGAACCCCTTACCCCTTACCCCCTTTTTCCATAAAAAAAAGAAAAAGAAAAAGAAAAAAGATTTAACAAGCAAAACGCATAATTCCAATTTAATTGATTGATTGAACTATATATGCTAATGAATTCCCCCTTTTCTCTATTTATACAGAGGCCGACCCCTTCTACGCCGGCGACATCGAGGTAATCGACAGCTGGCTAAGCTACCGGTACCAGCACGACCGACTGAACCCGACGCGAAGGGAAGAGACGGACGAGATCCACAGGAACCGGTACATGCCCTGGCTCAACGCGCTGATCGCCGTGGTGCGCCCGGTCCGCGAGCTCACCGGGGAGCGGCTGGAGGAGTACCGGACGGCGGAGACGATGCGGCGGGCGTTCGTCGCCTGGATGGACGCGAACCGGCAGCACCAGTGGACGGGGACGGGGCGGTGGTGCCGGTCGGTGGTGCACATGTCGACGAACCCGGACAACGCGGCGCGGCAGACGCTGCGGCGCCGCCAGGGCTCGGGCTGGTACTGCCCCTTCCACAAGCAGATCGTGCGGTGCAACGGGTGCGGCTGGCAGTACCGCTGCGTCATGTGCGCGCACCCGCACACGTGCCCGTCCTGCAAGATGCCCTTCTTCTGCGTCGACTGCGGCGCGCGCTCCTTCGACGCCAGCACCAACCGCGCGTCCTACATGTACACCCTGCTCGAGGCCGACATGGCGGCGGGCCGAGTCCGCGACGGCACGGTCGTCACGCCCGTCCGCCACGACAGCCTCACGTACGCGCACACCCTCAACGGCCGCAGCCCCTACATCGAGCGCTCGCCGCCGCACGGCGGGTTCTCCGACGGCCGCCAGGCCACGCACATACCGAACAACCACCGCAAGTTCGACCAGTTCACCAACCTATATTCGGTGCTCGAGGTCGAGGGCGCCACCGACACCGAGGACGAAGACGGCAACGGTAGCGGGAACGATGGTGGCGGTGGCGGTGATGGTGATGGTGCTGGCAGCCCCGTCGTCGACAATGATGACGACGAGAACCCCGCGAACAAGTCTGCCGCCGCCGCCCAGGCGTTCCTCTCCTACGATGGCGAGGACGATGGCGACAGCGACTGGTGGGCGGGCGAGGAGTTTCAGAGCTGGCACGCGGACGAGGACTACGAGAGCTACCGCCGGCAGCAGTGCGAGAAGGGCAACCACCATTATGCGCCACTTCCCCACCACCAGCATCAGCATCAGCACGAGGAGCAGCAGCATCACCACCACAATCACGAGGAGCACCAGCAACAGTCGCCCCCAGAGATAACCATCACCTCCGCGACCCCCCAGCCACCGAAACACCTATTCCACGACCTCGAGCCTCGGCAGCCGACGCCCATGCCCGTCTCCGGCGCGCACCTGGACCCGCACTGGCGGTCGCAGGCGGACCTGCTGGAGGACATGGTGCGCAGGCGGGGGCCGTCGGCGCTGGGGCGGATCGTGGAGGAAGGGCCGAGGAAGCGGAAGGCGGATGGGGATGACGATGACGAGGAGGAGGAGTGGCAGAGGAGACGGATGAAGCGGATGAGGGATTATTGGCATTTGGGGTGAGGGGGTTTTTGCTTCCCCCCCCCCTTTCTTTTTTTTTGCCCGGCCCTTGTGCCTTTCTCATCACGGAAAGTTGGTTGCTTGTGTACATATGCGGCTATGTTTTATTTGTTTTCCAGCGTTTTCAAAAGCTATTTTTTATTTCCCCATCTTGAGCTCTTATCGTTAGAAGGATAGGATAACCCAACTTTTTGGTCTGTTTTTCTTGGTGTCGTTATCATGCTCCGTGGACAAAAGTCGGTCGAGTAGATAGGTACCTAGGTAGTTCTGTATGTAGCTTGATGTTGTATGAGAGTAATGATATTGATTACTTTTACTCGGGGGGCTAGGTACCTAGTAGTGATCCCTTTTTCCTCCTCTTCTTTCCTCTCCTGCCCATCGTACCCCAGTACCCAAAGTAGATCTGTGCAAACTCGGGATATGAACTTCTCGTAAAAGATCGGCGTGTGTCTAATATCCAAAACCCATAGGTAGGTAGGTACTTGCCCAGTACCTAACCTAGGTAAGACATAACCCCCCAAAACACCTAAGCTAGAAACACAGTGGCGAGATAGATATGAAAACAATAAACAATAATTTTCAAAAAGATAGATTATGACGTTGGCTCCAAATCCGAGCCTCTCAACTAGTAGGTAGTAGGCAGATATAGGTTGTTAGGTGGGTACGCATGCACACACAGGCTCTCCCCTTCACCTCAGGAGCCCAGCACGCACCTGACCCTCTCGAACTCGCCCAGGGCGTTGGGGAGCACCTTGATGTACTCGACATTCATGTGCCTCTTCTCAAAGTCCCAGAACGTGTTGGCCCAGGTATACCTCGCCTCCGCCGGGACCGCCACAGCCGCGTCCTCCTCCTCCGCCGCATGGCTCGGCGACAAAGACGAGGATGCCACGGACACCGACGAGGACGAAGACGACGACTGCTGGTTTTGATTCTGGTGCTGGGAGTGGTGGGGGTGGGTGTGGTGGTCCAGCTGGCCCTCAAGCCGCATGATATCAACCACAGCGCTCAGCGCGTTGAACCCGTCCCAGACGCCCTCGCGCCTGTCGAAATCGCCCATCAGCTCGACCACCTCCCTGCGCACGCGGGCGACGCGGCACTTGGCGGCGACGAACGCGAGGATCGGGATCTTGGCGACCTCGTTCGTGAAGCCCATCCTCGCGGGCGCGTCTGCCGGGGGCGGCAACTCCTCGAACAGCCGGTAGCGGTGCAGGATGTCGTCGAAGTCGGGGAGGAACTTGTCGTACGCCATCTCCGTCGGGTCGAGGCAGCAGGACACCGCCACAACCGCCACGCTGTGCCAAAGGCGCAGCAGCTCGAGGCCCCTCGTGTCGCGGTGGTTGCGCGTGTCGGCGGCGTGATACGCCAGCGAGGCGAGCCACACGCCCAGCTCGCTCAGGATGGACAGGTACATGGCCTGCTCGCCGTAGGCGTCGGCCTCGTCGAAGGCGTAGCGCGGGCTGGCCTTGTACCACTGGGCCTTGCTGAGGAAGTTGGCCATGCGCACCTCGAGGTGGTCCCAGATGTGCTTGGCCTGCTCGACGGTCTGCGGCGGCGAGAAGGTGAACGGGCTGTCGAGCGGGACGGCCGCGTCGTCCTCCTCGCCCTCGTCCTCGTCCTCGTCCTCGGTGAGCAGGATGTGGTACGCGAACTTGCCGTGCGCGAAGGGTATGTACGCGCACTGCACGCTGTGCCGCAGGAAGATGCTCGTCATCTCGTCGACCTCGTCCTGCTGCGCTGTCTGGTACCGGTGCCATTGTCGTCGTAGGATCGACCGCGAGCCGCTGCTGCTGTCGCTGCCCCGGTTCCGCATGTTCGTCAAAACCTTGATGCCGCTGCGGATCAGGTTCCCCGAGCTGTGGTAGTTGCCCTGCATGTTCTCGAACACGATGAACAGGAGCGTGGCGGCCATCGTCAGACGCCCGTCGATGCCGTAGGACCTGATGTTAGACCGTAGGTGAGAAAGCGCCTTGGCGTGGTGGACGAGCGCCGCTTGGTGGTGCCGGTTGGGTACCGCCGGGGGCCGCCACGTTCGGAACACCTTGCCCGTGGGCTCGTTGCGGAAGTCCATGAGGGCACGGCCGTACGCGCCTATGCTGAGAATCGAGTGATGCACGCATTGGTTGGTCAGACTATCTCGGAGCGAAGTCTGGGTCCAGAACTTGGACGGGTAATACGGCGAGAGCTCGTGAGCGATCTGGAATCTGAACAGCGTGAAATACCACTTGTCCTCCTCGTTCATCTCAAACCCGAACCTGGGCATCGGTGTGGCTAGAGGGCGAAGATGTATAGACTGAGGTGGCGTTGACGTGGCAAGTGTCTTGCTAGATGACTCCAATATGGAGGCTAGTTTCGGTTTGGGGAGCAGCAGCCGTTCAGGCCGATGTGATTGGGCTTTGGCTCTGGGTGGTGCGTAGCCCTCACACATCAGTCCTAGGCGCTCGCATTCTGCGCAAGCTGGCTTGCCTTCGTCGCATTTTACCTATATACGAGTTTAAGTTAGTTGTCCCAAGTCATGATCTTGATGAAGTGACAGTGACAGTGACAGTGATAGTGTGAAAGAAAAAGTAGTTGTATTATTAGGTATCCAGCCCACAAGGCTAATAGGCTTCATGCTTGTCTGTCTACATGGTGCCTATGGTGCCTATGTAACGACAGTATCGATGAAGCGAGGTTCAAAGACCTCAGTATAGTAGGTAGCATATATATGGTATATGGCATGTGGCATGATATGGTATGGTATATACTAACATGTCTTCTTTTACAGCTAATGCACCCTATGAAACTCGGCGGAGAAGGTATTAGCTAACGTATTCATTCTTCAGCTGAAACGAACGGGACAGGGCTGAATAGGTAGGTTTTCTTTTTTCTTTCTTTCTTTCTTTCTTGTTTTAATTACCTGTTCGGACTTTGGGCTTGCTTGCTCTCTTCCGGGTTGGTCGTAATACCTCACTTCGTCGGATATTAACGCAGCTCTTGTTCGTTGAATCGAGCAGCTGTTGGCTGCGCTTATTTGGTCGCGGTTTTGTCATATTGAGTAGTAATAGTAGTAATAATAGTAGTAATTATCTATTTCTTCTTTTTTGTTGGTAATGAGTAGCTTGTCTCTTGTAATACTCGGCTGTAGTCCTTCGCTGACCCGCTATCGCCCAATTGTTAGGTAACCTGGGTAGGTAGTTTTACTCGGATCTTTCTTTTTGCTAGCCTGAGGAAATTTGGTTGATCTAGCTTAAACGGAGCAATGACCTGATTGATCAGTAGAGAGATGAACGGGTGATTATTTTGATCTGGAATAGAAAGGTATATATTTGTAAGCAGGGGGGGAGGATTGGATAGGGTCGTCGTAAGCCGGGAGACGGGCTGCGGGATCAAGGGGTCGCCTTAAATGGCAAACCTCTGATACCCGGAAAACCAAGCCCAAGTCCTTGGAAATACGGAAATCGAAACCTCATTTATCATGAGATAATACTATGTAGCACAGAAACAGAGCACCAGGGTTATTCACAGTAGGATGGGTCCACCCGAGCAGAAGTGGTGGCAATACCAATCTATAAACAGGGGTTATTTGTGTACCTAGCAGGTTAGATAGGTAGTTAGGTATGTATATATACCTACTATGTAGGTAGGTATGTTGTGTGTAATTTCTGTGTTGAGCATGTAACTGTCAAGTATGTATTCAAGTAATCGTCATCAAGCTACTACTACTACACGTAACGGATGTAGGTATCCTCCCCCTCTATAACTACTACATTGTATGTAAGGTATTAACGGTTCACCTATCGTGATCATGTAGGTCCTAAGTCCTTAGACCTCGGCCCCGCAAGCGGTGAGATAAGATCCATCGACCAAAGAATGAGTACACACTCCGTCTGTAGTGTATGTACTATGTACTGTATTTGTGTGAGTAAGGTACCTAGCGTCTTGGGTGTGGATAGCCATGTGGGTTAGCAATAATATCGTGGGGCAAAGTGGTATCCAATATCTTGTCGAGTTATTCTTGAACGAGAAAGCACACAAGCATTCCCTGATCGATCTCACCAGCCGCTAATCAACCTTTCCTTTTGCATCCCTAGTGTTGTAGGGCTTGGAACAAGACCTACCTACTAGGTACCTAATCGATCTGTAAGGCATACAGGTCCACGTGTATGTGAGTATATTCCTTTTGCATGTCATAGAAAAGGGCTGAAAAAGGAAGTTTCTGGTGCATTGGTAGGAAATATGTAGGATTCAACGGGTTGCTAGGCTGTGCTCGTTACTAGTTCGAGAGGGCTTAGACGGAGTCACTGACACACTGTGCCTCAAGCTCGCAGGTATGAGGGACCAGCCTACTCTTAAAGCAACTTTGAGATCTTCATCGGCGACCATAGAGCACTGGCTTTCAAGATATCCCGACAAGTGGTGGTAGTTGCTTCATAAAAGCCCCCCCTCCCCTCTCTTACATACATACTGTAGTAGGTAAGGCCCCTTTACAAGCCACAGACCCATCAAACAAACGTGTTGATGAGAAATTAGTGCAGCCGATATTCGGCTATTAATCCTTGTGATAGGCTATGTGCTTGGCGATGAGGAGGGTATCCATCAACAATATTAAAGTTATTACCGGCGTCGATGCTGCACTGATGCTGCGTCGATGCTACGTGCTTTTTTATGCCTACCTGGCTAACCTAGCGGGAACCAGTCGCTTCTCCCTCGCGCGACCGGCAAGAGGCGATAAAGCCTAGTCCGTTCAGCCCTAAATAAGAGGATTTCGCTGTAGATTTCGCTAGAGTAGCCTTGGGGGCTACGTGGTGGTTAGTCTGACGTGAGATTTATAATGCTCACCCTTCCCAGGTTGGCGGTAATGGACCTTTGTATGTGCATTGTGTAATCAAGTATTTATTTACCATATATCTGCTGTCGACACATCAACTGCATTGGTTACATGAGCAGAGCTGCATGCCAATGGAATTTCATACAATGCAATGCTACTAGTCTGCTGGTCTGCTAGTCCTACACATGATGTGTTTATTGCTGGTTTGCCCACCATACATAAATGGGGTAAAAGGGGTAAAAGGGGCTTTGTGTACCTCGAGACTCGGGAGCAACTACTGTGTAGTTACAACTTGTTCACTTTATGTACCCGGTAGAATTATCATAGTAAAATTCATATGACAATAGTTAACAGATCTTTTATAGGAAAGGGAGCTTCTGGAAAACGCTATAGCCACGTGCGTGGTGGTGTTGGGGGGTTCTCTTTAACATTACACTCGATGGAACGTTTCAAATTGCCGGTAATTAGGGCTTAAGGAGGCATCTCTTTGTGCCGCATAAGGTTGACAAATCAATGAGCTACCTACAGCTGATTCATACAAGATATCTCCACTACTTGGTACTGAATCAAGACTTGGAAAACGACGTTGTAATTTCTTACTGTGCACAATTATTATATGATTAGTATTCATTTTGAATGTTGTATTTAGGGGGTTGCGATAAAGTCCATGGCAGCAATCTTCTAGTCGGTCCTAGTCAGCCCACGTCCGTGACGGAGTCCGTGATGGATCCATCCCTAGGTAGGTACTTTTACATAAATTACATAAATAATTACCCAAACAGGCCAAATTCACGGCGCATACATGATCAGCATGCAACCTCAGTATTTTAAGAGCGGCCCATGGACCCATAACATCATGGATCCCAACCCAACCCATCCCATCCCCATGCTCATCCCCATGCCTATCCCCATGTCCATGTGGTTCCATCGGATCCGTCATACCTCAGTCTCGACGCCAGTATCCTTTTCCCCATGTTGGAAGATACCACTAATGTTACCCTTGATCCTGCTCAGCTTACCGCCTATGTGGTTAGCCTCTCTCGCGGGCCGCCACTGCACTATAACAACAGGAGTTAGCAATTACCTCTTTGAGCATATAACTTTACATATATTTCGGAAGTATAAAGACTCCCGGCACGGGCTGTACGCTAGAAAGGACGAGATTGCTCCCGATATTACTTACTTATGCCCCGGTGCTTGCGATGGAGCTGTTTGTGGTGGTCCTTGTAATCACGTAACTGTCCTCGTACACCTCTAGACCCATCGTCAGGATCGTTATGTCCCGGCGCCAGCACAGACGTAGCTACTTCGCTTAGCCCATCGACGGGGCTGCGAAATATGTTCTTGGCTTTCTTGAGACCCGACAGTGATAAGTGGGACTTGTTCGAGGTTCCGTGACCATCACCATGCTCCTCGTCGTCGGAGCTAGCAGATGAAGAGGAGGAGTCGTTCGTATGGACGCGGAGCTTTTTACGGGTTTCATCTTCTGTGTCATTGTCGCTTGACGTATCGTCCTCGCTTTCATCATACTCGTCCTCGTTATCGTCAAGTTTCTCGTCAGTGATCGTATCCAAGCATTCCATCACATTCCGCAACTCATTGTTCTTAGCTTGAGCGGCATAGACCTTGTGATATCCAGAAAGACCACGCCAAAATCTGAGCTCTAGTTCAACTTCGCCCAAAGGCTGCTCGCCATCTGCCATGCCATTGTAGTCACAGCATGATTCCGCTTTCTTCAGGCCATCCTTCGATCCTTTCCATACCTTCAAGGTCTTCGTCTCATTTACCTCGTCCACAAGCTCGTGAAGCCACAGGACCGCGAAAGCTGCGGTTCTATCTGGCCCAAGCACGGATTCACGAAATTCAATCACCATGTTTGAGGCGTATCGTTTACGGATGGCCAAGAACATAGCCTCATCGCGTGTCTTATTCTTAGGTACCCAAGAACCGTTTTCTGGAACCATCTTGGCGCGTCCTAGGTTGGTTCGTATCTTGGCACGGTGTTCTGTTAGAGACTTAGGTAAATCGGCTTTCGCCTTCATAGAGCCTCGGATCTCCAGGGTTCCATAATCCCATCCGGTGAGATTTGGAGGAAGTTTAACCTCAACACTTCTCCAAACCATGCTTAGACGCACTCGACCGTAGCCAATGCCTCCCACCACTATGATAACAATAGGTTTAGCAAACTTGTATATTTAATACATGTGACGTGGGAGTATGATCCAATTTTAGAAATTATCATGCAAGACGGTGTCTACTGCGGCTACTGGGTAGAAAGTAGGATTGACTTACAAGGATAATTCTCCATAACCTGGCTCCTCTTCGCAAACACTTTCCTCAGTGGTAGGTAAACGATCCCGAGAAGCGGATCATCTTCTCGCTCCCGTGAGTCCCGCACGCTAATAATGATCTCGGTATCTCTCCAATCTCGAACGAAACGTTCGGTCCCGGCGTTGAAGAATGGTTTCGAGTTCTTTGGCTTCGTCCGTGTTCTGTAGATCTTCTTATGATTAAGTAGGATAGTGCAGTAACTGTCAGGCATGTCATCGCGCTGCTCCGCTTCATCTTCGTCTTCTTCTCCCTCTCCCTTGTCTGTCTTACGAAGCTTTTGTACTTCCAACCCGGTGATATTATGTATCTGCACACTGACAATACCCGAAACGAAGTCAGTAGACGGCGGCGCTGAGACAATCATAGCTTCTTCGAGTTCTCTGTAGTCTTGGGCTTTCTGTTGCTTAACCTCTTCATCGTCTGAAGGTTTTCCGGACTCCCTAAGCTTGTGCTCTGATAGCTCTGAGACGTGCTGCTTGAGCTGTTCTTTCGTCTTTATCTCTTCGTCAATAGTCTGCTGCTCAAACTCCTTGGAAGTGATCCTCTTCTTCGAAAAGTACCCAACGGACCAAGTCAACGACCCTGGCATTGCCTCATCAGGGTCCTGGCCGGTGAACCGGTCCTGACGGTCGAGCATTTTATTCGAATTTTTTATCAAGTATTTCAGATCTATTTCCACGCGGCCTAGATCATCATCCGCCGACCACTTATCCGAGTCCCAGAGCTGGAGTCGTAACTTTTCTTCTGCGTTCACTTCTTCTGGGGTCACCAGTATACTGGCCCATTCATGCCACCTTGGGTTACTATCGCCCGTAATAATGCGAGTCGAAGCAACTGGCTTTCCAAATTTGCCCCAGGATACGGTGACGTATGAATCGCTCGAACCTTGTATAGGGCCCACTCCACCGTCGCCCTGCTTGAAATCTTGTGCATCTTTAATGAAAATCCAGACTACACCGAGACTGGTTGTATCTTTCTTGAAGTCCTCGCCCACAAGCATATCCTTGAGACTGAGGGTTAGGCTCTTGGGAGCTACATACTCCGCCAGAGCAGCGTCGATTGCCGAGTTGACGAAAGAGGATATCAATGGAATATCGGTAAGACTGAAGCTGTGTTTTGAAAGGGGAACACACGATATACTGGCCTTAGGTTGCCCAAGGAAAGTCATGGTGCATAACGAGATGAATGGTGGGTCCGGAGTCAGCTGTAGACGGAGTCTCACAGTCATGACGAGACCTCTGAGTTCAACCCAGACGGGAATTGCCACCTCTCCAGGAAGATAAAACTTCAAATACAGATGTGCGTTCTTCGCCTTGGACTTTATCGACTTGCCCGATGAGCGGCTTCGATAAGCAAGTGCAAGTTCTAAGTTTACGAAATCACCCTCTTCGGCCTCCATACCCTCGCGTATGGCCGCTTGTTCTTGCTCTTCTTGCTTCGGATCCGTGGGTTTTTCATTATCGTGCTTCGGGGCTCCTTCAACCCCATCTTCTCGATTATCTGCATCACTTTGGGGACTCTGCGGGTCAGTTCGGTCGCTTCCGGTGCCCTTATCACCGCCTTGAGGTTCTCCGTCAGAGCCAACGGACTGGCTCGCCGCTCCAGTTGGGAGCCACCGAATCCCGAGAATTCGGATAGACTCACTCCCCTGACCCATGTCATCTACGCTTACCATCTTTATAACCTTAGGTAAAGAGGCTTGCATAATGTCTTCAATCTGGTCGACGAGGGAAGCAAAGAGGTCGGGATTAACCAGTGGCCAAATTGCTGCAAAGAGACTATTGAGCCATTGAACTGATTCGGGCAACTCTTCGTCATTACTCAAGATAGCCTGCTCCTCACGCCGCGCAGCATCCCAAGTCTCATCTTCAAACACATCACTAACTCTTTTATTTACCCACTTTCCCATCCCAACCACGGTGGCCGCGCCCAATACAACAAATAGCACCGTGCTTAACAATACCAACCAACCATAGCCGATGAAAATTGACGGGAGAAGTACTAGAGATGCAGCTAGAGAACCAATGATAGCCAAGCCAGCGTATACTGCTTGTTGGTATACGGCAGCTAGCTCTTGTCTTGTTTCCTCGAAATTTGGTGGCGGAAATAGCCTTTGCATGCCATTGTAGGTTTTCTGCACATTATCCTGCTCTAACCGCAACTCTTGGTCGGACTTGGAAGCACCTTGCGGACCAGTAGCGGTGAGGTGATGTACTCCGGGTTCTGGTTCATTGCGAGGTGTTGAGTTGAGATCCTTCCCAGTCTGATCATGGATAATAATCGGCAGATGGGTGACTGGGTCTGTGACCTCGCGTCCCCCGCCATGCCTCTTTGTCTTTTTCATCGCTTTGCGTTTTTCTTTTGGATCTACAGCACTTGTAGCAACTTCCGTTGCAGACTTGTCTGATTCTCCCTTCTTGCTTCGGTGGTTGTCATCGTCCTGGCGCTCATCCGGAGTTTGTTCTCGTTCTTCTTCTCCCCTTCTATTTGCATCATGGCGAGAAGTTTGTTGCGGATTAACATAGTTGTGATTTGTAGAAGGATAAGGGTCATGTTGAGACTTTGGGGTATCTTCTCCTTGGATGACGGCCTTGGCAGACTGAAATGCGCGCTTGGGTTTTGAATCATCTTCTGGTCCTTGTTGTGCTTGTTCTTCCTCTTCTATCTGGCCATCCAATTTCTTTCTGTGCTGTCGGTATCCCTGTACTGTAGGAATTGGGTGCTTAGCATTGTGAGGGTTCCCATATTCCTTTCCCGTCGCATCTTTTTCAAAATCACCTTGATCCGTCATGTTTATACTTTCTTCTATGCGCAAACGCAACTGGAGTTTATTAGATCGGATATGGATTGTGTGTAGTAGGTAGAGGTATCAAGGTAGTCTACCTAGGCAACATGAAGTAAGTTGTATGAAGTAAGTTGTGATAAGTAGGAGAGTTCCAAACTTGGAACTTTTATAATAATAATCTGTGTGCATTAAAAGAGCAGGAGTAAGAGACGAGGTGGCACAAATGATTCACAACGGACGAGGAAAGCACGATTTGGTTGGGTTTTGCTGGGTTTTGCTTGCATCACCAAGACGAAACATTGGACGTACGGCAGCTTCGAACGTTGGATTCTGCGGTGCGGTGAGGTCATCGCATAGTACGTACTTGTACCTCCAGTCCGTAGGAGCTTTTCAAGGTTAATGCCGTTTTGATATAGCGCAGTGGGGTTTAGCGTGATGCAGCTAAAACGAGGTGCCTGAAAAAGCTCCGGTCTTGGCGTCCACCGAGACTAAAACTGCCATCAACATTGAATGTTTTACGGTCTACTTAGATAGGTACTATGTACATAATGTAACGTACCTAGTAATACACATCATGATGGAGCTGACACATAACCTTGAAATGTACTACATACTAGGTACCTAACCTTAGGGTATGTACTACTTGAATAGTAGAGTCAATCAGTGCCCAGGCCCAGGCCACTGGTGTATAGCAGTCACTACTAGGTATTGTATTGTACAACTAGTAGTAATTAGAAGTTCCTTGGCTTAGAACCCAACCCTAATGCTAACACAAACAAACACAGCCAGCAGGCAAAATGCCAAAATATCCAGTCACAGCCTTAATAAGGTATGAAGTAAGCCAAGCTCTAGTCATCGTTGAAAGAGCCTTCATATGATCTGAGTTACTCATCTTCCAGCTTTACGGTTTTGGCCGAAGGAGGTAACACCAATGGTAGATATCTGGGTCATTTATCTTGAGCTTAGGCGTCGGCATCTTGGCTATGATCTCGACATCAAACGGCAGTCCCTCCAGTTCAAAGCGGATTGATGAATAGCTGAGAGAGATCCAGACTCCTCCATCTGCCAGGGATTTCTTGACACTAGAAGCCATCCGCAGGAGAGCTGCCTCTCCGCCACAAGATACCGCATCAACGGTACTTTTGTCCACGATCAATTCAAATCTCTGGTTTGCAGGCAAGCCATCACTAAGCTGCGTAACGTCTGCAACGACGTACTTCATCTTGATGTCGCCGAAAGCATTCTTCTCCAGGAGACGTCCGCGCTCAAGAGCAAGAGGCTCGTAGTCGATGTTCGTCACGTCCAGATAACCCCTCGAACGAAAGCTATTCTGCAAATCACTTGTTCCTGAGCCCAGCTGGAGAATCCGGGGTGGATGCTCCTCATGCGACAACGCGTAAAGGTAAGGCTCTACGAGGCACATGAACGACTCCGACGACGCCAACCACTCAAATGACGTCTCGGATTGAAACCGATCGTGCCAATAGCTCTGTTTCTCAAAATTGGCAGGCATCGCGACTCGGAAGCTGAATGAGAATTTGAAATATCAACAGACACATCAAATTACTAGATACCTAGGTAGGTATACGAATATTCATGTACCATAGGCAAGTAGGTAGTAGCTGATGTTGATCTTTCAGGTCAAAAACGGTTCTCCTTTTTGAGTGCCCAAGACCTAGGCATTAGTAATCACGGGAGTTTCCACTTTCTAAATTTAGTGACAACAGATAGAAGCCTCTCATTAGTACCTAACTAGCTACATATCTGTAGGCTGATCACTTCCTACTGATCTTAGTCTGATTTACTATCTGAACAAAAGCAATCATGGATCATACTACGCAGTGAAACTATCCGCAGGAAAAACAGAAAAACATCGATTATCATATGTAGGTGAAGAAGGAAATAAAAGGCCCCCTTTTTTTACGAATTCAGCGACTACAAAGGTACCCAAGCCAGCCCTACTTACCTCTCCATGTGTTCATACACAAGTAGGTTTATATACTCACCGCGCCCTCGCTTTCCTTTACGACACAGCCACGTGTCTCGTCCTCTTAGGCGGCGATCCGTATGCGTCGACGGCCGCCTTTCTCTTGAGCTGGCCCCCGGTAGCTATTGAGCTCGCGGGCGGCAGACTGGCCCCCCAGAACGACGCGCTAGTATCGATGCCGCCGGGTCGCGCGTCCGTCTCTAGGCTTAGGCTGCTGTCACTGCCGCTGCCGCTGCTGCGCGTTCTCGCCTCCTCCTCGTCCGTCGTTTGCGCGAGGCTCGATCGGCGGCTCTCGGATTCCCGATAGGATCCCCCCTCGTCAGAAGCCGACAAGTCGGGGTCGAAGTCGGAGTCGTGGTCGTAGTCGCCGTCCGCGTCCGAAAATTCCACCACCTGTGCCTTTGCCTGTTTTACGTTTTTTATAAAACTGTCCATAGCCATGCCACCACCACCACCTCCTCCTCCTCCTCCTCCTGGTCGGGGGGCGGTGGCGGAGCCTGGTTGGGAGCTGTGGGAGCCTGGTCGGTTGGAATTTTGTTGGGAGCTGTGGGAGCCTGGTCGGGAGTTGGCAGAGTGCGCGGAGTGCGCGGAGTGACGTCCCTGGAACGAGCGACCTCCTCCTCCTTGGCGCGAGTTGTTATATTGGGAAGCGTAGAAGTTGGCAGGAATCTTTGGGGGGAGAGGGCGTTCCTGTTTCATATTGAAATGAGTCAGAGGATGATTCGCAGGACTTCTAGCGACCTCCGTGAAGGTGTAGTGCCCATCCACTCTGCTGAAATTGACGGGTCGCTCCGGTAAGAATGATGGCATAAGGGGAAGCACATGGTGCTCGACTAGAGGCGGGGTCGCATTCTTCGGGTCGGGCCACGAATGAAGAATGCCGGCCTGACCCTGTAAGAATGTAAATGGGAATACCCTGCAACGATCTACTCGGAATAATGTGTCGGGCGTGTGCCGTAGGGCTCTTTGAAGACGATTTTCTAGTTCAGTAGCCACCTCACGCGTCGCTTCCAGAATTGGCCGCGACTGCATGACCGCGCGAGCCATCTCGACAACGACGCAGATAAGTTCCTCGTAGAGTTCGTCGATGTTCAAACAACCCCTTTCGGTATACCATTGCCTTGCGTTGCTGTGTCTAGCTTTTTCCTCGGTGATGAGATAAGATAGAAACTCACATCTCCAACTCTTGAAGCCATCGATAATGCTAATGTAGTGGCTGAATATCAATGCCTCCGGTGTTGGCTTATTGTCAGTACCAACTAAGAGCGCAAGTCGAACTAGGTTGATAATAGTAAAAATTAGAATAATTACATAGAAATCATCTCGATACTATTCTTTGCAGAAGAAAGCAAGGGGGAGAGAGAAAAAAAATAAAAGGGGGGGGGTTACTGATGTATCATACCAATACATGTGGCCTCTTCAACTGTCATACAGTGTATGATCCTGAACATCTCATGCGTGAAAACTAAATCTTGAAAGTTGATCTCGTGTGGGCCTAGACGTCGTATATTAACGACTTGCAAGTCCTCCACTAGGAGCGGGACGTGACCCCACCGGTTCGCTTTGTCCTTTATATGCTTCCTCCAAGTATAATCAGGGGCATTATCCCCGGTTTTGAAGCTGCTCGACGGGTCCTGTTCAATATAAACAATCATGGCCCGCAGGCGGTGGAAGATGCCATGGGAGCCGAAGGAGATGGCCCAGTCTACCAACGTCCTGATGTCTTCGTTGGCTACGTAATCGGGGCCGAAAGCGTCCCGGAACTTCTGTCCCGCTATGCCCAGCACGTCCTCTGCATCTCTGAGTTTGTCGATGGTCTGGTTAAACTCGAGAAGATGCTCTGCTGCTGCGTTGTTGCCGAAAATGAATCGTCTGTGGGTCGGGGGGGCGCCCGCTACTCCGGGTTCGAATGCTTCGTCGATGGACGTCTCGTTGACAATATTAAGAAGTTGCGGGGAAAGCAGACTGGAGAGTTCCAACTTTGCTCTAAAGCTAGCTCTTTTCTCCAAATTCAAGAGAAGCATAAGCGAATATGCGGTTTCATAAGTTCCATCACTGGGTATCCTAAAGCCGGCCAAGGTCCGCGGCTTCGTGTTATACCGACTTAAAGGATGATCCACAAGGGGGTAATCCATCTTGACGGTGATGAATGAGACTGAAATATGTATCGGGATATGTAACGAATCGTTGGTTAATCAATACCTAATAAGAGTCGCCCGCCGTAGTTTATGGGGGGTATGCTGAGAGTTTCGTTATTGTGGTTTTCCTCCGCTCGTAAGGGTGATGATAGTACGAGAAGTGTAATGGTAAAAGTACTTGTGGGCTAACCTCTTGCCCTACGGGAAGTCCAAGGGTTCAAGGTTGTTGAATATAAGACAACTTAAAGTTATCACTCGAGCAGTTGCAGAAGCATCCCAAGAAAGATAACGTGGTGCGAAACTAAGGCATAAGTGCTACTATATATTAACTACAAAGAACAATAGAGAGCGTCGACCAAATACAATAACATGCGTTTTGGGATCTGAGAATGACATTGATTAAGCTCAATGAAAAGGTCACTTTTTTTTTCTAGGTATTAGTTGATGCTTGACCAGTCTTGGCAAAGACACAATGGCTTTCACGCTTCTGGGTTATTGTTAGGAAGAGAACATCTTCTCTACATTATGAATTCTATGAGTTCTAACTACGATGTTTTGTGCTAATACAGCGAGGAAAATCATAATATCGACCAAAAGGGGTCTCGGTTCTGCCGATAACGCATGGGAGAGAAGTCCAGGAACTAACATGTCACAAAGACCTCGATGATTTATTTCGCGAAGCTCGTGAGTAGAATGCTAAAAGTGAGTCCAAAAGTGAGTCCCGGCCCAAGAGAAGGAAGAGTGATTCTCATGGTATAGGTAACAGCTTTAATGCATAAACCGTAAAAAGCCAATAGTTGTGAAAACTCACAAAGAAGTCGTCGCTACGATGACAAGGAGGAAAGCAGAGAAGCCACGCCAATTGATATATACAACAAAAGACTTGTCAATCATTCACCCTTTGGCGTAGCGGTAAAGTCTAGCAAAAAAAACCCTAAGAAGAAACTCCCATACCTTCAATGTCAGCAAGTAGCATACGTTCCCTAAGCATTAATATTATCATGAAAAGCAACCTTAAGTAGTTCGGATAGGATGCCAGCCTTGTCTTATTTTTTTTATTACCATCCCTCAAACTTATAGTGATGTCCAGTCCGACGATTTCTCCCACGCCGCCGCAACCTTGAGGCAGTCGACATCCGCATACTTGCGCCCTACGATCTGCATAGCGGTCGGGAGCTTGACACCCGGGTCTTCGCGCGCGGGCACGAAACCCACGGGCAGCGAGAGGGCGGGATGCCCAGAGCCTGAGAAAAGCTTATCAATACTATTGAGAATGTTTAGCGGTGAGGGTAATTTTGACTTACTGTTGAAAGGGCAAGTATTGGATATCAGCCTAACAGTCCTACCCAGAAAGCTCAGCGGACCCTCGTCGGAACCAGGGTCGGGTAGCTGGGGCGGCGGATACGGCAGCGTCGGCATGACCAAGACGTCGACTTCTTCTAGCGCTTTGTCGTACGCATCCTATACTTATCTGTTAGCTTACTTACACCCCGGAAGATAGTAGGTAGATGTCCCGAATTCCTTACGCTGATCCCCTTCAGCAGATTCATAGCCTTCCCGTGCACCTCGGCGTTGTATTTCTCCTGGGCCCACAGGTACTGCACGTACAAGTTCGCTGCGCCCGGTCCCAGGGCCTCGAACTGCTCCTGAGTTAGCTTGGCGCCGATCAAGCCCGCGCGGTCCGTCAGGTAGAGCTGCTTCCTCCCATAGATGTCGCCGAGGAGGGATTGGCGACCCCCCGGCAACGGCAGAGCACACGTCCAGGCCAAGGGGGCCACCAGGTGCAGCGGTACCGAGACCGACGAAACCGTGGCTCCGAGGGACTTGAACTTCTCAATGGCGGACTGGACCGATGAAACGACGTTCGCGTCTTGTCCGGGGACCTCGAAGCCCTCGCGCAGCACTCCGATCTTGACGCCATCGAGCCGCTTCGCCTCTTCCTTGGCCAGGACGGCATCGACAGGGGCCACGTATTTCAGCCTGCCCCCCTCGAGGCCGAATGGCGGCTGGCGATCATCCCAGCCGTCAGGTCCGGCAATGGCCTCCAGGAACAGCGCACAGTCCCGCGCCGTCTTCGCCATGGGCCCTGCGTGGTCAATCGTAGCGTCCAGACTCAGAATGCCCGTGTACGGCACCAACCCCCATGTCGGCTTGAGACCCACGATGCCGCAGGACGAAGCGGGGATGCGGATGCTGCCCCCCTGGTCGCAGCCGAAGGCGAGATCGACAGACCCGGTCGCCACAAGGCGTCCGGAGCCGCTGCTCGACCCACCGGCGCTGTATCCCTTCGCATACGGGTTGTGGACTTGCCCCGTCACTGCCGTGGCGGATAATCCCTCGAGGCACGAGTTTTCGCATGCTATATTCTTAGATGGGCCCATACTAGCACGGAATAGGAGGTACAGGAGGAATAGGGGAGAGAAAGTGGGGTGGCAGCTCACCAGCTTTCCCAACAATGATCGCCCCAGCATCCATAGCCCTCGTAGCGATAGTCGCATCGATCTTCGGCACCCAGTCCACCATCGACGTCCCGTTCGTGCACCGGACCCCCGCGAATGCCATATTGTCCTTAAGCGCTACGGTACGGCCTTTCAGCAGGTCGCTCGTGGGGCTTGTGCATTTGGCTGTCACCTAAAAAACAGAGATAAAATCGTCCCTACTATCAGATTCTTTTGTCCCGGTATGCAGAGCTCAGGCTTTACTCCCTACCTTGGTTGCCCAGGCGCCCATCTCGTTGTCCGCGGGGATGTGGATGTTACTTCGCGGATATTTCTCGAGATCTGTGTAGGGTGATGCATCTTTTTCATCTGATAGCGATGCGATGGCGGCATCTAAAGAAGATATCAAAGTACTGTAGTCGCCAAGAAGTGAATCTGAAAGCTTGAGTCCGGCTTCTTCGAGGACAGGCTTAAGTTCCTCTCCGGTAACTTTCTTCTCGTGTTCCTTAAGTTGAATGACCGACATTTTGATGTTTAACTTTATGTTGTTATTGGGCTATGATACCTATTTTAGGGGGCGGGGTGAGCGTAGACCGGGATGTTCTGCGAGTTTGAAAATAGATAAAATAGATTGAGTTGGTATATGAATGGAGGGGCTGAGGAATATGTATACAGGCATCTTATATATTTCGTGGTAGGCCATTGACCATGAGAACCTTCTTATCTCCAACCGCCACCGGTCGCGGGGGACGGAATCCAAAAGAAAAGGGGGAGGGGTTGGGGGGTTTTGTATATTGGCCCCCTCCCGCATCTGGGAAGTCGAAAAAATTACCGGACATAGTCGGAATCATATGATGCCATGAACTGCGCTGCAACTGTGACATAATATGATTACCAAAGACAATGTGTTAAATCAACTTGTAGTCAGAATCTTATGGTATGTATCATTAACATTTGAGTATGGTACCTATCCAACGCTTCTACTCTAGCTGCTATGTACTACTAGTAGTAGGTACCTAGGTTAGGAAATAGTAAGGGGTATGTATCTATTAGGTACCTACCTAGGTACGCACCCCAAATTCTAAATGGTATTGTTGAGATCAGTTAGATTGAATTAGTAGTAGGAAGTATAGCAGCGATGGTATAATTAGGTAAGTGAAGATTGGATTAAGGGGCTGGCGTAGACTTCTTTGCATCATACTGCCTTCGACCCTCTTCTTTGAGCTTTTCATCGTCCGGGCGACTGAGTTCTATTTGCGGCATCATAAACCATGAGATGACAAATGCAACGGCAGCCAAAGATGCGCCAATGAGAAATATAATTCTAAAGCCCTCCCGATACGCAGGTATTAGCACTAAGCGAATGCGTTGGGACTCTTCGATGGGCAGTGATGAAAGGTAGGATTGCGGGTTACTAAGTAGATCCTTTGATTCCTGTGCACTGGTTCCTAAAGACGAAAGAGAGTTGGCTAGAATATTATTTCTGAATGGCACATAAGCTTGGAACTTGAAAAGGGGTTTCCCCACGGTGGAAATAATTTAAGTTGTTACTCACATAAGCGTACCGCAAATCGCCAAACCGAATGTTCCGCCCAAGTTACGCACGAAACTAGATGTTACTGTTAGCGAAGAAGCATCCGGCATATTGTGGAACATATGCCCTTACTTTCGAAAAGACGTCACAATGGCCATGTCTCGCCTCTCTACTCCGGCCTGGCAAGCTATCAAAGCCCTATATCCCGATGGTCAGCATCTTCGCATCTGCAGTAGTAAATGCAACCTCGAAGACTTACGGTTGTAACGTATTTCCAACCCCTACACCAATTATGATAGCATATCCTATCTGTTTCCCGAGCCCTGAATTTTCGTCTAGAGTTGACATCAAACCAAGACCAATGGCCCAGCAGACCCAGCCAAACAAGATGCACTCGCGGTATCTACCCACCCAGTGGACTATTAAACCAGATAGTGTGCTACTAAATGTCTGTATAACCGTAATTGGTAGCAACATGGCACCAGCCTTAGTGGCCGAGTAGCCATAGGCAAGCTGATAGAAAGTGGGAACATAGTAGACCTGAACGACAAAGTTCCAGCCGTTGATGGCCATCGTCAGGCATGCGCCATTGACGATCTTAGATTTGAAAATATGTACTAGGTTGATGGTTAGCTCAATATATACGTGACGATTAGCAACAAAAAAACACTCACAGGGTACCAAAGGATATCGTGGCCCCCGCCACTGCCATAGTACGAAGGCCACGCATAGAAGAAATCCGAGGACCAAAGTTGTGATGACTGCAGTCGACTTCCACGGATACTCAGATCCACCCCACGTCAAACCTAACATGAGAACAGACACCCCAGCCAATGTAAGGGCAATGCCAACAAAATCAACTGCTTTCAGCTTTCTGACGTTTTCATTAGCACATAGTAATTCAAGAAGAAGCAAAAAACCCTCACAATTTCCAGTCCCCCTCCACCTTCTTCAACGGCATAATGAATATTACGCAGCAGGTGGCCAACAAGGTAAGCGGCAAATTCAGGCGAAAGATCCACCGCCAAGAATCCTCCGATATCGAAGAAAGGGCACCGCCGATTACAGGACCAATACCGTTAGCAATAGCAACCACCGCGCCCTAAAAACGCATATAGATGGTTAGAGATGGATGCTTTCGAAATGAAAAGGGGTTAGCTTGGGTCACATACAAGTATCCCTTGGTATTTCCCTCTCTCTCGTAGGGGCACAACATCGCTAACAATAGTTTGGGCAATGGTCATCAAGCCACCACCACCGATACCAGTAAAGCAGCGGAAGACTATCAACTGCGTGACGGTTTGGGAGAGGGATGAGGCCAAGGAGCCGAAAAAGAAGATTGCTAACCCAACGAGCAGGATTACTTTGCGGGACCAAATATCTGAGAGCCGTCCGTATAGAAGTTGACCGACGGTCGAAGTACTGGAAAAAATATTTAGCTACTTCTTCATCTAGAGACTAAAGCCTAATCCCCGAGAGTAACTTACATGAAATACCCGCTAGCGATCCAGGAGGCTTGTCCGCTCGATTTCAATGAATCTGCAATGATGTATAAACTTGCTGCCAGTGTAGTTTGGTCCATAAGAGCTATCAAGTCTATACTAGAACAAGCAAGGAAAATCTAAGACAAGTTAGTGAGAGGTACACCGGGGGATATCCCACATTGGGTATCTTACCATGATGATAGTCTTCCTAGGGACATAATTGGTCTGCTCGTTGAAGACGTGCACTTCATTCTCGCTTCCTGAACTGCTAGGCCCGGTGACCCTCGGCTGTTCTCCATCGACGGTGACATTGATGACACTCTCAGGCCGTGAGTGACCCCCGCCTGTATCCTTCTCCATGACTGCAATCGACGAGGCAAGTCAAATCAATTGAGATCGAGTTGGCCGAGAGAGGAGGAAGCACTAAGGTTAGCATATAATCAGCTAGATGAGGCTAACCTTGCCGTCCCTATCTCCACATTAGTAGAGTAATACTTGGATGATAGTGTAGACCTTGATGGTGGACATAGAGATCTGCAACTTAAGAGACCCGCTAGTAAGACAAAGAGGTTCTCATAAAAAATGACACAATTTTTTGACAGAAAACGAAAATGATGTTAATGATCGGAAACACTAGCCAGATACAAGTCTACCTACCTGTAACTTATCCTCTGTGAAAGATGAGAATATTGAAAGAGTTGAACTTAGATATAAGACTGACTTTGTACTTACTTGAAGTGAAACCAGCGGTGTGAACAGACTACCTGCTACCTGCGAGCTGGTGTGAAGCTGGTATGATATTAATAACTTGAATCATCCATGATTCGATGGGGAGATGCCTCGGGAGGTTTTATTTCTTATTTTATTTTTGATGTCAAGGATCAATGATTCCAACGGGTAGCAATTGCCATGTGTAAAAGCTCATGGATGAAAATGTCATTTAGCCCAAGCAAGTAGTCATATACACGGCTCTACCCCTGAATGCTACCCCAAAGTAAACTTTACCACCATATCATGCACACACTAAACATGGCTAGGGTCCAAGAGCCACAATCCCATTGGTTGGAAACAGCCTCAAAGTGCCTCGTACAGGGATCGGCGTCATATCGCAACATTTGTGACCTTGGACTAAGAATGCGGGTACGGGTATGGGTAATGCGTAATGGGTATGGGTCTGGGTTTGGGTAAGCTTTGCAGGGCTGTGGAAGTTTATATGGATGTACTGGAGAACACCACCATATTTTTACACTTCTTCTACCTACCTAGGGTATAGGCTACAAGTCTACAACCCTTTCCTGTTCATATTCCTTTGCCGGCGAGGTTCGCAACATGTCGATCTTCCACAGGCCAAGACATTCCACATACGAGACTTGTCGGTTACCGATGAGAAAAGCAGTCTAGACCGTCCTAATGTACACGTTATTTGCTCAAGAGACGAACGTGTGAAACGGGGCCTTGCTAGGTAATTGGTCTGGAGACGGATTGTGATGTGACTGAAGATTGGTTTGTGGTTAGGTCATATATCACAATAATATTGGAGTCGCTGCCCTCATATAGGGAAAACTTCCTCCGGCCCGAATCTCTTCAGAATATAATTGTACCTGCTATCCTTCGTAACCGTTAGTTTCTCCAAGGTTCTCCGGTCAACCCTTTCAAAGAACAACCGCTCACACCAACAAGATACTCGGCCAGCCATGACGAGTAACAATCCCCTCAATGTCTATAGGGGTCCTAACTCGGTCCGAGACTACTTTGATCCGGACTCGTCTCCCCCTTTACCACTAGTGGAGCTACCAGATAAGCTCAACCCATACAGAGGCGATGGCGTGAGGATATATGCCAAGATGATGACTATGCATCCAGCCAACAATGTGAAGGCCATGCCGGGTAAGTCTTGTCACTAAGTCGTCCTCATACACATAGTGGTGTTGACAAGGTAACCCTAGCCTTAAACCTCCTCGAGAAGAATGTGGTGCCAGGCAAGACAGAGACAGTCATCGAGTATAGCTCGGGCTCAACCGTCATATCGATGTCTCTTGTGTCTCGAGTATACCATGGCGTCACAGATGTTCGTGCGTTCCTCAGCAACAAAACAAGTGTCGCTAAGCTGCGGTTGATGCAGTTTTTTGGCCTCGACATGTGAGGGTTCACATATTCATATGTAACTTCCACCATCGTCCGAGACTAACATTGTAATAGCACTCTCTTTGGTGGGCCATCCCAACCAGAGCCCACAGATGAGCGTGGCGGGATTAAAGCTGCGCAACGAATGGCAGAAACCAATGAGTCCATCATTAATCCAGATCAATATGGAAACGACGACGTATGCCACCATCTGTCCTTCGTTATGATCAGCTGATGCTGACCGTATATTAGAACTGGAAATCCCATGTCAGATGGACAGGCCCTCAAATCCTCAAACAATTGCCAGAGATCAACTTGATCTGTGCTGGCATGGGAACGTCTGGTAGGTGCTCCAAATAATAAAAAGCGTCCCGTTGTTAACACGATCTCCAGGAACTATCACAGGATTAGGCACGTATTTCAAGGAGGCCAAGCCCTCGGTCTTTCGTTTAGGGTATGTATGCCCAAGATTCAGACTGTTCTGTATTTGATATGACTTGGTAATGCGCATGCTTACAACCAGTAGAGTCTGCACAGCACCTGGCGATAGAGTCCCAGGTCCTCGATCATTTGCTCTGCTTGCTCCTGTTGAGTTCCCTTGGAAATCAGCAATAGATCATATTGAGGAAGTTGGCTCGCACGACTCATTCTCATTATCGCTAGACTTATGTCGCGAAGGAATTGTATGCGGGCCATCTTCCGGTTTCAATCTCCGAGGCCTTTTCCAATTCATCGAGAAGCACAAGACTGTCGGGACGCTTCGGGATCTTGCAGGTGCGGGTGATGAGATACACTGCGTTTTCCTTTGCTGCGACCTGCCTTATCAGTACATCAACGAATACTTTGACAAGCTGGGAAATGGTTATTTCCCGTCCATTAAGAATGAGGTGTGTAATGACAAGCTGAAACCGAAGAAACTAGAACAGGATAGGAATTATCCGATAATGCATGCTAATCCGGGACTTAGGCATTAACCAAGGTCGACCTTTACCGTTACGATGAGGCTTGGGAGAAGGATGCTACCATCGCCCTTCCATTGTTTCTAGACGTAAGAGTACCATCTCGGGAGGGACCCACAGCGCACGAGAAGGGGTTTGGCGGTGCGGTAAAGCTCAAGAGCGGTGTCGCTATCATCGACCTCCGACAAGCCATCGATTTCGAGAAATTCAGCCTCCCTGATTCGATCAACTTACCATTCGCCGACCAATCAAGACCGAGTCCGTTCTTTGACCCATCAGTTTTGGAGTCGCTGTGGCGAAAGTTGGATAATCATTTTACGACGCCGCGCGACGAGTTGCTTCCGCTAGTGCAGAGAAAGCAAATCCTACTGCTATGTTACGACGGTGATAGTTCTCGTGTGGCGACCAGCGTGCTTCGTGCCAAGGGGTACGAGGCAGTTAGCATACGTGGTGGCTTCCGAGCGCTCGGAGAGCTTGATGCAGGCGTAGCGAACGGAGAATTTGTGACGGACAGCAACAAGGCAGGCATGGCGGTAATGCGTGAGGTTGAACTTACGACGCCTTCGTGACATGATGGCTAGGGTTTGACGCTGTGGCGTTGAGGGTACATACCGACATTTTAAACGGATTAAAGATCAAGGGATGGGATGGACGGGATTTGCGTTAAATTGTTTACCTGCAAGCTATATTCCAGTACATAAGAGCACGAGAGTCTACACAGTTCGATCAAGTTAAGGGATACTGTGATTGCTTATGTAGGTATGTATGGAGGTATTTGTGGGTTCAAGAAGATACCAGGCTGATAACTACATATTATACCAAGGTATGCGTATGTATATGCACATCTTATATACATCATTGATGGTGCACCTAGAGCTGAGGCAAGGCAACATTATTTTACAATTTATATGGATGGAAATTTATTGCCTAGTGTTAGGTAGCTATAAAAGGATGCCGGGTCCTTATTACGAAGTAACTAAGCTTAATCTACACACCAAATAGTAGGTAGGTAGCAGCACTAGGCACCCCGTATGTTCATGTATTGTACTTATTAAGGTTACATACCCAAAATTCATCATGGATATTTAATTCCCAATCTCTTGTTTTATCATATATTTTAATGTTATCAGGGGTGGCAAATTTCTAGATATACGGCGTATGGCCGTGCTACATTGTGTAGGATACCTACGTACCTACATACCTACCAACAATAGCCTACGCTGCGTATTATTATCAACGTGGCTTGAGATACCTGTACTGTGCCGCATAGTTATACCTTTAACGTTGAAGTTTACCGATGTAATAAGATGGCGGTCAGTCACGTGGCTCCCTGAGGCAACACACTTAGCTACTCCATGAATTGTAATCAATATACGAATTGCGCATATGTAAACTTGGAATATTGTCCATACACGTGTATTTTGCCTACCTAGGCAATGGGATCATCATCCCGCTTTGACTAAAAAAACCTTCCTTTTCGGAATTAAGCCCATTCGGTTCGAGAATAAACTTGGCAAAGTGGGCTAGAACGGAGAGCTACCGCGTGGTAATCGCATGGGTTATCGTAAATGGTGAAGGGGACTCTCTACACTATGTACGAAGTAGTTACCCAAGAAGTAGGTAAGACAAGAATATCCTACTAATCCCACCTTGTGTCTAGTATAGCTTCTATGGAGCCACTAAGGGGCCTTTTTCTTTCGATATTTTGTCTCTCAACTTTTATCATCCCTGCCTACTTAGTCTAGGCAAGCTAGCTGGGTTATCTAGGAGCAGGCAGGCAGTGGCAGTGTAACCTCCAAGGCAAATGATATACTGTATCTCCACCCAAAACATGTTTCTGCGCCTCACCAAGGCCGGAAACTATTGGATTCCCAAAGGTCTGCGAGGAACGGGCTGAACGGCGTTGGCATTTTTTATAAAAACTGGCTCTCGTTCAAGCTTAAAAAGAAGCACAAAGTCCTAAAGAGAGGATAGACGACGGGAGAAAGAGCATCCGAACGTCCCGAACATCTATCTACCTCATCCACCCCCCTTATATAAAAAAGAAATTAATTACACCCAGTTACGGCGAAAACCACCCAACTGCGCAAAAAAGCCATGGCGAAGACGTCAGACAAGCCCTTCCGGGTGATCCTCGTGGGCGGCGGCCTCGTGTCGCTGACGGCGGCGCACATCCTGAGCAAGGCGGACATCGACTTCGTGATCCTGGAGAAGCACGACCGGCTGCTGACGCAGATCGGCTCGCTGCTCGGCCTCATCCCCTCCACCCTGCGCATCTTCGACCAGCTCGGCATCCTCGACGACGTCACCGCCATCGCTTGTCCCGTCGTGTCCAACTACGTCATGTCGGCCGACGACCAGACGCTGTTCTCCAACTTGGAGTCGGGGAAGCACTTTAGGACTTTGTAAGTCGGATTTGTCTCAAAACGTTTCCTGCATGTCTTGTCAATGTCTTGTCTGTGATGCGGGTAGGCTAGACATCCATCTACCTAGGAAGGTAGAAAGAGACATTGCATTGCATATCACACGGAGAAACCGCATGACTAACGCGCCAACGCATCTAGCCACGGCCGTGACTCGCTGGTAACGCACCGCCCGTTCCTAATCGACGTGCTGTACAAGACGCTCCCCCCGAGCGCCAAAGCGCGGGTGAAGGTCGGGAAGCTGGTGACCAGCATCTCCACGACCAGCTCCCCGGACGGCGTGCGCGTCGAGTGCGCCGACGGCACCGTCGAGGAGGGGTCCATGGTGATCGGCGCCGACGGCGTGTACAGCAAGACGCGGCAGATCATGGAGGCGCTCGCCTCGGGGTCGTCGGCGGCCCCCTCCGCCTCGGAGGAGCCCGAGGCCCCGTACGTCAGCACGTACCGCTTCCTCTTCGGCAACATCCCGATGCCGCCGGGGGTCACGGCGGGCGTCAACTACGAGTGCGCGTCCGACGGCGTGTCGACGCAGCTGATGGCGGGCACGGACCGCGCCTGGCTCGGCGTGTACGAGGCGCTCGACCAGCCGACGCCGGGGAACCTGCGGTACACCGACGCGGACAAGGAGGCGCTGCTGAAGAAGTACTCGCACCTGTACGTGGCGCCGGGGTGGACGGTGGCGGATGCGTTCGCGCTGAGGGAGGGGGAGATGGGGCTGGTGCCGCTGCAGGAGGGGTGGGTGGAGCGGTGGTGGCACGCGCGGATCGTGCTGGTGGGCGACGCGGTGCGGAAGCTCGACCCGCACGCCGGGCTCGGCTACAACAGCGGCGTCATGGACATGGTCGTTCTCGCCAACAAGCTGCGTCGCTTACTCCTCGCCGACCCTTGCCCCGACACCGAGGCCCTCGGCGCCGTGTTCGCCGACTACCAGGCGCAGATGGCGCTGTACAAGCCGAACACCGACTACCTGTCGCGCGTGCGGCCGCGCCAGCTGGGGTGGCTGACGGCCAAGGACAAGCTCATGACCAAGTACGTGATCCCGTGGACGGGGCTCAACAAGCTCGGTGTGCGCTACGTGCTCGCGCCGTTCATATCCAGCCTGCCCGTGCTGGAGTGGCTGGAGGAGAAAGGCCCGCCGGGGAAGCCGAGGCTGCCGTATGTGCACCATGCTCTCGTAGAGGGGAAGGGGGTGGTTGTGCCGCAGAGGAGCAGCCAGAGCCTGTCCCTCTTTACTGGGGCGTTTGCCGTGGCGGCCATTGCGGCGGCGGGGCTGCAGTACTATGGGAGGATACTGTGAAGGATGAGCTGGGGAGGGAGATGTTAAGGGATTTATATGGGTAGGTATGGTCTTGGCTGGGAAGGACCCGGATGGTTTCCTACGCAGGTAATTAGGTAGCTTGTGTACGGTATATATCTGTTTGTGACCCGTTTCACGAAGCTAGACATCTCTTTGCTGTCGTATGTATCACCATCTAGGAATCAATGAATCAAAAAAGGAAGGAATAAATCACTACTTGAGACACGAGATCTGATTTCTAGGTAAATGTGCTACTTCGCATCCATGATCAAGTTCTATTATTACTATTTCCGCTTATGTACTTGAGTAACCCTATCTAGCAAATCTACCGAAATCTTGCGATTTATGAGAAATATACCCAACCATACCTAATCTAAAGCATAGGTACATGATATAACATAAATATACGTCCTACTCTTCCACGACATTACCCCTTGCATAGTACACATCAACATATTCACACCTAAATTAGCCACGTACCTACTTCCCCCTCAGAGTGGATACGTAATTGAGAGACCATACTGGTCCCAGTACATCCCCTTGTCAGAGGATGTAATGCAGCTAGGATTAATGTAAGCTTAAAAACACAAGTAGTACTCGGAAAGGGGCGAGGCTTACTAAGTTCGATGGTCCATATCGCGGTCGAATCCGCCTCTGCTCATCCAGATCTCCTCCATAGTCTCGCGGTGCTTACTCTTGGGTTTGCCCTGTGCGATACGCAGCTTCTCGAAATACACATAGGCCGTGTAGAAGACCGTGCTCTTGGCACCGGTCCTGGATCCCTTGCCGGCGCGGAAGTCAGCGAGCTGCTTCGACTGAATGCTCTTGATCGTAGGTGCGTTCAGCTGCGCGTAGAGATCGCGGCAAAACTGGGCTTGGGTCAAGCCAGGCGTCTTGAGATGCGCGTTGATCTTCTTGCGGATCTCGTCGCACGTGTCATACACCGAAACCGAGTCAGCTTCTTCGCCATTCAAGTGAATGCCGCTGATATCTGGGAGTGACGCGGCTGTGGTTATGCTTGATTTGGAACCGCTAGCACCAGCGCCGGCGGCTTTAGCTTCCTGCAATTGCCGCTTCTTCACGTCGGGCATCTTCAAGCCTGCGGCCTCTCGCTGTCGGAGCCATCTCCAGCCATTTGCGTACACAGAACTATTGCATCCACCCATCGGCCCTTTCGCCTTGAGGAAATTGCTGAGACTGTTGCTGTTGCAGCCAGTAGCACGACAGAACTCGGCCTTTGTCATGATTCCGCCGTCGAATAGCTTGTTAATCCGGCCACGCACAGTGGTGCAGTTAGGCATGATCTCATCATCGAACGAATCAGGATCCACGATATCGTCCAAGTTCCTCTTGTATGCGGCAATCTCATCCTCTAACGACAATGAGGTCTCTGCCTTGCGCTTCCTGCTCGAGGATGCACCGGTCGCAGCCTTTGCAGCCTTTGCATTGCTTGTAGTAGATGCTTTAGTAGTATTGGCCGGCTGGGTACCTGCCGACTCCAAAGTCGGACCGGTAGTGGAAGTTCGAGGTGCAGGTGGCATGTTCCCTGTGTAATAATTGAAGACTCTTTTTCTAGCAGAGCCCTTCAATCCTACGACGTCGAGGTACTGTTCAAGTGAAGCCTTATCCCAACGAACTGGCTTTTTAGCCTCAGTGCGAGCGGGGGTTTGATTGACACGATTGGTTGCGTCGTCGAGAGGTTTTCGTGCCTATTACCATATATGTGAGTATGAATACTACCTTACGTGCATGATGATGCCCCAGTTGTTCGACTTGTTCGGTCAATGGCTGACATACTTGTCTTTTTGATTCCATAACGATTACCTGGGTAGGTACCTATGTTCTATCTTCTAATAATTCCTTTGGGGATTGGAAAAGAGAAAAGAATCATCTATTCACCAAGCTCTGTTTACTTGTTCTGTTTACTTGGAACGCGTGAGTTAATAAATAGAAGAGAAGAATAGTTGAAGAAACGCGGTCTAGCTAGGATAGCTTAACATTAGTTATGTACAATATTTACATACCCCAGGTAAGCTACAAATACCCACAATATTCTAGGCAACTTCTAGGTTATGCATATTGACGGTATTATGACGTAACTATTGTGCAATCACTGCCATGATGTGCAGTAGTTATCACGAATTACATAATACTTTCAAATGAACATTGAAAGCATAAGTGGTCACAGGGGGCTTTAATACACGAATTGCCTTAAAGGCCCTTAACTATTCCCTATTCTAGTGTATTCTAGTGGCTTCTAGGGGGCTAAGGCTCTTTCGCCCCTTTTACTACACAATAGGAAGTAGATAACCTACACACATAGCACTTTACTTTAATTACTAAATTACATACTGTTTATATTAGCTATGTACACATAATGCGTCTACTTAGTATTTGGTAATCAGTTATTATATTACTTATATTATTGAAATTTCCCCGCCTACCACGTTGGTTCGATTTGCCTACATTTGTTTCACTTTTTTTACGCGCCGGCAAGAAAAAATAGAGGCGTTCATTAGTGGCAAATGCTTGGGTTCCCGCACGCTCGGGACCAGGAGATAATGTCTACATTGCCCAATAGCGTAAGAGGATCTTCATGCATGTTGGTACGACATCAGATTTGACGCAAGGGAGATATGTACGTATGTATGTCTAGAGAGTGGATGCCGAGATCTTCGGTTATTAGTCCGAGAAATAGTGGCAAGCGTCGGACCGGCGTCTACCTTGGTTTGCTTGCCCCTCTATATAATCGCTGTGGCTTATGATACAGCTGTTACTAACTACATATGTTGGTTTTCACTAGGACACGGCAAGTTATGACTACATGTAACTCAAGGCTCAAGCTACCCAATGATGGCCGTACCGCAGGTAGCGACTTTATAAGCCGAAATCGTGATATTAACGTTCCTGAGCCTCGTCAAATCCTACCGTTGCTTACAGCACATGCATGCAGATGGGTGCTTACCTACTAGCGAGTAGCTGGGCAAATGGGAATGGACCCCAATCTTCTCAATCAGATGTTCTCAGATGTTTGTCAACAGCACATACTCGAATGTTGGCTCCTATGCGGCGTAGCTGAAACGATGTGTTACTGGCCGTCACGATTATTTAGCGAATAGGGTCAAATAGCAGCCTTGAGTTCTTCTTCGTTCAGTCCCGACAATCTGGATCGCTGGCTAGGGCTATTTCTACTGGCGGTTGAGGTCCTTACGTGATACGTGGGACGAAACATGGGAGAAAAGAGGGCAGGCAGGCTGTAGAAATAACATAGTAAAGTAGGTAGGTAGGTAGTATCAACGCAGTTCGAATCGATCACGAGGGGTCACCAATGATAACTAAAGCTGGTCGCGACAGGACTCGTGGTGGTAATAAATCACCGAGTTGTATGTAACCCTAAAAAATAACGGTTGGTGTTTATAATTGTCGCAATGCTACAGTACATACATATCCGACTGAACGCTTTGCGGCCAGTCTTATTTTCCGGGCCCGATCGCTAATTAAAATGACCTTCCAGGTGGTATTACAGTAAGTCCAATCGGGAATAGAGCTTCTCTTAGCTCACCTAACTCACCTAGCTCACTTAAAGCCATCTCCAATGAGCGGCCGTATCCGTAGCTATGAGTTCAATATGAGTTCAAGTCTCCACTACTTAGGTGACACAAGCAAGGAGGGCCTTGCAGTCCGGACCAAAGCCAACAACTGTGCCATGTAGAGTGATTGGTCACCTTGCCTTTCACCTGCATCTCCCGCCTTTGCTACCCTTGCTAGTATTCCTAATCCCCGTCAATCGTCTAGCTTATCGTAGTAAAGCCCCGATTGTCCGACCCCAACACTGCAATCGAATCACGATGGTTGGCCCCCTCTCCTCTCTTCCTCTCTCTCCTTCTCCACCGAACCCCGACCATAGATGATTTGCATGACAGATGCCTACCATAACACACATATCACATACCTCCTAGGTTCGTGTGCCGACTCATTTTCCAACCGAAGAGGGTTTAGTGAGGTGATATGCGTGGATTTCATGGATCTCATGAGGCGGTAGAGACCACATATCACTGAGCCCTTCGCGCTTATGGTCCAACATTCTCATCTTCAGTCTTTGCCAGTGAAAATTTCCAATTGAGAGGAAAAGACATGAAGCCACTCCGCCGTAGCGCCCTCATTGCGCCCTTACTTCACGGTTGAGCAGAGGCATCTCTCTTGTGTTTTATCAGCCAACCTTATAAGTTGTATACCTTATACGTTGTATAAAGACTCAATATCTGCGGCTCGGCAGACTTATCCAGGAATCGCTATAGCCCCCCAATCCTTAGAGATCTTTATCCTCTGATATATATCAAGGGGCTTTGTTATTAGCACGCCATTTCATACATCTAAGAATCCGGGGAATCCCTAAACTCGGAAATCTTGTCTTCCTACAATTTGTACCTCGCAGACGAAACCAGGAAGGACACTCAAGAAGACGATTTACGATAACTGATGATGATGCTTCGGTCCCTGATTCCCGTTGTTGCCATCTGGCGTTCAGCTACGGCGTTGCTTGTCGGCGATGACTCGTCATGTAGGTCGAAATGCGGCAATGTGCTTTCTTCTACGACCAAGGATATGATCGTATGCGACGACTCTGCCTATAGTGCTACGTCCCAAGGCCAGGTTTATCAGGCTTGCGTTGGTTGCGAATCGACAAGTACATACATGGGCCAGAGCACCTCTGATCTACAATCCATGCTCTGTGAGTTACTATTTACTTCTCTACGTAAATGGTTCAAACTTGCTAATTCTAGCTGGAGATAATATGCGATTTGCTACGAACATATGCTTATTTGATGCTTCTAATCCGTGCATCACGACGTAGGTGCTCACTGTCTCCTCGCCAAAACGTAATACTTACTCTAGTAGCTTTGCTTGCGCGAATATTAAGGACGCCATACAATATAACAACCTCTCAACCAGTAGCTCGACATACGGCTACTGCGACCAATGGACTGATTACAACCTCGACAAGTGCCACTCTTGCTTAACTTCATCGGGCAGTAACAATTATCTCAGCAACTGTAAGATCTACTGCAGAGTACTTGGCTCATGCACAAGCTAATTCTAGTGTGATTTGTAGTTATATCGGTTTTGGACGGCGCATGCAGACTGAAGCTTGAGCCTCCGGCTACTATCCCCTTACAGGGTAGAATCTTCTCTAATGACGCTGTGAATGTCACCGATCCCACACCAACGGCAACATTCACGCCACCAGGGGTTACCGGCCCGTTGGACTCCGGAGCCATTGCCGGTATCGTCGTCGGCGGCCTCGTCGTTCTTCTCGCCTTCACCGGATGTGGAATCGTAATCATCGGAAAGCGCCGGAGAAGAGCGTACCTTCGCCACCGCGAACAAATGACCAAGGAGTGGCCCGCCGCCAACAGTGGTGGCGCTGGCGGCGCCGGCGACATGCGCGAGACCCCCCTCAGCCAGCGGCCTCTGCGTGGCTGGGATAACTCGCCAATAAGTGGCACCACGGAGGGAACATACCCCCCGTACCCACAATACTTCTCACCATACTCCTCGCAGTATAACAGCCCCGTCAGCGCAGTTGAAGGCCCAAGGAACACAGCCTGGCCACCGGAGAAAGCGGTACAGAATATCGGCGTCGCGATCAGCCCGGACCACGACTACCATCACAACTGGGCGGCGGATAGCAAGGGGAAGGAGAGAGCAGCAAGCATGGCAGGACAAGACGAATACGAGCTGCAGGAGGGCGTGAATAGCGCAGGCGGATACTCAACGAACTCGCAGATACCGCAATTGCATATAAACAGTCCGCCGGTGCTTAACCACCCGGGCTATGGGAGACATGGGAATCATTCTGAGACGAATGTGATATAGGTAATAGTGGAGGTGTATGACGGAGCACTCGGAGCATTGTCTGGATTGGAGTTGAGTTGGCTTGAGCGTTGCTTTTTGCTTTTTGTTTTGCTCTGGCGAAGGGCATGGTATATGTAAAACCAGCATGGAGTCAGGGCCAGGGTGTGTAATCAGATACCTAAAGGACAGGGGCGGAAAGGGGGGGTCGGCCGGTCAAATGTGATTTTTTAATACCTACCTAACTACACATCTACTTACTAAGGACCTAAGTAACCCATTTATTTGCCTAACTTAATTCATAAATGCCTAACTAGTTAGGTTAGTTAGGTGTCCATTGTCAACCCCATTTACCTAGACGTGATAGACGTTTCTGTCACCTCATAGGATGTGCCTACTTAGGTATTCTCCATCACCTAGCCTTGCTGCTGGGATCAAACTACCTACTTACTTACCTACCTACCTACCTACCTACACACCTACAGACATAATTAAGCACCCAGCATTTCGTCCGTGAGACTTTCCTGGCAGCCAGCCAGCCAACCAGCCAGCCAGCCCATGCTGCCTAACCCCCGCCAGAGACAGTACCTACCTACCCATGATTTCCAACCCCAGCGGGCAGAGTGAAGATCTCAACGATCACGGTAGTTACAAGCACGCTACCTTGGGGAGAATCCAACAACAGTTACCTAGTATCTACCTTGGATACCTAAGGTTACAGTACCTAGTTGCTCGAGGCCGCTTAACACTCACTAGAGGAGCTTGAGGAGGAGGAGGAGTAGGGGCGATAGGTGCACGGTTTACCTACATGTACTGTACATAGGTAGGTAGGTAGGTACGCAGGTAAGTTACCTGTGCGATGAATTGTTTTCGTCAATGCCACAGGCTTGGACTTAGGTAGGTAGGTAGGTAGGTAGGTAGGTATACTGTCAGGTATATGGTGAAAAGAAAGTTTATGGTTTGACAGGTATCGGCACGTGTAGAAAGCAGAAGGCCAATAGTAGATACCTAATTCATACCATGGATGATTTGGAAGATTCTTAGGTGCGTATGTCAGATGATGAGAATGGGATGGAATGGGTTGAGCTCAGCTTTGTGACGGCTAAGCGTATACATATATCCTATCTATGCTCGCGTATGAATAGAAAATAACGCTAATAGCTACATATTTGTGCTTTTCTATAAATAGGTATTATATATGGGTTAATAAACTCATATCTTCCATAAGCTGTCGTAACCAAGAGCTAAGTCTCCCCCGAGTACCTAGCCTCCGATCCAGCCAAAGTAAAGCGGCGAGAGAATGATATGGAGGATAGGGGGAGGGGTCAGCGAGGGCAACATTTGGGTGATGCGCCATGTCGTGTAACAGTATCATGATGGACTGCATGATTAGCACAATATGAATGGCGTAACGATATGCTTGTTAACTGCCGACCATGCGAGCAAGTACTGTACTCGGAACATGCTAGATTCGTTCGAAGAGCTGAGACGATACTACATGTAGGCCTTGTTAGGGATACTGCCATAAAGGGAAGTTCAGTTTCTTAGTAATTTATCTGCCATTGGCCTGGGACGACGTGGCCTGCAGCTGACAATTAGTGTAGTCTGATAACGCGGAAGCGGGGAGTTTGGTCTTAATCTGGCTTGTCTGGCTTGTCTGGTTGCTAGGTAGGTAGGTAGGCTCGCAACCCCCTTAGCCTCAATCCTCCGTCGATCTGCGAGGTCGGACACATTCTGAATAGGTATCCAATACTTACATCATGATAAATTTGATCGTCTTGTATATCATGTTGCCTTGGTCAGGACATAGATCTGGTCCTCTTTTCATCACTCGGGCCCTCGAGTTTCCGTGAGGCTGGTCGTAATAGGATCTGGTGACGTATCATGACCTACCTAGGTACTAGTTCTGTCGGATGCTTTGAGTGCTTTATCATATCCCGAGGGGCAGACGATCTGAAGGTGATGGGGCCTATTAGATGTTACATCGTATAATTGAAATCACGCCTTGAAATAATACGGATATAGAATTACTCTTCGAGGCACCCGGTGACTGCCGTTGATTTGATTTCTCTATGAATATTGGTATTATTTTATTTTACGCGGTTTCATTGGTAGCGAGTGTAGTATCATGATCTCCTCGGTCAAGTATGTGTCGTAACTCCTGGATGCTTTGAGGCAAGTTAATTGGTAGTCTCCTGCGTTTATTGTACAGTGATAGTGGCGTTTTTGGGCACCAACCAAATCTTTATCGTTAACCATAAGGCTGCTATGTTTCAACTTGGATCTGTTCCAATATTACCTAGGTTAGGTAAATTAGTGATAGTTGGGTATAGTTAGTAGGTATTGACGTCCAATGCTTTCAAGAGGTCAATGTCAACATTAGATGCATGCCACTGGGAGTGATTTTCCCCAAAGTCCAAGCCTTGGCGCAGTAGAGTACAGTGTTGCTCTGCAATAATATTTAGATCTTATAGACATGGACATCTTTCAGCCCACCAGGCGGCTGAAGGAATAGTTCCATTCTATCTTGAAAACTACAAGCTTTCGCCTAGCTTCATGTAGACAAGGTAAGAAGCCCTGGTAACGCTATATTCGAAACTATAATCAACGTAATGACGCATCATACGATGAAGATGTCGACGGATAGGCTGGACTGGATGGACTAGATGGACTGGGGGGCTCAGAAATCACATCTCTCTCGACACATGTTGGTAAAGGTTTAGCTCAACAGCTCTTTTCGGGTGCATCTTTGAAAGAGCTAGAAAAAACAATTTCACTGTCGAAACCTGATAGCCCAAGCTGTGTCGTGGTTATTGTGGTAGTAACCCTCCTTAAGCTAGGGTAAGTATTAGGTAGTCGGTAGTCTACATATGGTAGAACGGAGGTGATAGAATGAATTTGATAGATAGTTAACTTTACATGGAGGAGGCAAGTTGAGAGGCAGGGCAGGTTAGGAGGTTGAGTTGCACAAAGATGATTCGCTTAACTGGGTCCCAGCCAATTGTTCTGATCTATGATTGGTGAGGGGAATGGGCATTGGGAAACTAGGTACATTTGTATCATGAACTTAATTCTAGGTTACTGTACCTAGTAGTTAACTACCCTGGGTACATAGAGTACCTAAGATCTGGATGGCCCGAGCGCTCCAATAATGATCTATCATAAACTCCATTCTGTTAGTCTTCTGCCCTACCTATCAGGTCTTGTCAAGCCCTATCAAGGCTTGTCCTCGACTCCTCCCTCCTTTCTCCTCCACATGTGTAACTTCATGTCGTTCAAACCCCTCAAAAACCTCACATGTGTAGTACATCTAAGTGCAACTAGTAGTATATGCTACTATAAAAAAACCTACCATGTATGGCAGGTCTTATTAATACCACCGGAGCGCAACCTTTCCCCAACGCGACCTCTCTTGCCTTACAAGCCAACCACCATTACTGCTACGTACCACTTGTAGTCGCACTGCAGCATGAGTGAACGCCTTTCCCCTCTGATTGACGGCGATTCGCAATCAAGCTTTTCTACCGGTCTTGGTCGGGTGGTGTTGCAATCAATCATATTTCACGACTGCTACGTCAAAAGAGGCGCGTGATAGCAGAGTGCGGCTACAAAGCTCTTTCGGCTTGCCTTCTAGAAGCAATTCCTTGCACCGTTGAGCACGATGGTTGGGTAATGCGGGTGGTGGGAAAAACCTGCCGGCCAATCCTGTCAGGGGTAAAAGTGCAAATGTTGCAACCGCAGATCTCCAATGCAGGACGTGCTACGTAGCAAGGGTGTGTTGCAGCAAGCCTTGCATATCAGAATCGACGCTCAAACGAAGAGGATGAGTTAGTTGATAGCGGTGAGTGAGAGACTGGATCGCCCAGGCGCTCTGGCGCTGTCGACATACAACTGTTGTATCGAATATGTTGATTTTCCAGTTGCAGTTTGATAAACAGGCTAATCTCGATCTACTATGACGACGGAAGCTCAGATCATCTTTCCCCGTCATCAAGCTGGGTCGCAGGTCGTTAAGAAACTTCGTGTCCGTATTTGCTAGAACCGCGCAATACATCGGTAATTGGTGTTTATCATCAGTACTAGATAGGTAGGTACTCTATGTTATGCATAGAAAGCATAAGACGATCAAGCTATCAAGGACCATTCATGCCAGCCATCAGGAATACCTAATTGAGTCTGGATGTGACCTCCGAGGTCGTTTCCCCTCTCATCAATATACATATCAGCATGAGGCGATTGTACGTACCTGGGCAGGTAAAGTGTATGTGTGTGTAGTCGGTGGAAAGAAACATCTTGATTGCACATGTGATGTGTATCAAGTATCGAGTTGCGGTCAAAGATACATCTGTTCCTTCTCTTTTTTGGTGTCGTGTCGTTTCTTATTTATTGTTAGCGCTGTAAGTAAGCATGTATAAAGTTGGCAAAAGTCAGAACTTTATCAAATAAGAAGTACGGCGGACCTGAATAGTGGGGTAATATCTCTAGGATTAATGCATGATCATTTTTTTTCTTTTCTCTTCCATTGACCTTAACCAGTTAGCATGTTGCCTCTTGTGTATATCGGTCAGGTAGGATCGCCATCTGAGAGGTTGCAACCTGATTTACATTCCGGTCTTGCAGAGTCTTACTCCGCTAACGATAATTCGATAATTCGATTTCTCTTCCTCTGTCCTCTCAGACTCCTCGGTCCTCTTCCTTTCCTTTTCCTTCAACTTTAAACTTTGCCAGCTCATAACACCGTCAGCACGTACCTGATGTTTAATGTACGTAAGCTTTACTAGTACAAAATTGAAGTTGTATGCATTTTGATTCATATGACATGGTATATACGTGACAATATATGTATACCACCATGTATACTACCATGTAAATGTAGGTACATACCTATGTACGTGACGTTCGTGTTCTTATGAATCTTTGTTTCTTCCCGACTGCATTCGATGTTATAATAATGATTTGCAATTCGGCACATTATTAATGTAACTCAAATGTGAGAATAGGGCCAATGTTTGTACTACATGTGTATGTACTATACATGTACTACATAATGTTATAGCAAAAACTATATCGGAATGTGAATTCTGCGGTACGTCATGCGCAGAGATTGACTACAAAATTGACTACATAATACTGAAATGGACTTCAATCACATGTCTCCATAAAAGTTTGCCCCGCCACTAAAGAGAGCTAACCTAGTAAGTGCCAATTCAAATTCACACACACACAAAACAACACTAGACCCCCCCAGATTCTTTTTTTTCCTATCCTCTTTTTTCCTTTTTATATCAATTTAGAAAATATAGATCAAAAACTACCTACCGTACACAAACAAAAGCAACACCACTAGATTACTTACCCATCTCGGAATCCCTCGGTAAAATCGCTTTAATCGTGTCATTTCGACTCACATAGCCTCAGTGCTGCTTTTAAGCCTGCATACATATTTAATATCAACACGCACGCCTTCGACCAGCTCGACCGACCGCTAGTCGAATCACTACTTCATACTCGACTTGCCTTTGGTCTTCTCAAAGGCGACCTAGCTACCACGGCTTCTGTGGCCGTGAGCTTCGTTTCTGATCAAGATTTCAGTCTGCGAAAGACTTTCCACATCATCAACTCGAGACCCCCTCCGCCCACTTCTGCTGAAGTCATATAAAGGAAAGCCAACGCCCATCTTGCTCGATAAAATCTCTCAACCAAGCCATTCTCTCCCCCCAACCTACCAGCTGCCGCATAGGACGAGTTCTAAGGTTCTTCCTCTAATCGAGGGAGAGTCGAGGAGACCTCGTCAGATCGCTTCGGGATCAGGAAGCTACCGTTTTCGACCCCCTTAACACCTACTCAAAGGGACACGTTCCTGGTTTCTGACAATCTACATTTTACTATCTATTCTTTCTGTATAGAAGGTATAGAAAGTATATACACCCCATCGCGTCCGTATTAGAATCTCTTTTGAGATCTTATACCGCTACCTGAGTTTATACGAAACTCCTCATCAAACTTCCCAAGCAACCTCCACCACCAGCCGCGAGGGATATGGTTATGGCAACAGCCGCCGTTGAACGCTACTCACAGACTCTCTTTGATAATAATCCAATTTTTATCAAGAAGAATCATTTCTACGAGCCGCAGCAACATCATCATCATGGCGCTGTCGTTGCCAAACAATTGATTGGCGATGCTCTTCGCCAACGCGTTGAAAACATTGACCATGAGTTGTGTGAACCAGGGGATGAGGACACTTTTTTCGTGGGCGATCTTGGCGAGGTTTACCGCCAACACATGAGGTGGAAGAAGAACCTCCCTCGCGTCAAGCCCTTTTATGGTAAGTTTTCAGTGAAATATCACTTGTCCAACCCAGATTCGAAGCTAACTTCAATGTGTAGCCGTCAAGTGCAACCCAGATCCTAAGGTTCTCCAGCTTCTTGCCGGACTAGGCACTGGCTTCGACTGTGCCTCGAAGTCCGAGATCGAGCAAGTCTTGAACCTGGGTGTTGATCCATCTCGCATCATCTATGCCCAACCGTGCAAGACCAACTCTTACGTACGCTATGTCGCCACCGAGGGTGTTAAGCAGATGACGTTTGACAATGCCGACGAGCTGCGCAAAATTGCCAAGCTTTTCCCTGACGCTGAGCTTTTCCTACGCATTTTGACCGATGACTCATCCAGCTTGTGCCGTCTGAGCTTGAAATTTGGCGCTTCCCTTGACTCCACCAACGATCTCTTGGCTCTCGCCAAGGATCTCGGGCTTAATGTCGTTGGTGTGAGCTTCCATGTGGGGTCCGGAGCTTCTGACCCCCTCGCGTTCCTCAAGGCTGTCCAGGACGCCGAGACCGTCTTCAAGCAAGCTTATTCGCATGGCTTCAACTTGGAGACGCTCGATGTGGGCGGCGGATTCAGCGGCGACACATTCGAGGACATGGCTGATGTCCTTCGTGAAGCTCTCGACGAGTATTTCCCGCCACACATCAACATCATTGCTGAGCCTGGTCGCTACTACGTATCTTCGGCGTTCACTATAGCTTGCAACATCATTGCCCGTCGCACTATTGAGAACCCAGCGACGGGTGAGACTAGCTACATGACGTACATCAATGATGGGCTATACGGCAACTTCAGCAGCATCATGTTCGATCATCAACACCCCATTGCCAAGGTGCTGCGATCTGGCAACAGGACCTTTTACAATACACCTCTCGCTGATGGCATGCCCGAAGCTGCCACCGCTGGCATGGAGTACTCAATCTGGGGACCCACTTGTGACGGCATTGATCGTATCACTGAGAGCATTCGCTTCAACCACGAACTTAATGTCGGCGACTGGCTGTACTTTGAGGACATGGGCGCTTATACTAAGTGCTCTGCCACCAAATTCAACGGGTTTAGCGACAGTCACGATGTCCTCTATGTCTGCAGCGAACCTGGCGCCAAAGCTCTTATGGACCTTTAAATGTTTCTTGGATCGGCTATGAATATATTTACAAGTCAGAGTAGATAGACACAGAGCATTCCGTATGCATTCTCATCTTGGTTGTCGCTACACTAAGGGGGTTGCATGTTTCTTTCGTAATAACCTGTTTATAGAATTGGTTTCTCAGTCAGTCGACTGGTACATATAGAGAAAAAGAATTATATTCACAGCGAGGCATTGGACAATGCTCCACCTCTTTATATGCTTTTATTTCGTTCATGTGCCAGAATTATTTAAATAGATGTGCCGTGTCTTCACTAAACCAACTCCTCACATAGGTATCTTACCATAAACGTAGTTACTTTGTAGATCAAAACAAGGAGAAGTGAATCAAAGGCTGGGTAGACTGCTCCATGCCCCCTTATCTCTATTCGCCTACCTAAGGTACTTACTCATAAGCCGTCTTTCCGCCTCCTCATCCAATGCTTCAGCACAAACGCAACTCGTGTACTCGTGGTATCCAAGTCACACGGCAGCACCACACACTCTAACCCCTGCTCCTCCAGCACCCTGCAAAACTCCTCGTACGTCGCGATCCACTCCCCCCGGCCACACCGCACCCCGTCGTCCGTCAGCCAGTCCGCGCCCGCCTCGCAGACGACGATTAGGGATGTTGATAGTCGGTCGCGGAGTTGGTGCCATGCCATGCGGGGGAGGGTCTGGGGGGGGCGTACTGCTGCGCGTAGACGAGGGGGTCGAGGGCGGAAGCGGGCGGAGAGGAGGAAGGTGGTGGTGGTTGAGTGGGGGTCTGGGGATGGGGATGGGGATAGGAAAGACATACTAGGAGGGCGATGGAAGGGGGCTCTTTCTCGAGAGAATTTGTGATGGTGATTTGGGTTCGGTGGCATTAGACGGGATAGGTATTCTAACCTAGATGCATCTCTTGGATGCTTCACTGGCGGGTCACAAAATATTTTTGTATATAGGTAGCTGGAGGATCTCCTATGGGTTGTGGGGAATTATCGCCCCCCTTTGATATTCTAGATGTGTAATCAGGTGCCTCAGTCACTTATCGTAGATTGAGATTTTACAGTAGCCATCGTTAAGGAGGGTTGTATGTACCCACGGTAACTGCCTCAGGTTGAATTGGCACGGTTCACGTAGTTGAGGGTTTTACTTGTTCCGGCGTCAAATTTCATAAGGTTGCGTACCTACCTAGACGAGCAAGATAAAGGAGGCAGTTACGGCGTGAGTACTCGGCTGTGAAATGGAAGTCACGCAATGTTTGTCACTCCCCTTCCTGCCCTTCCAACCCCCCTGGGCACCTGCCACTGAGCAGCCGGACCAAGGAAAGGGGTTTTTTTTTAAAAAAAAAACAAAAATCTGCGCACTCACAGGGAAGGCGCGCACAAAGATGCTGATAGGAAGCCCCGGCGTTCCTGCCTTGGTTCCTCAGGTACACACCAAAAACAGTGCCTTAGGGGAAAGAACGTTCACGCCTGTCAGGCAAACCATCGATCGCTACCTGTACTGTTGCCGGCGTGGGCGCGACTATAAATACTTCCCTCTGCTTCCCATTATTTTTTTTTTTCATTCTTTCCATCCTTCAAACACACCGATCACTCTTTCACGCAACCTTCTTGACTTCTTAAGTCGTTAACACCTAACTTCACCTAACAAAAACCTTACTACGCAACACACTCTTTTTTAACTGCCTACTACATCACCGCTAAGATGCAGATTCTCTCGATCTTGGCCTTGGCCGCGCCTATCCTAGGTGCCGTCATTAAGGTAAGCACACCTACTTCCTTCATTTAACCCAACCTGATCTACCTACCTTCCTACCTGCCTTTATTCCTTCCTCGTGACAACCTATTCTCAAGACAAGTCAACTAACCAATCAACCACAACAGGACACTTCCATTGACAGTTCCATCAACGGAACCGTCATCCGTGATGACATCAAGGTCCTCTGCGGTGCCCCTCCTACCACCCCGGACAACAACTTCCCGGCGTACCAGTACGCCTACCCTATCGGTCTGCTCCTCAGCGGTGGCAGCCGCAAGTTCCACCTTGATGCCGGCCCTGGCAACTGCAAGCAGGCCGCCTGCAACGCCGGTGGTGGCCCCGGTGTTTTTATCTGCAATGATGCCACACATTCGATCGATATCCTGTACACTGATGCTGTAAGTATTTTACCTAACTACCTACACTAGATGAGATGAGACAACTTTGCTAACCAAAAAAAATAGGGATACTTTGCCCAGCAGGTCTACCGCCAGTGCAAGACCCGCCACGCCGACGGCGTCGACTGGGTCGAGAAGGGCCAGGCCTTCTGCCCCGACAACTGGAACGTCATCCTCACTGACGTCGGCCCCAACTGCGAGGCCAGCACCCTGCCCCCCGACTCTTCTGCCTAGTCGGGCCCGCTACTTGGTTAAGCACTTTACCCATCTGTTGAAGAAGAAAAGTTGCACGCGATTTGAGTTGAGCACGGGATTCGAGAACGGGGGATAGTAGGTTGGAGGAGGACGCCTCTTGATGATTTCCTACCTGGCCTTGACATATGGGACGCTAGTTAGTTAGTTAGTCAGGTAGTGGGCGTCGACTCGATTTCCGCCGAGATGCCTCGTGAATCCAAAAGTTAACGCACCTTGATACACCTTTGTCGTGACTCTAAATAGTGAATGTCCCCCCCCCCCCCCCCCCTCCCCATCACTCTTAGTAAGTTAAAAAATTCTCTGGCGATGTCGTGTAGACCACACGATTAGGTACCTAAGATGCCTACCCCGTGTTTCGACTAGGTACCTTGGTACGCACTTTGGTAATGCGTATCTCTGAAGGTATACATCGTGACATTATCCATGCCTACCACTAAAAATAATGCTCTGATATCACTTACCTAGGTTAGGCAGATATTTAGGAGGATTATTCCCAACCTAACATATAATAACCCCTAAGTTATCTAACCTTGGTAGCAGTGTTTTTTATAGGTACCACCGATTTTCCTATTCGGTATGTATCTGTAGTTAGTTACCTTGGAAGGATTACACGGCAATTACTTATGTGTAGGTAGGTAGGTACCTAGGGAGCGAATCACATAATCAGCGATGTATGTAAGCGTGGGGATCGCCGTAAGATCTCCGCGTGAGTCAATGCCGGCCGGCATCGTGTGGCTGTGCCGGACACGGCTTCCGCATAGTATCGGACGCCTGCAGGTGATATTAGCAACTACGGGTATAAAATGCGTGGTACGTACGTAGGTAGGAAAGTCGTATATAAAAGCAGCAGAGATCAGTCGCCTTGGGAAGAGGAGTAATTGCATGAATGTCTTGAAATTTCAATTTCCATCAGAACCCCCCGTTGATCACGGATGAGCAACTGAGAGCCACTAGGAAAATAATCTTTGTACAAAACAATGCTCAGGCTAAGCTCCGACGAAACCTTCCACTTCGAGCTCCTAAAGCTGCTCGCGCACGCCTCGTACGGCGGGTCCGACATCGCTGAGTGTCTCGTCGCCGCGGGCGAGATCGTGCCGGGAGACTTCGAGTCGTGGTACTTGGCGTGGAACCGGCGCGCGGAACGGGTGTTGTCGCAGATCCCTACCTTGCAAAACCCGGTATCGATCCGTGATGCGCTCTTCCGCGCGGCCACGTACAGTCGCGCGGCGGATTTCTACTTGCACGGTAGCGACTGGGACGACCCGCGCATCGCGGCGCTGTGGAAACGGCAGACGGAGTGCTTTGATAAGGCGATTGCGCTCCTAAGTGTTCCGGGGTACAGGGCGCTGGTTAAAGCGGACGGCTTCGATGTTCCAGTCATCGTTTTCCCGGCCACCACCGAGGCGGAGGAGGGGAAGCGGCGGCCTACGATTGTCCTAGGAAACGGGTACGACGGATCGATGGAGGAGCTGTGGCACATGCACGGCGCGGCAGCGGCGGAGCGCGGGTACAACGTCGTGGTGTACGAGGGGCCGGGGCAGCCGAGCGTGCGGCGCGACCAGGGGCTCGGGTTCATCCACAACTGGGAGGCTGTGGTGTCGCCTGTGCTGGACCATCTCGCCACGCTGCCGTTCGTGGATGCGCGCAAGATCGGGCTCCTGGGGTACAGCATGGGCGGGCTGCTGGCGGCGCGCGCGGCCGCCTTCGATCACCGCGTCGCGGCGGTGTTCCAGATCGACGGGCTGTACGACTTCACGCGCACGCCCATCTTCACGTCGGACCAGAGCCTCAGCAGCCGGTTCGGCGACGGCAGGGACGAGAAGGATACGCAAGCTTTGCTTGTGAACCCAAAAGTACCAGCGGGTCTGCGCTGGCTGCTCGGTCAGGGGCTCTGGGCGTTTAAGGTGCGGACGCGGGCGGAGCTGCTGGAGAGGATGGCCCGTTTTAGCCTAGTGGGCGTGGCGGAGAAGATCCGGTGCCCGGTGTTCGTGGGCGACGCGGCGGACGACATGTTTTTCAAGGGCCAGCCGCAGGTCATGGCTGAGGTGCTGGGGGAGAGGGCTACGGTTGTGACGTTCACTGGTGAGGATGGGGCGGGGGAGCATTGCCATGTGGGGACATCGAGGTATAGCAGCCAGGTTATGTACGAGTGGTTTGAAGAGAAGGTTGTCAATGCGTAGACACCTACTAGCTTACATATAGGTACTCAGGTCTCATGATATATCGGACTTTACCTAGGAGAAGAGGGGCATGTTGGAATAGAGGCATACTGCAACTGAACTTAGCACCTACCTGGGCACTTACCTAAGGTTAGGTATGTCGCAGGAAATCAGATCTATATCATATAAATTTCTTTTGTGCTCCAGTAAGGAGGCTCCTTGGCTTCAAATAGTATAAATACAAGTAAGTGTGTTCACACTTAAGGATGAATGATGAATGGAATTATGGCACATGGCCGATGGCCGGGGCTGTTGAAGACTGATTAACTACTTCGTACCAGTAACTAAAGATTTCCAAGGTTAGATCTCGGGGTGGGAGCACACTATACTGTATTCGTATTAGCGTAGGATTAAGGCTAAACTTTAAATCGCGTCATCTGATATCGCGCTCAATTCGCGTGGGCCTAATGAACCAGTTCATTCAAGTGTCTTTGTGTCGTTTGTTCGGGGCAGTTAATACCCGTGGACGTGTTAATTGATTTAAGTTGTAACGCGACTGCATTTTTCACCTTTTATTCCACTTATTCCTTGTATTTGACAAAGTTAAACTCGAATGATGCCACTTCACCTTTCTTCACCATGGCCCCTTATGCCGCGAATCCGATTAATGAAGCCCAAAGGAAAGCCTTCAATGGCGAAACCGAGAGTCAAGACAGTCAAGCCATGTTAGAAACGTTCATGCGCAATCATGGTATGGGTGCGGTAAGCAATCTCATACTGCCTGGTTGGCCTGATTGGCCTGTGGCCTGCCTTTTGCTTTTTTTTTGCTTTTTTTTTTTTTTTTTTTTGGGTGGCAAGATGATCAGCACTGGGGTCTTGTGGTTTCGTGATTTCGACCTTTCGAGTTATTGTAACATGTTATTGGTGGTTTTCGACTAATATCTATGAAATCTATGTAGCTAAGCAGTCTACCTGCACAAGTCGAGCCTCTTTATCAATCAAAGGGAGAGAATGCCAAGATATCAAACAAAAACCCTACAAAAGTACAAATTTCACATTCAGCAAGGAAATGGTTTAAAATACCATCAGAAATCCGAGAGGTAAGCAATGACGTCGATAGGCATTGGCCATCATCGGCAGGCCGCAGCCATCGCGGCCTTCGTAATTGACAAGGGTGGCACTGATACAAAAGCAATACTTTAGCAACCGGCGAACGCGTCAAACGCGCTCCAAGAACTTGATCCTACGAACGAGTCTTCGGACCAGCCGACCCGCTCGAGCTTACCCTTGGGCTGCAAACCCGAGGAGTCTGCCATAATTCTTGGTCAACCTATTGCCAACAATAATGCGACCACCTGCACGAACGAAAGAACGAGTCAGTTGATTGACACCGAAGCCATTCCCGCATGTGTATCAACCGATACACCGAAGACCGGAGAGATGTCGTCGGGATCCACCACGCAGTCGAACGACGACCGCAGTTATGAGCAGTATTCTAAAGCCAGCTCACAGCCACATCTACAACCGTCGTCGCAGGGGAGTAGTGATCAAGAATATCGGACTCTTCAAGAGGATGAGACGGGATTTATAAAATTTAGGCGCACTCAATTTGACTTGCCGGAGTCCATTTCACGAGAGGCTGATCTCAACCCCGCCATTGCCAGCGACCCAACGAGAAGGTCGCAATCAATATCGCAGGTACCTGAGACAGATGGCCCGTACGAGGCATGTCCTGAGACCCCTGCGGTAGTCCAAAGGCTATTGCAACATGGAGGAAATGAGGTGCAGTTGATGGCAGCCTCGCAGCTTTTTGGGCAAACTCAATGGACATCAGCTGTAAAGAAATTTAGTCCTACATCATCTCGCCCATCGCCCGATGTTTTTAATCACATCGCCACTTCCCCAAATCCTGCGATGTCATCCCCCTTAAAAAATAGGGGACTGAGGACATCCCCAACCAACGTTTTTACTTCAAGTCCGGTACATGTCAGAACCTCGTCTAAGCCTTTGGATGACAAAACGCCTTCTCTCCCTACTAACAGCCGCGAGGAGGAAGGTCTTCATCAAAAAAGTATCGCCGAGACCCCAATCGCGCGACCCAATGTACCCAAGCGAAGGGCTGTCCTAGAACCCATTGGCGAGTACAAACCTTTGCGAAAGCAAAGCTTGGAAATAGTGACTGCTAAATCTATAGAGCACAGCGATGATGAACAAGATTCTGACTTCGAGATGGACGCAGTTGCGCGCCGTCGTATGTTGGCTAGGCTAAGACAGGAGAAGGCCAGCAAATCCTTTCCATCTGTCAGTCTCTTTCGGTCAGATTCAAATAGGGATGGGGATGTAGAGGTACCGTCAACCAGTCGCCCTCAATCTGCTCAGAATAGACGGATAGAAAAGCAGAAAACGACTCGATATTACGGCAAGTCTGCGAGTGATGATGGCGCGTCGCAAGAAACCATTGCGGATTCCCAGGAAGGCTTAGCACCACCACCGCCGCCGCAACAGTACACGAAAAGTAGTTCGAATGCGACGAACAAATCTAATGGGGCAAGCACCGACCTTGAAGGACCTCGCAACAGTAGTCTCCCGCTGCCTAGAGCACTTCTATCTGACGCGGAATATAGGGAGACCATTCCAGAGACTAGTCCGTCAGGTACTCTAATAGAGCCACCGAGATTATTAGATGATATAATGAGACAAGAGTCCAGCATAAGGTCCGAAATAGAAACCGTCTCATTTCCAGTCTTATCCAACGGCACAGATCCCGAGCAGCAGCCAAATGAACCAGATGAACCTAAGTCCTCAAGCCTTCCAGAACCGCTCTCCTTGATTCGTACAGACCGAAAAGAAAAATCTGGCCGGGGTCGACCTCTAGATTCCTCACCCTCTGTCGTCCAAGCATCCCCGTCCCCGAGCGGCACCCGTCGATCAACACGACCCCAGGATATAGTTACACCAACCTCAATTGAACACAACCCACCTCTTCTATCAGATCCCGGTACAAGGTCATCGACCTTGACAAGTCTGTCGGCAACACCTAGTATGCCTTCAAGCATTACACCCAACACAGAACCTGAGCATGTGTCAGAGGATAACGAAAGACATATTAGTTCATCACCGCCGGCAGCAAAGCCAGACTATGATAGAAGATTATCATCAACTCTTCCCAAACCACTGCCTCCATTCCCTAAGATGAAGAGGCAATCTCCACGTCGTGATAGTACTAGACGGTCAACATATCATGATTCACTATCAACTGATGAGTTGGCTGGGTCGCCAATATCCGTATCAAGCATGCCAGAGCGAAGAGCTCCCACCCGGAAGCCATCAAGGAAATCTTTAGCCAATCAAAGTTCACGTCGTGTGTCAACGGCAAAACAAGGCATCTTCGAGGGGATGGTTTTTGCAATATCATTCCAAAATGCACAGGGCCGGAAAAGCAATGAGAAGCACCCCGAACGAGTAATTATCGAGCAAAAGATTCGCCAAAATGGTGGCAGGATCCTATCTGATGGATTCGACGAACTTTTTAAATTTGATTCTTTCCAAGCTACCAGCAGCACCGCTTCAGTTCCTACTCTGTCTAGCTCGCTTACGCTGCTCAACGCAGATACTGGGTTCACGGCCTTAATAGCGGACGGACACTCGCGAAAAGTGAAGTACATGCAGGCGCTTGCACTCGGTATTCCATGCCTGGCGCCCAGATGGGTCACAAATTGCGTAGCCAAGCAGGAAATAGTAGACTGGACCTCGTATCTCCTATGCGCTGGGCCAAGTATGGTTTTAGGGGAAGCTATCCGCTCACGGAACCTGCAGCCATATGATGCCTCAGTGGCCAAGCTGGTAGACGTGATCAATGATAGACCAAAGCTCTTGGACGAAACACAAATTCTTCTCGTTATGAAGAAAACTAAAAATGAAGGAAGAAGGCTACCGTACGTATTTTTGGCACAAATTCTCGGTGGCTCATTGGAACGAGTCCAAAGTCTAGATGAAGCCAGAGTGAGACTTCGAGAGAGGGAGTCCCAAGACCGACCTTTTGATTGGGTATACGTCGACGATCATTTGCATAATGCTCAGAACGCCTTGTTTGGCGCGGCTGCAGGGGATGCGGCTCCGAAGAAACGAAAACGGCAAAGCACAGGGTCAGAGGATTCTAACCGACCACCGAAGAGAATTAGGACGCTCAACGATGAACTGGTAATCCAAAGTTTAATCTTAGGCAGGTTGGTTGAGGAAGGGGAATTGGATGGGTAACCGTTACTTAGGATTGATGTCATAGGATTGGGGAATTGGACTGTACAATAACATCTTGATGGCGTTTTGGTCGAGGGCCTGTAGGCATTTAGGCGGTGCATTCCTATGATGCAGGCAAATGCTACAGGGTACTATACTATACCCATACTCAGGTACTCATCGATTGAGGATTGCGGATGAGCAGAACGGCTCTCCAGGCCGTGAATGATGAAAATCATGGAGAATATGACAGATAGGGTTGGCTCCGGTATCAACAAGTGTCATTGACGTGTTCTGAATATCTTCACTAACAAGTAAGCAAGCCAGCTTGATGCAAAATCCGGGATTAGCTTCTTCTTGAAATCATACGTAGCATCGACATGCCACGATACTTGTTTTTTGACGTTCAAGTGCCTGCCTGGTTGAGTAGAATCCATGGGCGGTCTCAGGGACTTCATATGTATCGGTAATCACTAAGTAATGATTACTTTATACAGCTTGTACAGTTCATACAGTTTGTACGTATGTATGTCGGTCGGCGGTGGTGAATAAATAGCAAGTCAATGTCGTCATCCCGCAAAGATGGGTTAGGTATGGTAGGTATAGGGGTTCCATGCTTATAATACCGTGCCTTGATTTTCAGCTATTAATTATTATTAAGGCTTTTTTGGTTTTGGTTTACGGATGGGACCGTTGGATCGAACTAACCTAGGGGCAGGGTAGATAACTACAACCATTCCTATTCCTAGTGTAGGTGTAATAATCTTGAACCCAATTGGAAGGAGATGTCAGATGGAGGTTTGTACGAAATAGGGAAACGGAACAGCCAAGACTGTTTGGCGAGATCGGGAAAATGAGGCTCGATCGGAGGATTGATTTGGGGGCTTTTCGACGACGGACTTGGAATTGGACTTGGACTTGATGATGATACTGATACTGATACCTGCCAGGCTTGTTGGGCTTCTGTTTTTGTATTAGGAGTTTTGGATTAGGGGGGGAGGGGAGGCATGGTTTACGATGTAGTACTACTAGCTGTGTATAGTTGTCGGTCGGGGATTTTTTTTTATGTTCATGTTGCATGCTTCTGTTACATAGGTACTTCCTTTTTTTTTTCAGGTGAGGGAACATCTCGGTGAGGCTAGAATCTTTAACACTATTATAGTTAGGGGAGAAGAAAATAAGATTGGAGCGAGGTTTTTTTCTTAGATCCTAAGCGTTCCTGGCGCCGGCGGGCTTCCTTCCCGAGAAGATGGAGTTCGGCAAAAGGGACCCGAGAAAACTATCTCTAGAGAACCTTGGAAGTTGAGAATGATTACCCACCAGGATTACTCTATTTTTTTTTTGTTTCTCACGCATTCTAGCGGCGGACAAAATTGGGGCAGCTTACCTATGTAGGTACCCAGGTTGAGATGAGGAGTTTCGATAAAGGAAATAATAATTACTATTGCCTGGATCGATTTTGGGTGGGAGAGAGAGAGAGAGAGAGAGAGCCGCAGTTGCTCCTGTCGGTAACTACCGCTTAGGATCGAGAACCACTACATAGTAGGTTTTAACTAGGTAATACTAGGTAGCATATGTAGCTATATCCCCGTCCGGAGAGGGATATATGAGGCGCGGATTAAGACTCTTTAAAGCGCTCTTATTTTTTTTATTTTTTGATGATGACGTATGAATGGGACGGACGTAAGAAGTAGATGATGGCATATTTACAACATTTACGAAGATCACGAACCTCCAGGTTTTTTTTTTGTTGGAGAAAATATTTGGAGAATCATGGTGACGATTGACGATGCTATGTAACTATGTGGAAAGGAAGAAAGCAAGTTTGCTTCGTCCAGAAGAGCGGAGTTACATAGTGCGCAGGGTGACGGGGGAGTGACGGGCGGGCATCGTGAAAGCCGTTGACGGGACGGGGTAAGGAAGGAAGCAAGGCGGGTTGAGCTATAGTATTATATGGGGAACTATTCTACTCATAGAGCTTGCTGCATATCTCAACTAAAAAGGCCCTGGAGCTCTGAAAAGCTCCATTGTCTAAAAGTATGTATCATGCATACAAGGGAGGCAAGGTAGGCATAGGTATATGGCTTTGGCGTGCATGCATCCATGCATAGGAACGGCGCGGCAGAGTACCTACAGCTTACAGCTACGCTGGATATTGACATGTATGCGAGGCTTTTAGTGATTATCGTCGCATTGCAGCTCTTTTCTTTTCTTTTTTGGGCTCAAGCGTTCATGGCCAGAAACACAGAATGGAAACACCTCCCCCCCCAAAAGTTCCAATGCTACGGTAATAATTCATTTGCTGGTTTGCTGGGTGCGCCGTGAGAACCGAGTTGCAGGGCCGTAGCAAATGCTCCGGGAAACCCATATACATACATGCAATACAGCAAATGTAAAATGCAGAAGGTATGTATGGATAGTAAGTAGGTAAGGTTGGATACCATCCCATCCATCGGGCAGACGGCACGCATCTGGGGGATCGTTGGGAGCCAAATCGCGGATCGAACGATTTGACGATCATTTCATAGTTATAGTAGGCAATTTGCTGCTACAATTGATTGATTGCTTCTCTCGCGTGTCGCCGAGAACCAGAGAATCTGACATCCATGCGTGCGTGCACAGGTACCAGGTAGGTTACCAATGGACTTATGCTGCACTGTTATTTGTCTTGGACGACACGTGCTTCATTCCATGAGGCCGGAATTCTCGGCGCCATACCATATTGCCGTTGGAATACCCGTGCCCCCATACATATGCCTTATGTACCTTGCCTTATTGTACCTACGTAGGTTAGGTACAGCCTGTACAGGTGCTTGATTAATTGGTATTAATGTTCGGATAAGAAAAAAAGAACGAGGGTAGTCGGACTCGGACTTGATATAACATTCCATACCTATTACCTACCTACAATACTTATTGATGAACTTCAAGCGGCACCCGGGATAGCCTAGCCTGGGAATCTATGCAGTGAAATCAGTAATAGCTATCATGCAAGTAAGTCAATAGACTTGTAATACACCGATTGGGAGTCGGGATCGTTAATTCGTTCAAGCCTCCTCCTATGTACCTCCCACCTCTTTCCCCCCTTCTCTAATAGGTACTATACCAAAAAAAACCACACGGAACCGGCGCCGGATTTGCAGCTAAAGACTAAAACTCCCCATGATCCAAACATGACTCGTCGAGAGAACTCTCTCGATGGTGTACCTGAAGCGTCTAGGCCATTGATGTGCTTGCTCCTTGTTTTAGCGCAGCAAGGCCGAGGAGCTGAATTAAATGAATTATATAGATGCGACGTGAACAGCGCATAATACACAAACAGCCTACATAGGCACCTACTTTACTTTACATACCGAAACTAGCTGTCTCGGTAGTCAGATAAGTCAGGTAATTTGTTGCTGCCCACGGACTGTTGATGATGGCTTGTTTGAATTGAGTTGAAAAACCTTCGCATTTCATCCCCCTCCGTCTAAGTAGATATTAGTTATCTTTTCCCGACTAGCTCTTGGCTATCTACAGTAGTACTCCGTTCATAGATGCCTAGCTATATTCTACGATGCATTCTATGATATGTATGCCATATATGGACATGTGGACTAGTCTCGGCCTTGCCTATGCGCAATCAGAACATCTACTGTGGCAGATAGACACCATTACTGGCCTAACCTAGTGCAATATAACTACCTGAAGGTAGCCTCCCTAAGCCTCTATTCTAGCTAAACGTCACAACGTTTCAGTGAGATGGCTAGTAATAGTTAACCGGTGCCAGCTAGCTACCGCCACTTCTTGGTCTACTAGTTGCTCTTTAGATCCATAGGGAAATTCGCCGAGCCGAGCTGGAGAAGGCTAGGGAGGGGGGGGACGGGAAGGGCAATTTCGTCACTGTTTGTCGTGTTCGTGTTACGGTTCACTAGTTATTATATCATATTACTTGCCTACCCAGCTTACCTAGCTTCATCTACCTGAACCTATGTACCTGCCGAAACGCGGACAAGCGTTGGGCAAACTTGAATTTGATGTTTGCTACTACATATGTAGTATGTAATCACATACAGATCTAGTATCAGGTTGACGAGGTGGGAGATGGGACTTGGGGACAGCTGAACGATAACTGTAACGGCACTTTTGCTATTTTAGAGTTGTACACGGCGTCTGCGACTCTGTGGGGATCCTCGGTTTCTCGGTTGGTAGGGATTAGCTCTGTCTCTTTCTCTCCCTCTTCATTGGTACCCTAAACAGGGAACATACTCGACAATGAGCTCCGCGACGAGAGATGCTAACTAGCACATTACATTGTGACCAATGGCGCGATTATTTGCATGTACGACGATAACATGCAAAATCGACTAGTCACATACCGACTATGCGTACTTGCTAATAGTTGCTATAGTATCACCCACCTACATACATCCAATGTCATCCATACGTGCCCAGGAGCGCAGGATACATGTGCTTACCCAGGAGTCCAGGACCAGTATACTATCCATTCGCATACAATGGCAAGATGGGATTGTGAAAATACAATAGAACAATCTTCGATCCCCTTCCCCGCCGTCCTAAATAAGGCTAGTGGGCAATGGCCTGATGTGAGAGAACATTAAATAATTCGAGCAAATAAGACCGAGAGACGAACGATTGTTTCCTATCGTTACCCGAACGAGAAGAGCATAGAGCCATAGCTAGAAACTCGGACCCTTGCCGGCTTAGCCTCTTTATTTCCAAGTAATGTAATATCGTATCGTGTGTGTGTGGTATAGTGCAATGCACAGGTCCTTGAGGACATAGTATCTAGGCCCTTGAGTATAGGTAGGCATTGGATATTATGCCTGCCTAGATATTTGTTCATGTTGGTGTTGATGATGGTGACGATGAGCTCTGGGTGTTAGATGTACAGTAACTGGCGGTATATAAGAAAGGCAGGAAGCCATCGTTACATTTGTGCACTTTTTCTTTTTGCTTCTGTTTTCATCTTGCCCCCCTCTTTTCATATTATACATACCCATATCTCCATCTCCATCTCCATATACATCTCCATATCAATATCAATATCAATATTAATATATCCAGCCTTAAAAAAGGTGACAGGCTGATCAACTCCTCACCTTGGCCTTATCTCTCTGACCTTGTCAGCTTTGGCCCTTTGGAAAGACTTGGCTCTGGCTTTGCGTGCAGCTCGTTGCACATCGTTTTGCGCATCGTTCCGTACTTTGGTAGGCGAGCATCTGTACAGCTTTGGGCAATTCAAAGGGGAGATCAACGCTCTGCAGATAGTATTGACGCCGCCATTGGACAATCCCTTCTCCAAACGTTCAATATAATATATCGAGATCACGTCAACCAAGCTGCAAAACGATTAGCGACTAAGGAAGGCCGCCTTGTAGCCGATCCCGGTTTGATTGGTTAAGCTGTCAAGAACAAGCTATTTGGTGCTACGCCTGATTGAGAGATTTCAGCTGGGATCGTCAAAGTTCCTTTTTTTTTTTTTATCTCCAGGCCTTTTTGGCATCGAAAGAAACGTACTGTGGATTACGCCACCCCCGAACAGTTCGGTTGTTGTAGGCGTAACGATAGCTGCAACGAACGACATTTCAGCAATTAAATTCCCACTAAAAAGTTATTAGTACTACTAGTAGTGTGGTTTAAAGAAAAAAACGAAGCGGAAGGAGAGAAGCCGACTCGACCTTGAAAAGCCTCAAGTCTGTTTCTTTTTTATTATTATCTAACTAAACTAAGTAACTTCTAGTTATTCTTGGTTTAAGAGAACATTACAGCATTACAGCATTACAGCATTACAGCATTACAACATCAATTACAACAGAGCAAGCCGAACAACCGAACAACCGAACAACTTGAACAGAACAAAGAATAAAAAGCCTTTATCTATTTTAGCGCCTGAATTACTACCTAGTACCTATACGCATGGTTAGTTAGTGCGCTAGTAGTAGTTACAGGTAGTGTCAGATACTCGTTGGCCTTGAACTTTGTTGCGTTGCGCTTAACATTGAACCCATTGAACCCAACCGTCTATCAGCTGGCGCAACCTTGGTGGACATCTCAAATTCTCAATTGATATTGATGTTACTATAGTGAGTACCTAACCTACATATGTACATATATCGTTCAATCTTCCTCGTTCCATAACCAACATTGATCCAAAACAATAATAATTCTAACGAAACATTTATTCATTCATCAGATATCTACCTATCTATATTAAAGCACTCTTCATCAGTGTCCTTACAGCTACTATTGAAAATTGTACTACTCATTGTGCAATACTAGTACTATTATTGAAGTACTGTAAGTTGTAGCGCAAGTCTCCAGAGATACGACATTACAGTACGACGCACATGTGCACACTTGACACACACACACACACCACAATCACCCCCACCAAAAGACAAGCCTAGCCTAGCCTAGCCTATTCGAAAAAAAAAACAGCACTACATACTTATGTACTACTTACTAGGTATGCACCTAACCTAGGCCAGAGTTGTGATAGTAGGTGCTATTAAACAGAACAAGAGCAAGCACCAAAAACAAAAAAGAGAGAAGATTAAAAAGAAAAGAGAGAGAGAGAAGAGGAAGAGAAGAAAAAAAGAAGATAGACCCATAACTTACCATACATACATAGGTATCACATTCCGCACTTGTGTTATCCAGTCATCATCATCACACTTTTGAGCTCCCTCCCAACCAAAGAAAAAAAAAAGAGGGCAAAAAAAAAGAAAAAAAAAAGAGGGAACACTGCTCTCGGCGACAAGACATCATCCACATCAGCAGGAGGCACAGCCTATGCAACGTTGACTTGCCCTGGCACAGGTACCTGACTTACCCTTGAACAGCCCTGACTAACTGGGCTTGGTCTACCAAAATTACATCAAGTCTGTTGTTGATTTCGAAACTAAAACCCACTGATTTCCTCTGCTTTCCTCCACTATCGCACGGTATTTCTTTGTAAAGGAAATAAGAAAATCAAGTCAATCCCTTCCCTTCCCCTCATAATACACATCATACATACTACCGAATACATTATCACATACATACATTCCTCATACCCTTCTATACGCCTCTTTACGCCTCTTTACGCCTTGGTACGTAAGGGCCGTTACGCTTTATTGTTCGATTCCCATTTACCACCATTACCTCCCTCCATCGAAGAGCTCATAATCTATCGCGGAGTTTCAGTTGTCAGTTGCACACACTGTGTACGTGTCTCACGAGTCAAGTTCCTCCCGACTACCTATCTACATATCTCCTCCAAACGCCTATCTTTCCTCCCTGCGCCAAACCTAACGCAGATCCGGCCTAAACGAAAAGCCCGCCGGTTAGCCAGGAATAAGCAATTAGCATCATCTGTGCTCTCTACCCGTCACTGACGTGCCAAACCGAGAAAAAAAGGGGCGGGGAAAATAAGAGAATCTTGTCGATCATGCTAGGCCAGGACCATAATATGAGGATGAGATCTTTAGATCCCTCTTCTCAAGTCTATTCCCACTCCAGATCAAGAACCTCCTCTTCCACCATATTTCCACCAGTTCTCCCCCAAATGCAACAAATGCAGCAAATGCAACAGATGCAACATCTTCAACAACCACAGCCCTCCCCGGGCCACACTCGACGATCTCCTTCCGTCAATACCTTCAGCACCACCTCCAGCCATGCCCCTCCTGCCGCCTACCGGAATTCGCCTTCTGCCGAAATTCGACGTAGTACTTCCTCTAGATCAGGAGGTGCGCCTCCGACCAGCTATGTTGCCTTGCTTCGAAAACAAAAGGCTACCGTATGGTGCGACCGATCACAAACCGAAGACCCCCGACTCCTAGCCCAGCAGCGTGCGGCGAAACAAAGGGCCAACCAAGAAGTTATCGGTGGTGCGTTGCAAAGCCGTAGCTCGACAGGAATTGGCAGCACCTCCGGAAAGGTGGCTGCCAAGATTCGCCATCACGGCAAGCCAGGCGTGGTGGGATACACACCCGACACTACCTACATGGGCGTAAGCGGGGTTCCCATGCGACTGAGCGCTACCGAGGTCGAAGGCGAAGACGGCGACGAGGATGACTTGTCAATGCGCCGCTTGAATCACCGTAGGACGGGGAGCAGCGGTCGCAGTAGTACTGCTAGCAGCAGACGTGGTCTCGCCTATCGTACCTCGGGCGCTTCTCAGGGCAGCAAGAAATGGAGCCCAGGCGACACGCCAGAGCGCGCGGGCAGCATGGTCATCGAAGATCCCGAATTCCTCCCTGGCGACGACAAATTGAATCGCGCTTCAAGCACTCGTAGTGGAAGCAGCGCAGAGAAGGCTGACGTCCTTCCTGAACTCGGGAACGCCCATGCCGCTAAGCTAGCGAGCAAAAGCATGCTTAATGCCGCTCTGACTAGAGAGAAGAGCGTCAAGAACCCAGAGGAACTCCGACGGAGAGGCAGCGTTGATGAACGAACCATGACTCTCACCGGTGGGCGTCTATATATCGCCAACCCCGACTAAGGGGGGATTTTATAAATTTCCAGAATTGTGCGGGTCGCACCCAATTCCTCATTTTTATTAGCATTTCGATGGCAGTACTGGAAGAGCACGCTGCATTGCGAGGGGCTCTTTCTAAGGATATCTTGCATTGCATCGGCGTTACATTGATTTTTTTTAAGGGAGATGGACGGGTCATCCTATGATACACTGAAAGATTCCGGAACAGGGACCGAATCCTCCACACGGTCGTTAATGGTTTTGTCGATTGCGGTTTTTCCTCTTGGCTTGTTGTGTTCGAAGCAATAATACCCTCGCTACTGCTTCGTTAATTTACTATCGTGTGTTTCTTCTCCTTCGGACCGGGCTCGTTGACCGAGACGGCCAATATCGAAAAGTTGGTGATTCTGAACTGGCCCCCTTGGAGCTAGTCTTTAATGGATGGCTTTTGTTGCTCGTGGGGACGGAGAAGAGCAGAGGGGAGGGAGATAAGAGAAGCGAGAAGAGGAGAGAGAAGAAGACAATGGTGATACCGTCGTGGGAATTATTACTAGTGGACCTACAAGTAAAGAGAAAGAAGGGTCGAATACAAGTTGAAGATACCAAATATAAATATCCAAGTCCGCTTGTGAGATTAAGATTATTACTTGATTTTACATGATGAAGTGCTGCGAGTGAATGAAGTGCATATACGAAGTGTAGATGGAGCCTTTGGCGTTTAACTCCCCTAAACTCTAGCATTGTAAAATATGTAGACATTTGTTTTGTTTTTTAATAACGAATGATCATGTACCTCGAAACAGGTGGTCATCACGGATATCTCAAGAGATGTTAAGGGATTACCTATGTAGTACATCATACATGTACAGGTGTTTAAGTTGGCAGGTTAGTAAGCGGGGGATTCGGAAAGTTAAACCGCGCGCCGGGCTTATGTACTTTGTTCGCTAGCGCAACATTGATATATATCAGATATATATCAGCAACACCATATACGAGCGAGGACGAAAAGAAAAAACGAAAAGGGAAGAAAAGAAGAAGAGAGTAAAAAAAAAAAAAAAAAAAGAAGAGTCAAAGGAAGAAAAGAGGAAGAATAAGAAAATGGCGGAACATCCTTGCTTCACCCTCGCGGGCCTGCGTGAGTTATATATACCTTACCTATCTAAATACCTATACTACACATTTTTACATCTAGGTACCTTACCTAGGTTAGGTACTATATGTAGATTGAAGAAAGCATGAGATTGCATTGAGCTGACTGAAAATACATCGTATTATCTAGTAACCGTCGGCGGCACGGCTGGATATATCCGGACCAAGTCCACGCCTTCGCTCGCCGCTGGGCTGGGGTTGGGGGTTTCGTATGCGTTTGCTGGTAAGGCTTTCTTCCCCTCCCCCCCCCCCCCCCCCCCCCCTTTCTCTCTCTCTCCCTCCGCCCCCCTTTTCTTCCTTTCTCTCTCACTCTCTCAACCTCTCATGTACCGTACCTAGAGGCACAGTTCGAACCACCTAAACCAAAAAAAAAAAAAAAAAAAAAAAAAAAAGCTAATGTGCAGGTACTACAAAGGCCACCTGATCAAAGAAAACAAAGACTACGGCACCGAGCTCGCGCTGGCCAACAGCCTGTTCCTGCTGAGCTCCGCCGTGCCCCGCGTCATCGCCACCCGCGGCCGCGCCCCCGTGCCCATCGGGCTCGCGGTCACGGGCATCGTGGCCGCGGCGTATTATCAGCACAAGGTGCGGGAGTTTCGGTTTGGTGTTTGATTTGGTTTGGTTTGGTTTGGTTTTTTTACCTTGTCTGCTTGGAACTAACTGTCTGGCTTGTTTGGTGAAGGGGAAGGGTGGAAAGGGTGGGAAGGGTGAGAAAGGGGAGGGAAGGGAAGGGAAGGGAAGGGAAGGGAAGGAGGGAAAGATGGAGATGGAGATGGGGTTGTATGATACTAATGTTAGTTCGGGCCAAAAAAAAAAAAAAAAAGGTTGATATCCCTACTCTATTCACATGAATCTACCTACCTAGGTAGGTAGGTATTCACATAAAAAGGAAGAACGTCAGAGCGCGGTTAATGGAAGCTTTCTAACCTACCTACCTACCTACCTACCTACCTACCTGCCTAAAATTAGCCAACCAACGAACCGGTAAGTACTGAGGTAGGTAGGTAGGTAGGTCTATACACGTACCAGCACCAACTCCTATCCCCATCCAAGCCCAAGGTCCGCCAGACAGACAGCCTCGCGTTCGGTCACGCCGCCGGAAGACCGGTATATACCTAGGTACTTCATTTTATGTACCTATCTACCTAGGTATGCACCTATGTGCTAAGTTATGTACATAGGTTTGTGATTAACTACGGTAATACCTAATTCCCGTTGGGAAAAGTGATTAAGGGGAAGGAGGGAATACCTACCTACATAGCCGACGTGTCTCGCAATAGCCTACCTACCTAGGTACTAAGCGATGAGTTTTTAGTTTTTTTTTTTTGTTGGGCTGGGCAAATATTAACCCAACCTACCTAACCTAGGCAGTCTAGAACGCGTACGCAAAGACAGTGATCATTACCTAGGCATGTATGTAATGGATAAGTTTGCTATGGGGATGGAATGATGGCTGATACAGTACCTATAGTTGGCATGTACAATACAGAGGTCACCGCAGTCATGTAGTTATTCCCGTCAAAGCGTGCATGTGCACCTAGGTTAGGTAGGTAGGTAGGTAGGCAGGTTATGTATTGTACGTAGGTTGGTTGGTTGGTTGGTATGTAGCATGTGAATCAAACCATCAATCAATCAACTGTTTCTTTCTCAAAACACCGCCCGCCCGCCAGCCCGCTTGACGCAGCCGAGTTTCGGAGAAAAAGAGCGGACTTATTTAATGGGATGGATGTTTTGGTTTTACATTGTTGGTTGGTTGGTTGGATGTAGGTAGGTAGAAGAAAAAAAAGAAAAAAAGCTCGATAGGATTTTACTGCGGATGAAAAAGTTGGCGGGGTGTCTAACCAGGTAAATCCTCTCTACCTACCTACAGCTACAAGGTTAAGAATGACAGTGGGATGGATGTGGATGTACACCTACATAAGCATATAGGACTATGTAGAGCATGATAGGTTCGGTACATCTATCTAGGCCCATCTACTATAGAACCCCCGGCGGATGTGGATTCGCCTCGATCTCGCGAACGACTTCTCTCGTCCGCGCATTGTCCACGAAACTCAGGCCGATCAGCTCGACCACCTCCTCCACGGTAAAGTACAGGCTTAGCTCGCTCTCCATCCACAGGTAGCGCACGTCCTGGAGGTTGCTCTGCAGCACCTCGCTAAGGTACTTGAGGCGGAGCCAGCTCCCAGCGTACTCCGCCGTGGTCGGCACCGCATCCTTCGGCGGGTCGGTGGGCAGGAATAGATCGTCCAGCTCCGTTATTCGCGCGATGAGACTCGCGATGTTGTACGCCTCGTCCTGCCCAATCCCGGCTAGGTCCATCACGTCGGCTATCAGTTTAGCCGCGATGGTATCCACGAGCGAACCCACTGCTTGGCTCCACGCAGATTTGGATAAGATCGTAGACCACGTCGCTGCAAGGCCACGCACGTACCCAGAAGCATTGTCGATCTGCGCTTCTAAATCGGAAGTGCCGAGGCCGTCCTGCTGTAGAAGGTTCTGGGGGCCTCCAAGTAAGTCCCGGAGTATTGTCCGCTGGGTGGACATTTCAGACGCGTAAGCCCGAGCTGCAAACGATTGAAGAGCTTTAATATCATTGTCGAGCCGAAGCATCGCGATGGCGCGAGGGGTCAGATCTCCGCGGGCTTTCCAATTCTTGGCCACATCGGAAAGCCGCTCGGAGAGATATGTAGCATCGTTGTAAAGAAACCTGAAATGAAGATGAGTAACACTCGGAAGGTAAGATATGCTCGGCTTACTTACATATTGCCACCCGCATTTAGGGTATAATAGTATGGCGATACGGCACGAAACATTGCGAGGACAAGCGTTGGCAACGAGAAGAGGCCTGCAGCCGCCGCCGCCATCGGATTGCCGTCGGTCCTTTCTCACGTTAGATATCTGTAAATTTAAACACAAGGTGTAGATGCGACTTACCCGATGAGTAGAGCAGCGTCTTCTAAGATTGTTGAGACAAGTGCGAGGACAGGTTCTGGCATGGAGGAAATATTATAGGTTTCCTTCAAGGTTAATTCGCGAGTTTGCGCGTTTGATGAGGATATATCTGTTGGTGCTGGTTCATCAGGAGCGGCTTCTGCGGCTTCTTCACCCCATCCCCAGGCTTCTGTAGGGTCATCGTCAATGGGCTGCTCTGTAGACGGTTGCGCGGGAGCATCGGGCTGTTCATCGACAGGGTCATCATCTCCCCAGCCCCATGCATCTGTTCCGTCGTCTTCGTTTCCTTCGAGCTTAGTATCAGTAGCCTCGTTATTAGTATCTGCTTCTTCACCCTCCCACGCCGCACCCCAGTCATTGTCGTCACCCGAAGGGCCAACACCATTGGCAGCGAGTTCCTTCCCTTCAGATTTTGAAATAGTTCGAGTTTCAACACGCTCAACACTCTTTGACTCGCCGAGCCCTTGAGCCAACTTTGCGCGTACAGTGTCCAATGCCGTTTCCCTACACTTAGACAACCATACCTTTGGCGCATCGTCTACCCATTCCTGCAACTCTTGGAAATTGGTAAAGTTTAGGTTTTGTAACCGGTTACAAAATGTCTTGACAGCTTCAGTAACGTGTTGGAACTCGTCCATTTCTTTCAAAGAAACCGGAACTGCAATGTTTAACCAAGTGCCTACGATCCGAGAGATAAGATCGGGCATCATCACGCTTGATAATGAATATACAAGCTCTCCAGGTAAACGCTCGGATAGATAAGTCATGACTTGGTCGAGATCGGAGAACAAGGAAGTAATCGTCTTGTTCGAATTCCCCCTTAAAACTAGATGCGACTGAAAACTTGTTAATAATCTTTACGAACACGAGTTGAAGGTAGCCTTACATTATCTATGTGAACCGCAGGTAACTCCTGGGCCTCAATATTAGTACGAGGCCCAACAATGGCTTCGTCGAGAGCGTGCCAAAACAACGCCATCCTTTGATCAAGCTCCTTGTATGCCTTTAAGCCTACGACGGCGTCATTGAGTTTCAGTTGCTCGTCTACGATATGTTAGAATCGCCATATTCTAGGCTGCTACATCCTTAACATACCTTCACGACCATCGAGTATAGCGACTTGTTGTGCTTCATTGTCCACGTGCACTAGGTAATTCCAAATATTTTCGAGTACGTCGTGTATTGTAGACTTCAGCTCAAAAGCTCTCATATCTAACAATTTCATGACGCGACAACTTCTGCTGACGGGAACATTGTCTAGAGCCGTCCAGGATTCTAGACTTGGTTAGTGATGGGTACTGTGAGCTACGAGCAAACGTCTTACTTTCGAGTAGATTCAGGGACTCTAATACTCTATGGTCGTCTCGCGCCTGCTCAACCTGGTCTAGAAGCTCATTCACAATTTTGATGTTCGTCAGGGCATGGTGGACCTGCTGGTTGTATACCACTTCTCGTTCCAAGAACTCAACCTTCTCTTCTGCTTCTTGCCTCGCCCTATCTGACACGTCGGGGGCTTGCGCGCGTCGCACTATTTCATTCGCCCAGCTTCGTGATCGGTTGATATCTACTTCGAGAGATTTCGCGTTTGCGACCCATTGATTTACGTCCGAAGCTGTTTCTACGTTGATATTGTGTACCTCGGACTATGAAAGACGGGTCAGCATTCGAATTGAGACTCAGATTATTGTTATATGATATAAATATGACATACCTCTAGCTTCGTTTTAGCTTCTGCGAGGGATCTCAGGGCTGGCGCAAAGTCTTGTGCTGAAATTCGGCGAGACGATATGTCTTCTTCCGGGAAGATGCCATGTAGCGAGAAGTCTACCAATGCACGACCGATGGGGTGGTCTTCACTATTAGACATGGTGCTGTGTTGAATTTCGGCAACTCTTTCGATATACTCGGTTCTTATACGTAGGAGTCGTCTGTTACAAGCTAGAAGGCGTGTGGGAAGAGATCACAATGAGCGATGGCGGTTGTAGGTAAGTAGGTTACGAAGAGCGAAAGTCTAATGGAGGGGGTGGAAATTCATATAAGATACATGGCTTGAAAGCATAGCCATAGGGGCATGCGCAAAAGATTTAGAGCAAAATAGTTAATAGCTTCGCGATGACTTCACAGTTGTAATGGACAAGTCATTCAATATTGCATATGTAATGTACTACTAGTAGTAATGTAAAGCAAGACAGCAAAAGCTTGGACCATATTTAAAGCAATCCATCTATGATCCATGTCGTAGGTAAAAGACCCACATAACTCCCTAGGGTATTTAATATGCATTATATGCATTATATGCATTAATATGCATTAAATGGCGCTTAGCGCTTGATATGAGCGCTTCTACTACGTAATTCCTTAGCGATGTCTATAGGCAATTATGTGCGACCCCACGGCGGGGTTAGGTTAGCAGCGACAAAGGAATTTCAAGGGATTCAAAGCCGAACAATTCAATATTGGAGATATCAGGCTGGACTACACACTACATAGTACTTACACTCACACTCACTTCTTTTTTTATTTATTTTTCAACATACATCAATCATACATACCCCAGTATCCACCCCCTACCTCCCTTTCTCTCCTTCTTTGTGTCTCTCATCATATCTTTGCATGGGATAAATCTTCCATACCAAGCTTTATCTGCTCTCAAGTATCTACCTACTTGACCAGGTTTATAGTCGACATCTATACATTTATTAATCATATATTCGACCATTTAGGCCACGAGCTACTGCGTGCCAAACGCACCGCCTTATCAAGCTGTCTCCCAGTTTTGGTAGCCGTCCTTTGTTCGCTTCAACTTGGGTCAGATCTAAGTTGCTCCGATTTTCGTCAGGCTTCTATTGGTTTCCTGCCGTGTCATCTCACACCCCTTTCCATCGATATAAGCATAGGTATGTATGCCAGCCCTCATAACTACCCCTTATCACCATCCTCGTCATCATAATCATCAATCTATTATCGTCCGAGACTTGCATTCCCCGGATCGACGGGGTGAGCACAGACTATCACATCCACGTACACATACACATACACATACACATGCATAAATCCTTCTGGTATCACCTGTGTGCCCCTCAATACCTGATATCTATCATTGATAAAATATCATACCTATCGTGATAATCTCTACTCCCTCGAATATATGAGGACGGTTATGGGGATAAATGAGGCATCCACAAAACTCCGTGATCAGTCAGGCATCACTGAAGACTTTCATTTCAACCGTCGTCATTGCCATTGCTGCCATATTCATTCTCTCCTACCGTGAGAGTGCTAGTAATATTGGGTATGGAATTTCACCTTACACTGATCGTGAGTTGGGTATGCATGGACGGGGAAATGGTGTGAGCGGGAAGGATCTAATGCAATGACGGAAAATTCTTCTACCTATTATATCTCACCCTTTATATCGACTCACCCCTGACTGGACGGGCAAGAACGGATTACGACGTACCCTGACCGCATCTTAAGCTCCTGATCCATATCTATGGATGTCATTTTTGGTGCGAAAATGACCATATCCGGTCACCTAGCAATGTCATGATATACAGACCTTCAGTTCTTTCAAGCACATATACCCTTCTACCCCTCCATGAAATCGTCGACATGATTCTCAGCTCATTCTCATATTTTGGTTATCGTTGAGGCCTGACTAACATGCTTAGTATCGGTATCCAGGCCATCTTATCCAAGCTATTTCGGGCCGAAATGGGCTCCCGAGGCCCAAATAAGCGCTTTCGTAGGATACAGAAATTCCAAACGGACTATGCACACACCACTATTACTCAGTATGAATCTGAGAGAAGCGGCATGCAGGTCATTGTGGCCGACCGCAAAGGCCCAAAGGTAAATGGTTATTTTACCTTGGCTACGGAAATTTTTGATGATTCCGGGGCCCCTCATACTCTCGAGCATCTGGTCTTTATGGGCTCAAAGAGCTACCACTACAAGGGCCTGTTAGATAAGCTGGCATCTAGGGCTTATGGTAGCACCAATGCTTGGACCGCAACCGACCATACAGCCTACACGCTTGAGACTGCTGGTTGGGAAGGCTTTGCCCAGATTCTCCCGGTGTACCTTGAGCACCTCATTGTGCCTACTATAACAGATGCCGCGTGCTTGACTGAGGTTCATCATGTCAATGGCGAAGCAAACGATGCCGGTGTCGTCTATTCAGAAATGCAAGGTGTACAGTACACGAGCTTCGAGCTTATGGAAATCAAGGCCCGGCGCTTGCTATATCCAGAGAATGTTGGGTTTCGATATGAAACAGGCGGCATGATGGAAGCTCTACGAGTTCTAACTCCGGAGAAGATACGCGATTTCCATAGGACCATGTACCAACCGCGAAATATGTGTGTTATTATCATCGGCGAGGTAGACCATGACCATCTTCTTACTCTCCTGGACGAGTTCGAGGAAAGCGTCAAGGATGATATCCCCCCTCTTGATGCACCGTTCAAACGCCCCTGGATAGAATCAGCACAGCCACCTCCATTACAAAAAACGACCATTGAGACTGTTGATTTTCCGGAAGAGGACGAGTCCACTGGCGACATGCTTATGGGGTTCTTCGGGCCAAATTGCGTTGACGTTGTCGAAATCACAGCTCTGAACGTCCTCTTGACTTACTTATGCGGATCTTCCGTCTCAGTACTGGAAAATGTCATGGTAGAGAAGGAGGAACTAGCCAGCTCTATAGCCTACTCGTTGGATACTCGACCTAATAGCGTCATTTGGTTCCAGCCCACTGGTGTTGCTACAGAAAAGCTAGCATTCGTCGAAAAACGTCTGATTTCTCTGCTTAAGGAGGTTGCTTCTAAGCCATTGGATATGACGTACGTCAATGAGTGTATCCAGAGGGACCGCCGGCAAATGAAGGCACAGGCAGAAGAGTCCGAAGGCTTTTATTCTACGAATATCATCTCAGATTATCTATTTGGTGTCCGAGATGGCTCAACGCTTAAGGATCTTGCTAGTCTCGGTGAGTACGATATTCTAGAGAAGTGGACGGATGAACAATGGCGTACTTTCCTCAAGAAATGGCTTGCTGATGCTCACCACATCTCCATACTCGGGAAACCTTCTCTCAAGTTAGCCACGAAGCTAAAAGAAGACGAGGAGGAAAGAATAAAGAAGAGAAAACAGGAACTAGGCGTGGAAGGTCTAAAGAAGTTGGCACAGGACCTTGATAACGCCAAAAAGCAAAACGAGGTAGATATTCCGGATTCCCTACTCGAGAAATGGCAGGTTCCTTCAGTTGAATCAATCCACTTTATCAAATCGCAGACTGCGCGATCTGGAATGGCTCGGACACTCGGTGTCCACGATAACTCTGCACAAAAGGCCATTGATGGGGCTCCTCCTGGTTTACCGTTGTTTGTGCAATTCGAAGATGTAGAAACCAATTTCGTGCACATCGCAGTCCATGTCGGTACGTCGAAAGTGCCAGTTGAGTATAAGCCCATGCTGTCGGTCTTCAGCGACAACTTCTTCAATACCCCTATTTTACGTAACGGCGAACGCGTTCCCTTTGAAAAGGTGGTCATGGAACTTGAAAAGGATACCGTGAGCTACACACTGGACTCTGGCAATAGGTTTGGTGATTCGGAAAGCTTCCTTATCCGGTTTCAAGTCGAACCCGACAAGTATGCAACCGCTATTGAATGGATCCGCACAATGATGTTCGATAGCATCTTCGATGTTACTCGTTTGAGGGCTGGCATAACGAAGCAACTCGCTGACGTTCCAGAGGCGAAACGTGAGGGAAGAGCCATGACTAATGAGGTAGAAGTGGCTATCCATAATGATCCCTCAGCTTTAATAGTTGCAAGACGTACTCTGGTCAAAGCAGTATACCTTCGTAGGCTAAAGAAGCTTATTGAGAAAGACCCAGACGCGGTGTTATCACGGTTCGAGGAACTTCGAAAGCACCTCTTTACCTTCGATAACCTCCGAGTCCTAGTTACAGCTGATATCTCGAATTCGAAGCTACCGGACCCCGTAAAGACGTGGGACATACTCTCCAAATCGCTCAACACAAATGTCGAGGCTATCAACCCCATTGTCAAACCGCATACTCTTCTCAACGACGAAGGCCGTAATCCGGGGTCTGTTGGCGCAATCATCGTTCCTATGAGAGCAATCGACAGCTCCTACTCTATTAGTTCCGGCAAGGGACTTGCCTCCTTCTCCGATCCAGTCATACCTGCGTTGCTTGTCGCCATGCAATACCTAGAGACCGTAGAGGGTACTTTGTGGAACGCAGTTCGAGGAAATGGCCTAGCCTACGGTGCTTACTTTGCTAAGGAGTTAGACGGAGGATACCTACATTTCAAGGTATACAGGTCTCCCCTAGCATCCAAGGCGATAGCCGCCGCACGCGATGCTATCGCAGCACTAGCCAATGGCACCGTTGCTTTTGAGAAGCCTATGATCGAGGGTGCAATCAGCCAGCTAGTGATGACACTAGCAGACGAACAGTCTACTATGGCCACTGCAGCTTTGCAGAACTATATCAATAGCGTTGTAAGGGGGCTTGATCCCGATTACAACATGAAAATGCTGGCAAAGGTCAGGACAGTGACAGTAGACGACATCAAGCAAGCCATGAAGAAGTGGCTATTGCCCTTGTTCGAGCCAGGAAAGAGCAATGTGGTGGTTTGCTGTGCACATGCTATGGTAGAGGTGAGTAACTCGAATTCCTAGGCGCAAACTTGGGCTGCATCATGACTAACAAGTATAATTAATAAGAAAATCGAGGAGGAATTCAAGACGATGGGGTACAAAACGCAGGTCAAGCAGCTATCGGACTTCCATAATGCCTATGGCCTAGAAGCTCCGGATGGTGAGGATGATGAGGAAAACGACCCTGATAGCGAATCGGAGGGTTCAGAAGGCTCATTTGAGTCGGAGGAAGAAGACTAGACAAAGGCACTTTTATGTGATGCATCTGCAGATTCTCGTGGTGATAGGTAGTGCCTTCATCATTGGGGAATTTCCTGACCTAGACTAATGTTAGGTGTCTAGGTATATAGAAGATGCATATAACATGATGAGACATGAAATCAATTAACGAAAGAATCCTTTGGGTACTGATAAATTAGATGATATAACATACCATTTCCTAGATCCCTGAAACTGTACTGGAAAGGGCAGCTTCAGCGAACCCTAGAACTTACTAAGGCAAAAGCAGAAGACTTTTGCAAGACATCGGCGTACGCTGGTCGCCCAAGGAAGGGCTAGCTGAAGGATCAAGGCAACGAAGTGAAACATAGGTAACCAATCACGTACCACGTACACGGAGGTATACGAATGATTCATGATGCGGATTGGCCCTGTTACGCATCGGACGAATCTACTAATCTACCGACACAGGATGCGTATAATTTGCCCTATTCAGGAACATATGGGCGGCGCAGCGGTTGTGGTTCCCCGAACCTAAGAAGTCTACAGAAGGATTGAGGCACCAGGAACAGAGGCAAGGGGCCATGAACTCCCCATTTCACGTTCGGTCGAGTAGGACAGGGCCCGGTATTGCCGAGAGGGCCAATGTGTTATTTGCCTACCTTTTGCTTCGGTAAAGGTGAGGATTACGAGGTATTTGCATCATATCGATCCAATTTCTTCGATATTGGCCTAGGCAGATTTATATAAGGGGATAACATATCAAAGCAAGCCAACGCTTACCTATCGAGCTAATCAGCCGTTCCATTTCCATCAGCCATATCTCCTACCTACCTAAATCAAATTAGAAGTCGTCAGAATGCGCGGCGCTTTCTTTTTGGCACAGGCTGCCCTGTGGCTGCTAGGCTCGAACGCTCTTCCCAGTGTGATTCCTCTCCTCGATGATATCACCACCGACATTCCGGACACTTTGCGCCTCAACGAGACATACGGGGCGCCAGACAACGACTTTGGCTGCAAGAGCCAACGGAACCCGGTCGTCTTACTTCATGGGCTCTCGGCGAACCGCGACGTCGATCTCAACAAGCTGCAGTGGGAGCTCAACCGGCGCGGCTACTGCACCTTCTCCCAGACCTACGGCGCATGGGATGCCGTAAAGTGGATCGGTGGCCTGCGGCCCATGGCAGATTCGGCAAAGGACATTGCGGCATTCGTCCGCGAAGTGCGGGATAAGACCGGCGCCAAGAAGATAGATATTGTAGGCCACTCGGAAGGAGGCGTGCAGGCGATCTACGTGCCGATGACGCAAGCCGGGATCTCGGACATGGTCGAGCACGTGGTTGCCCTGGGGCCGGCGATCAAGGGCGCGAAGTACTACGGCTTCACGGACTTGTGGTATCTGGGCGGGGCGGCGACGCGGAAAATCGCCAAGGTGGTGCAGGACGCGCTGGGCTGCCCGGCCTGCGACGACATGATGACGGGCGGCGCCGTGTACGGCGACTTCAAGAGCGCGCGGAAGATCGTGCAGCCTGGGAACAAGGTCACGGTCATCATGTCCAGGTCGGACACGCTGGTGGCGCCGGAGGTCAGCCGGATCGATGAAGAGGGGGCGGCGAACGTGTTCGTGCAAGATGTTTGTCCCGACGATCCCGTGGGACATGCGGGGCTGATGTGGGATAGGAGTGTGTGGCGGCTGATCGTGAATGCGTTGGAGGAGAATGATGATGCGGTGTTTGCGTGTGAGAAGGGGCTTCCAATTTAACATGCATACCTAGATATCTACTGCATGTACCTAATACCTATAAGATGCCTACTAGATCTACAAGATAAATGACATGTCAACTCAAGAGATGCACACACTATTGCGAGGGGCCTCCCATTGGCGGGTGGGTTTCAGCTGAGTGTTCAGCTGTTCAATGACATCTGCTAATTAACGCCACGCCACGCGCAAGATAAGGGGGGCGACTATGACTAGACCCAAATATATATGAAGCTGACCTTCTTCCCTTCAGCCAACCCTTGTAGGCTCATTTTCTAAATCTCTCTCTCTTTCTCTCTTTTTACCTACTTCGAGACTTCAAACCGCACCCTTCACCTATGACCTAGCGCGCGTATACCTAGTAGTAACCGAAGCCGCCGCAGCCCTCACCATGGCCCTATGCCAATACTGCAGCAACATCCCCGCCAAGCTCTTCAGCACGCACCGCAACGACCAAAGCAACTACGACCACCAACCCTCCCTGAGCGCTTTGGAAAATTCCGACTGCCCAGGATGTCGCGTCTTCCTGCACGCGATCGAGAGGAGCGTGCCGGAGCACTCGGGGAAGTACGCGCTGGCCAGGACGTGGAGCCCGGAGGAGCCGGTGCGCTTGGGCAGCACCAAGTTTGGCTGGCAGGTGGTCATGGTCGGCTGGAGGCAGGCGGGACATTTTCGCGGGTTCGCGGTCCCGGATGAGTGGAGTAGGTAAATACCACGGGTCTTTCGAATTTATACTGGGAGATTGTTAATGACTAAATTCTTTTTTTCTCCTTTTGTTTGGGTTGAACAGGAACTGAAGAGCCACCACCACAACAAACTAGCCCCAGTGCGGTAGAAGAAGAAGAAGAAGACGGTTCATTGGCGTATCGATCGTACGAGCCGCAGCTAATACACCGCTGGTCGAAGCTCTGTCTGGAGAACCACAAATGCCGCGCGCCCCAGACAACAACAACAACAACAACAACAGCTTTTCTCCCAACGCGGCGGATCGATGTAGGCACGATCGCCGAGCCGATCCTCTCGCTGGTCCCATCTATAGGGGCCGATAACGGCAACAGCAACCTGTACCTCGCGCTAAGCCATTGCTGGGGGCTAGCGATGCCCGAGGCGGGCTGCACGACCTCGCGCACGCTTGAGCGCTACCATGTCTCCATCCCCGAGGAAAGCCTGCCGCGGACGTTCCGGGACTTTATCGCCATCGCGAGGCGCCTCGAGATCCGCTATGTGTGGATCGACTCGCTCTGCATTGTGCAGGACTCCCGCGAGGACTGGGAAAGGGAGGCCGCGCAGATGGCGGATGTCTACTCGAATGCGTATCTGACCATTGCGGCGTCGGGATCGGCTGATGGGCGGGGCGGCTGCCATGTGCTGGATGGCGCGAGGTCGTGCGGGCCGGTGGATATTGCATGTCAGGCCAGTAGTAGTAGTAGTAGGAGCCCAGATTTACCGGCTGATGAGAGCTCGTCGTCTGCGGTAGTATTCCGCATCTGGAGTCGAGACACCTACCCAGCCGGACAGGTGCTGCCGGCTGATCCGCTGATGACGCGCGGATGGACCCTGCAGGAAAGAGAGCTCTCGCCCCGCATGGTGCACTACTCCAAGGACACGATACGGTGGGAGTGCCGCGAGCTGAGAGCCACCATCGAGTTCCCCTGGGGCGACGCGGCCTCGTTCGATGTAGGACGTTTGTTCGACGGCGGGTCGTCCAGCCGGCCGACGCTTATCGGCCAGCCCATCAACGACTCGAAGCCGCTGGACAAGGTCACTCGGCAGAGGCTGTCGTGGTTCGAGCTCGTCGATCGATACACCAGCCGCTCGCTGACCAAGCAAACGGACATCTTGCCCGCGTTCTCGGGCATCGCGAGATCCATAGCCGGGGGGACGTCGGATGAGTACTGCGCCGGGCTGTGGAAGTCGTACTTTGCGCATTGTCTGCTGTGGGCGAGCAACTGGCACGTAAGTCGCGGGATCAAGCAGCACAGCCGTCCGGCGGGCTATCTCGCGCCCAGCTGGTCGTGGGCCTCCGTCAAGGGTCCGGTGCACTACCTGTCCTGGGTAAACGGGTACTGGCACAGCTTCAACACGAACCCAGATCCCGCTTACCTGCCTAGGCTCATCGACGTCTCGCTGCAGGCGTCGTCGGATCCGTACGGTATGGTTACGGCTGGGTCCCTGAGAATCGAAGGGAAGGTCGGGATAGCGTTCTCCAAACAGGAGGCTTACGCCGCGCCGCAGAACCACCTAAACGTCACGTTCACAGCTGGGCCCCAGGACCGCTTGGATCTCTTCGGGATAGGGGCGGCGGGGACGGCCGAGAAGATCGGTGAGATACGCTACGACGTCCCGCTGTGCCCCGACTGCGCGCCCGTCGGGACGATGCGGCTCGTGTGGTTGCTTTGCTGCATGAACAGCGAGAAGTCCCCCGATGGCAGCATACGGACGAGTGCCATTGCGTTGCAGGATGATGAGCGGGAAGACGACGGCGGAGGGTATATATCCACGGTCGTGCCGACGCGCTATCGGAGGGTCGGCGTGGTCTGGGGGATCGATCCTAAGTTCTGGGAGAGGGGGGTCACGGCTGCGACGCTTACGATAGTTTAGTATACCTAGCTAGTTAGAACTTCTAAGCCCTGGAATCACGGTCCCGAAACCTGTATAGCTCTCTCTTGATTATACCCTGTCCTAATGTTTCAGCTGCTTACGCAGGAATAACGCTTAGCCTTAAGAGCTGAGGACTCGCTTGTATAAACAGGTATAGATTAAATTGAAATGGGATGTCTATTAGGTAACTACCTACCTATACATGGGATCCGTCTAAGAAATCGCTACCAAAGTCTTCTTCCTCCGCGGTTACTTTCAGGGGTCTGCCAACACTGGACAACGAAACAATCTACTTTTCCGGAGCTGAAGTCTTTTTACAAGGGGACTACCATCCAGCAGTCAGATACATAATGAATGGTAAGATGTACCTGAGTGTTTCCTAAAGGATGCCGTTGCTATTTGGAAACTTCCAGCTTCGGAAGCTTTTATACCGTATAGGACAATTCGCCCCCTGAAAAAAGCCAGGTCCGCTATATTATTCATTCCAGGTTACAATGGATTGATTACCGCTTACTTACTCCCAACTGCATGCATACCCTCACCCTAAAGAAGTCCTCCATTCCTGAATCCCTCCGGTGCGGGGGTCGTGGAGCTGAGCTAGGTCAGACCAGATTAGGCCATGATATATCTAAGGGGGGACTTTAGATAGGTAGGTAGGTAGTCTATATAAATAGGAGGTTTATAATCAGATTAGCATTCGCCTTTGCCAGACGTGATGAAGTTACTCTAGTTGCCAACCCATCTCATCATAACAATCCAACAGTATGCTACGTCAACTGATTGTCCTCGGCATCGCCGTCTCGGGCGCGGTTGCCCAGACCACCACGGGAACAAGCTACTCCTTCCGAACCGAAAGCGGGTGTTCGACAGCTTGGGGAACCGGCGGGACCGTACCGATGTCCCTTTCCACCTCCAACACTCGCAGCACCGTTTACTCAACATCCACAAAACCCGAAGCGACGGTGCCTGCGACCTCTACAGTCACGGCCAGCCCCGTCACCATAACTGTGCTTACCAGCACCGTGGTCACCTTCGGCCTGCAAACCACCACCCTCCCCACGCTGACCTCCGTGCAAACGGCGCTGTCCACCGTGGCCACGGCATCCTGGCCCGTCACCGTGTGCACCAACTCCAACTCCATCCCACCCTCCACCGTGACAGAGTACACGGGCACATACACCCCCATCCCAGGACAAGTAACCACCCTCGCCACTTCATACCCGTCCTCAGTCCTCTGCACGACAGCCATAACCTGGTTCACAATACTCCACCCAACCACGACCTCGGGCCTCACAACCGTGACCACCACGCCCACCATCTTCATCAACGCGCCCACCACCACCGTCACCAGCACCATCCTGTACAACGCCACCGTGTACGCGAACACAGCCACCCGCACCGTCACGGCGTACCAGCTCGCCACTCACGCTTCCACCACCAGCACCGCGTGCAGCGAAACGACGACGAGGACGCTAGCAGCAAAGTGCGCGCCAACCAACATCGTCTCCGGCGTCGACGGCCAGGGCCTCGTGTCGGGCCGCTACGCGGATCGCATCGCGGTCGTGTACGTGCATGACGAGGAGTACAACGACCCGAGCGCGTGCTGCCAGCTGTGCGAGGATAATGGGGGGTGTACGGGGATGATGACGGTGCATGGGGGGTTGTGCGGGTTGTTGTATGTTGGTGCTGGTGGGGAGGGATACTCGTGTGATTTCGCGTTCACGTATCAGACGGCGGGGAATGTGTTCCCGGGACAGGGGCTGTGGGTGCAGGAGGGGTGTGGGCGGATTGTGCGGGAGTAGAGACGGGGGAGGGGGGCTCGTTGATGGATGGAGTGAGTTGTGCTACTATAGATACCCAGATACGCTGAGGTAATTTAATAAATATCTATCAATTCTCAACTGGTGACTTTGTGCGGCTCATTCAGGGGTTACCTGAAGAAATAGGGGTAACTCCCAGTACCCCTTAAACCACACAATATGCCTTCCAAGGTGAGTAGGTATCTACCTACCCAATCTCTCTTTAACATCCAACGGCGTCGTAACCTCCAAGCACAATACCGTGCGTACAACACAGTCTCGCTATTTCCAACACCGTCTCCCTACTCTCCTCGCGCCCCCCATCTCACCCTCCTACCCTCCTCAACCACAGGCCCAAGCCTCGGCACATACCGATACGCAAGCTCCAGCGCCGTCTCCCCCCGCGACAGCAAATTGCACGTCCTCACATCCGTGCGCGCGCCCCTCCCCAACAACTCCTCCGCCAGCTCCCCCGCGCGCCCCGCAAGCGCGATGTTAAGACCACAGCCCCAGTCGAAGTCATTCCCGCGCCCGTGCCGGTTGTGCGCCCACTTCGGCGCATCCGGGTCCGCGCCCGCGTCGAGGAGGAAGCGCAGGATCTCCAGCCGACGCGCGCCCTCGCTCTCGGGCGCGGAGCATGCGAACGGCACGGCGACGGCGAGCGACGCGCCCGCGTCCAGGAGCATGCGCACGGTGGTGAGCGGGGCGAGGGGGGACGTGCTTATGGCGCGCAGGAAAGGGCTCAGGCCGTGGTGGGACTCTGCGTTGGGGTCGGCGCCGTGGGAGAGGAACCACCGCGCCAGGTCCTCGTCTTGGAGGACGTAGCTTGAGGAGGAGTGTTAGACAGATCAAGTTGATGTCCGGAGTAGGGTTAGGGTTGGGGTTAAGGGGCTGGGAGAACGTACGCCAATGGGGGAGGACATAACGCGTCGTCTAGTGGCTCATTGATGTCAAGGCCGTGATCGAAGAGAACCTGCCATAGGGCAGAAGAGCATTTGCATTTTACAGCCTCCCAGGCTGCTTTACGGGTAACCCTAATGCCTTGGTCAAGTAGGTACGCGACGATGTCGACACGATTCGCTTTAATTGCAGTGTGCAAGACTGGGTCTAGCCTGCTCATAGGGTTATGCATTGGTCCATGGGATGAGGAGGGCTGTGGCATGCTTTTCCATTGGGCAATGAGTTCTTGTACCTCTTGGAGTGTTCCATTGGAGCAGGTGTTGTTTAGTTGTTGTATTAGTGGATGGTCTGGATAATATTCGACGATGGGAACTGATGGTGAAACACTGTTTGGGGATCCACTGCAAGTTGATATGCTATCTGGAGAGTCTCCCATGTTGTTGATATGAACTCTCTCGCCATCTCTTCTCTTAGAGTTGAGGGAAGTATCTTAATTAAAGGGGGGGTGGAGTCATAGCAAGCATTCATGCAGTCAGCCGGCGCTGTTATACTAAAGGTGCAGGTACAGTGGCAACGTAATAGAGGCAACGTCATTAATCTTATGATACACAATCTCTGCAGTCCAGATCTTAAGGGGGGGTTTTGGAACGGGTCCAGGGCGGGATCGTTCATCACTCTAATTCAACAGCCTGCGCATTGCAGTTTCGCAGATATTGCAAATGCAGCCACGGTCATGAGATTCTGCCAATGGAGGTAACCTATCGCCGGACTATAAACTAGCCACAGGGCAGTGCCTACCTACCTGCCAAGTCTTTTCTTGGTGCATACCTAGCCGTCGGGCGAGCATCTGCAGTATATATTAGTTCGGTGCGGCTGAAACTTGGCAACGGGTTTGCGCGGGACTTGTGGGTTATTTAATACATCAGCTATCGCCTGAATATTACTTATTAATTATGTGTATTATGCTGTTACGAGACTTGAAGCAGCCACGAATCAAACCAATCGCTACCTACCTAGATACCTAGGTAAGGTTAGGTAGTCATTATTAAGGAGTTCTAAATCAGTATATCCAAAATCCACAACGATGGAGAATCTCTCCAACTCAATAAAAGACCTCACGAAAGGCGTATCCTTAGCTGTGGATACTGCCGCTTGGATGGGCAACTCCATATCACGGCGTATAAATGGGCGAAGACACGGCGTCTGTGCTGTCTGCAACAACCTCCAGCCATACAACCATGAAGAGACATTTGGCAATGCCGTTTCCTCTTGGAAGCAGATCAGTGATCCAGAGCGGGCTGCTCGGAAACTAGAACTCGGCGTTATCCCAACGTTAGTCCTAGAAAAAGTCTCGACGAAGAAGATTCTCGAGAGCCGCGAGATCAACCCCCAGACGAATCTGCCGAAGAACGACTGCAAGTACTGCCGGCTCCTGTGTGATATCTTCGACGCCTACTTCATCGACAAGTGGATGAGTTGGATTACGGAAACCAAGAATGCCATGCCGATACAGGTCGGCCTTATGATCAAAGAGGGGCAGCCGTTGATAGTCAATTGCTGGAACTTCACCTACGACAAATGGTTCCAGAACCCGCGTGTAGATCTGGAGCTCTACATGGATCCCATGCCCCTGGCTCCTATACCGGGTGCGCCCACCATGGGACCTGTAGGCCCTCGAGCGACGGACTCCCGCTCTAAGGAGTGCACGACATTTATAAAGGAGAGTATTGAGGAGTGCTGTAGGTACCATCCCGGATGTACCAAGGATCCTAGCGATTTCGTGCCAACGAGGCTGATTTTTCTCGGAGAGGGTAAGGACGCGCTTCGGCTATGCGACGGCATCCCCTCTGGGCAAGGCGTTTCGTGGGCAGCTCTCAGCCACTGTTGGGGCGGCGGCAAGCCCCTATCCCTGAAGAAGGCGACGTTGGATAAACTTAAAGAGCACATCGAGTTCTCGGAACTTCCGGCTACCTTCCAAGATGCAGTTACTATATCACAGGAGATTGGTATGGCGTACGTGTGGATTGATTCCCTTTGCATTGTCCAGGATGACAAGACAGACTGGGAAAAGGAAGCGGCTCGTATGGGCGCAGTTTACAGCCAGGCATTCATTGTCATCAGCGGTGCATCATCGCCGAACCCCAGTACGCCATATTTACGGCCTCGAGGGGACGACTGGCTTCCCAAGCGTTTCGACTTTCCTATATCCCCTGGCGTTACTATACCGATCATGGCCCGCCAACGATCTCTCCTGGCAGCGCCACTTGACCAAGGCCTCCTCGAACCTCCATTCACGGGTTCATGGGCCACGCTGAAGAAAGTCGGGCCACTCTATGGACGCGGCTGGTGCTTCCAAGAATCATTCCTCGCGCCCCGGATCCTCAACTTCGCTCCGGGCGCCATCATCTACGAATGCAAGACGTACAGGAAGAGCGAGGACCAGCTACCTCCCTACCCGATCACGGCCCCTGGAACGTTGGGCGAGGTCACCCCCATGGAACAATGGCACATGATCGTGAAGTCGTACACCTCACGCCAGCTGACATTTACCGGCGACAAGCTTCCCGCGATTGCCGGTGCCGCGACCATCATGCCGCAGATACAGACCAGCAAGTACCTCGCTGGCTTGTGGAGCGAGACCCTACTCCTGGACCTCCTTTGGCAAGTGATGCCGGGCCGAGCACACACGCCGCTGATGACCAAGGAACACGAAGAGAATGCGCCGACGTGGTCGTGGGCCTCCATGAACTGGGGCGTGACCTGGAACTCGCTGAAAGCGGCAGAGCTACTAGCCACTGTAGTCGACGCCCAGACGACCGTGGTCGGGGCCAATCCGTACGGACAAGTCTCGGGGGGTACGGTGACGCTCCGCGGCCGTCTGAAGTATTGTCGGCTCTCCGCCAACTACCACAAGAACCAGCACTGGGTGTACTACAAAAAGCCAGACGGGTCCTACAGTAAGAAGCAGCATTTCCGGACCGACGGCGCGCTGGTGCCTGGGACGGTCCCAGGGCAGACTGAGACCATCGCTTGTCGGTCGCGGTTAACTGTATCCGGTAGCGCGATGGAGACGTCGGCGGCCTTTTTCTGCATCGCAAAGGGGCCTTGGCTCAAATACGATCACGTAGGATTGATACTGGGCAGGTCGCCCAAGTCCCCTGGATATATGGAGCGGGTCGGTAGCATATCCAATGTGCCAAAAGACTGGTATGATGTCGGCGAAGAGACCACGGTGACGATTGTGTGAATATTACATGTTGAAACAAAGCTATAGGTCGCCAAGGTATCTTGGGGCTCGGAAATGTGTTCATGGTGTATTGGTAGGAATGTAAGGATGTATTTCAAATATGGGCTGAGGGTTATTGAGGTTTGTCACAAAGGATGAAATATATCTTAGGTAGTACTTGTATGCACTGCAGTTATTATTAGTACCTGCCTTCATGTCTCTCCCTTTTTCGGCGATGATCATAACGCCGATACGTAGCAGACCCCGAACCCCCCACGATCACCTCATCGGCGTTTCTTACCTACGCTTCCACAACGGCGTTAGGCAGCTTACATCAATCACCTAGGTTAGTTTGTTTCCTTTTCGTCCCCGTGTAACCCATTTTTAGACATAGACTGCATGTTTTCGTCACTTATGTCATGTCCAATTCCGACTCTTGTCTTTTCCTTTTCTTAACGACGATACTGAGACGGAAATTGGCGGTCTTAAGATGCGGTTAGAGTATCGGATATATTGTGGTGCACATCTGCTCGGGGGCAAATATATAAATGTACACATTGCCTAGGTAGACATATTCAGGTATAAAAGCCATGGCACCACCAACCTACTCGAGTAGTTTATTCAAGAACATCACACGTCTTGTAATAAAACAGCACAAGTCAAATATCCGACCATCATCACCACCATTGCGTAGACTTAGACATATACACATTACCCCGTATCCAAGTTATCCCCACATACCCAAAGCAAGACATTTCTCTACCACCCACAACACCACCACCATGACCGGAAACGTATGGTTCATCGCAGGCGCAAGCAACGGCTTCGGCCGCGCAATCGGGCTCGAGGCCCTGCGGCACGGCGACCACGTCGTCGCGACCTCGCGCAACCCAGCCAAAATGGCTGATCTGCAGGAAGCGGGGGCCCTGGTGCTGGCCCTGGACGTGACGTCCGACGACGCGACGATCCAGGCGGCGCTGCAGAAGGCCGTCGATGCCTACGGCAAGATCACGCATTGCATCAACGCGGCCGGGTATCTGCTCGAGGCGGTTATTGAGGAGGCCTCGTAAGTGTCGCCCCCTTTTTGTCGTCTAACCCTCCGCCGCCGCCACCCCTTTTCTCCGTTTTCCCCTTCCAAAAAGGAAAAAAGAAAAAGAAGAAGAAAAATACATAACCAAGTCCAACCAACTAACCCGCTCCCCCCACAGAGCCAGAGAAGCCTTCGACCAGTACAACACGAACGTCCTCGGCATCATGAACCTCACGCGCAACGCGCTGCACCACATGCGGCCCCAGCGCGCCGGCGTGATCGCCAACTTCGGCAGCCTCGGCAGCTGGCGCGGCTCCCCCTCCTCCGCGTACTACTCGTCGACGAAGTGGGCGATATCGGGGTTCACGGAAGCCTTAGCCGAGGAAGTGCGGCCGCTCGGCATTTCCGGTGTGGTCATCGAGCCGGGGTACTTCCGCACGGGCTTTCTCAACGCCGGGGGCGGGAACCGGATCCGGGCGGCGCACCCGCTGACGGAGGAGTACCGGGGCACGCCGGCGCAGGCGGTGAAGGAACGGCTGGATGTTGTGGATGATAACCAGCCGGGGGATGTGGGGAAGGGGGCGAAGGTGATCGTGGATGTGCTGACGCGGACGGGGGTGGCGCGGGGGAGGGAGATACCGGTGAGGCTTGCGCTGGGGAGGGACTGTCTGGAGGTGATTAGGGGGAAGATGCGGGACACGGAGGCGCTGCTGAGGGAGTGGGAGGATGTTATTGTTAGTACGGATCATGACGATGTTCAGCTGAAGAAATAAATGATGGGGGGTTTCCAAATAGAGATGGATCTCTCAAGAGGAAAGAAAGAGATGCTTTCATATGTATAATAGATGTAACTTTTACACGCTCGTAGTAGAATGATGATTTGGTACCTACCTAGGTACCTAGGTTTGGTACTTTACAGATTCGAGACCAAATGTTTTCTCATCCAGCTTTGTCATCCCGGATACAGGGAAACTCCCGTGGTAGTGGCCATTGTATAGGGGCCGTCTCCTAAAATAGAGAGGCCCGTCTCATTCCCCGGACCCCCCGGTATGTATGCGGTAGAAAATAATCTCGAATGGGAATGTGCCTTGACGATTTCTCTCCGCGCCTTCAGCTCCGGCCCGACGGGGTCCACTAAGTATTTAAGTGGGCTTCCACCGTATTGCAAGAGCTACCCTTTCCGGGCCCGGTCATAGATAGCTGGTATGGACATGTGTTAGATACCCAGTCGGCCGATATCCAAAGTCTGTATCTTCTATGTAGATACCTAGCAACACAGGCGATATCTGGCACAGGTCCATTTACCAACATCACTCAATACCTAACACTACTCGAAGAAACATGCGGCAACAATAGAATTTAGCAGTCACAATAGCCCTCTTATGACGTTTAAGATGATCTTAATATACATGACGCCGCTGTGGTACGACCTTTTATTAACACGCTTGAAGAGCATAGGCCCTTTGAACGATGGGAAGGTGCCTACATTTCGCTAGGTCAAATGATGTCAACCCCGGCCTGAGGAGCGAGTTGCCGCGGATTATAACCTCCCAGGCCCATTAATCACCGAAGGGGTATAGTACATCGATGCCAGTACAAAGAGTGTAGGATTTTGTACAAATGAATCTTCTCCCCAAGCAGTTAGAGCAACATACAATTCCCAATGTGGTTCTTCGAACTACGCTAGTCCATTCGAGTTTATCCCTTAGTATGTGAGGCGAAACCCAACGATTTGGCATATCCCCACTACGCTGCAATCGGTGTCTTACTTTCCCTAGCCTCTTCACATGGCACAACATGAGTAGAATCTGTAGGCTGGCCTGATGTGGACGTTTGCCGATCGACATGTGGTCGTTTGCTGTCCCGCTGGGATTCATGCGTCGAGAGCGGCCGTTTCTTATCCTTGTCACGACTCCCGCCCTCTTTAGCAGCAGCAGCAGCACGACGCGCATCACGTTCCTGTTTCTCCTTTTTCTCCTTTTCTCGACGCAGTGCTTTGGATTCAAATTCGTGCCAGTCTCCCTCGAGATCGCGAAGTCTGCAAATAAAAGTTAATAGGTATCCACGTATTTGTATAGGACTGGGCAGTACATACTCAGTTGCTTGCCTAGGCGGCGGCTCTTCTGTCGTAAAGTAAGGATGTTCTAACACTTCCGCAGCAGAAGGCCGCTTCACAGGATCGTACTGAAACATGGCCGCAAGCAAATCGAAGGCAGCTACCGGTACTCGCTCTTTATACCTCTCGGCAAAGACGTTGGGTCGACGGTAACCTGGTCTCAACAATTCAAACCAAGGCATGTCAATGAGACTAGGCCACTCAACCTTATTCGGAGTACCAAGCACAGCGTAGATCTTTTCTAGCTGGTTGATCTCACCACCATCACCAGGAAAGATAGCATGCCGGGTGAAAATTTCCACCATCACGCATGCTGCGCTCCAAATATCAACCGCAGCACCGTATTGAGTCTCACCCAGCAGGAGTTCAGGAGACCTATACCAGATCGTGATAACGCGATTCGTATAATCGAGCTGGTGCCGCTTCGCATAAAATCGGGCCAGCCCAAAATCGGCTAGTTTCAAAACCCCATCATTGCTAACCAAGATGTTTGCCGCTTTGATGTCGCGATGCAACACTCCTCGTTTGTGCAAATAGTCTAGACCTTCGAACAATTGTAGTGCAAGGTGTTTTTTTTGTGCAGGGTCGAGTTTGTATGATGGATGATTCAGTAAGCCAGTAAGATCATGAGATAGGTATTCGAAAACCATGTAGCAGTCGTTTTTCTCAACCATCACCTCTTGAAGGTTGACGATGTTCGTGTGCTTCAGAGATTGGAGAAGCTTTATTTCCCGCACGGCAGTCACTGGGAACCCGTCTCTTTCTCCCTCCATTCGTATCTTTTTCAAAGCAACAAGCTTCTTGGTATAGACATGGATCCCTTTAAAAACCTTTCCATATGTACCTGAACCCACCACGGATTCATTGCCTGGCTTCCGGAAAAACACCGAGTCGGACGATGCAAAGTCAGGTTCTAATTCGGGCTTCGGTTTCAGCCTTCGCTGTATTCTCTTCACTTTTCGGGTTCTTGGGGGCTCAGGCGGGCCTCTGTTGGCATTAAAATCCAACCTTGCCCTTGCAGAAGCAGGCTCTCTTGGTGTATCCCGGGGCAAGTCTCTATCCCGATCCCGTTCTCGTTCTCGCTCCCGTTCCCGTTCTCGATCTCGGCCACGTTCTCTCTCACGGTCCCTGTCACGATCCCTATCACGATCCCTATCCCGGTCTCGGTCTCGGTCTCGGTCTCGATCATCAACCGAAGATAAATCCTTTTTGGGGGCCGTGTTGAACTTTTGAGAAATTTCCGGCTTAGGCGTTGCAACCGGTGTTTTGTTTGTTGGCTTAAAAGCGAAGCTAAACTTGGAGCTTGCAGGGCCAGTAGGAGCCGAAGGTGGAGGTCCCGGGGGGGGCATCTGTTCGTTGTCATTCTTTTCTAACAAGAAGTCTTCCGCCTGAAGGTCTTTAGACCCACGGGATGCGTTTTCTTTATCCTTGCCATCATCCTTTGTTCCAGAAAGTTCGGAATGAGTCGAAGAAGGATGTTGTGGGCTATGATGTCGTGGGGTATTTTCACCCGATTGGCCAGAGGTATGTCGACCACCAACGGATGCTCGCTGTCCGCTTTGTGGACCTACTACGCTGCGGTAACCACCTCTAGCAGGATGAGAGCTGCCCCTGAAGCCTCCTCTGGAAAAGTTACGCCCTTGAGGGTAGGATTGGGACATAGGCCCAGTAGGTGGGTGTGGTGGTGATTGGCTTGGCCCAGCATGGTGGCCAGAGGGCCCAGTGGGTGGCCCATGGTTGATCGGATACTGACTGGACTTTTGGTAAGTAGATGGATCTAATCTAAGACTTTAATTCACTATACCTATGAGGTGAGTTCTGGCGTTGGCCACTCCAAGTCCCCCTAGCACTACCATGAGGCGATTGTAGGGCGGGAGATCCATGAAATGATGAACGTGAATTAGGGCGATGAGGTGATTGGGCAGTCCGGCGATCGTTATATTGAGAACTTCCAGGGCGAGTAGATGCCAATTGGGTACTGGAACCGCCTCGATTTTCTAATCGCCGGGACATGCTGACTTCGATGCTGTTTGCACCGGACGCTAAATGTCCCCTTGGGGGAAATCTCGAGTCTTCGCGATGTTTACCTTTTTTTCGTGAACGACGAGACCCACGTTCTCTAGGAGACCGCGGTGGAAAATCCGGCCTAGATGAATCAACGACGGGAGAAGAGCGGCGGGAGCGTGAACCGGCCCCGGTCGATATAAGATCTAGGCGGCCTGTTAGACGAGGAGGGGTATGTGTGTGAGAAAAAGATGAACGCCGTGAGCTAGATAGTGGCGACCGACTGCGGTTGTGGGCCTGCGAGTCTCGGCCTGAATGAGTTAAATGAAGCGAAGGGTCCCGTTCGTGATTACCTTGATAGGGAGAGTGACTTGGATGCCGATTATGATGTGGTTCAATTGAATCCTTGCGGTCGGCGTGTCGAGTGTGAGGATCGGCGTGGCGTGGCGAAGGAGATCGGCCACGAGAAGGCAGCGGAACAGGATTTTTCGCTTGACCTCTATCCGTCCTTTCAGCCCGCTCTGCTCGACGCCGGCGATCTCGTTCACGTTCACGTCTGGATTTTTTCGCTCGAGGGGGTGGAAAAGGTAATGGGCTACGAGTCCTCCGTCGCTTCCTTGATGCTGGCGAAAAAGATCGACCCCTTGATCCGTGATTCGCGTAATCGTTCCTCCTAGGACCGTGTCTAGGAGATGTAGGTATATCAAGGTGCTTCTCCTGGCTCAGGCTATCGCCGCGATCATCCCAAGAAGCGCGACCTTTAACATCACGCGAACTAGTGTCTTCGGGGTTTTCAGTTCGATCTTGCGATCGTCCACGCTGACTTACATCAGGTCGGCCATGTTTGTCGTCTTGACGTGAGATTGATTCGTCGTGCGTACTCTTATTTCTATCACCGTGGTCTTCTGGACGTCGAGAATTAGGTGATTGAGACCGCAATGCAGACGACCGGGGGTGCGAGTCAAGGGTCGAGACTCGACGGTCCGAATCAAATCTGTCTCGATCCCTGCGGTCGCGTTCGCGGTCGCGGTCGTCGATTTCGAAGTCTTTATTAGTCTGATCTTGTTTCATGGCAACATTTCGATGGTGGTGAGGCTGAGAATGAGAAATGTTGTTTGGAGATAAAGTGGATGGTGATGAAAGACTAGGCTTGCTAGGATGTCGACGCATTACTGGATCCATGTCGGCATCGCTCAAATTTTGGGAAGTGACTTTTAGTAGACTGCGCTGTGCTTGTATTCTAGCGTTGCGCTGTACGACGCCGTACTGCACTGATTTTAGTGCTAGGTTCTTGTTGGTTAGCGGGCAGAAATCCGCTGACACACCTGAGGTATGCACTGTACTTAGGTAGGTATGTACCTAGTACTATCCTGCCGAGCAAAGAAAAAAAATCAACCCAATAAAATTAGGTAAGTTGCGTACCTAGTATGTTGCCGAGTAAGGAGACATGGGTAAGGCCACCTCAGCAGCCTTATTCATCGAGGGTTCAATCCTTAATGATCGATAAAGTGCTTCGATAAGGTGCTGCAACATTGAAGAGTTAAACTTTCACCCTTGTTTGCCCCGCAAAAACTGATGATTTCAGTATTGCAGTGTTCCGCAACTGTCAGTCAGGTACATGCCATATGTACCTACCCAGCCACTTATGTATGCGCTATCCAGACATGGACCTGCTGACAGACATCAATGATCAATCAATCTGCATTGAAATTGATGATGATGATGCAAGTAAACAAGTCGTGGAAATATTGAAATTCGATGAGAATGACAACAATCCAGGTGTCGGTATAATTCCTTCTTGGTAGATTTGTGTTGTTTTTGTGTTGTGTCTCTTGAATCAATGGAACAATAGGTATGTCCAGGGGAAAAAAAAAGGATTAGTACTGGGAAAAATGCTTTGGCAAAATTCCGACGTCCCTTTTTTTTTCTTTTCCTTTTCCCACTCCCAAAAAAAAACTCTGGGTCGGGGGTGTTTTCTGCGAGCCTTGCGGCGCAATACCACCAACTTTAAGTTGAACCCAACCTGCACCAGCCACTGAGCAGTGAACTGGGACTGTTAAGTTTTCCACTACTCCGTGCTCTAGCTGCTGGCTGATACACCTCCCTATCACTCCTATCACCACCATTACCATCACCCACCCACTCAGACTAGGTATGCCAAGGGCAAGGTCAATGGCCATCAGCCAGCCATCAGCCATTGTCCAAATTTAGTATAGCCCAGGTCCGAATACTTTTCGAATACTTTCGCATCATTCAAAAAGGTGGGGGAGTTGGTATGAAGATAAAAGTGACCGCAAATGTCAAGCGGTCACCCTCGACAAGAGTAAGGTTTCACTCTTCTCTCGAAGTCGAGTACACTCGGCTGGAACCGAGCAAACACTCGGAAATGTCTCGACACTTCCAAGCTTTCAGCTGGCCTGACATAAATGGCCAGGTCCAGTCAGTCAAGCAAGTAATAAAACAAGCCAGGCACGCTATCTACTACAATCACTCGCTTTAAGCATTCTGCCACCATCCAAATCCAACGTCTAGTTCCTCATCTTACCACTGTTTTCACCACCCCCCATGCATCAACGTTTATACTTAGAGAACTCTTCATCTGGTTTATCCAAACCATAATGCCCAACATTGCAGCAGTATCCCGAATGATGCCCGTAGAGCGCTGACTATCTAGTACCTATCCAACATTCCAATATTGAAAGGGGCGAATTAGTTGGTGGCCGGTAGGTTCCTTGGATGATATATCATTCAGCTGTCAGATGATTGATAAAAGGAGGCCTCCTAGATTCCCTTGTGAAAGGAAAGTATCTGCTGTCTTAGCAGGCAGTCGACTAGATAGTCATGACTGCGTATTTAAGGGGCGGTCGTCTGTAAGTGGATGAGCCCAAAAGTTGCACTGTGGGATAGTTCTCTATCGCACCCCCCATTCCATCCCCGAGAATATCCGTAGGGTAGGAACTTGGCCCACTCTCTTAATCGAGTGTACAAGTCTGGAATCAACCAACACTGTTACAGGCCTCAAAAAATCCAGGTAAAGGGAAAAAAGGACTATCTGATACTTCTGGAAGTCAATGGCTTTGCCAGACTAGGCCACATGATATAGCTACCTCAGCACTAGTCGCAGATGAAGATGAAGACTAGCGAGTTTGCCGCATCAAGATGTAAAGCAACCGTAGGAAACGCGGGTGGGGCCAAATGCTGACAGCAAGGCATAGCATCACCACATAATTGGGGCGTTGATTACATCGTACTAATGTGAAGGAGAGAGCTTGTATATGCTGATTAGGCGTGAATATGGTGGGGCCTAGGCAAACCGGTAGATGCCCCTTGGTCCATGGGCTGATAGTTGCTGATAAAAAGCCCAAATTTGTGAGGCCCTCGTTGGACATAACCAAGACATCCCCATATTCAATGATGTATAATGATTTATTTTCCCTTTCTGTTTGGGTAGCTGTAGGGTCGATGCTTGGAGCGGTAGGTTCTTGAGATATCATTAGGAGCCATGCTGATATTCTGAAATTGGCGAAAGGTGAACGAAGGCTGGCAATCGAAATTCTGGGAACAGTCTAATCATCATTTGGTGTATTCGCCGTACAGGGAGGTACATATATGATGAGGTGTGATGGAATTAAATGATGGTCCAGGTAAGTTGTAATAGCAGCCTCAATCAATCTGACGATAATCGATACAGTACTATTTAGGTACCTAGGTTAGAGTGGTTGAGAGATTGGTGGTGTCGGTCGCACGTTCGAGTTTGCACCTAGTAGTAGTACGCCCCTGCCATCCAACAAGGGAAAATACTTTAAAACAGGGTACCTCCAAATATAGTCATCTTGAGAATGACAAAATCGATGACATAGCAGTCAGTGAGAGATGCGCATTGGTATCATAAGGATTGAACTTGAAGGCTGGAGGTTAAGTTGTCATGGGTAAGGTGCGTTTGTCGTCAATCAAAGTTGGAGAAGTACGGATAGGTATTAAAGTGGTACCGTATTGATTTCATGTTGATAAACTGTGTTAAAACTTTACCATATTATGTAATCATCCTACGAAGTTACATTTTGATGTACAAGTGTCAAGTGCCACATGCATCATTGATCATATCCTGTACCTACATGTAGGTACCTAATCTACCTACATCAATACCTACACACATCATGCACATCATGCATTCACTCCGTACGGCCCTTCAAGGTCTCTTCGTTCCGTCATGAAGTTATAGTGCGAGCTAGCAGCCGGAATCAATAACATATGCATAATTGACTATAGTGATTCACCCTTAGCATCATTCCTCAACATCTCGGATCGGCATCTTTCACTTTCCATCTTCCTATTCCTCCTGTTCCTCCCGAGGCCGTGCAACCACTACCCTATAATCATTACCGGCGCCAGGAGACACGGTATATACCGTACTTCGAAGATATTGTCTAGATTTAATCATCGTTTCAACTCCAGCTGTGTCGCTGCCCAGTCATGATTATACTCCATTGCCTGGAATATCTAAATCAAACAAACCCTTCACGCAGGAACATGGGCGAGACGCCGACTAATCAATTGCTTGTGGGCTGAAGTTTCCTAGCCCGAATAATTCGTTTCGAACATTTTCGCCGACTTTTCAACCCATCTCTGTTCGTCTGAAAGAGAGAAACCCCCGCGTAAGCGGACGATTGTATCATACCTGCAGTGATAGGCACCAGGGGTTCCCATCAAACCCCATAGTCCAAGCCCATCCATCTCCTCGTCTCTTACGAGCCACGCTTCAGATTCCAAGCTAACCTCTAGAAACATGAGGTTTAAGCACCGATCACCTTTAAGTTTAAATCTTGATGCTACCAATATGATCGACTACTAAGGAGGACTTGATTGGTTACCTCAGTAATCAGAAGAACTTGGATCCGCACAGATTTGCAATTCATCACTAAACAAGGGCCCGGGAATAGATTATCTATTTACAGCTTCTTGAGGACGGCCAAGAATTAGAAAGAGGAAGAAATCCGTCAGGACAAGCCACTAAGTTTCTCCTCAACAGTCTTTAGAGCTGGATGACTCTCCCTATCCAAGTATACCGAGAGCAAAAAAGCATAGAAGCACCGAACAGTTTGTGGCATGCTGAGGTTATTTTAGAAATGGAGTTTCATAGGTAGGGTTTATAAGTTTTTACTCAAATAGTTATTAGCCAATAATATCAGACATCATTGATATATGTGTATTTCATATAAAAATAATTCGTCATTCTATAAAGAACCATAGAAACATCGAGCCGCGCGTATGTACTTGATAATCATCGCCTCAGATGATTACGTGAGGATCCATAGGTATCCATAAGTATAGTATTAAGAGAAACAATAGACGAGGTACAGAGGTAGAGGTAGCAGGCAAAGGTTGGAACTGCAAAACTTCAAGTTGTCTGTGCTGTAGTATGCTGTAGTATGCTGTACATAGTAGTATGTTGTAGTATGTTGTAGTGTGCAATCCTTGGATTTTGAAGTTGTGATATTGTAAGACACTACAGGGGTTTGTCTGGCGTTATGTTCGGGGAAGTTTGATCCCTGGAAGGCTAGACCCTATTAGGTCAAGTAATTTCCAAATGAGGTTTAGATTTGTATAAGCCCCAACCTTATTGCGATATCTTAGCGAAGTGACAAGGGACGTCGAAACCGCTACTTGTTCCATCTTTGCCTCATCTGCTTCATCTCCTTCAACCTTTCAATGCTCTTTGCAATGCTCCGTACATGACTACTACATCATGATAGTGCTATGTAGTGTAATGTACATACTTGGACCCTGGTTGCCCGTGATGGCCACTGGTATTATTGTATACTTCAACCTCAAGCCTTTGAGAGAAGGGGTCGACCTAGTTCAAATCGAGTATTGCCCGCGTAATCGAGTCCCCTGGTAAGTCCATCGGATCTGATGCCAAAGATATGTGAAGTTCTCGCTTGTGGACTGGAGGCTTCACCAGTCTGATCTATCGCCGCCCTCGGTGAATTCTAACCAATCATGACCTCTTCTAATTCTGATTCTGGACTGTGCAAAGCACTAACAAGTATAATATCCTTGAGCCACATGCAAAATGGGACGTTGGCTCCAACCCGGAGCTGCTTGGCCCGCGCAGACCACCCTAGCAGTTCTAGTAGCTCCAGATGTCCCCGTCTACTACATACTACCCTTGGTAAGGAACGGCTATCAGCCTTGAAGGAGCTGGTTTCTTATTATCGACATCTTTCATGCGTTCTTTTTTGACTTTGTCATCTCCTCTGGAGGAGTTTTGTGGCCTGGTGCACGTTCTTTGCTTCACCGGCCTACACTGATCGTGGCCACGATAATCTCTTCACTTCCATTCGTTCAGGCTTGACCTGCCTATCTGCTGGTTCAGGAATTGTTTCTTCGTTTGCGAGCAGGCTCTTTGTGTGACATCTTTTTTCGACTTATTTTCTATCTCGTCGCCTTTTCTTTTCCCCCGTTCTTGGGTGATACACGTTGTACTGTACTATCAAACTCGCAGTTCCGGCACGTTCCTTAGTTAGATGACTTGACCACGACAACAGGCGACACTTAGGCCCAAAGCCCTCGCCTGATTTTGATTCAACTGGGGCGTCACGATGTTAGGCAACATGGACAATTTTCAAGGCTTCAGTAATATGGGCAGTAACTGGCAGAAGAATACGACCTGGGCAGGATATGAAAATGGTCTCTCGCAAGCTGCTTTCAACGGCACCTCGGCATTCGGTGTCATTAACCAGTTCAAATTCCTTGCTGCGAAGTCGATACGAACTTCAACGATTATCCTCGCCGCATTCAATACCATATCAGCCTTTGCAACGGCGGCTGGTATATTCTACGACTGTTACATGACAGCAAAGCGATCAAACCTGGAGGGCAATAAAAAGTGAGTTCCGTGAAGCCATTGGGTATCTCATATCTAATATGTATTAAGAGTAAATATTATCCGCTGTGTTCGAGGATCGCAAACGTACCCTTTCATCCTATCCTTGGGCATCACAATCCAGGGTATTATATTCGCTGTCTCCCAGTCGTATGGGTTAAATGGTCTATTCATCCCTGGGTGTGCCATAATATCACAAATAATGTGGCCAGGTACGTAGGACTTTATTACTCAAGTTTGTGGATGGAAACAGCGTACTGATATGCATACTAGCAATCTTCATTGTGCCCTACATTCAGCTAGTCTTTGGACTAGAAGTCGCCTTCCGAGCCCTTAAGAAAAGGCCATTTCCTCCGAGAGGCAAGTGGAACATTGCGATCTGTCTCGTAATAGTCAAGGTCCTCTTAGTAATCACTGGCTTAGTCGGCGTCTTCGTTCAGCCGCCGACTTTCTGCTTTGCTTCGCTCTTCTGGTTTGTAGCAAAATGGGCAAAAGGTGGTTTCGCAATATTGCTCATTATTACCGTTGTTTTGGCCACTTGCATCGCCATCATATTCACTAAATTAACTCGATACTCGATCATTGAGGACTCAGAACGAGTCGCCGCCTCGAGAATGGTATTTTACCTTGCCTTGGCGGTAGTAACCAATGTATGATATGCGTATCTTATTTACGAGCCCTCAAAACGTTACTAACACTATACAGGCCTTGATCGTACCATTCTTCATAGATTTGGTCTTTTCAGATCCGGTGGATAACAGCAATACTGGACTGACATTATCCATGATCTCGAGCGTCGTAGCCAACGTCACGGGTCTTATGACGGGTGGTCTTCATCTATTTCTTCGATCCAATACGATTGGCACAATCGGTCACAAAGACAAGCTCACCGAGCACGACCGCCAAAAACTAGGATATCAAACCCAAATGAAAGGATCAAGTAGTATGGATTTCAATGGACATATGCTTCAGCCAGTGTCGGGTCCCCAGATCCTATCGAGAATGGACAGCCAGGTAAACCTTATAAGTGAGAAGGGTGACATTGAGGATCGCGGAGAAAGTCCATTTTCCAGGAATCCCCTGAAGTCCAACGCGACGTACGAGGTTGCAAATCCACCCCAAGTCTCAGAGCTCGCTCAAGTCCCTCCAACCCCCTCAACCAATATGCACGGCCGAAGGCCGTCGACTTCCTACAACCTTTTCCCCGGCAAGAACCCAGACAACACTACCTCAGTAGCGTTATTACCATCCACAGCCTACAATCCGAATATACAATCAAGCCTGGCTGCGCCTAACCCTACATTCAATTTCGACTTCGAAGATGCTCTCAGGCCACCCCCATCAATATATGCTCGCCATAAACGAGATTCTTCGATGTCTTCTTCAGCAACCGTTCAGATTGGCCTACGGGTTTCGAACCTTGCTGACATTGGGCCAATGCCTAAGCTTTCAGCAGAGGCCGAGAGACTGTACTCTTTAGACTACCCCCGAGGCGAAGAAATGATCAATAGTTATCGGCCAAGTCCCCTCGCTACCTTCGCTACGTCGAACGTTCCACCGCCGCAAAACCCTATTCATCGAAGAGAATCTAGAGATAAGAATCTTCCACCAACACCCACCACATCCGAGGCCGAGGCTAGCGATTGCACCTTAAGTCCCGCGGTATACAATCCAAATAGTCCCACAAAAACAAAAACACCAAGCCCGAGGGGCGTTGGGTTCAGTGTCCCTCGAAGGGTAAATACCACGCCAAACCAAGGTGCCCCTACACAATTACCTACTAGGAGCCGCGGTAACTCTAGCAGTGCTGCAGAGAACAGATCCGATTGGATCTAAGATCTGACGCCAAATTTTGTAGCCTCTGCTTCTGGGGCTACATAAGAATTTGGAAGCATCCGCTATGTACTAACAATAACAGTTTCTTTTCGAAGAGACAATCCTTCCTTCGTTCAATTTCTTCGATCTTATCTTCTTAACTGATTTCCTTTTTTTCAATTCGACTCCCGAGGCGTTGTGCGGTTGATGATACCAAAACAAACACTAGGCCAAGGATCTTTTTTTGGGCCTACATATCGATGATGGTAAGAGGTCTACAGTATCATGCATAGGTATACAGGCGTCCATCAGAGAGACTGGGGGCATTTCCCATCTTGTTATTGGTTGGTTGTTTCACGACGAGACGACTAACACCACTGTCCTGTGTGAGCAAGTTGATGTACTGTAGGTTACAGGGCAAGGGCGTGTCTCTAGGAATAGATGACAAACAAAAACTATGGACTGCAGCGGGCTCCTGCTGGGGTAGAGGACCACGAGGGATTCCATAGCGCTATAGGATATAATGTCCATTTTAGATGATCTAGCTAGAACAACACAAAATATTCTGACTTCTTCTACCTTGAAGTGCAATCTGAAGCATTTCTCCTGGTACTCGTTCATACATGGGTGTTGTCATATTTTCCCCCTTTTACCTCAATTCTGGTTGAGAAACGAAGCCGAAACAAGGGAATCGGCTCTCAAACAAACACAATAGTCCTATGCACATACCAGCCACCCAGGAATGTTCATGAAACAAATTCCGGTAGTAAGCGGTGGGCCCTCCGGGCGGGTTTTTTACGCAAGATCATGATTGATTGTCACCTGGGCAGTGTATTTGCTTAATTCGAATAGCGTAAATATAAGCTGAAGGGGAAATTTATTGAATATTTTCAACATTGATGTTAGTTAATGACTATGTGGTCCAAGTATAGGTACTCATAAAATTTGAGTCCACATTAACTATTGCCTACTAGATATCTAGTATGATTTTATCCTCCACAATGTTTCACGTGCCATCATGTCATGTTAGTGCAAGAGCCCACTCCGAGAGTCCGAGTAGGCAGTCTCGTATTCACGCTCATCTCCTAGGTATGTACGATTATGTACGATGCAAATCTCATGACTTGATTTCGTACCTACCTCATGTTCAGTACCGCAAGTTTAGTTCAGGAACTTTTAACGGGCTTTGGAGCTAACTACTCCCTATCAATAGTAATCTGCTATTAGGCATATTTATTTATAGGATTGTCCAACGTTGTTGGACGTCGGTCGTATCTTTAAAAGTTGTGTACCTTCATGATGTGTCTCATAACAAAGGGGCGAGTGATTAGGTAATCGGTTTAACTAATCATCAACCTGGCTGCTGGCATGATGTAATAGAATATCAGCCACAGTGTGGCGCAAGATCATACCCGGGCCTTTGACCACATGGCAGAACAGGGTATCTAGTACTAGGTATGTACATGTACCAGGTACATGTAACTATTAGGTACCTTGAATTTTTCGAACATTTGCAGCTTGAAAAAGTGCAAGTAGCTTCACGATACTTGAGTACATTCAACTCAGAACTAAACGAATGACCCGGGACAGGAAACTGAATGCTGGGGTTATAATGAGGAGATAATGAGGTAGAATTCTCACCTTACATCCAAGTCGCCCCTATGAGGTTCGCGGATTTCATCGTTGATTTGGCCGCTGTTGTCAAAGCATCCCGGAATGTCGCTTCGAGGCACGTAGAGCTTCGAGCTCGGCAGCTCGATCGCTATGGCCAATCTTCCAGTATTGTACGCTCTCTAACAGAGAAGCAAAAAGTCACTCACTCAACTCGTCCTGTATCAAAACCTGCCGATGATATTCCAGCCGAAGGTAAAGAAGAACCTCGTACTGAAACCTCTCAAGCCGAGTCATCCGTGCAAGCATCTGAGAGGTCTGAGAAAGTAGAGTCGAGTGATGAGAATTTCTCATCAAATCATCCCCAAGGAAACATCAACAGATTACACTTGGAGCAACAAAATGTCCACAGGAAATTCCCTGGGCATAATTCGCCAACCGTTGAGGCGATTATGGAACGTCCCTCAGCCATACGGCCAGACCAGAGCGCCATTCTGACGCAATTGAATAAAGGTGCTGTTGAGGCTAAGAACAGCAACCACGTCGATGACGCTCCAACCTTCCAACCTGTCTCAAAAAAGCTAAAGGTATCCCCGAGCCCCAAGGCTCTGCAAGACGTTCCTCCAGAAGTGGATATCAATATATTTCACACAAATCGAGGATCTCAGATGCTAGAGGTGCAAGAAGATGTCGTAGGGGCAAAACGACCCCTAACCCCCCCTCCATCTCCTGGTTGGTTCAAGGATTTTGGCCACGGAAAGGCCAAGCCCCACCAAGAGGAAAGCCAGACGGCGCCTCCTATTGCTGAGCTTACCGCAACACGGGGGCACCCAACCGCGAATGAGAGCGTGACACATACTGGTACAGATAATAATGAGTCGCCTACTAAAGCAGAAGCTCTGGAAAGCAGTGCGGAGCAAGAGCATACTCATATGGTTGATAAAATCCTGTCCAAAACGGAAACAGAAACATCACCTGACGGAGCTATTGAAACACCAGTGATGTTGAACAACCAACCAACCAAACCAGCCTACGTCCTCCGGGAGTCTAAGGTACCAGCCTCCCGCTTGAGCCGATTATGGAATTACGGAGGGCTAGCGGCTGGTATGCTCGGCGGAGCTATTAGTGAAGGGGTTAGTAGAGGGTTGGGCGGTGGCGGCAAGGGTTCTGTGCTACTCAGCTCCGGAAATATGGAAAGGCTAGTGGCCAAACTCTCGCGGATGAGAGGAGCGGCACTAAAACTTGGTCAGATGATGAGTTTCCAGGACACCAAAATGCTCCCTGGCCCTATCCAGGAGGTCCTACAGCGAGTCCAGGACAGAGCGGACTACATGCCTGCCTGGCAGCGCGATCGTGTGCTTACGTCGAATTTGGGGCCTGCATGGCGGGAACTTTTTGAGGAATTTGAGGAGAAGCCGATAGCTGCGGCCTCGATTGGACAAGTACATCGCGCCAAGATAAAGTCAACCGGCAGGAAAGTTGCCGTGAAGATCCAGTTCCCAGGTGTCGCCGACTCGATCAACTCAGACCTAGACAACCTCGGCATGCTCCTAACCGCCTCCAAGATGCTCCCGAAAGGTCTATACCTAAACAAGACGATCGACAACGCGCGCACGGAACTCGGTTGGGAGTGCGACTACGAGCGCGAAGCCGAGTGCGGGAGACGATACCGAGAGCTCCTAGCCGACGAGACGGACGTATTCGTGGTCCCCGAGACCTTCCCTGAGGCATCCGGGAAGCACGTAATAACGATGGAGTTCATGGAAGGGGTAGGGGTGACGCGAGGGAGCCACGCCTTCACGCAAAAGCAGAAAGACTGGATCGGCACGCAGATCCTCCGGCTGTGCCTGCGCGAGATCACCGAGTTCCACTTCATGCAGACGGACCCCAACTGGACCAACTTCCTCTTCAACCCCGCCACCCACAAGCTCGAGCTGCTCGACTTCGGCGCCTCGCGCGAATACCCGCAGCGCTTCGTTTCGCAGTACGTCGGCCTGCTCGCGGCGGCCTCGCGCTCCGACCGCGCCACCATCGAGCGGCTCTCGCGCGACCTCGGGTACCTCACGGGCCACGAGAGCAAGGCGATGCTCGACGCGCACGTGGCCTCGATCCTCACGCTCGCCGAGCCGTTCCTCGCCTCCGCGCCCCGCGTCTACGACTTCAAGGACCAGACCATCACCGAGCGCGTCAAGTCCCTCATCCCCGTCATGATCCGCGAGCGCCTCAGCCCCCCGCCCGAGGAGACCTACAGCCTGCACCGCAAGCTCAGCGGCGCGTTCTTGCTCTGCGCGAAGCTGGGGAGCAGGGTGCCGTGTAGAGAGCTGTTCGAGAGGGCGTTGGAGAAGACGGAGGTGGCGTTATAATTGGAATGTACTACTACTACTACGGCGATTGATTTCTACGATCACGCTTTTTTGAGCCATCTCACCTTATCTAGATACAGGGACCTAATGTATAAAAATGATTCCGATGTGTTTGTTGTGTGCTGTGATTGGAAGGGTGGGAGGGCAGGGGACATAAACGGTGCATTGTGAGAAGTTTGAAGGTAAATAGGTCCATGTATACTAGGTATACATGCATGCCTAGGTACCTACCCAGGGTATATACATATAGACAGAAAGGCAGAGAACTTGAATGGTATCATGTTCTTATGCCTACGTACTCTAATGGATAGAAGCCACCAGCGAGCACTTCCTGTGCCATGCTATATAAGCCAACCAACTCCTTTTCTTCATCACAAAGATCGGCCCCGCGTGCAATTATTCATGTAGCGTAACTCATTCCGCACCCCGTCTCGCAATCGGCATATCCTTCCTATCCCTCGCCGTGAGCTTCTTCCTCCTGCGCTCGATGACGCGGTCGACCTGCTTGCCCTTGAGGTCGGCGAAGCGGTCGAGCAGGAGCTGCTTCTTCTGCTCGCTCTTCTTGAGGTAGAACGGCTTCTTGCCCTGCTTGACGAGCTCCTTCTCCTGGCGTCGATGGCTCTCGACGAGCTCGCGCTCGCGGTCGTGCTGCTCCTGCGACTTCTTCTTCCCTTGCATGGACGCCAGCGCGCGCTTTAGTTCCTCCTGCGCGGCCGGGTCGCTGCGCCGCGTCTTCTTGATAGCTTCTTTTAGCCGCGCCATCTCGGACTCCCGGTACGTGTCGAGGAACCCGTAGGCCTTGCGCATCTTCTCCTCGTCGACGGGCCGCGAGGACACGGCGGCGGAGAATCGTGGGTCCCGCGCCGCGGGCTTGTGCGTCAGGATGACCTCCCGCCTCCGGCTCACCTGGCGTTTGCTGGTCTGCTCGGCGGGGGCGTGCTTGCTGGATCGGGATAGCTTCGGGAGTTTGGCGGATTTGGCTTTGAAGTTATCGGATGCTGGGTTTTTGTCGTCGGCGTTTTCGTCTTCGCTCTCGTCTTCTTCTTGTCCTTTTCGTCCTCCCTTTCCTCTTCGTAGGTTGGGTAGAGAGGCCTGGGCTTTGGCTAGGGCGCCAAAGGAGATTTGGGATACGACTTTCGAGGGGTCTGGTGTGTCTTCGTCTGAGGATGAGGATGAGGAAGAGGAGGAGGCGTTGGACTGGAGGGACGGTTAGTACTTGTTCTGCTTTACATGGGATGTATATGTGTATGAAAATGTGAATATATAAGTACACATGATTATATTACATACCTCGTCATCATCGTCTTCGCTTTCATCTTCATCTTCGTCGTCGTCGTCTTCTTCGCCTTCGTCGTTGCTTTCCTCTGGAAATTGGTCACTGGGTATATCTTCAGGCTCATCCTTCCTCGCTCGCACACGCCGCTGGAGGGTAGAGGGCGGTGCTTTCCGCTTGGCTGCTTTTATGCGATTCATCTTGTATATGTACGTATGTTGTAGAAGTAAAGGTGATCAATGTATTGAATTATTAATATAATATTATCACATGTACTCCATATTTCATACTTCAAGGCTGCATACTAGTATGTGCTATATGCATATGCAGGTCCCCGCTGAAAAGTTCAAAAAAGTTTCAATTAATTCATGTACTAGGTATATACATAGTTGCATGCATAGTCAATCTAAGATAAGATAAGATAAGGATAATAAGAATAATTAACGAATTATGTGATCGCATTTTACATTTTTACCTCTTTGCATTTTCGCTTTTCGCAAATTCGGGCTTCTCTCCACCATTAAATTAAATACGGCATATTTCTAGAACCAGAAATTCAAAGGCACCCATGCGAAAACATATCTCCGCCTCACCTTTGATGAGTCGACTTCTATATTGCGGCAATGCGCGGCATATAGCAAAAGTACTTCGTGCCAATCCTCTACCTAAAGCAGCCCGCCATTTCTCCGTGACGACAACACATTCTCGCGGTGTCGACTGGAAGTCCACACCCCCAAGAGACAAAAAGAGGAAACCTGAGAGACAGAAATCAAATGAGCCCCTACAAGAAACACCTAACCTTGAAAAGTATTCGCCTTTCGAGAAAAAAGGTGCGAAGCCATTCATGAGTGCGAAAGAGTATCAATATCTTCAAGGGCCAGGTCTTATTCACGGCGATTTTGTCCGAATTGACCTCCACAAGTCCGACCCTGTCTCCGACACAGTTCTCTCTTACGGACGCCTAATGCCTTTGCACGCAACCAAAATGGGGTCAATCAACACCAACTCACCTCCCAAGGCCTTCTCCAATCCAGGTACTGGCCCTCCCAGGAACCCCTACACCGGCCTCCCAATCGTAACCCGTGCCCACCTGTCTGAGGCCAATCTGAACAAGTCTGGCTACGCCATTCGACAGGACGATCACCACAGGGACAGACATAGGGACAAGATACGACCACCTTGCCTCGAGTCAGGCGGTGTACCTGAACCGACGTTCGAATACCTGAAGTCATCTAAAATGCCACCTCTCCAAAACCCCCAGCCCCGCAAGATTCTCGTCGTAATTGATCTCAATGGCACCGTGCTCCATCGTCCAAGCTTCCGAAACCCGATTGCTTTTATCGAACGCCCATATGGCCGCGAATTTCTCAGCTACTGTATCAACACGTTCAAGGTCGTCATCTGGTCCTCCGCTCAGCCCGCCAATGTACAGAAAATGTGCAATCAGCTGTTAACACGTAGTGACCGACAAAACGTTGTTAGTATCTGGGGTCGTGATCGCTTCGGGTTGACGGCAGAAGATTTTGTTTCGAGGGTGATGTGCTACAAGCGCCTGGATTTGTTATGGGATGATCCTATAATCGCTGGACAGCACCCAGAAGCTACTTTCGGCAAGAACTGGAGCCAAGAGGATACGGTCCTGGTGGACGACTCGATAGAGAAGGGGCGCAGCCACCCTTACAACCTCATATGTCTTCCCGAATTTGTGGGAGATCCGCAAGAACCCGGCTGCGTGCTGCCTCAAGTTCACGACTATATTAACGCATGCGCTCGCTATACCAACGTCAGCGCCTATATGCGAAACAACCCTTTCCGAGTTAACCCCGATTTCAAACTAGAGGGAACTTCTTCACAACAAATCTAACTAGTAGGAAAGAGGTGGGAGATGAAAGAAGAGATGTGAAGCAGCTGGCGCGCGAAGCAAGCCAGCAGAAACAACTCCATTTTTAAACTAAATAAAGCAGCCTCGACAGCCTCGACAACTTATGTGCGTCATTTCTTGGCGTCAGAATACAGTCATAAGCACCCCAATCGAGTTCTGTGTACTGAAGAAAGGAGCCGAACCAATGGACCTTTTTTGTTAAAAAGAATATTAAAAAAATCGGATGAAGTTTCTAACTCGTGATGATCATTCAGGTCATCAATACTGCATACTACATGGATCTTTCAGCAGCTCTTGCTCTTCCAGGTTCCCACGCCAATCTTTGCTGTCGCGAGAGTCAGAAAGATCGAGGGCTATGATACCTGCTTATCTAGGTACCTGCCTATGAGGGTAACTAGCAGAGTAGGAAGGTGTGTATTTTTTTTGGAAGGCTGTAGCTTGGGCTTGATAAAATAATACACTTGTAAAAAAAGGTATTTGAGGGTAATGACCGATAAGTGTAATGCGGTAAAGATGTGATGGTGTTATGAGTAGGATAGACAGACAATGCATAGATCGTTCTGATACCCCCTTCTCCCCCCTTTTCTTCAATACCATACGTGGACTGCTGTATATAAATACCCATTTACCTGGCTGAAACGTAATAACCCAAATTATTTGCGGTAGCTCAAGTCTTATCCTCTGAGAATCGTAAATTCAACACTGCTTGTTAATGATAGAAGCACATACCATCATCAGCATGGTATATTGCAGTCAAGGTGTGAGACTTAATACGACAATAACACCAATTTTCAAAGGGAAGCAAGTATTTTTGGGGGGGCTCTTCTTCTTTACTACGAGCGTAGCTATGGAGGGTGTTTTTAGGTCGCTAGGCCAGGGGGTATTGGGTATTGTCTGAGAAAGTAGGCAAAAACTTCACCTCACCTCCCTTTCCTCTTCTTTTCCTTTGCCTTTAGTTCTGTGATCTTATCATCCCATTTCTCCCACCCAGCCTGGCACAGATCCTCCTCCACAATCAAGTCCCGTATTCGCAGCCACTTCGCTATGGGCAGGTCTATCGCCCAGGCTAGCCACCCCGTCTGCCTGACTATAGCGGTGATGACAAACCATCCTATGGCACTTACCGTCCCTGCGGCAGCGCCGACCAGCACTTGTTTTTCGGTGTGGTAGTTCAGATACACCCTGCTCCACGCGACGGCGGCGGCAACGCCGAGGCCGAGGACACTCCACCCGGTTCTCTCGAGGAGGCCCATGGGGGTGTGGTTGCGCCTGCGGACGCGCGGGCTCGGGGGCTGGTGGCGGAACAGCAGGAAGAGGGTGAGGGAGACGGCGAAGTAGGCGACGAACTGGGCGTGGCTGCTGGGCATGCCGTAGCCTTTGCCGTTCATGCGGCGCGGGCGCTCCTCCTTGATCAGCCGCTTCAGCGCGAAGTTGATGGCCTCGCAGGCGAGCTGGCCCGCGAACAGCAGCGCGATCTCGATCTCGCGCGTGAACAGGATCAGGGTCGCGTACACGACGCACAGGCCCTGCGGGACGAGGGCCAGCCAGGCGCAGAGGTAGGATAGGGGATCTGTTGGGTCCTAGGGAGAGGGGGGGGAAGGTTGAATGCGATGTTAGTAGCTGCTAACTGAACTTGCGACTCGGTTAGTGAAGCAAGAGGCAAAGGTATATGCATACATAGTGAACGTGAGTTAGGGACAGCGACGCTAGAGGCACTGTGTCGTCGGCCATTGTGAGAGCTGGAACATGCGCTTAGGCAACCGGACTAGGTGGTTTGTTGGGTCAAAGACTTTTTAACGACACATTGTTCAGATGGATTTGGGCAAAATATTAATAGGACGTAATAAGTAAGTAAGTAAGTAAGTGGGACTGACGAGTCGTGTTTATTTTTTTCATAGCCTGGATAATCGAGGGAAGGGTTTCAACCTGGGGACCCAGTTCCTATTTCGTCATTGGAAGTAAGTTGAAACAAGGGGACCAGCTAAACCTTTTTTATCAGGGTCATCAGCATACTACTAAGTAGTACTAACCTAGGTATCTAAGGTGCCTAGGGTATTGTACAATACATAATCACCCCTCATCATTGATTATCGATAAGGTGATAAGTACCTCTATCTACCTCTATCAGCCTTAGCTGCCCCACTACACTACACCACACTTGGCACAGTGCTGTTCATGGCACTAACTAACTCATCATTTGACGCCACTTGCGATCCTAAACACAGATCATAAATCTTATTGATACTTTTTCACTCTTTTACTTTCTTCAACTTTCCAATTTACAGCACTTAAAGGCTAATTCTACACATTTAAGCTGATTGCTTAATTATTGTTGTTGTTCTTTTCTTGGGAGTTAGTCATCTTCAGATCCATATACCCACGCGACGCGCATTCATTCCAACGACACAAATATCCAGTTCATCGGTTCTACCTCCTACTAACTATATATCATCCAAGCTCTTTCTAACTGGCTCTTCGCCCATTTCGTTACGATATCCCATCACGATATTCATACAAGCTTTGAACCATCAATCTGAATTTAAAAGATACCCACCTCCAGCTTAACCCAACCGCCTGCCTAGATTACGCAGTCGGTAACTTATGATTTATTAAGCACAAAGATACGGACATGTTAATGAGCATTCAGCCAAACGACACACGTCTTTATGCAAACCGATAACCCTGATTCAAGATGGAAGAGGAGGATATTCGTGAGGTTGAATTATCGACCATAGCAGCCATTTATCCCGAGTTGCAAGTTAATGAGGATGACCCATACACCTTCTCAATCGAACTACCTGTAAGCTTGAATGAGCCAGTCACTGTACTGTTTCCAGCCGCCACCGAGGGCGTACCTCCGGTTGAGCCGGAACAAGCCCAGGTCCCAGCAGCGCCGGTAGTAGATTCTCACATGCTATCCAATTTGCCAGCTCTGCAAGCCTGCATCACCCTCCCAGAAGGATACCCCGAGAAGAAGCCACCCACAGTCTCTCTCTCAACCTCACCTCCATGGCTATCCGAGCAAATATTGCGCAAGCTTGAAGGCGACGTGGAAGTCCTCTGGGAAGAAATCGGGCAAGACCAGGTCATTTTCACGTACATCGATAGCCTACAGCAGTCTACTGAGAATATTTTTGGTTTGGTTGATGATCAGGGGCAGTTGAAAGTTGATCCACAACACAAGATTACCATATTGGACTACGATATCAGAGCCAAGCAAAGAGCTTTCGAAAAGGAGACTTTCGAGTGTGGCATCTGCCTAGGTAAGTACCAGAAAATTACTTTCCCCTATATCCGCTTATGTACAACACAGAGCTGACCATGGATATTAGATCCCAAGAAAGGAAGTGTTTGTCATAAGATGCTTTCTTGTGGGCATGTTTTCTGCGTTCAGTGTCTGCAGAATTTCTACAACAATGCCATCACCACAGGCGACATAGGTGCTGTCCAGTGTACCGAACCAAATTGTGCCAAGGAACGAGAAGATGCCATCGAAGGCTCCATGAAGAAGAAGAAGGCAGCCACCTTCATCAGCCCTAGTGAACTCCTGCAAATCCCGTTGGAACGAGAGACAGTTATGCGGTTCGTAATGTTGAGGCACAAGACTGAGCTTGAATCGGATAAGAGCACAGTGTACTGTCCTCGCTCGTGGTGTCAAGGCGCCGCTCGATCGAAGAAGCACAAGAAGCCTGAGGGACTCGATTTCGTAGAAGCTTCGGATGAAGACTCGGACACAGACAATGTCAAAAATGCCCAGGCCCGGTTGAAGAAGTCCTCAAAACAGGACCTGCTTGCGATCTGCGAAGACTGTGGATTTGCTTTTTGTACAGAATGTCAACTATCATGGCACGGCGAGTTCAAGGCATGCATGCCGAAAAAGACCCAGTATGATATCACGGAAGAGGAAAAGGCATCATTGGAGTATGTGAAGTTGCACACGACGCCGTGTCCGACTTGTGGTGCCCCAGTGCAGAAGACGCAAGGCTGCAACCACATGCGCTGTTTCAGGTGCGCAACACACTTCTGTTACCTATGCTCAGCTTGGCTTAACCCCTCGAATCCGGTAAGTACCTATACGTGGAACATGTTCTTTCTTTTTGAAAACGAGTTTACCTCTTTAGAGTGTACTCACCCTGCTACCCTAAGACTACGGTTGCTAACTTTGGATGCTACAGTATCAGCACTTCAACGTTCAACCTTCAGGTGGTTTCAGCGGCTGTTACATGAGGCTATGGGAGCTTGAGGGTGGCGATGGTGACGATGTTGGATTGGCCTTCGAGGGTAATGCTAGAGCTAATCTGGATGATGGACTTGGCCAACTCCTAGTTCAAGTGGACGAACAGGAGTTGGAAGAGCAGCCAGCTCCCGTCCAGCCTCAACCACCAAGGGAGCACCTTAATGGAAGAGTTGCCGTGGCTCGTGAGGGCCCTCTCGTACTCCGAATCGAAGGCGAGGCGCTACGGCTACCTGTTCAAGAAGTACCCATCCAAGGGGTAATTCGTCGTCAGCAACCCGGCATTCCAGGTGATCGTAGAGAAGCCGGTGTAGGCCAGCGAGGAAACCGAGGCGGCAGAGGAGGCAGGGGAGGCAGAGGAGGCAGAGGCGCTGGGGTGAATCGACAAAACAACCGGAATCGACCTCAGGGGCAGAACCAACAATTGAATAACAACGGTCGCAACCCCCCGAATGGGATACGGATTGACGAAGTACTCCGAGGAGATGGCCAAAATGGCCAAATAGATCCCCATCACGCAGCATGGATTCGCCAATTTGTGCGGTTGGCACTCGAGGATCAGGAAGATTTGGTCGAAATCGATGAGTGATGACGAGTAGCACGAAAAGCAGTTTTTTGATAGGTGCAACTCTACTCTAGGTTAGGCAGTAGGCATGCGAGGCCATGCGAGGCACGATATTCCTAAGATGGTAACAAGTACGCCCCGAAACGACCGTTTTCGCCAGCTAGAAAAGCTCAAGTTTATTGAACTCCCGAAAGGAGCCGACCAGAAGGGGTCGATCTCTGGTAGCGAATGGGGCGCGAGGGTTGCACCTCTAGTGGCTTCCGGCAGCTGTCACGGGGCAGAGTTGTGCGCAAATAACGAATCGCCTTCTTTCGTGCTAAAGTTACAGCGGACTTCTGAGATAGGCAGATCTCGCCGGATCACAATGTTACGCCGAGGTGATATTTGCAGTTCGATGTCTAAACCAACCCCCTTGAAAGGCAGGGTTTGGCCACCTACATACATACCTATAGTATTATGAATCTTCCTCCCCATGCCATGCCATGCCATCCCGCACGGGGACAGGCTACATATGTAGGTTTGTATGTATTGTACATATGTGAGTCTAGTATGTATGTAAGTAGATTTCCATACATACCAATGAATACCTGGTTGTCATGCGATAGGCAGATTTTCTTCTTCGATAAAACCGCGGGTGAGAAAGAAGATCGCTAATAATAAACAATGTTGTATCAATATACTAACCTACATATGTGTGACAAGAAATAAGTACGTTGAATGAACAGAAAAGGAAATACCTTACCTAGGTAGAGATAGTAAGAACTTGCCCAACACTACTAGGTACCATTAGTTACCGTACCTAAGTAAGCACTTGTAAGCACTCAAAATAACGTACCGTACCTAGCTAGCTAGTACGTATCGTGTTGCAACAGCGACATCGCAGATAGGTACGCTACATCGTGTCCCGCACATACATACGCTTTTACTAGGTAGGTAAGCTGCTAAGGTACAATACCTTGGTTTGTGTGTGCGTGTATGGGGCTAGGTTAGGGGTAAGTACATAGGTAGGTAGGTGGTTTTTGCGACGAGATTCTGACGATGGCGAAATCTGATACATTAGGTAGATAGATACCCACATAGCGATCGTACCGTATCGAAGATTTATGCATTGTTTGGTTGGTTTGGTTTGGGGGGGGGGGTTTGGTCAAGTGCCTCGGTGGTTTGGGAATGTAGGTAATGGAACTGCAGTACATATCTGGCTAGTAGGTAGGTAGTCAGGGAGACTTGACGATGGATGAAACATAGCACATGATCTTGACTCCTTTCCGGGGATCTTTTGGGTTTGTTACCGTGATGCCTTAACCTAGGGGTTTAGGCAGGCAGGCAGGCAGGCAGGTAGGTAGGTAGGTAGGTTGTTCAGGAGAAGTGAGTGAGCGCAAAGTACTCCGGCTCTCCAGCTGCCCGTCCTGAAACTCATCTGTAGGTAGACAGACACCTGGGCATCTACTTACCTACATGTATACTTACTTGCTTACTTACTTAGCTGCTTGCCTACCTAGATACCCGGTAGACCTCTGCATGTGTATACGTGTTGGCTTCGATAATAATACTTGATACTATGTCTAGTGTGTATGTAGGCTGGCGGGCAACGAAGGCAAGTAAGTAACTTGGGTGCTTAACAGCCGCCCGCCCCCAAACAACTTGTGACCCTTGTTGTAGATAGGTATGTGCATACATATCTAAGGTTAGAGATCTCTCCTATGGCCTTTTGCATATACGTACCTATGTAGGTAGGTAGGTAGGGGCTACTAGCGGTTTCCCCTTCTCCCTCCTTTTCCCGATAACTACTCTCATGGCATGACTCGCGCGCGCAGCTGCTTACACATCTACCTGTGGCGATCTGTATATACATATGTAAGCAGGCAAGCACGTTTAGGTAAGATGGGTAGGCAGAGTATCTAGGTAGGTAGGTATCGTGCGGCATCAGGCTTATCATACCATTACACTATCAATCAGTCAGTCAATCAACAGGAACACCCTTCCTCTTCTTCTTCTTTCTGGTTACATACATACATACCACCTAACCATGTTCGCCATATGCGTAGGTAGGTAGGTAGGTAGGTAGGCTCTCGGTTTGTGGGGGGTTTCGTTTCAGGGGGGGGGATGGGGTATGTATGTAGGAGCACCAAAAAAAAAAAAAACAAAAAAAAAAAGAGAGAGATTTCCAACTGATTGTGTGGTATTGGTGGTTTTCGGTGGTATTTGGTAGGTCATGGTACCGTATCATAACTCCTATTGGTGCTAATTGGCCATTTATTACCGCGGGCGGACGAATTCTGATTCGTTCTCTTGCCCCCTGGTTTTTTTTTTTTTTCTCTTTTCTACTGATAGTTACTTCTCATGGTAGTTACATGTGTAGTAGTAGTATTGTTATTATTATTATCTCTCGCAGTATGTATGTACCATGCATGCAAGGTCTTCTTCTGCTTCTTCTTCTTCTTCTACCTACATACTTCCTTCTTTCCCTCCGCCCCCAAAAGGCTGTTCGTTTGATCAGCTAGGTAGGTAGCTAGTAGTCTGCTAACAGCAAATGGTAATCCGGCATTGTCACAGTAAGTAAGGAATAGTTACTAGGTACCGAAGGAACCATGGGGCCGAATATTGATAATAGGTAACTAGTTACCAGGCAAAGCTGTCTTGGTGCTCGCTGTTCGTTGCTTGCTGCTTGCTTATCGCTGGCGCCTGGTCTGCTAGATGTCTGGGCATGTACGTAGGTGGCGCGGATTACTCAGGCAGGTAGTCAAGTCGTCTTGTATACATATTTATGTCATGATAGGACGTACGAATAGTGACTACACTAGATATGTACTATGTATGTACGTCTTACATGCCTGGTATGATATGATACTATGTAGGCATGTATGTCCCGGTATCATTATAGTTGACAGCTACACTATATTAGTCATGCTACCCGATACCTAGTAGGTGTGCATGGTTATAGCAATTCACTTAGTCATATATGAAGTGGGCTAAGCTTTTAAGGGTTCGCGGGTCTTCAATATTGTTGATAGGTTAGGTAAGTTACCCAATATCGACTTACATAGCAGGTAGTAATTAGGTAACATCGAGGAGGATGGGTTCGTGCTATAAAGGTCCGCCGCTCGCCCCTAGTTAGTACATATCTCTTCTTTGGCCGATCCATATTGATACTACATACATACATACATACATACATACATAAGGCAAGAGGTATGTACCTAGGTGGACATGTATGTAGGTATGTAGGTATCCATCCTGTCTGTGTACGGACTGTAGTTATTGCCTCTTTGATATGTACGAAGTGGGCAAAACATCCTGGGCTGCCACATGCTCAACCTGCATGATCACTTCCATTATGGATAATATCATGTATGGTGTAGATATGTAGTGTAGCTTTCAAAAAGGAGTCTTCTTTTTCGTTGATGCGGGTTTTTGGGACTCGCCATTGCGCAAGCTAGCTCTATTATTAGGGGAATAATTTATTACCTAGATTAATAAAGGGTCCTCTTCCCCCCATCCACTTCCCATCCACTTCCCTTTTCCCTAACCCCCCCTCCTCCCATTGCTTGGCCCGCATGTCCAACGCTAGTTTAGCATACATGTCTACTATTAGGTACATATGGTACATGAATTAGTATGTTGGTCCATTGTCACTTGTGAGATATGTATGTAGGTAGCGGACGCGTGCGGAAATTTTGGACTGATAGCGCTTAGTTCAATACGTGGGGAGCTAGGTTGTAAGGTATACAACGTAGCATTTTACAAATAGATTAGGGCAGTACATAGTTACTATGTATGCACTAGGTTAGTTAGTTAGCAGAGAGGGCGAACATAATATTAAAGACGAAAAGAAAAAGGAAATAATAATGACTAGGTTTAGGTTATATTCATCAAATGCATCTGGATTCGTCAAACCGCGACACGGTATAAGACCGTACATGTCCTAGAATAGGCATCGGTTGGGGGCCGTTTGGCCCATTTCTGCAACACGGCTGGTTACATCGAAGCCCGTTACGGGAAAGAGATTCGAGCTGGGCGTGGGTGGGAGGGCTGGCGGCAATAAAGATCTCAAGGGTTTTCTTCTTCAGGGCCAGCCGCAATCTATAGGTAAGATAGCCATTAAAAAGAGACGAGAAGAGAAGAAGAATAAGAACAAGGGTTCCCTCGATGGACGATAGGGATTGGTCGGGTTAAACTCGGGGGGTGGTTTTCTTCTTAATCTCTACCTAGGCTAAAGGAAAAGGTTAGGTATGTATGTATGCATGTATGTATGTATGTATGTATGTAGGTATGTAGGCATGTAGGTATGTAGGTGATGCATGACCAGGTGTCTCTCTATAGCCTCGTTAAATCTCGGCACCCCCTTTTTTGGTTTGGTTGGTTCTCTTTTTTCAGCGTGGGTTTTCATCTGCATCTCGATATTACATATTACCTACCTGAGGTATATTTTTATATTTATTTCAAGGTAGTTATATGTATGTACGTTGGAGCGTTGGAGTCTGTATATATTAATAGTTAAGATCTAAGGTTGGAAAAGACAACGTTGAAGAGTTCAATGTTGGGGACCTTGTAAATACTATTACTAGGTACAAGTACAATACAATACCTAGTAGGTAGGTATAAGTACTAGGTATAAGTAACTACTAGGTACACTAGTATAGTGCACGGTATACTAAATCTGTAATAGCCCCATGAAAGCACGGAGCTTGTTCGATAAGTAGATAAGCAATCTCACAATCTCATAATCTCGCAATCTCTTTAAAAGACTATGCGATTTCTTTGCCTGCAAGAGCCCTGCAATAGCCCTGCAATGCCTGCATGGCATGTTCATGTTTTAACCATGTACATATTACTTACTAGGTATCATAACGACCTAGTTCCTTACTACCCTAGACATCTAACCTGAAAAAGTATAAGCTCGGATCCTGCGGGTAGTGTTTTTGCGGGGTAATGCGATTAAAATCGGGAGTTGTCAGTTTTATTTTATAAACTCCTAAGCCTAGCAGGCCTAGCAGGCTAGTTAGTAGCCTAGGTAAGGGTATGTAGGGTTAGAGGGGCAGGGGTTAAGGGGTGAGATGTATGCGTACGGCTAAGTTAAAAAAGATGTGGATTAACTAATGGATTAACATGAACATTGATATTTACCCCTTTTGGTAATTATTCAAGTG